GTTTCTCTAAGCTTGCCACTATTACTGGTGCTTTCGATCTCTACGGTGACTTTACCAAGTAAGTCTATCGCACGATACAGCAAATGATTCCCAGCTAACATNTCTGCAGCGTCTCTGCTCCCGCTCTCAACGAGGTTGACGGTGCTTTCAACATCCAATCTTCTGCTCAGCTCAGTGGCTGTGACGCCTTCCAGAAGCTGAAGTCTGGCTCTCAGATTCGCGGCAAGTTCTTCTGCAACGGCACTGTCGCTAAGCCCTCAGGTGTTGGCTCCAACCCCAGCGTCACTGGCTCTGGCAGTTCTTCCAAGTCCACCAACACTGGTGCTGCCAACGCCATGTACATTCCCACTGCCGCTGCTGGTGTCATGGGTGTCGTTGCTGCCCTCTTCGGTCTTCTGTAAACGGGTCTTTTCTTGACTTCGTGTTGATCAAATTGCATGGCGTTTCGATTTCATTTTCTTTGTCTTGCGTAGACTAATCCACGGGACATTCTCAATTTATCTCAATGACCCGAACTTTTATTCTACCCACATACCGGCTCCGGGTCTCACTTGAGCGAAAGCATTCTTTTTGAAATACAGGATAGCGTGCATCGAATGGTCCTTTTACTCACAAACTTTATTTCCTTCTTCTAATGGCTTCTAACGAGTTAGGCGGATGGGGTTTATTGTAATAACACTTATCGTATGAGATTCTTCGTGTTCATACTTTTTTCCAAACGAAAAACTGTTCGTTCACAATTCTGCTTTAGTGAAGGTTTCGTGTGTGCCGGTTGTTGATTCGAAGCCGTTCAACTTGAGACAGCAGCGTATAATTAGCCGACGGAGATGTCTCATGCCAGGGACCTTTTGACTTTTTGACACAGGGAGGAACCTGAGGCTCCTAAGCTTCTCTGAACGTCACCTCGTATCATGCTCAAGCTGTGCTTCTCACTCGGTCCTGTTTCCACGATAAAACAACTTCAGTTCAGCACCGATCTTCACGCGTCGATGCCATGCCCTGTGCATCCCGTCGGGGACCCTTTAACACGAGGTCGGCGAACCGCTGCATTTGCGTCGTCTCGACATGGCAAAGACTGCGGGATAGATGCGACTCATGACAACAGACATCTGATGTTATGCCGCGCAGAACCTGTTTCATCAGTCTTCAACGTCGTCGTACAATCGGTCTCCTGGCTCTGCCGTCACGCCTGCTGAAAAGAGCAGGCGTATAAGTGATATTTGCTGCGCATGAGCTTGTATATTGGAGTGGGGCACAGTGCATGAGCAGGACGCCTCTCTGCAAAAGAATGGCTACAAACCCAACCGGGGGCCCTCGGGATGCTAACTACCGTGTGTTAGAGGCTTCAGTTGACGCCTCATTGTCGTACAAAGCTGCTCATCATCCAACAACCGCTCTGGCAGACTGATCATTGACTTCCGGCAGTTGGGTTCATCGCATATCGAATTGGCAACGATTGGACCAGTTATACCTGCACCTTGCCGAGCGTAAGCACCTTACAGCGGGGGAGCAAATCTGGTGGTCTTTGCTTGCTGAGAGGACCATCTGTTCAGCCAAGTGCCAGCGCGTACCCAGGTTAGGTTGCTGCATATCCCACGACTCATTTCACTCTCTCTATCTCGATATCGACCAACGTCGAAAGCCCTGTGGATATTCATCGTTGGCTAGCTGGCTTGGAACATGTTCATCTGATGCTCTCGAACAGGTGCACGCTCCCGTTGTTCCACAGGGAGTCTGGTGTGCGTTTCCGCTTGCCGTTCGCATGGCAAGGTTGACGCTCGAAGCAGCTATCCGTTCAACAACGGCATAGTGATATTGGCTGAAAGAGCGGTATACACTTTCTGCTTGTTATGACAGGCAGACAAGGGACGCCGCATGACACTTGCTTTGCAGCTGTGAGTATTGTGTATCCCCAAGATGTCAAACGCTCAAGGGAGATTCTCCGATCGATGCGGCACGGGATCTCCACTCATCGTCAACAACAGCGGCTCTCGGATCTGCTCCGCGACGGCAAGGGACTCAAAACCTGGGTGCCGGACCCTCACATCGACGACCGCCTATCGCAAACATACTACGGCGCGAAACACGATAGATCTGGTCGGACCTCCCGGGATGGCGCTCATTCTTCTCGGAAGCTACCAACTAATCAACTTTCTCGGTCGTTCTCTGANNTCCTTCGAGTCTCTGATATATCAGANNTTTACTCTGGTAGCTGCTCGTGCCCGGCTAGTATGCTTCGATCCTCCATCGCNNGCTGCGCTCTCCTGGACCAATCACAAGTACCCATCTGTCTAATGCATGGGTTCAGACCCGCTCTATTTGCCGCCGTNNACATCCGGCTTCTNNCTTGTCCCGATCTTAGTTGCATCTCTCAACACGACATACCCCTTGACACTTNTGTATTCAGAATTAGCATGTAGAGAGTGCCTCACATTGATCTTCATGTCTTGTTCTGCAGAGCCTACAGGCAAGTCGAATGAGAGTTGATTGTCCAAGAAGCAGCGGTGAAGGAATATGACGCATACCAGCAAGCCCCAAACTGAAGGCTTCTGGACAGTTGCGTGACCGAAAGAAGATCTGAAAGGAGGCTGACCAGGTTTGCGAACGACGTCCCTGCAGATAGGCTCAAGCGTCTGCCGCTACACCAGTAGATTTCTCCTGTTGGTCTGATGGACACAACCTGTGACTGCCCTGAGCGGCGGTGGCTGCAATGCTAACACTAGCGCTCATGTTGTGTTCGGCAGACGGAAAAATGACATGATGGAGAAGATGGGATACTGACCATGTCCTGAGGCTCTGTAAGTATATCAGGTCGGTAGATACCTTCCTTTTCGTCTTCATTCTTCATCCTTCATTCACAAGTGCATTGTGTCAATCGGCTTGGTTCTTTGCTCTACTACTCATCGTTCTTGTTCTTCTCTTGGGTTGGGTTTTGTTTGACTTTTGCTTGGTTCGAACGTGTCTTCCAACACATCGACAAGAGTCAAGTACAGCCACACAGCACCACACGAGACTCTCTGCCTTTCTTTAAAAGCGAGGATACCGTCTTGTTCTGCTCAAGCAAATCAGCATGATGTACGAATCGTAAGTTCTCGACCCGAGTAACATGGTAATTCTTCAAACTAACACAATGTAGACACAACCAGACAGCCTTTAGACGTAGAGCTGTAGACCGCGTCGGGCAGGTCAGCGAGCACCTGACATCGCGTCCTGGATATGCTCGAGAGCATATTGCTACATCTCGTACACAGTCGAACACCGGGACACCCTCTTTCCTGCACCGTCAGAATGGTCTACCTACGAGCCTGGCACCTACTCCTGTGCAGAGTCCGACTATCGGATCTGTTTCGCTTCCGTCATTCAAGCATATGGCTGAGGTTGCCGATCATTCAAACCTACAGTACATGCGCGCTCCTTCGGTCGGGAGTGAATATATCCCAGTCCCTCTCATCAGAACGGAGTCCTCATATGTCTCACCTCCTGAGTCTGTGTTTTCACCTACACCCACACCGTCCAGGTCCGTCACGCCAACCATGAACATGGCCAGGATGAGTTTATCTGTCAGACCGGCCAGAAGACAAAGCCCTTCTTACAGAGTCGAGAAGAAGTCCAAGCCTGCAAAGCGCAAGGACATGTCTACCACGGCTAGGGCACAAGAACTTGAGAACAACAGGCGCATTGATGCAGCCCAACGGCCCTACAAAGAAGGAGTTCAAACATCACTTATGATCAGCGAAGGCAACGGGCGACAACGTTTTCCTCGGTTCGATCGTCCGCATGCGCCTCGCGAGGCCAAACGTGCAAAAATTGTGACTGGCAGCAGCGATCCCAACACCAGGCACAATGTTGCACAGACTCATCTCCGAGCTGAGAAGGGAGGCTCCAGGATGGTTCTGCAACGCCTTCTTATCAGTGGCTTGAACTGGAAAGGTCGCAAGATCCAGACGTTTGTCAATGCTAAGAGTAGTGGCATGCTGTACGAGGAGAAGGACACACTGCAAGCCAGCACCAAACTGATTGCTTTCGCCATCTTCATGCTGCAAGGAATCTTTGAGGCAGAGGGCATGCAACAGCTTTGTGACATCCTTGATCTTTTCGAGCCCGAGGATGTACAGCCTGCAGTTGTGATGAGAGACCCGCGCGACGATGACAAGACGTACGACCTCAAGTGTCAGGCAGCACGAATTCAGGTCATCGAAGAAGCGCATTTGCCGCTGGGCTTGAAGAACGTGCGAAGCCAAGACGAGCTCCTTCAGATTGTCCAGCAGAAGCTCATGCCCATTGCCGATGACTTTGGCAAAGTTGCATTGCGACAAATGTTCTTTCGCAGGCCCAGAGAGCACAGGGCTATGTTTTGAGTGAGAAGGGAAGGCACACTGTTTTTTTTGGAGATGGTTTAATGATTTTGATGAATACCCTATGTCCTGTCTCTGTTTTTTGTTCTTGACGAGGGTTTGGCAGCGTTTCGGAAAATTGTTTTATCATTGGAAAGAGATGGGGAGAAATATTCCGGCAGCATGATTACCAACTCTACAGCATATATTGTATTAAGATTAATGAACAGATGATCGAATGTTGCAGAATGAATTGTTCAATGAGGTCTGTCTGACTCAGGGGCTGGAGAAGTACGCAATAATTAGGTGGCTTTGAGCAAGAGGATGCTGGGGTCGGTCGAGCATCATTGCCTGTTCAGGGAAGCACGACTGTGGCAGAGACGAGAGGCCAGCCCGTCGCAACAGGAAGCAACGACTGCAGACAAAACTCGCCCTCTTGGACACCAGACAGGAAGGAGCAGATACTCACAGAAGCTCGACAACACTCTCGACCCTCGACAAACGCACGAATCGCTCTTGGCAAGCCAAGCAGGTAGTCAGTCCAAGCAAGCCCGTTGAACGCTCTCCGGGTTCCTGAAGCGCCAGCCAGCGCCGACAAGGTTGCTGTCATCTCGACATTCCCGCGACAGGCCGCCTGGTTTGAAGTGGTCGTAATTGCATATCGCCATGCTGTTGCCCAAGAACGGCGTGTCCTGGAAGGCGGCACAGGCCAGGCTGCCGCCGACCAGAGCCATCTGGACTTTTCTCACGCGCACCCGCTTCCTGTTGGTCGTGGCCATAGTCGGCCTCGTCATCTTGTTATGGAGGGGCGTCACAGGCACCGCCGAAGACCTGCAANAAGTAAGCTTGACCCTCCTGCTGCGACCCTCTCATGCGATAGACGGCCTCGACGACCTCGACAATCGCTATGCGCTGTGCCTCCAGCTGTCTCTCAACACCTCATGCTGACCCGTCAGGTTCTACTGTTTCGGTCCAGCCAAGTCGCCCATGCAAATGACACCCAATGAGCAGATGCTATGGACCGGAAGCCTACAGACCCCCGTCATCTTCAACCACCATGCTCCCGTCGAGATCAACCACACCACCATCAACAGCGTCGACCTCAACCCCATAAAGAGCACGAGACAGGCCATTGACAACAAGGAGCGCGTTCTCCTGCTTACTCCCCTGCGCGACGCCGCTCCCTACATCAACGACTACTTCGATCTCATCTCGCAATTGACCTACCCCCACGAACTCATCGATCTCGCGTTCCTCGTCGGCGACAGCACCGATGACACCCTCGCCGTCCTCGCCAAAGAACTCGAGCGCATCCAGAGTCGCCCCGACTCGATTCCCTTCCGCAGCGCCACCGTCGTTCAGAAAGATTTCGGTGTTCATTTGAGCCAGAGCGTCGAGGACAGACACGGTTTCGCTGCTCAGGGTCCTCGCAGAAAGGCCATGGGCAAGGCTAGAAATTACCTTCTTAGCGCTGCCATGAAGCCTGAGCACAGTTGGGTCTACTGGCGCGACGTCGACATCAAGGACAGCCCTTCCAAGATCATCGAGGACTTTATCGCTCACGACCGCGATGTTCTTGTTCCTAGTATGGTTACGCGCTGAGCCCAACTCTCGAACACATTACTGATTGCGGTACAGNACGTCTGGTTCCATCGTTACGAGAACGGTCGCGACATTGAAGGAAGATTCGACTACAACTCATGGCAAGAATCCGAAAAGGGCCTCAAGCTAGCCGCCACTCTCTCCAAGGACACCGTCCTGGCAGAAGGTACATTGCATATCCCGAACCGGTCTCTATATCCAAGATGCTAACACATGTTCANNGGCTACAAAGAGTACGACACCGGCCGCACTTACATGGCCAAAATGGGCGACTGGCGCGAAGACAAGGACGTCGAGATCCCGCTCGATGGCATCGGCGGCGTCAATATTCTCGTCAAGGCAGACGTCCATCGCTCCGGCATCAACTTCCCGTCCTACCCCTTCGAGAACCAAGCCGAGACTGAAGGATTTGCCAAGATGGCCAAGCGTGCAGGCTACGGCGTGTATGGGCTGCCGAATTATATCGTGTGGCATATTGATACAGACGAGAAGCCTGGAAACGCATAGATGGATATATGTTCTGCACAATGACTTGTTGTTAGTTTTCTCTTTGACAGACAGAAAGTTGTACTTTTTCTTTCTGTTTCTGTATGCGTCTTTTCTCGTTTCTCCTAGCCTGTTGTTTTCGGGCTTTTTCATTTTTATGGGCTAGACTTTGGGTGCTTTCTCTTTTTGGAAAGTATGAGTGTGTGATTGCATCTTGTCCAGATACTTGCAGATATGAAAGGCAAAGTGTACCACAAGTGTCTAAACAGAAATGTCCATTGACTTTTTGCGTGTGTCCTGATGAACAAAACTCGTGGCTTTACTATACGTTGGTGGAGGAGAATACATCGAGTATGTGGCTCTCCGACAAGGAATTTTTGCGCCACGAAGAGGACTTGACATATCTTACCACTCTTTGCTTTACCTTTCGACGTCTTTTGCGACATTTGTTGTCGGTGTTTTTCTCTCTGTGGCTGCGTTTTGTGACGAGTGTAGGTTTTGTCAACCACATCTTGTGCACGCTCATGGTCTGCGGTGGTCGGTGGTCCATGTCACGAAGCAAATTGCGCAAAATGTATGTCGACGACAAGACCCTTTTTATCAAGTAGATAGTAAGCACAGAGTTTTCTCAGAGCTATTCAGAGCAGTTGTACGAGCTATTGTGTATTGTAAGATGCTCTATGCCCCTGTATGAGTGCATCAAAGGCGTTGGTATGTTGTGGACAGGGTGATACCACCCACCACGATGACTTGGGTGTAAAAATACCATCGCGACCATCAGGAATAGCAGCATAGAAGTAAAAAGCCAGCAGACTTGCCTCTCCTTGAGTGTGTATTACAGATCCACCGCGTCCCTCTACCGATTCAAACTCAGCAGATTCTCAACATACTTTCTCGCATCGACGCCAATGCCTCCAGCCAAAGCAGCAGCACTACCCCATCCATTGCCCTGCCCATCCTCATTTTCACTAGCTCCTCCTCCACCACCTCTCGCGCCAACAAGATTGTACATGCCACTACTAACCCTACTCGCCATGCCCTTGGCACTAATGTTCCTGCGCTCCACAACATGATCTCTAGCTTTGCGAACCAAAAATGCGGTTCTGCAGTACTCGGGGCGAGGATGTTTGCCATCGCCCTCGCCGGGTTGGGGCACCCGTAGCCAGACTACCCACCAGTGCCGCGAGGTTTTTGATGTGCGTTCGGTTTCTCGGGGTGAGCGGAAGGAGTGTTGCAGAGTAAACAGGATATGGCTGTGTACGTTGAGGGCTTCGAGTCGTGTCCATTGGGGCGGGCCATCCCTGCCTGAGCTGGTGGTGCTGATGCCGCCGCCACAAGGTATAGCTTGTCCCGGCTCAGGGATATTGGGTAGAGAAGTGTGGCAAGAGAGGTTTACGGGATCGTAGACGAGGTCAAAGACGGGGCTGTTGCGGGGCGGTGCATAGGGAGGGTTCTGCGGGTTTATGGACATGGGCTCGGGCGGCGAGGTATGTGCTGCTGCTATCCGGTCCGCGACTTTTTGCGTCGATGTGCTGTTGAGTAGAGATTTGTGCAGTGGACGCAAGAGTTTGTGTAGTTCGCGGTAGAAGCCCATGATGCTGAGTGAAGGCGTCCTTTGCTCGAACAANAAGACATGGATAAAAGGGCGATGGACATATACCAACACACGCAACCTCGACGAGGTGTCGTTGTTGACAAAACTGTCTCGCGAGTCCAGATCGTCGTTGACAGTGTCTCCCTTGTCTGTGAGTTCGACCTTTACAGTACGTAAAAGGTTGCGCTCGCCTTCTGGTATTTCACTGCCGCCGATTGTGGTATCGCTGTCGTCGTCGGATTCTGCCGGCTCGCGATCGAGGTCACCGAGGTAGCCGATGAGGAAATGACCTTGGTTTTCTTGTCGGCGTTGGTGTTGCAGGGCGGCCATTGCTTGATAGCCGTCCGGATTGGGATCTAGGTGCTGCATTGGTGGTTCATCCTTGTCGTCTTTGGACTTTGGGAAGGAAACACCCTTGACGGTCTTTGAACTAGACGTCGAACTACGGCGTGGGCCTTCTGGTCGCTTTGGGGATTCCGATCGTTTGCCTCCTGATGCCAAACCAAAAGTGAGATACTTGACCCACTTGTCAGAGCTTCCGAGATTCCAATTTGACGATTGTTCAGAGGATGGCGGCGGTTGGTTGGAAGTGTGAGAATCGGCCGAAGCACTAGCTCGATCAAGTGAGGCTTCGACAGCGCCGACAATAGGCGGAGGGATGCCAGGATGTGAAGCAACCTGGGTGCCTGGAGTGCCTGTAGCGTGATCGTGGGAGGCGACTCTGTCATGCATCTGCGGACGAGGATCTGGCGGGAGCTCGATGCCCTTCAATCGATGTATAGCCTTGATTTTGAGCTCCTCTTCCATGGCAGGTGGAATCTCAGGCTCTGGTTCCGGGTCGCCTACAGGCTGACGCCTGCGTCGCTTGCGGCGCTGTCGATGTGGGTTATCCTTCACGCCGTAAGCGTGCTCACCGTAGGCATAGATATCGCGGACCCAGGTCGAGATGTCACGGATTGAAGGACGGGTGATGGCGCCCACACCACTGAAGATGAGGCCGTCCTGAGCCTGGGGCTCGGTTCCACAGCCCAGCCACGGAAGACGCTGGCGAGCATCGTGGAGAGTGTATTGAGAGGGATCGCCGTTGTTGTAGTCGTCCTCTGGTGGAGCAGCTTCACCAAAACGATGGACAAGCAAGTCGACCAAGCCCTCGGTGCGGTGTACCAAGTCTTCAAGCACCTCTCGGTCTCCACTGCCCCAGTCCTCCTCGCCCACACCATATCCCAATTCACCACCTGCTGCAAGCTTGAGACCTCCAAAGATGTCGATGGCGGGGTTGCCGTGTAGCAGAACGTCCCAGTTGTGGCAGAAGCGGGACCAGAAGCGATCGAGGATGGCCGAGAACTTGTCTTTTGCGAGCTTGACATACATGTCGCTGAGAGAGGGGCCATGGTGTAGTGTGAAGACGCGGTAGGCGGTCAGGACCTGTTGTAGGAGAAGCGGCGCCGGGCTGACCTCGCGCGACGAGTACTCGTATTCGTGCTCTTTGTCGGAAGACGGGAGACGCGTGAGATCGACGGACNNTGCTTGAGGTCAGTACAGATGGCTAGATTGCTATGATACACAACGTACAGCCAGGACCCACCAGTCCTTCTCCAGCTCGTGCATCAGGATGCGCGACTTCTCGGTCTCGACGGCTTCGATGGGCTCGCCGTCGGAAAAGTTCCTTGGCCATGTTTAACACGCATACACATGTGGTCGAACAAGTGGCTGATACCTGGCAAAGCCTGCCATGCCTTGGGCAAGGCCAATCTGTCGTAGCTTCTCATTCTCGCTCATTCGTGCCTCGTCGGCCGTCGGTTTGGCTTTTGTGCGTCCATCGCGGGCTGATCGCGAATAGTAGAAGACGACCTGGTCACCAAACGTCTCGTCCGTCGGTCCTAGCGGCGGGCTGTAGATGGAGAAGAAGGACAGTTGCGCCGGCGTAAACTGTTCCGCATCCATCGTGACATCTCATGAACTGTTGATGTGTCGCTCATGAGGCTCTAGACTGCGCGTGCGCCGCCGCAACAAAGGGTGACGTCGATTCGCGTCTGGACTCGTTTCACGACCGAGATCGTGCAACATCTTTCTCTTCATCCATCCATTCGAATATCTTGACAAGCTAGCTTCTTGTTCTTTCATATGTCTTGAATCTCTTATCCATGTCGCTGTCGTCTATACCAAACACTGGTGTTGCCATCACCAATCCTCTCGTCTTGTACCGAGCCCTGCTCGCGACCAATCGTATAACTCAGGACCCTGCACAACATAGACTTGGTAAGTCACCTAGGCCTCGACACCCAATATCCGTATACCAACTAGTTCCAGCCATCCATCTGCAAAAACTATACGACCGATTGAAAGATTATGAACCAACCGTTGAATACAAGCACAAACTCGATCAGATAACCCGTGCCGTGGGTCCTTCAGTAAACACAAATGTAGAACCAGATCCACAGAAACGGGGAGTCTGGCAAAATCTCATTGCCCAAAGAGAGAAACGAGACAGTCTAGCTCTGACCAAAGTCCTCACTAGCCATGAAGCCGCCATGAATCTCGACTCGCCTCGAGGCCTTATGCTTCATGGTGAAGTTGGCACAGGTAAAAGTATGCTCATTGATCTCTTTGCCGACTGTTTGCCCAACAGGAAGAAGGCTCGCTGGCACTTCAACACATTCATGCTCGACACCTTTGCCAAACTGGAACAGCTAAGACGAAATCGATTGACTAGCTTGCCTCAAGCGGCTGGTGCTGATGTCGAAGAGCATTCGCTACTCTGGCTCGCTCGTGATATGATCAACACTTCTCCAATCCTCTTTCTCGATGAATTTCAGCTTCCGGACAGGGCCGCTTCAAAGATCATGACCAACTTGATGACTTCATTCTTCCAGCTCGGTGGTGTGCTCATCGCAACAAGCAACCGAATGCCTGAAGAACTGCACAAAGCTGCTGGCATGGCTTTTCCACCTCCTTCACGCTTACAGAGCTTGACTCAGAGACTGGGTATGGGACGGGCTACCAAAGGCAGAAGTGAAAACATGTTTGCTGGTCAGGGTGAATTTGCTGGCTTCCTCGAGGTTCTCAAGGCTCGTTGCGAGATTTGGGAGATGAGCAACGGCAAAGACTATCGCAGATACGAGGCCAGCTCTCAGGCACCTCCTCCCATTGCCGAAGAAGATCGATTCGAGGATGTTACCGATATGGATGCCTTTGAAAGTGACTCTGCTATATCTGGCATCCCAGAGGAAGTCACAAAGCAAGAGCCAGAGACGCCAATTGAAGCCATAAGAGCTCCCACCTACTTCCTGATAAACCCAGGGCCAACAGCTTCAGAAGAAGAACAGACAACCTTCAAAGCCAAAGTCGCAGACGCCGAACAAACTCTCCTAGGCACAGCAGCCTCCTCAATGGAATGGACACCCTCCAGCATACGCGTCTATGGCCGCAACATCCCCATCCCACGCTCCCACAACGGCATATCCTCCTGGACCTTCTCCGAACTCTGTGCCTCCAATCTCGGTCCCGCAGACTACATCACCCTGGCCTCAACCTACCACACCATCATCCTCTCTGACGTTCCCATCCTCTCCCTGCTCCAGAAAAATGAAGCCCGCCGCTTCATCACCCTCCTCGACGCCCTCTACGAAGCCCGCTGCAAACTCCTCATCACCCACGCCTCCGCCGGCCCCGATGAAATCTTCTTCCCCGAGAAAAAGGATGGCCAAGGAGTAAACCAAGATGCCGTCTACGCCGAAACCTTTGCAGAAGCATACCAAGACGCCACCGCTCCTTTTCGCCCCAACATCCTCTCTTCCAACCCCGATTACCGCGAAGCCTCCCCAGAACCAGACTACACCCACTCACGCTTCGAAAACCTCCTCGCTGCAGACTCCCTCGAAGACGATCCTCCAAACCGTATCCGGCGACTTTCAGAACGTGAACACGGTCCCAAAGACCCAGACGACGAGTTCAGAATGCGAGGATTGCGTCAAGGCAACCTTCCTGATTTCAGCAATGTGAGGAGTTTCACAGGAGAGGACGAACGCTTTGCTTACCGACGCGCTCAATCCCGGCTCTGGGAAATGTGTGGCAGGAAATGGTGGCAAAGGACAGAGCAAGGATGGCATAAACCTTTGCCTCTGTCCATTCGGTCTTGGGAAGTTGGATTGCCTTCTTTGAGCCCTGGAGCAGTCGCATTTACAGAAGGAGTGGTAGGGGATGCAAAGATGGGAACTTCAAGGGGTGTGGATGAAGTCAACGACGAAGTCATGTTTAGACATGGGGCAAGCCCTTTCAGAAGATCTGAAGAGCCACCGCCAAAGTTTTCTTGGACGCACATCTGGGGCACGATGAAATGGGGCAAGAAGGCTGGTGCCTGGGGTCAAGGTGTCGAAGGACTCAAGGACAGGAAGAAAGAAAGCAAGTAGAGTAGAAAAAGATTGTATATATTTCAGTACCAAAGCCGTGGACTCATGGAGAACTTGATATCGACTGGAACAGGCGAAGCAACAACAGATAAACGCGTACTGTGAATGGATTGAGCGTCAAGGTAAAACGTCTTTTGCATTACGATCAACAAAGATATAGAAATGCTCAAGGCGTGTTGACCTTAAACATGGACCGATATGCCCACGCTCCCGAAGGAGGAGACATGCCGGTGAGTAGTAGGACAAGAGTCGATCTTCTTTGCACTTAAAATTGGACAAGGCCACAGGGAGATGGGCGGAGTCCAGAGTGTGGCAAAGTGAATGGGGTGGGGTGTAAGAAAAGAAGACAAGGAACAGAGAAGAAGGGCAAGGAGGAGAGTGAGAAGAGGACTCAAAAGAGCAAGAAAAGGGTGGTTCAGAGTCGAAGAGCTGACAGTCTGCACACAAGGATGTCGATCGTGTTGCCTATGTTAATCGAGGGTTAATGCTAAAGGTCAGAGAGTTGCACATTGACGGTCCAATCGAAAGGTGGCAAGTGGAAACATAGACAGAATGCGGGTATCTTTCGTTCATCAGCCAGAGCTGGACAAGTGCATTCCGTAAGCTATGTCACAAGACGCTGTGTATGATCTGATGCCAGAAGCAAAAAGGGAGAGGGAGCAGCAGCAGCAGCAGGGCGGACAAAAAGACGCTCTCATGCCGAGCGGGAAGAAGACGTTGTTGTTTGGGTGTTTTTGGAAACTGTTTTTCATTTTTGAAGTTCGCAGAAATCCCATTTTCGCCAAAGCCGATCAACCCGCAAGCATGATGATGTTGACACTCGAGTGTGATGTGAAAAGAGAATCTTTTGTTGTTGCTTGATTTCCGCCCGCGCGAATAGAAGAAAGCGTAAGAGTCGTACAACGCAGAGACGAGTTGTTTACGATCTGGGCTTCTCCTTCTTCTCCTTCCACAGAGCGGAGAGACCGACACCGGAGACCTTGACGACCTTGAAACGGACACCGGGAATATCACCCTTGGCCTTGCCCTTGCGACCGAAACCGGCGAGAAGGACCTCGTCGTTCTCGTCGACGAAGTTCAAGCAACCATCGTTGGGGACTNNGGTAGGGTCAGATGTTAGAATGGCTTGTTCGTGTTGCGTGGGCTTCTTCCTGTAGGGTCACGTACCGAAAGCGGTGACCTTCTTGCCGTTCTTGATGAGCTGGACACGGACACACTTGCGAATGGCCGAGTTGGGCTGCTTGGCCTCGACACCGACCTTCTCGAGGACGATGCCCTTGGCGTGCGACGAACCACCGAAGGGAGAGGACTTGTAGGCGGTACCGAGAAGACGCTTCTTGTAGTTCAGATCGGCCCAACGACCCTCACGGCGGGTGTTCTGGAGCTTGCGGGCGGCGTTGAGACCTCTTGGCTTTCCTTTACCCATGATTGCTGCAGACGACGTGTGTTAGTGGATGGGTTCGAGAGGTTGGAGGTGTGAAGTGGCGGGCGCGCGCGGTTCGAGGAGAAGAGTCGTTGTATGCGGCGAAGGAAGCGATGGCGATTGTGCTGCTGACGGGCTCGAGGAGGATATGGAAATAGCACCTACCGGTTGTCGATGTCGGTGGATGTCGATATCACAAGTCGGTCGCGAACGAGAGATTCAAAAGAAGGCTTTGCGAATTCTGGTGCGTCTGGTGCGGCGGCGGATTTCTCCGGAGTGCGGACAAGCGACCACATTTGGCTTGGCAGAGTCAGCCACATGTCACCAGCCACGCTTGGGAGCAAGCCGACTCCAGATTCCCTTCCCACTTGCAACTTGTCGCTCATGCACGCCAACATCCTGCTTGCTGCCCTGTAGCTCTGGCAACGCTAGGTATCACTTGCGATGGCAATCTATTTTCCTTTCGGTCTGACCTTGCAATATTTGCTCGACCGTGACCTGGCCATCACGATAACCACTCCTCCTCATCCTGTTCACTGTTAACACTCCCACTCTGATGTGAACCCCCAGTCTTGAGCTTACGCGACACCCTCACTTCAAGCACAAATGCGTAATACAGTGACAGGGCTCTTCGCTCTACCTGCTACTTTGTTCGTTATCATCTTTGCGACCCCTGCCTACAGTCATGACTGGCCTTACAATTTACCGCCAGGTGAGAAGTATTATCCCGAACATGAACACCATGTCAGGCGAGACTTTCAAATACAGCAAAAACTCAACATGGCTACACCGTCTGGCATGCGGAAGATGAGCGACGACGAAGGCGAAAAGTTCTTCTTGGACTACTGGCAATTTGACGAGCAGGCATTCGGTTCCATTGAGATGGATTTGCCTCTACATGCACGACGCTCGGTCGGCTCTGCAGCACTGTTGACGAACATCACTAACGCTGAAGAATTGCTCCCACCGCTGCTTTTGCACGCAGATTCTCAACAGTTTGTTCCTAATCACAGATTCTTTGGTCGTACCTTATCTGAAAGGGCATATCAATGCCCAACAGGGACTAACAGCTGTGAATCAGTTGGGTACCCCAACAGCTGCTGTGCTACTGGCGAAACCTGCATCTCCGTCCCGGAAAACGATGGAGCAACGATAGGCTGTTGTCCTGATGGTGCGAGCTGTGGAGGACAGATTGGATCGTGTGACACCGCTGCAGGATATACTGAGTGTGAGAACGACAATGGTGGTTGTTGCGTTCCAGGATATGCCTGTCAGGGCATCGGATGTGAGCTGACTAGACAAGCTGCCATGAAGCTCCACTCGGCTGATAACGTATCTAGGCNNGTATATGCATCGACCGCTACAACTACCACTACGCTGCCATTAGTCACCGTGACTACAGGAGCTTCATGGTCGACGTTGTCCGATAGCACAACCACGCGAACCTTCGTCATCCCTGCGAGTTCTGAAACAGCTTCGGTTTGCACCTCCACAACCACTTTGGTCATTACAACATCTGGAAACGCATTGACGACGACGATTATCCAAACGACAACCGTCATACCGCTTCCAAGTGTATTGACAACATCATTGATCCCTTCGACGCCAATTAGTCCTTCGTCTTCAGGTCAAGGTCCCTTGACCTGCAGTCCTGGCTTTCAGACATGTCCAGCGAGCCTTGGAGGCGGTTGCTGCCATACTGATCGAGCCTGTGGCTCTCTGACTTGCCCGCCGCTATCAACGGCTGCTCCACCTGTCCTGCCAACAAGTGGCTCTGGACCGATCTCGAGCTTGACATCGTTGACAAGCACCGAAACGCGCAGGACTACCTCCACATCCAGTACTGTAAGCTATTCCGGCTGTCCGACTGGGTTCTACATGTGCAGTGCATATTATCTCGGTGGGTGTTGTCGAGTTGGAAGAAACTGCGACACGACGAGTTGTCCTACTTCTGAAAGCACGGCTGTGGTCACCAATTCTGGACTAACGGTGATGGCTCCTAGCGGCGCCAGCTCTGCAGCTCTGACTGGAAATTGTGCTAATGGCTGGTTCAGCTGCGCAGCCAGTGTGGGTGGAGGATGTTGCCCATCTGGCTATGGCTGTGGAACCAGCTGTACAGCCATGGCCAGCGGACAGAGCAATGTTGGCAAGGGAGCGCCTAATGGAGCAGCAAATGCTAGGGCATACGGATGGGCCCTTCTGAGCTTAGCTCTCCTCTCAGGAGCTGGCATGATATTGCTATGATGGCTCAATATCACGCATGATAGAGAGGCTCGCTTTGTACTCAAGTTCCTATAAGCGAGCTCTCTCGAGTCTCGGCTGGGCGTGGATGGGAGTGGTGATGATGACGACTCGACATGCAGAAATGTAATATACGCTTTAGTAATGGCATTGACGATAGCAGGCCATGCTGGTGTCACGCTCTTTCACATGTTTCTGCAAAAGCAAAAGCAAAAGCAGCCGCGTGATGTCTACAGCAGTAACTCTAAGCGACGTGCTCTCGGGATGGCTTCAGAGAAGGTACGGCGCGGGGTACAGGGCCAATCAAACGTCAGTACAGTAATTCACGCTCTTTGCTGTTACAAAAGTCGACTTCTATCCTGCCCTTTTGCCCACGCCGCCGTCGCTGATTGTGTCGAAATATCACCCATCCTCCTCCTGCCGAATAGTCGTGCCAAAGATCCGTCCTCGACAGGCGACGGCGTGCCCGCCCGAATCGTCGTCTGTAGCTTGACCTGCGCCTGGTCCCCGTATATCACCCAGTAGACTCGCTCACGAGCGAACGGAGAGTCTTGTTCGTCCTGGTGCCAGCTCGTAGAGATCTTGGAAGAGCGCCGAGAACCCCGTATATCGTTGCCTTGCTTAGTGGTCGAGTTCGCCGAGAGCCAATGGAGCGCAGCTCGCCGCTGGTTCAAAAGCGCGCGAACTGAAAGACACTTTTGTCTTCAGCAACAACTCCACCGCGAACCGCCTGGACCGCACACCACCCAGCATGAGAGATCCCAACTCTGAATCGGACAAGGCACACAACGAGCAGCAGCAGTCTACTCAGCCACACAGATTTGGCATTCTGGACTATGAAGCCAATGATGATGTCAAGAGATGGGCTAAGAAGTGGAAAACCGAGCTGGCTTCCATGTCGTCCAGTGTCCTCTCGACCTTTATTGCGGTATGCCCCGTCGCATAATTCATCTGGTCTGCCTCGACGCTAACGAGTCTTGTGCAGTTCCCTCTCGACTTTGCCAAAGTCCGCATGCAGTCGTGAGTAGGCGTCACAATTGTTTTGTATGCCACTGCTGACCGAACCCAANGCTATGACACCCGCTTCCTTGCAACCGTCAAGGATGCTTACCACGTTGAAGGTTTGCGCGGATTCTGGAGAGGTATGCATTGTGTCTGCTGAGCATTAACCATACATCCGCTAATCCCAACTCTCANNGGTGTCGGCACACCTATGGCCAGTGTGACCCTGGTTCGCACCATCTCTTTCGGTCTATATCAACGCTCTAAGCACGTGATTGATCATTACATGACACGCATGACTGGCGAGTCTCCTCTCGACTTGGCCAACAAGAAAGGACAGTACCCTACCCTGTCAACCATTGCCTGCTTCAGCAGTGCTGGAGCTACCGCTGGGGCTGTCATTACCTTCGTGTCTTGTGTGTCTATCTTGGCCATCATTCTGGACAGTTACTGACTCAAGAACAGGCNNCCCTTCGAGCTCATCAAACTCAACGCCCAGCTTGCTGGCAAAATGAAGAGAGAAGCCAATCCTTCCGATCGCCCTCAGCCTATCAGCGATCTTCGCACCGGCGCCTTCAGGACTGCTCAACAGCTTGTCCGTGAGCGTGGTATCCGCGGCCTGTACTGCGGTTATCGCCTTCACCTAGGTAAGATCTAAGAGCGCATGGTCCTGTATCTCTCTAGCAGGCACTAACAGNAACGGTACACAGTGCGCGACACCATCGGCACCGCTATATATTTCGGCACCTACGAGACTGTCAAGCAGATTCTCTCGAATGGACGCGGGAATGGGCCCGCCGAGCCTGCTGCCGTCGCTCTTGCTGGCGCGACCTGTGGAATCGTCAGTTGGGTACTGGTAAGTTTACTTCAGCCTGGAGATTGTGAATTCGCTGCTAAAGAATCTGCAGNNATCTACCCTATCGACGTCGTCAAGACCCAATTCCAAAAGCGTCAGCTGGAGACAGGTCGTGCTCAAGTCTCGCGTCCTGATATCAAGTTCTTCCAACCAGGCTCCTACAGAGGTATGTGAAAGAAAGACGATTTCCCAAGATTATCAACTAACAAAAGCANNGGCCTTGGAGTCAGTGTCGGACGCTCTGCTCTCATCAACATGATCTTCTTCTCCTCGTTTGAGCAGATCAAGAGACGCATCAACAACGCGGGAGACATATAATTGAGTTTCTGAGAAATCTACATGTGTAGCGAGGCGTCATCTGGGAAGGGACGGATCATTGATTTACGCACGAAACGAACGCGCATGAACTTGCATGGATGGAGTTTTCGCTGGCACAAGGAAGGGCACTCATTCTGGCTTTTCTGCAAAAACGGCGTTATTCGGAGGAAACGAGCTGTGTTATACTAGGGACCTCGTTGTAGACGAGAGACATATCGCCATCGCCAATCGCTAGGCATGACTGTCGTAATCAGCAGGTCAGAAATTTTCGAGACAAAGCATCTCGTCATTCTGCTATCGTTGACCGTTCAATTGCTCGTGATCCCTTATATATCAACGGTGGTTGCTACAGCTTTGAGATTGCGGTTTGGCATGGATGCTTATAACGGCTCGTCTTATCTTCGTGGTTGAGAAGCGGCCTTTCCATTCGGAACGACTTGGTAAGACAATGCAACCGATCATTGTGTACAACAGTTTGGTCCTACAGTTTTGAAATGCGATGAGTCTGCAACACTTGGCGCTGCTCTAGAATCAAGAAATATACGATGACACAGCCGACGAGTCCGAGGTGGCTGGTCGGCTGCAAGCAAGCGTCGAGCCCTTGTCTCTTATCGTCATAAACTAGGGTGGATAACCTCGTACTTGAACATAGCCTTTCCCTACAGATCTCAGCCTGACGGGATGACTGTCGCAATGTCAGGATCGCGTCGAGGGCGAAGATGGTCGAATAAAATCATGTTGGAGGGGCAGAAGCTAGCGAAAGAAGGGTTCGGATTTGGGGGTTGCTCTGGCAACTCGATCAACAAACTTTGTCAAGGGTATGGAAAGGTGCCACACTTGGACGGAGGAGCTGTGGCTCTAATCTATCCAAGCATGCCTTTTCGCTGCTGCTCGAGCGACGGGTCACTAAACCAGGGCCCAGACGTTGGTATCGAACGGTGGCTGGTGCCTCTCGTCTACTACGTGGGTGTGGATATGTTGCGTGACGAGCTTTGTTTACTCTGAGGACCGGAATGACCGGGCGGTCGCATGTGCGTGGCCCTTGTTCAGCTGCAGAAGAGCCTTGTGGCCCTCGATTGATTGGGTTTCTTCCTTTGTCTCGATCCCCGCCATCTATTTACCTTGAAGGTACCTACCTAGCCACTCCTTGTCTCGCCACAACACTACTATCTGGCACTTCCGCGTCCACTCTTTCTGTGAACCATTGCACCCGCGACCGATCGACTGGAAACAAGCGGCCACCACGACTCTGAAGATGTATATGGATTGAGGGACCTGACTTGTGATATTCTGTCTCGAAAAGATGTCAAGATTGGCCCCCTCAAGGCGGATACCGGTAGTTGGACTTCTCACCCTGGTAGCCGCCCAAGTCTCAGCACTGGATTTGCCATACAACCCAACACATATCGTGATACCCGAGCAAAACGACGAAGACGACCAGACAGTATCCTACGCTTATATCCTACAACCCAAGGACAATGGCCAAGCCAGCCTACTTTCGCTAGACCTCACCAAATCGCTTCAGGCTTCAAAACTCTCCTTGACAACGCTCTACGACTCCCTGCCGTTTCTGGAAGCGACATCGAATCGCGCATACACACCATTGAAGGGCAGCGATCAGAACATAACCGTCGTTGCTGGCGACTGCTCCACAGGTGGCGATGCTCCGGAGGTTTGGACCTTTATCCCAGCTACACATGGCAAGAATGGCAATGGAACATGGTTACAAAGCACACCTGCAGCAGCTGCAAAGAACAAGATCCACGGACCCGACTTTTTAAGCTCAGGCATTGCTTTCTCCGACTTGGGCAAAGGAAATGCATCGACGACAAGCTTATATGTGTTTGGAGGAATGTGTCCATTTGCTAACGCTACCGACGAAACCTGGATGTCTGCAGCGAATTACACCAACCAGATGATGACTTTCTCTCCGGAACTGGACAGCTCGAAGCAGGTAGCTTACACCTCTGCATTTCTATCAAGCAAAGGGCCACCCGTCGCTGAGGCTGGCTTCAGCATGACTCCCTTGGCCCCTGCATTCTCAGACAACTCTAGTAGCACCCAAAGTGCACGACAAAGTTTTGTGTTGGTGGGAGGCCACACTGGAGCTGCTTTCATCAATATGTCATCGGTAGCTTTGTTCTCGCTCCCCGAAGAGACCTGGACTTATCAACCTGTGGATCAACCTTCAACCCTAAACGCGGATACCACAGTCAAAGGAGCTGTCACTTCGGTTGAACCACGATCTGGGCATACGGCAGTTTTGACTGAAGACGGCAAGAGCTTGGTTGTGTTTGGTGGATGGGTCGGAGACGTCACAAACGCCGCCTCACCTCAATTGGCCGTGCTAGAACTTGGATCAGGCTATGGAGGTGACGGAGATTGGGAGTGGTCAGTGCCTCTCCAAACAGCTTCTGGTCTGTCTGGAGCGGGTATCTACGGACATGGTGCAGCTATGCTTCCTGGTGGAGTCATGATGATCATGGGTGGTAACAACATCCCCACAACATCATCCAAGCGTTTCCTACGCCGTTCAGTGCCTTCGTCAAACTCACAAACTCTCTTCTACAACGTTACCTCGAGATCCTGGATAGGGTCTTACAGCCCACCCNCTGCAGTCACATCGGATAGTGGTACATCAGCACAAGACCAGAACAAAGGAGCACTCACTACGACATCTCAGAAAGCTGGTCTTGGTGTCGGTCTGACCATTGGAGCAATCATTGTCGGTCTTCTCATTGTCTTCTACTTCTGGTATAAACGCCATCTGGAAANNCAAAGACGTGAAGCCCGCGAGAGCGACAGAGAACGTTTGTACAAGAATGGAGGTAATGGCTATGAGCAAGCTTGGTTCGGCAATACCAATTACGAGCCTTATCGTAGCAGCACTACTCACGAGCCATACCACAGCGACTATGCCTCTGGTGGCAACTGGCAAGAGAAGGACGAGGACATGCATGATGGCTTCACTACCTGGACACCCCATGGTGTTGAGAATAGCCCTGCTCAAATCAAAGAAGGCAACAACGACGTCGAGAGATCTGGCCTGTCGATCAATGCCCCAAGCCCGACAAGAGGCCTCCGAAAGAATGGCTTGACCCGCAGTCAATACCAGTATCATGCCGCCCCTCGCTACGACGACGGCAGAATTAGCAGGACCAGTGGTAACATCCACCCGATCCAAGAAAGAGATGAAGAGGAAGAAAGACTGTCATCAAGACATAGCAACCGCTCATTCAGAGGCCTCGGAAATATGATTGGCCTGAAGAGCAGCGAGCAAGATCCTTTCAAAGATCCTCTTCCCAACCCTCTGCGTAGCCATCCGGTTACTCCGGAGCTCGGTTCTGCGGTAGAAGGTTCTCAGGGCTCTCCCATCCATAGGCAACCCACGAACACTAGCGTGATGACGAGCACAACGAACGGTACAGACCAAGTCAGCAGCTGGATCAACCACTGGACCAACTCATATGCTGCATCTCTGAGGCGTACGATTTCTCCCTACCCTGCCAGTCGATCCAGCTCGCCTGACAAGATCGATGAGAGGACTTCGTCTGGTTTGAGTGAAAACTCCGATCGTTCAGGTCTCTCGAGTAATGGTCGCTCTGTTGCTCGAACATCTTCCACTCGCTCAGGGCTCTTCTTTGGTTTGTCGGGTCATCCGTCAATTACGCCATCGCAAGCACCCAGCGCATCTGCCTTGTCGCGCAGCATGTCTCCTGCATACTGGGAGAACAGACCCAAACAGTCGAACAGCTTGCATCCGCCTAGCTTGCGTCCAGGATTGGACAGAAATCCCGACTCTACCTCGACTCAATGTACAACCTTCGGTCAACTGATCGCTCAAGGTGAAGCTCTCCTTGGGAACGCATCCGACAGCCAACCCACAGCACCGCTTACCTACAAAGTGCGACCGACGTCGACAGAAATCATAGCAGCAGCTGTTGGGAAGACGCCTCCCCTCCCGCCTCGTCGCCGCGGATGGATGGGCAGTATTCGTCAAGTCTTCAGCGGTGATCGCAGCATGAGCGCGTCTCACGCCCAGAGACGCGTGGGCGCTCCCATGGTACCGCTTCCTACTCAACAATACCGCGATCGCAGCAACAGCCCTGTCAAAAGCCATGCACGTACTGGATCATCAATGTCAACTTCTGCCCCTCGTCGCGCTGCCAGTGACAGTTCGCAGTTCCTGGGCACTAGACGCGGCAAGCGTGATTGGGAAGGTAACGAGAACGATCCTCGCTGGCNNAACCCTATCGCGACGACCCTGATACTGGTGATTGGGGCGATGTACCCGAGACCTCAGCAACGAAGGAAGAAACCGAGAAGCAGACACCCGAAGACGAACGCGAAGACTGGGATATCGAAGAGGNCAGCCGCTAACCGCGATGTCCAAGTCATGTTTACAGTGCCCAAAGCTCGTCTACGTGTCGTCAATGCGGATGAAGCCAGTTTGAGAAGCGTCAGTGACGGTGCGAAAAGCATTCGTGCCAGACAGCTGCTAAAAGAGAAGGAGACGGAGCAAATCAAAGAAGAGGCCACAGAGGCTGGCGCTCAGCGCAAGCCATCAAACTACGGCCTCCAGATCCAGGATTGGGAGCGAGAAGCCCTGGAGAAGAGAGATGCCGAAGAAGAGGCAGAAACAAGCAAGGCTACTTGAGTGAAGTTACGACCAATACGGGAGGACCTTTTGTGAATATGGGCCAAATTTTCATTTTATCTTTCTATCAGGCGCGGCGTTGTCCATCGGGTCCCTTCTCTTGGAGCCGATTGGAGGAGCATGGGGTTTCTATTCTCTGGGGTCTTTTGACCATACCTTCTCTTCTTCTTCTATGTTACAAATCTTTGCCAAGGGCTTTCCTTTGCTTTGCGATAGACGTTTTTTCTTTTCTTACTCTGACTCTTTTGGGTCTTTTGATTATCAAATCTACGCTGACTTTTGAACACAATTACCCCTTCCTACTCATGCTTTGGTTCAATTACTCTTTCTATCTTTTGTTTCTTTTTTCTTCTTTCCTCTTGACTTCGTTACTCCTTCCGATCCTTTTTGGTCTTCAGGTGTAACGCTCCTTCCTTTTCTGTTGTATCGGTGCTTCTTAGAAGATTTTGCCAGGGTCGTCCCCTCTGCATCGTTCCTCCTCTAGGATCATCTCCTTTTCGTGGTATTTTGACCCGATCACTCTTTCCTACTGGATCTTGTACATCTTAGAGATAGCTATGATGGGCATAGGGGAAAAGCGCGAGTTCACATCCATGCTGAGTGAGAAGGCGTCAAGCATAGGGTTTTTGAGGAAGTTGGAAGAAGGACAAACTCAGTCAATACAAGAGGCTACTATACAACTGCTGATACTCTTTGCGTGAAATAATAATTGTGTATGATGATGGCTATCTGTGGCCTTCGAGAGGGGTTCTAATACTAGGAGGGACCCAGACGCTACATATACTACGAACAATTTCATCCGCCTCTTACATACCCATATCAAACAGCAAAAACTCTGCAGGCTTGTCGCCCACGCTCTCAACCTCAATCTTGCCTGGCCCAGTGGCATTGGTAATGTACGCGCCATCACCTTCACCCAACTCCACATCGCCGACCTTGATTTTGGCACCTCCAGATTTCGGCTGTGTCCTGCCTCCCATGACAAGATGCACAAACACATTTCTCTTGCCATCGGCAACGATATCGTGAGTGACGCTCTTGCCAGGACTCAAGATACTAGCATCCATACTCAAATCCGCATGCAGAGGGATAGGCTGATCCTCTGCGTCTTTGCCACTGTGTCTCTTGAGATCCTCCATGATCCTCACCAACTTGTTTTCCTTCATCTCGTCTGTAAACTTTCTGGTCACATAGCTAGGTTGCAAACCTCTAGTATACGGCTTTGCCCAGATCTGCAAAAAGTGCACGTCTTCGGTTTTCTTGCGGTTGTATTCCGAGTGCCTGATCCCTGTGCCTGCAGAGGTGAATTGCACTTCGCCGCGCTTGAGGTTCTCGAGATTGCCCATGGAGTCTTTGTGTTCGAGTTCGCCGGCTACAATGTAAGACCAGATGAGAAACTCGGCGTGCGAGTGGGTGCCGAAGCCTGTACCTTTNTCGACGCGGTCTTCGTTTATTACGCGCAGAGGGCCGAAGGACTCGTGGCTGGGGTCGTAGTAGGAGGCGAAGGAGAATGTGTGGAAAGTGTACAACCATCCGTGGTCAGCATGGCCTCGAGCGTTCCAGGGACGCTTGACGACCTTTAGGGGTGAGGTGGTGGAAGACATTGTGCGTTGAATTGTTGGAGTTGATGTTTTGGATAGCAGAGTCGAAAGACTGGTTCGTAGGGGTGTGAAAATAGCCACGGTGATTGCTGCTATGCCGACGAGGACAGCAAGTGCTTTGAGATTGATTGCTGACGAAGTGGGTTGTGTGTTATTAGATTCTGATGATGGGCAAGACATGCAGAAAAGAATTGAAGCGATACTTATATTCACAGGTTGCCGGGACGTTGATTATGATATTTATTCTACGGCTTCTATAGCCCCAAGGTTTGTCATTGCCGTGCTTCGGCTCAGAAATCCAGCTTAAGTGTGGTTAATGGGATACAAATTAGCTGACATTCTCTAGATATTCTGATTGGTCAAACTTCTATGTAAGTCGCTAGGCTATCCTTAACGAACGCTATCAGTCTGCCTTCGAGCACATACCCAAAACGTCGCTTTGTCAAAACATAATCAGCTTTAACATTCTTCTCGAGAGCACACCAGAAGTGTTTGCGAGTGGTTATAGTGGTACCTTGTCTCACGCCATAATCTCGAGAATTGACAATGCTCGGCAATAGTTCTTGACAATTCGATCAGATACAGCCTTGACTTTCTGCATCGCTCTTTTGTCACGTTGCGCATTACTCAACCACCACTCCTGTCATCATGTTTGCAATATGCTGTGCTGTGCTGTGCAACTAAGCGCCGAAGTAAGCAACAAATCTCCCATCATCGTAACCATATCGACTCAAACCATTTCCCCAGCTCAAAGATCGTATATTAAAACGGCATTCGTTTCGTTTTCGTTGATGACTTGTCACGTATTTACAACACACCCGATAATAGTGGAATAAATGTCGACTCAACGTCGGCTCCATTTAGTGGCAAGTCTTTATACGAGTGTTATGTTCTGATCACAAAGCTATGCGAACAGACAGATTCTCAGATCGACGATGATATGTTTGTTGTTGTCGATGAGAGGTCTCTTTGCGATAACAGTCTGCTAATTGTGGAGACACCCGAGGAAGAAGACGATGGAGAGTCGTGTTCGGTTCGAGTCACTTTTGAGCTCATGGAGTCTCATCTGCTGCTATGGACGGCAGGTCACACTACTGNNCTTTTTGAGGATGGAGAAAGAGCTGCCAACACTGATGATGGAGTATTGCGCTCGGAGAAATGATTCTTTGACGGTCTATGGATTAGGCCATATGATTTCTTAGATACCCATATACTGTCTTGGTCCGTATCTCCAATGGTCTGATCTAGCTCTAAGCCAATTTACAGTCTACTCTTGACACCGCCGATCAACTCTTCCACCTTTGCAAACTTGTAGTAATACTCCAAACTCTGCGGATTGAGCAACGTCCCCGACGGCGTGACTTTTTCTCCAGAGACGATTCTCTTGACCGGTAGTTCCACCTTCTTGAGATTGACCGTCGTNCTAGATTTCAAAGGCATTAGTAATTCGTCCATCACTCACGTCGGGAAAAGACTCACAGGTATCTCGGGCGTCTCGAACACGTACTTTGGCACATGTCTCGGACTACACTCTTTACCAATCCTTTGCCTCACATCCTTGACCAATGCCTCTGTAAACTTCTTTCCAGGCTTCATGAGTAGGAAAAGGATGACGGCTTCATCGGTATCACTTGGTCGGCGTTGACCAACACAAATGCTGTCTTGAATGTCTTCGGCGAAAAAGGTCTCGATCACATTGTAAATTTCTGCAGAGCCGAAGCGCACTCCGGAGGGGTTTAGAACACCATCGGCACGGCCGAGGAAGTATACGCCGTTGGTCTTTGGGTGGATGAAGATGTAATCGCCGTGAGTCCAGACGTCNTGTGGTTTATCATGTTAGCCGCACAATTCCCTTCGAGACAGGGCTTGCAAGGAGAAAAGGACAAAATGCTTACTATCGAAGCGAGCGTAATAAGCATCAAAGTATTTTTGTCCCGAAGTGTCGCCCCAGAACTTAACGGGTTGGTTGGGGAAAGCGGCGGTGACGACAAGTTCGCCTGCTTCTCCGATGGGTAGAGGTTTGCCTTTGATGCCTTTGCCTCCTTCAATGGTTTGGTCGTATACTTGGAGGTTCATGGCTAGACCGGGCCCCTGACATCCACCGGCATACAAAGGAGTCATTAGATTGCCCATCGCGAACGAAGAAGCCACATCTGTTCCACCACTGATATTATTGAGGTGGACAGAAGAAGGGAAACCCGAATCGTAGAACCAGTGGAAAAGAGATTCTGGCAATACCATGCCTGTGCTTGATACGCGTCGAAGATTGGACAGATCGGTGACTTGCTTGGGGATGACTGGAGGAGAGGCCGAGGCAAGTGTCTGTAGATATCTAGGCGAGATGCCCAGATCGGTGACTTTTTGTTCTCCTACCATGCGAACGAAAGTGGTGAGGTCGGGTATGAAGGGTGAACCATCGTACAATATCGAGCGTGCTCCGTGTTGGAGTGCCATTGTTGACATCAGATACATGATCCAGCCAGTGGTTGTGTATTGCAAGTTGACTGTCGAAGGTCCGGAATCAAGGTGAAGTCTGCCTTCTTTCATCGAACTGAGGAGGACTGGCCCACAGCCATGCACAATGCATTTTGGCACGCCAGTAGTACCTNNAATGACTCGGTCAGATCTTGTAAGCAGGTGTTGATCACAAGGCTTACCTGAAGAATAAACAATCAAGAACGGATCCTTGAAATCAACCTTCTCAAAAGGCAGCTCAGAATTTCCACCAGCTCTCGAGAGATATGCCGCCAGACTCATGGTTTTCGGCACATCGCCCACATCAGCCGGTCTCTGCTGGAACCTAGGCAGACTAACAAGACCTTGGAATCCCTTGGCCTTGCTCTTCAACATACCAGCAACAATCTCCCTCATCTTGGGCTTCAAGTCAATAGTCTTGCCATTATAGACGGCCCAATCATCCACAAAGATCCACTTTGGCTCAATCTGCGTCAGCCGCTGCAAAACACCCTGACTGCCCATGTCCGTGGAACTCGAACTGAAGATACCTCCCAGCGTTGTCACAGCCAAAAACACAGTCAATGTGTCTGTAGAGTTGGATGCAACTACAGCAACTCGATCGCCTTTGCTTACTCCATGTGCTTTCATGGCTTGCGCGAGCAACCCAACCTTGGCACGTAGTTGTTTCCAGCTGTAGTGTTGGATCTCAGTGCATCCTTCACGCACTTCTGTCAATGCTATCTTGTCGCTTTCTTTGCCGCTGAGTGTGCGTACAGATGGGTTCTTGGGATCCGCGCTATACAAGATGTTTTCTGCAAAGTTGAGTTTTACGCCTGAGAACCAGGAAGGCACGGAATCCATTCTGGCCTTTGGGTCCACAACTTGAGTGTACTTTCCAATATGAATCAGAGGATGCAGTTCGAAGAGATCGGACCAAAAGTCAGTGCGTTGGTTGATGGAGAATTGGTGTAGATCTTGGAATGTCTGTACTCGTCAGTTTTTAGGATGGACAAAACGTCAATTTTGGTTTTATTGTAACAGAAAAACTGAGAGTTTTCCTACCTTGAGCTTCAATCCTCTCTTCTGGTTGACATCCCTCATGAATTGAGCCATCATGGTAGCTTCTGGATTCGGATGCTCCCACAGCTTGCGGGGCATGACGGATGGGGAAGCCATTGATGGCAATGCCAATTATCAATTCTGGTGTACAACGTGACACTTTCGTGTGCAACTCCAACAAATACGGGCACTTGCAAGATCTGAAAAGAGCCAACAGATACAAAGTGTCTGATGTCTTGCACAGAGGTCGTGAGTCGTGACAAGTTGGTGGAAGCGCGGCTTCTCCAGCGTCGATCACTTGAGATCCCTCGGCTACGGGAAGCGGGGAAGCCTAATACGGATCCGATACTCTAGTAATTAGAGGTACCTATTCGGAGTTTTGAAGGATCGTCAAAGGCAGGGTCGCAAAGGAACATGTTTGGCTAAGTATACATGTTTTCTCCGAGATCTGGTTGGTCTAGCTACAAGAAAAAGAATTCCCCTTCATTGCAAAATGCCAGAGTTGTCCAACCAAGAGGGCAAGTAATGTGATGTAGTAGCGCAAGCCACAGTAGAAACAAAAGCCGAATCCTCCAAAGCATCATCCTATATATGGTATCGAAGATCAATCCATCCCGAGAAGGCCAACAAGCCGAAGGAGCAAAAAAGCCTAAAAAACAACGCTAAGTTTTCCAATTCATGATATGCAGCAAGGTCGTAGTAACGTTAGTCAGATGGTGGAAGAGATCATTGCCAGTTCGGCAGGAGACCGCTCTCGGCCCGCTTGAGCCTGAATCTGGGCATCTCTTTTGAAGACACGGAACTGAAGGAGTCCTTGCGAATGGTCCATCGGCTCTGAGGAGGTTGTTGGATGAAGTCGCGAGGGTAGGGTGGCAGATCCAGAGATGCCATTCTGTCCCCAGCACCGCGGGGCACCAATCTTTCGGCAGCGCCGCGGGGTGTCATCTTCGGCTTCGAGAATGAAGATGGCGCTGTGAGTGGGGCAGAGAGCGGAGCTGTCATCATGGATTGCGAGGAGCCAGGGCGTTGTCTGCCCATGCTAGGAAGCTTTAGGTGGTAACCATTCCGAGACATGCGATGCTTAGGTGGGCATGGAATCACATATGTTGGGCTGGTGAGAGCGTCGAAGTAGGCGGAGGCTGGAGAACCTGGAGTCGAGGGGCCGTGACTAGATTCAGGCGTCTGAGATCCGAGTTCAAGTTCTGGTGTTGAAGGCATCTTCGGAGTTGCCACCCTGGGAGAAGGAACATATCCGTCATGGCTGTGTGCCCGGATTGATATGATGCTCAGGCGTGACGAGCTGTGGGTAGGCTTCAGGCTTGATGAAGTTGTTGGCCTCTTGATAATAGGCGACGACGAGGCACTCGAGTCGACTCTAGAGACGCGAACCATCTTGGCCTTGCCCGGCGAGACAAGAGTCACGACCTCAGCCTGGTTGCATTGAGCTTGCTCGACAAAAGTGCAGTCTTCGGCCAATAGTTCCGGAAAGTTTGTTTCGAGTTCGTCGAGAAAGTCGTCGGCGACAGTGCTGATAGACATTGAAGACATTGATGAAAGACTAGAATCGTCGGACGACATTGGTTCCTCTTCTGATAGGTATCCAGAAAAGAAAAGAGGCTCGTTGCAAAGATCCGTGATGGTGGCTGATAGAAGAGGAGGTTCGACGAGGATCCTGAAGTCGAACGTCCTCTCCTGAAGGGGTGCAGGTGCGGGTCCAGATTTATCGACGCCCCTGACGCACGTTGCGTGCAGCATGCGCTCCACATCTCCAGTAGATATCACAGGCTCGGCTGACATGTTTTCGTTGGCGGTGTGACTACGCTGACGAACGCTGACCAACAGCAAAAGGATGTACGAATGTTGGTGAAGGGAAAGAGGCACACTTTAGACAGAGTGGGTGAAGGAGCAAATGCCCAGCCAAAGGGTCCTGAAACGTTAATTGGTTTTGTTGTGAATGTGGAATCCTGCAGTGCTCGCAGTAGTGGCTTGTTGCTTGGTCGAAGATCTCGGGTTATTCGCCTGTTCGGAGGGTCCAGAGTATCGGGTAGAGTTGAGGTGGGGATGCTTGGTTTGAAAAAGGAGCGGCAGGAGCGCGTAGATATGAATAAACTAGGCACGGCAACAAATAGTCCGGAAAAGAATGGCAAGGTCGGAGGACGTTATGGCAATCAAACGACGGTCAGCAGTTGGAAGGTAAAGCACAGGGTGGTGCGTCGGATGGGTGCACACAAAAAATGAATGGGATGGCCTTGATTGCGCTCGTGGGATGCGGCAACGCGACGCTTTTTGAAGATACCATGCGTTTGTCGAAAACGGTACAACCGTACGTACAACCCAACCACCACTGCTCCACCCCTACACTACGGCTCTGGGCCGCAGGCACAAGCCTTGAGACGAGCAATCAGCACGTAGGACTCTCCTACAGAGTGCACAAAGTCGTTGGTCCTAACCGTGCCTGTCCAACGGTTTCAGCGGGCAGCCGAGCTTAATCGGAGAAGTTGCGTGGGAGAGTCGATCATCGTGCTGCACCGTACCAAAGATTCGGGCATGCGCAAAGGCACGCCTCGACTCCGATTGGGTAGACGGAAGGTACTTCTACGCGCTTGCCTCGAGTCTATCTCGCTGTTTGGCATTTGCAGGGATGCTTCAGGTCCCCAAAGAACCACGACACTCGCAAAAGTCCACTTGGTGTACTCAAGTAGAGAGAACTTCTTCCGTGCTTGTACCAGGACTCGCAATCTTGCTTTCGCGGGTTGCGTGCCATGCTTATCGAAACGGTTCAGCGGCGTCATGTCATGATACGTGACAATCGATTGTGCGATGGCTTTTCGAGAGAAAAAAAAGGTTCTGGAATCGGGTGGGTGGTGTCTCCCTTGCTCCTGCCTGCTGCTCCTGCCGCCGAGGGACTTTTCGTCAGCCTTTTTTTCTCCATGTCAGCAACAAAAACCGGTGCAGCAAAGACGCAACCGTCAAGCGTCATGCACGGCATCACACGGCTTGACTCGAAGAACGAGGTGAGATTTGGAAGATTTCTGAGTGGAAAAGGCTCCGAGTGCCATGGCACGACTCTGCCGAGACACCTTTCGACATCTGCGACAAACCAACTGTCCATCATGCTTCCTAGACGTCTCTCCTGTCTGAAACCTGTGTTCTTTCTGCTGTCTCTCAGACGCATCTCCAAGCGGCGTCCTCTACATCGTCACGAGCCGTTTCGCGACTTTCTCATATCCCAGCCTGCTGATTTCACTCCCCCTGCCCCCAAACGTTGCCGACAATCTCCTCACAATCGACAAGACAAACGGCCTTTGCTGTTGCCATCGATACGTAGCCCCCCCTATCAAAAAGCCGCACAACAGTCCTGCATTCCACGTCGTAAATAGCAGCAAGCAAGTAATAGCGAAATTACAATACAAAAGTCATGATGTCAGGTGTTTTGTTGGAAGCGAAAAAAAGTGAGGGATGTTGTTCTGCGAGTAGAGCGAGACATCCCGGCACCCGGGTCTCAGAAATGACTGCTGTTGTATAACGCTTTGAGACAGCGGTGGCTCGTCGTGCCTGGCAGTTGTGTTGGACCATCAACGTCTTTGTTTGTGTGTGCGGCTGGTCATGCTTGCTTCTCTTGTATGTGTGTGGAAGCACCCCTCAAGATCTACAACAGCAGAGTGCCAAAAGGTCACGTCTGTCAATATCGATATGACTGAGACTTACTGGTCGCAGAATGGAATATCGAAAGTCAAGCGATCAATCCCTATCGACATCGAACCATGAAAAGAGCACGAGCAGGTGGTATAACCCTGCTTTGGGCCTCCTGACTCAGAACAATCTTGAAGATCAACGAGAGTGAACAGCAAAAACGTGCTGCTGCGAACACAAGCTTGTCCACGATCAGCGATTGCAACTGGTGTGCGCAATCAGGCGTTGGAATCAGTTGGAAAGTCTTTAGATACTGCTTAACGATAACAGAAAAAGCAAGCGCAACCGCTCGATAAACTCAAGGAGGAAATGACAGGAATATGTTCGCTTCATTCGTCGGCTGTATAACACAAAAAAGTGTCTCTTCTATTACTCTCTCATCTCCTTCATATATGCATTCGGCATCAGAACTATACAGACGAATATACAGAATTGAGGTGTATACAACGTAGGGCCATCATCCAAGAGTGGACTGGCTGGTGGTCAAGTCGGGAAGGCTCTTGCTGTTTCAAAAGTAAACAAAAGGGATAGTTCACAGGACGTCACCCAGTTTTTGCTTACAGCATGTACTCGCCCAGTCTAGGAGCGCCACCCTTCCAGTCCAGACGCTCAAAGTATCTGAAGACCAACTCGTAGCCCTCGAGGTCGTGGACGATGCGGTCGACGCGGCGGTAGCCGGCAATATTGTCCATGTTCTTGTCCTTCTTGACTCTTGCTCTGCCGTAGCCATCCTCGTCGGTTTTAGCTTCGAAGACAGTGACGCTGAAGCGACCGGGCTTGAAGATGTTGACGACCTGTACGACAATGTCGCGGGTCTCGCGTCCGGTCTGGCGGGCGGGTACGTTAGTCTCGAAGGATGCGTAGGAGCATTGGGGGNNCTCGGGAGTGACGTGGACGGTGAAGTAATGGGCTGCCGAGGCCGACTCTCCAGTCGAAGGGACAACACCGTTGGCAGAGAAGCCGCAAGGAGTGAAGAGGTAGGAGTCTATCTTGGCCTCAGGATACTTGGAGACAGGATAGACGTCGGCCAAACCGCAGGCCTCGGACACGACGGAGCCCAGAGTGTGACCTTCAGTGGTCAGCTCTTCAGGGAATGTCAGCTTCTCGGAAGGGTCAGAGGTGGTCTGCGCGAAGACATCGACATCGTCATCACCATTGATGTTGCCCAGGTGAGAAATAGCATCCTTGCGAGCTTCTTGGGATTGCTGGAGGTACTTGCCCTCAGCGATGGCACTGGCGTCTTCGAGGTAGAACTGGCGAGCGTTCTGCTCATCGAGATCGGTCATGAGAACCTCCAAGGTCTCGTCCTGAGACTCGTCGATCTGTGCATTGGCCATATCAGCAGCGAGCTGCTCAGGGTAGTCGAGGACCTTGGTGAAAGTCTCTCTCTCAGGAGTAGCAGGAGGAGTGAGTTGAGTATTAGGCCCAGTGATGTACAGGTACCAATGCTCGCCATTCATCTTTCCAATCATGTAGGCACTGCCTCCCAAGAATCTCTGGTCAAGGAACTTGACCTCGTCGCGCCAGCTGCGGTGAGGACCGCGCTGCTGGTCGGGGTACAGGAAATTCTTGCGGCTGTAGAAGACACGGTGGGGNGTGGCAGCGGCAGGAACGGCAGCAGAGAGGTTGGCCTTGACGCCAGGGAAGCCTGCCTCGAGAGCAGCAATCTCGAGCATTCTTGGCAGACCGTACAGCAGGGTGGTGGTGCCGCAGGTCTTGAGCACGAGCTTGTGGGGGAAGACAAACATGCTAGACTCGGAGAGCAGGTAGGCGTCCATGTGTCCATGTCCAATGACGGAGAGAACCTTGCAGTTCACCAGATCAAGCATCTCTTTCCATGTGTCTGACGAGACGGCCTTCAGACCGTAAGGCTTGGCCCCTTCGGGAAGGGACGAGGCAGAAGGGCTGAACCATACTTCGAGGAGCTTCTCGGGACCTNNGCGACTACAATCAGACAAGCACTTGGCGGAGGGTTGTCACGCGAGCTGACCTTCAAAGGCATTGGTCGAGTCGAGGTCGATGGTGACGTCGCGGTTGATTGTCAGGTGGGGAGTGGCCGACGAGGGCGAGACAGTGTAGTCATTAGGGATATCGATGTTGACCATGACTTCTGTTCGGGAGGCTGGCTTACGCCAGCAACAAGCGGGTGTTCTAAGATGCCTTGAAGGGACGTTATGGAGGCCTGGCCGAGAGAGGAATAAAAGAGGACTGTTGGCGTGGAATCTTGACGATCGATAAAGCCCGGATACCCTGAATAAGTACCGGGTCTGGTATAGGAGCGAGACAAGCAAGCCTCAGGAACTGTGAGAAGACAGGCTGGAGGTAGCGTGCTGTCGTTGGGAAGCACACGCACAGCGTCGCTGTTATTTTTCGCTGCGGCATATATGACGGCCTTGGCGATGTCACCGCCGGTCATCGCTGATCCCTCCCACTCCCCCGCAATTATGGAGCCGCAACCCTCTTCCGATTGGGCATGAGCCCCTACCGCTATACCTCTCAAATAGGCAATGCATTCACGAGTGCGTCGCAAGAAGATGATATCAGGTGCACGGTAGGTTCAACACTTTTTCAACTAGGCGACTACGCTTACGCATAACCCAAGGTGCAGTCCTCGCGGAAGACGCCCCTCACTCCAAGGTTACTTTCACCTCCAACAACAGCAGGACCAGAGACGACAATCTACACAACGACTAATTAGTTCAATGTACAAGAGAAGAGGCACGAGAAACTTACCTCGCCTGATGGTGTACTACCGTCGACCTTCCTATCATCCTTGTCCACGAGCTTGATCTCGACACTGCTCAGAGGCGCACCAAAGTGGCTGTGTCCTGGTCGGTCCTCGTGCCTGTAGTCGTAGATGTTGGTTTGTGCAACAGCGCCGGCCACCGAGGGAGCCGTCAGAGCATAGCAGATTCTAGAGCGTGTGATTATGCGAAGATCACGGAGGGCAGCACTGCTCAACGTTTCGGTCTCGTTGCCCGCTCTCTCAGAAGCGAGAATTAGACGCAGCTTGCCAGGTGAAGTGCCGATAGCCTTGCCCTTAGGAGCGAACAGTCGGTACAACATGTCCCCCTCAGGCATGCGACCAGCGGCGAGAGCACGACCATGATTTGAGTGTACAAACTTCTGAAGGCCAGAAGACGCTCCGGACACGTGAGTCTGGTGCAGGGTCGCAAGAGACTGCGATGAAGCGATGAGTACTGTAGGCGCCACACCGCGAGAAGCAAGAGCAAGATCGACGCCGCTGCTAGCAACAGAGTTGATGGCCAAAGAACTGTGACTGAAGAGTGCGGCCATGGTCAGCGACAAGACATAGGAATGACTGAACGAGTCAGCCGGCAACACAAGATCCGAAGTGCCCAGACGCTGACGCAGGGGCAAGGCTGATATTAAAGCGGCAATGGCAGCGACCATGTTCNNTGCATGTTGTAAGTAAGTGGTTTCAAAGTATCGCGGACTTTGGCTTTGTACCTTCTGAGTGAACTCGGTCACCTTGGCAGGAGTATTAGAACTCTTTTGCCAGAGGAAGATTAAGTTGCCAGGAACAACACTCTCGTCATTCTTGGGCAGTTCGCTACTTGTCGAGGAAGCTTCCACCAGAAGATTGTCCCAGACAGACACAGCAAGCTTGCCCTTGGTCTCGTGTTCAGGGGCACCTTGCCAGTCCATGTGCTTGTTGGCAGAATCGGTGACCCAGATGACTTGACGCAAAGATGAAACGTCTTCAGTGAGACTGGCAAGGGGCAAAGAACCAGCAGTAGCAATTACGGCTTGAGCCTGTGTTTGTTCGAGAAGCTCGCAAACCACAGCATGGTCCTGATTGAAAGGAACAAGAACAGGGGTCAGGCCATAGAACGAACATGCTNNTTGAATACTGTTAGCTACAAGGCACCAAGGAACAACGTAGTACTTCTTACCGAAGATGGTGACGAGGTACTCGACCGAGTTTGGTGAGTAGATGGCAATCCTCTGGACACCTGACTTTTGCAAATGGGAGCCAATGATGTTGATGAGTTTGGAGAGATGGGCAAGGTCGTGCTCGACAGGAGCGTCACTTCCATGGACAGACGAGATGGTGGCCTTGGCTGACGAGGAACCGACAGCCTCACGCCAAACGTCTCTGAGATCACCATCTCTACCGGCAGTCCACTTGGGGGCACCGGGCTCGCGGACTGAGAGGCCGGTCTTCAAGGCGTAGCCGTGAGGAACTTCAGTTGAGCGGTAGACGGCAGACTCGCGGGGCTGACGGACAGGAGAAGCAGCGGCCTGGCGGGCAAGAAGCAGAGGATGAGTATCGGGCTCGGCCCAAAAGATGAGGGGATATGCTACAAATGCAAACAAAGCCAAAGCAATCAGGGTGGTGTAGAGATTCCAGGCGGAAAGAGTGTTTGCAATGAGAGCATCCAGCTGCTCGATCACGCCGGCCATCTTGTCAGTATCAAGGACTTGACCTGCAGGACCGGAGGAGGAAAGGTCAAGATGTCGGATGTCAGCGGTGGTAATGATGGTAGGTGGGGCTTGAGCACAGCCACAAGCGACGGGCTCCATCAGCCGCCGTGGAAACCAGTGCCAAGCTCGAGAATCAACACAGCGAAGAACAAACCACGACGACGACCAAGTCACCTCACGACCAACCGACCGTTCAACCGCCAGCAGCAAGAATCGACTGTTGCTACGCCATGCCCTTGGTCTACTAAGAACCTCGCCCCGGATCCCATAGTACTAACCCCTGCAGCTATCGGCCACACCCTCAGCCAACCCTTTACACACCTCTTGTCTCTCTCTCTCGCCTACACCACACACCTCTTGTCTCTCACTCGCACACACAACACACAATGTCTTCAACAGCAATCCTCAAGCCTAGCCCGGCAGCCTCGCGCTTTGTAGCCCCCACAACGCCTTTGCGACCCTCGTCGGCACCTTCGACACCACAAAAGTCACAGCCACAGCAACCACCCACCAAGGTCGACACTCCTGGGACCTGGCGTCACCCCAACATGGACGCCATCAATCGTCGCAAGAATGCCTCGACCTTTACCTCTGACAACGCGCACGCCATCATAGTCAATGCCGTTGCTCTGCTAGCATTCTTGCTTGCTCCTAGCATGCTCTCCAGCNTAGTAAGATTGGCTTCAGCTCTCAGCTCGCGCACCCATGACTTACTCTCCTACAGCACTCCCACAGCATTGACTGCTTTCCTCCAATCCATGGATCCATATGCAACCTGGGCTTCTATCCTCGTCCGCTGCATTCCTGTCATCAACATCTCGCTCGCCCTCATGCCGCTCTTCCGCCCCGTCGACGAAATGACAGACATCCCTCTCACCAGAGAGCAACGCCAACTCCTCGGCCTGACCCCCCAGAACGTACCTTTGCCTGCTGGATCCCCTGGCTATGTTACTCCTCCCAGATACTCCCGTTCCTCTACACCACGCTCTAGTGCTCAGAGACACGCCTCGGCCTCTCCCATGTCGCACAAGGCTAGCCCCTCTTCATTCGATCAAAGCACCCTGGGTGTCAGCAGAGGTCCCTCTGGTAGCCCCTTTTCTGTCAGCCCGCTGATGCAAAAGGCCGTAGGAGGTGCTACGGCTGCAAGAACGTCTTCGCCCTTGGACAACAGCTTGGGAAGTAGTTCGTCAGGTCTGGCCACTGGAAAGGCAACTGTCTCGCTGAACAGCAAGTGGCTGTACGAGAGAGGAAAGGGCAGCCCCAATGGTGGAAGAGCCGTCTTCTCGTGATTTATACCCTTTGTTATTAGAAGTAGCCCTCTAGGCCAACCTTCGTAAAGATCAACAAAATAGTGCTTGTCCAAATCCAAGCCTTCATGACTTTCTACCAATCCTCTGCCATACTCTCACAACTCCCCACCAATCCCTCTCCCATGCTCCCCGCATCAAACTTCCGTAGCCGTCTGCCTAACAGAATACTTTTTCTTATCCTCTGCCGAAGCAACTCCCTCTGTCATCAACTCACCAACATCCTCGAACTTTTTGGGCCCTTCGATGGGAACATGTTCCTGCAACGCAATCCACGTGGGCACAATCGCCAACCCCAAAAGCACAGTGTTGACGGCAAGAGGCACCCTCCCACCCTTCCACTCCTTCGTATTGATCCCAAAACTCACCGCTTGCGAAAAACTCTCTTGGCCGCGCAAAATGCCAGAGAAACGTNNGCTGTTTGAGAGGAAAAAAAAGAAAAAAGTCAGTATTTCTGTTACTGAAGAGAGCAGGAAGGGGGGCAGGGGCAAGGTGAGAAACTTACAGAGTTCAGAAATATTGTCAGTCTTTGTGGACAAAAAGTAATACAAAAAGTTTTGGAGGGATTGTTGCGCGAAGCCCCAGAAGACGAGGACGAAAAAGCCTTCGATGAAGCCTGGGTCTGTCCAATCCCAGACCGGTTGAGACTTTGTGTATTTTTCTTGGATGGCCCAGGCATAGGACCATGCCAGAAGATGCCAAAACAGCACGTAGAAGAAACTGGTTTTTGAGATTTGTGTTAGAAACAAGATAATTCTGGATAGGTGAAGAAGAGAGAAAGGGGCAACTTACCAGACATTCAATCTCTTCTTTACGGGCGATGGCTTGTAGTCAAGTAAACTTGAAACCAGGAATGAAGATATGATGCCGCTGAAATTGGTCAAGAAGCCGATCAGACATCTCGCACGAAGACCAAAGTAATAGGTTTGAAAGTCTNNGCCCAGTATTAGACTTGTAAAGGATTCAGGATATGCATGATCAAGGAACTTACTTCCAGAGTATTGGTTAAAGTAGGCGGCCCAGAATACAGGGAGCAAGAGAATAATGTCGCGTCGTTTGGAAGCGGTGACCAGAGCACGCAGTTCGGCTGCAAAGGACTTTTCCTGGACAATCTTGACTTTGCTGCCGTCGGAACGTTGGACCTGTTGGTTCGTCAGTTGTGTTTTGTGAGCAGTGTAATTTGGATGATGCTGTACTTTTTCGGGTGGTGATAGCAATAATCCGACAGGGACAGCAAGACACTGCAAGGCGATGAACACAAGATAAGTTTCTNNGAACACATGTCAACGATAAGAATATTACTCAGATAGTGAAATGCAAGACTTACGGTAGCCCACTTTGCCTTTGGCCTTTTGGTTCGCAGAGNNCTGAGCAGAGGTTAGAACGCTCAGCAAGCTATGGGTGCTTCTTGGGACGTACTGATCAAGACCAAGCAGGATAGCACCTCCGAGGATGGGCCCTCCTGTCCTGAACACGAGCCAGATGTTCATGTATTGCCCACGCTTGGCTGGTGGAGGATAGCCCAGAGCAACAGCTCCTTCGAAAGCCCAGAACAATCCAGCACTGATACCACAAGCGACTGCACCGACGAGAACGAACCACACGTTGCCCTACAATTTCATTCAGTATCCATTTGCGATCTAGAGAAATGAGGACCAAGAGCGTACATATCTATTGTTAGTATAGAGACCTGCACTGTAGACTGGGTAGCCCACAGCGCCCAGAACCAGAGTCCACTTGAGACCTATACGATTTGCGATTGGACCGCCGAACAAGCAAAAGAAGCCCATCAAGCCAAAGACCAAAGCATTGGCTGCGTTGACCAAGAAGGGCTTCTGTGCACCTCCCGCACCTAGCGAGTTCATGGCATTCCAGAGACCTGAATTTTCGACCTTGATAAGTCGAAGATCAACCAGTCAGGGTGTGTAAGCCATACCTGGCGCCATGAAGCCGACGGTTCCGATCACACAGGCATTGAACATGCTTGATCGATGCCATCTCTTCGTCTCGACTGTGTTGTTCTCCTCATGGCTCTCGGCCAGGTCAGAGTTGGTCGACGCCGACATATCTCGCAGCAAAAGAACACGGTAGGAATAACAAAAAGTCACATCAACCTAGCTCTCGATACCTAGTCTATATAAGGACCTGTCGAGGTTAGATGTGTATGCGACATTCGAAAAAGTTGTCGTAGTAGCGACGATTGTGCCATATTGCGCGAGTGTAGGTATCCACTCTGTTTGACAGCGAATAATGAGGAGCGGGCGCAAGCGACGGCGAAGGGAGTGGATTCTACGAGGTATTTAGGCAATTGTATTGTTTTGTAGGGCGTAATAGGGTGATCGACGGCGGGAAGGGCCAAAAGAATTGGCTCTCCTGTCAAGCAGCGATGGTGTGATTTGCTTGGTGAATCCTTCGTGCATTTTTCGACGCGACTGGCGAGTGCAGATGCTGGCGGACAACAAGTTACAGCATTAATTGTCCATTACACACAGGGAGATGCACATGTTGAGTTATGATAGAACCGTCGAAAGACAGGTGTGAGAAGATGGGAGGAGAGTCGAGACTCGAGAGTGGTTGATGGCAGCGAGGTGTGCAGGGAGCTCAAACGTCATGCCAAGATTGACATGTGAAAGAGAGTGGGATGCTCAACGGGCATTCTCCCAACTATCGACACAAAGTCATTGCAAGATGCCAGCGATTCCGGACAGAGCGCAGACAGAGGACTCGACGAGTTTCAGTCCGGATGCTTACTTTGACGCTTGGGAAAAGGGCGCCATTGAACCGCTGTACAAGAATGATTTCCGCAAGTTCATCCTGACCACCTTCGGCCTACCTCATGATGATACATATACATATGCCGCCGTTGCAGAGGTGACTCTTCTCCAAGCCCAGACCTATGTCGAGTTTGGGGGCCAGGGTGGACTGCATGCCTGGTACAGAGACAATGAAGGCAAGCCAGTAAGCCCGCCACGAGNNACTCCGCGAGTACCGAACCATGAAGNNCCAACATCACTTCCCATCCAGCTACCACCTCCGCCTGCCGTCGATATAGCCGCTTATACAAACATCTTCAAGAGCACGACAAATACCCAGAAGGCTCTCGTCGGTCTGGCTTCGAATGCGAAAAAGGACTCGATTCGTGCCTCTGTCGGCCAACACTTACAAAGTCTATACCACCCTCCATCGCCCGAACACAAGATTGTCATCTCGAAGCTGAAGAAAGAGCACACAAACCCCTACTTTGATGTCTGGGCCTGGTCATGTCAGAATCTCGAGTGGGCTGGCCCCGAAGATGCCACGAGCAAGGTCCGATTCTCGCATGCCATCCTACCAATTCTATACCACCACTTTGGATGTGTCTGCCCGTCTTACGAGGCCCTCTCCGTCATCTATCAGCTGGCCAACGGTCGTCCCGTCATCGATCTGGGCAGTGGAAATGGTTATTGGTCCTACATGCTCAGAGTCTTCAACAAGCAGAAGCCTCTGACTGTTGTCCCTGTTGACAACGGCATCAGCGAGTGGAGGACTGTCTGGGTCCCCGACACTATCCAAGTTGACGGTGTTGATCATCTCAAGAAGAACAATGACGGCAAGGACCAGGTCTTGTTGCTGGTCTACCCTCAAGTCGGTCTCGAATTTACCTCCAAGATCCTCAAAGCATACAGTACGTCTCAATCCAGCGTTAGACCTACCAATACAAATCACTGACCTTCTCAAAGAGNNGGTGATACCATCATCTGCGCAGGTACTCAAAATTCAAACGGCTACACTGCCTTTGCCAAAGAGACCATCGCAGATTGGATCGCGAGAGAGATGCCCGTGTTTGAGAAGGTCTGCCAGATTCCCTTGCCCAGCTTTGCGGCCAAGGACGAAGCTCTTTTTGCCTTCCGGAGGAAAGCTTCGTAGGTTCGAGCAAAATAACTCTACCTCTCTCAACACCAACAGCACCCCACAATTGAACCCATTCCACATGAGGTGGTATCATACAACTTCTCCTGCTCACCAACAAAGCGCGATTTCTGGTGATCGCTCGACGAGCACATTTCCTGGTTCTCGTCCTCATAGGCCACAGTAAGAACACTAATGGCTCTTGGGAAGGCTCTCACTGGACGCGGTCATGTGCATCGGAGGCCACGTCTGACGAGGCCACCCCAATTGAGTGTATTAAGAAGATTCATCGTCATGCAATGAGAGGTCAGGTCACCGTTGTTCAATGTAGGTAGAGACAGATAGGGTTGAGCCCAGCTACAAAACCACACTCATTCGCGCTTTCTTTTCTGCCTTCTACCCATACGTGACATTTTCGATCATGAAGGGAATCACTCTGACTTTTATGCTCACTCTTTGGGGTAGCACGGGTGTCCTTGCTGCTCCGGTCGGGCAACATACCACAGAGGACGTCAACAGCGTTAGTCCACTGTCGACATGTTAACGATATTATTACTGACCTCATACAGCTTCGAAGCATCTGGTCGCAGAACCTCCCTGCCTATCTTGCCTCTAACTCGACTTCCGGACCCCATCGTAGTTCTACCAAGGTTCAAAAGTCTGACAAGCACGGGGTCAAGACGAAGACCGAGACCGCCACCGTCACGGAAGATTGCTCATCCACCGGCGAAAGGGTTCTCACTACCGTCGTCGAAATGGTCCCGACCACCAAGGTGCTCGAAATCGTTCCTACCAGCTCCGCCGAAGTCACTGTTACTGCCACCACTGTCGTTTACTACGATGTCACTTCTTCAAAGTCTTTGCACAAGCCAAAGAAGACGAAGCATCATTGGTCAGAGACCGAGTCGCCTGTGCCTACATCTTCCGAGCACAGCAAGCATCATTCGTCCAAGGCACACTCGTCTAAGTATCACTCTTCGAAGTCTCGTTCGTCCAAGCATCGCTCATCCGAGACGATCGAATCGCCTCTTCCGACTTCTTCCAAGTCCAAGGTATCTTCTGAATCTTCCGTAGTTGTTATCACCACTAGCGAAGTGGTCGAAGTGGTGACTACTGGCTACGAGGAGGTCGTCACAACCATGACCCTCAGCAGTGGGGACAGCAGACTTTCGACCTCGACAAAGACATCTGCTGTCAACCCTGCCAGCACCACTTCTGCTCTAGAAGTCATGCTACCAACCATCACGACCGCACCCACACCAGACGAAATCGCCACAGCTCTCAATCGCCGCGACGATCCCGATGAAGACTACACAAAGTTCCGCAGTCCCGACAAGGCGATGAGCAAGCGAATGAGCAGATGGAGTAAACATCACAACAAGGACATGATGAAGCAGAGCAGCTACCGCAGAAAGTATCTTTCCAGCTCTCGCAGCAGAATGGCCAAAAATCGAGACATCATGATCATGATGACAAGCGTGCTGTTACTGTTGAACCAGCCTCGATGACGACTGGGGTGGTCACTGTTCAGGCTACCTTTACCCCTGGACTCAACGAGACTTACTCGACTTCATGGAGGACTCGCGAGGCTAGCGAGACTTCCAGTGTCAAGGGTGATACAACTGCAAAATCCTCCAAGACTTCCAAGCCCACATCAAAGTCCAAGAGCAAGCACGATGACAATGATGACGACCAAGCCGCCGAAACTACACTGATCGGTCGTGACTCGCCAATGATCACAGAAGCCATCGAAATAGTCACCGTCCTCACTACTCGCACAATGACACCCGGTCTCAACGAGACCTACTCGACTTCTTGGAGAACCCGCACTGCCAGCTCACCTTCCATGAAACCTTCGATCCCTGTCAAGCCCAAAAGTAAGCATGACGACGACAATGACGAACAAGCTGCTGCAACCGATCTGCTTGCCAGAGACTCGACACCAACATCTGCAACAGAAGCACCTGCCGTAGTCACTGTGCACACCACCATCACTCCCAGCCAAACCGACACCTACTCGACCTCATGGAGAACCCGTGCTGCCAACACCATCTCCAGCGACAAGCCCACCACAACCGACAAATCCTCAAAGGCTACCGCAAAGTCGACCAAGGCTACCCCAAAGTCGTCAAAGACTTCCAAAGCCAAATCCATAGCTTCCAAGACCAGCACTGACGACATGGCTGCGCTGGAAACTCCCACATGGGTCCCTTGTGAAACCGTCGGCTTTGACTGTTATCAACCACTGTCTACCTGGCCTACTAACCCAACTCCCACCAGCACTCCAGCATCGACCTTCTCCACTGCCTGCAGGATTACTCAAGAGGCCTGAATAACGACTGGTGATATTCAGGGACATTTTTAGAGATGTGCGGAACAGAGAAGAGAAAAAGCAAGATACAGGCAATGTTTGATTCGTGTAGCGTGTGTTGGGTCTGTGGTTTTGATTTTTGATTTTGGTTTTGTCTTCTCTTGTAGACCCAAAAGTTACAAAAGAAAAATGCGAGACGTTGCTATTTTTATGTTCTTATTGATATATCTGAGTGTAGAGATGAGGTTTATCTGGTCAGACTGTAGTGCAAATGTGGAAGAGCTAGTGGTGGTTAGGTGCAGCTGATATATTGTTTGCAGTTCCCGTCGCTATTGATGTACGAAAGGGTAAAAGCCTATGCTACTTTTGGAATACGAGATGCCCTTTTCCTGGCAGCGGCCGAGAAAACGATAATCCGATAACGACACCAAGTGCCAGCTGCTTGCAATACAATTTGGAGTTCTCGAGCTGACCACAAGCTAGTCGAGAATTGGAAAGAATCCACGCGCTGGGCCATTGCTAACAGACACGCTTCGATTTCGTTCGTTGTTTGCGACGTCTGCCTCTGAGTTGTGATTTCAAAAGCCTTGTACCACTTTTCCCCCAGATCAATCCAACCAGGCTGGCGGTTTCAAGCCTTTGCGCTGTCCACAAGCTAACATTGTTGATCAGTAAGAAACCACGCAAAGAAGAAACAATTCGAGTCAAACATACTTGCTAGCCATTCTTCTTTGCCCTCCGTGTGCTCATGATAAGAGCATATGTCCCAGCAGCACGGACATCTGGCCTTGGGTTGACGCACCGCAAGACCTTTCATGACCTGATACATGAAGTTGGCCAAGATATGATCGGGATCCCTCTTGCTGTCTAGTAGAAATGGGTCATCTTCGTCCTCTGAGGGTGTCCAGTGCAAAATATAGCGATCCAGTACGTGTCTGTGTAGTGGCGACCCTGGGGTGACATTCATAAGAATGATTTTGACCAAGTCATAGGTTGGAAAGCTTTTTGCGAATAAGCTGATGGTACGGCGACGCAGTGCGAGGATATTCACTTGGTCGGCAAACAGGTATAGGCTGGTCAAGCAGCACATGCCGTCGTAGTCATCGGACATGCGACCCAAGCTTCCAGTGTAGATCCAGACTGCAAAAGCTCGGAGGTGCTCTCCTGACAGGTCTACCTCAAAGCGATCCTTGTTTGCCTCAAGAAAGTTCCCGTTCAGAGCTGCAGCATAGTAGGAGGAGAAAAGGCACAGTAATTTTCTATGGATCGAGACCGCGTTAGCTGCTCGGGCTGCCATTTTGAGCTGTTGGAGGTTGAAGTAGGATGGTGGTCAAGAGGGTAGGTTACCAGTCGACACAAGACGCGTTCATGGAGAAAGCGTGCGAAAATGAAGATGAAACGCCAACAAGGACCGAGTTGCCAAGTGTTGTGGTCTTTTGTCTCTGTTTCTGTCTTTGTCTGAATCTCGCTGTCTCACACGCCTAGGAATAAGCTAGCTTGATCGAAGTCTGCCAGAAGGTCGTTCCATCCTGGAGCGCTCGAATCTGGAACCATGTCGATGAACTCATCCCACAAGCCGTCGAAATCCAGATCGGGGATGGCGGCAGTAAGTGAAGCATTGTACTCTGGCAAACTTCGTGTTTGATTCGACATGCACTGGTCAGGATAGGAGTTGCCCTTGGACTGTATGCCTGGCGTCCCTGTAGTCTCGGAGGGTGTCAGATACTGGTTCTGAGACCCGGTGTCCTGCAACTGGATTTTGTGCTTTCGCAGTAATCCCATCAATGGAGTAAGGAAACGATTGGCGGCCGGCATCTCTGTCTTGGACTCTTGGAGCATAAAGCATGCTTCTTTCAACTCCGCTCGCCGGATGCGGTCTTCTGCCTCAGTGGCCGACTTGTTGAAGCACAGATCAAGAGCCAGAGTGAGTGCGGCCATGAATATGTGGTACAAGACGAAGTTGAGTCTCGAGATTGGCAGCACCATTCCACGCTTCTCCTGATTCAACAAACGACGAATCTCCAGACTTTTCCGAACAGATTCCAAACAAGCCTTTCGAGAGAAATGGAATCTCGCGTCCAGAGAACCGCGAATGAGGAACGGCCGATGTATTCTGCTTCGATGGCAGTGGAGCCCCTGTTGCAGGAGGTATCTTTGTGTCGCCAATTGTGGATATTTGCTGAGATATGGCTCTGTCTTTTTGCGGCTGTCTTCGTCGAGCTGGAAATAGAAAGGCATGTTTTCTGTTAATCCAGAAGTCTTTTGCTCAAGAGCAACGATCTCATCGTAGTCGACGCTATTGACCCCAGAAGCCAAAGGGTGAACAAGGTCAGCAAGGACGCGACACACCTCTCCACCATGCGTCCTCACTAAGAAATAAGACATTTCGGTTGGTTCTGACAGTGGCTTGTCGCTGGCATTCTCACATACGAGGTCTTCGTCATCAATGTTCATGGGTCTGTTGACGTGACTGTGTCGAGGGTTGATGCTGTATGTTCCTTCTTGCGGACTAGGCATACTACCGAGTAACCTTGCCAAAAGTCAGCATGTGATTTTCTACGCCTCTTCAAGTACCAAAATATGCAATCCGTGCAGCTATAGAAATGCACAATAGTCTTCGAGAACAGGACGCTGTCCATCGAGAGGTGATGTTTTGTAAGCTCTCTCTGGCAACAGTCCTGGTCTGGAAGCCTTTGTGTCTTCTCATAGTACGAAATTTGTTATTTTCCCTTGTGAGAGGTCAGGAGGTGACAGCGAAACAGACTCACCAGTCAGTGGTTGCGAGGTACCACCATACTCTTCTCTTGACCTCGTTCTCAACCAAACCACTAGCTTTAGGTCTCCCCGGATGGTCTAAGACATGTATGGACAGATCTCTAGCGAGTGTAATCGATGTGCTGTGCAATAGCCAATACTTCTTCGAAAGACCTTTGATGCTTAGTATGGCCATCTCTGTTATAACGTTGTACATACCTTCAAAGTTCTGTATCACGAGGGACATGATGATGGTAGCCTGTACTTGTTCCACAGTAGTTGGTGTTGAAACACGTTCTATGTGATCCAACATGTCCAGTGCATTCTGCTTCCAGTTTACAGACAATTGGTTCGCGACTTGAGGATCGGCAAGAACGCACCCAGAGGATGTAAACGCAAGGAAGTATGCTCCACTAGCAAATATACTTAGCAGCAGAGCAGCATGTGAGAGGTCTGGAACATTGCCGCAAGCAATTTGATAACAAGTCTTATCGAGCAGCATCTCAATTGTCTGTTTGTGGTAGATGTGATACCATGACCCGAGAGACTTTGCAAACGATTGGAATAGAATGTGAGCTTCCTCCCTGCCGGGTAAACAAATACGGCGTATTACTCTGCTGCCGTTCACGGCTATGTTCGTCAAAATCGGAGTCTCGAGATTGAGGTCGAATGCAATTTCTGACACGTTGGCAGACGTGAACGTGAAGCTAGCGTCGTTGCCATCTTGAGCCGTTGGTCGCGATCCGATGATCTCTGTAGCTCTGAACTCGTCCTCTCGCTGCTCGATGCTGAGATTTGCTTGTGATGAGGCATTGGACCTTCCGATACTGTGGAATATATCGTTCTGTGCAACGTCCTCGTGCAGACGTGGAATGGATGTCTGTCCAACCGCACCGACGACTTTATTCCGAGTGTCATCGTCAGGAACGACGTTGTCGGACACGACATTGTCAGGTTTTGTAAGAACAATATCCTCAAGTCGTTGTAGTCGCTCTAGAACCTTTGCCAAGACCGAGCTGTCGGAGGCAGCTGGCATCACGGAGCTGCTCCTGCTGTTCCCATCAGCGACTACAACAGCAACAGGTCGAGCATCTATCGTCTTACCCCTCCAGACTCGGAGACCATCGCGTTGTACCAGGTGGCCGGCATTCTAGTCCTCGCGACACGCAATTCGAGCATGGAAACGTACGGGAGCACTTGAGCTTCTTCTTGCGACAAACTTGACAGGATACTGGATCTTGACGACGTCGCGTCGCCTGCTGCTCTTCATGAGCGCTTGATGAAGGAGCAGACCGCTTCATGCTAAAATCGTTCAAGTTGTGTGAGCAATATGAGAAGCCCAAGGTCGTAGGCAGGGAGATGGGGAGTGTCCACCGTGGAGTTTCCGCGGACCTGCCCAACTTCTTCACTATCGTTCATTTTTACATTACTCCTTGTCCATGGAGAGTCCTCAGGAAACTCCATGATCAGACAGAGGTAGGTCCGGTTGAGATTGATATTGCACCCTTACCGCTGCACAATATGTTTCCCAAATGTATTCATCACTTCAGCCAACAGCTTCTAACCAATTCTTGGATCTTTCGTAATGTCTCAATCAGACAAGAAGATGCTGCTCGAAGCAATTACAGAGTCAACAAATACATCAACCCACTGACCAGCCGAACATGAAAAAGAGCTTACCCAACGATCGGCGTTCGTACTCCTTGGAGCCTTCTGTGCCTTCTTCTGCAGTGTCGGTTTCTTCAATGCCTGGGGTATCTTCCAGGAATACTATCACGCCCATCAGCTATCACAAAACTCAGAGTTTGACATCTCATGGATTGGCAGTTTCTCCATCTGCGCCATGTATCTCACTTCTCCTGCCGTGGGCATCGCTTACGACAAGATTGGACCAAACATGCTGTTGGTTATAGGCAGTGTTGGTGCTCTCTTTGCCATCTTCATGATCTCGCTTTGCAAGGAGTATTACCAAATCTTTCTTGCACAGGCATTGATTTTTGGTGTCAGCTCAGCCTTTCTGGTTACCCCTTCTTTGTCGACACTCACCAAATACTTTCGCAAAGATCGTGCTCTGGGGATGGGTATTGTTGTTGCCGGGTCTTCTACTGGAGGCGTGATTTGGCCTATCGTTCTGGATCAATTCTTGAATCATACAAGTCTTGGATTCGGCTGGACTATTAGAGTTACCGCGTTCATTATGCTTCCGCTACTTATTGTTAGTTGTTTACTTGTTCGATCACCTGCTGCTATTCCAGCATCTCTGGATGAAAAGGACCAAGATTCTACACCAAAGCCAAAAGCCGATCTCAGCATCATAAAAAATCCAGCCTTCATTCTCTGTTGCGCTGGCATGGCTGTTGCAAATTTCGGCATGTTTAGCCCCTTCTTCTATGTCAGCTCTTATGCTGCTTCCCTGCACATGTCGACTTCATTTTCATTCTATCTGGTTTCTATCGTTAATGCTGCTTCCCTCTTTGGCAGGATCTTACCTGGTTTCTTGGCAGATCGCTATGGCTGCTTTAATCTGCTGGCTCTTGCGGCTTTGGCGTCTGGTATCGTGGCTTTTTGCTGGACAGCAGCTACTAGTGTTTCGGGAGTTGCGGTTTGGGCACTGGCGTATGGATTTGCTTCTGGAGTAAGCATTTTCTCTCGATCTCGATGACTTTTATGTGGATCACTAACAACAAATAGGNCTATCATGAGTTTACAGACTGCTTGTGTGGCGAGACTTGCGACACCACAGACTATGGGTACTGCTATGGAGTTGGCTATGGGATCTATTGCCCTCATGGCTCTGTTTGGTGCTCCCATCAGTGGTCTGCTTGTTGGTCAATATAGCTATCTGGCTCTTAGCATGTTTTCTGGGGCCGCGTTGGTTGCTGGGTCTGTTTTGATTGCTTGTGCACGTTNNTATTTCCAGGATAGAAGGTTGTTTGCGGTGGTTTAGGAGATACAAGACCACGAAGCCAAAAATCTTAGAGGACGAATCTTGATTTGAGATGGAGATGGAAGAGTATAGACTTGTGTGTAGACATTAAGGATTTTTGACTCAACCTCGCTGTAGTTCAAAGCTATACATCATCTTCGAATTGAATTTGCAGTCCTTTTGAGATGCCATCTTAAATGTAACAGGCTTGTCACTATGGACAACCAAGCAATATCAGCAATCAGAATCGTGATTTCTTGTCAAAACAACGGGCCAGACTCTTTGAGTAGATCATCAATGGCATCGTCTCTTGTTTAGAGCCACAATTTTTTCGCCAACATATCTCAAACTCACACTTTTCACTCTAGAAGCGCGATAATCAACTTGTGCCTCTGCAACTAGCAGTCGTATACAGTATGGATTATAACTAGGAAGACCAGAAATATGCCATGGATGATGTTTGGCCGACGGACTCAGCATCACTACAAACAACATCCTCACCCCCATTAACCCCCCATCAACACAAAAACGTATAGATGACAGATCCACAGGTTTGCTGACTATCCTTTACCCTCAAAAACATTCGCCCACCCTTTCTCAACACAAACCTCCGACGCAAAGACCCGTCCTTGATGAATCCTGCACTGCGGATCATATTTCCCCTTGACCTGCACCAATCTCTTTACATTGCCACCCCAAACCCTTTCTCCCGCCGCTTTGGGCGAAATGTAATTCGGATAGTCGGCAACAAAAGGCCCTATCGACGCTTGATGGTGATAAGTAATGTTATTTAGAACATCGTTGTTGTGAATGACAAACGCATCATCTGCGGCATCAGTCCATGCAGGAGAGAAGAGTGTTTGGTGTGCGGAGAGGGAATGTGGCCATGCGGTATCGGTGTCTGAGATTGGTGCGTGACCGTTTTGGAATGGGTACATGTATTGCAAGACCCAGACCGCTGTTGCAGGGATTTGACCACGGACAAGCGATTCATTGATGTAGGTTTCCATGCTGTGGGATGCAGTGGCTAGGTATGCAGCAGTCACTTTGGAGGTCTGAGGGCCCCAGAAGCCGCGGCGATAACCGTAAGGAAAGAATGGGGTGCTTAGTTCGGTGGCTTGGCCGTATGGGACTTTGTAGAATGAGGATTGTTTTAGCACCAGGCCATCGAGCAGTGCTGAGAATGTCTGGTTGAAGGTCTTTTGCTCTGTGGGCTTTGCGGTTGGGATAGTACCGTCGGTTTTGTTCTTGTATGCAGTAAGTGGGCTGGGGGACTGGTTATGCGGAGCCCCAAATCGTATGCCTACTATCACCATAGTAGTGATCAGGTCTCCGGGTGTGAGATGCTCAGGATAATAACCCAACGAATAGTACATCAACGAAAACGGATCGTCGTTGGAGTCAAAAAACTGCATCGTGTTCAGTCTCGCCCGTTCCCAAGACTCTCTAGCCACTGTCCAGATGCCAAACTCCGAGGAAACTGGTTCCGGCACTGCTTCTTGATAAAAGGTAGTCACGATGCCAAACTGGCCACCTCCACCTTGTAGTGCCCAGAACAGATCCGAGTACTTATTGGTCTTGGTGGCGAGTACTATTTCTCCAGACATCAAGACCACTTCCATTGCTCGGAGACGATCGATGGCATACCCGTATGCACCAGCCAAGAAGCCGATACCTCCTCCAGTGGAGAAGCCGCCTACGCCCACATCACCAACTCGAGCGCCGACGGCTGTAAAACCTGTTCCGTTTGTGCAATCCATGACTTGCTTCCAAGTAGCGCCTCCTTGGTAAGCAATAGCCGTAGATACCCTAGCATCTCCGAGAGTGACATTGTGCAAGATTCGAGTCGAGTTCATCCAGGACAGATCAATCAGAAATCCAGATGTGCTGGATGCGTTAGTTTGTCCATGACCTCCACCCACAAAAGCGAGGTCTCTGCCAAGTTTCGAGGAAGAAGCAGCTTGAACAGCAAAACTGACGTCCTTTCTGGTGTGTGGAGAAACCACAAGTGTTGCATTCTTGCCGTACTGTTCTCCCCAGTATCGGTGGGCATTGTGCTGTTGCAGCGGAGAGTAGCGGCATAATATCGCTGCCCCGGGTGATAGCTGCAGAGCTAGTCTTGTCAAAGCAAAGTCATGCTTGATACAGTCGCCCTGTACGAAAGCATACGCAGGCGATGTCGCGAAGAGAAGCATACCACTGAAAAACGAATGCATTTGGGTCAATGCTGGAGCAACATTCAATTGGGAACTACAGCATTATCAAAGATCCAAGGATGGTGTCATCATCAATTTGCATTCCAGCCACGATGCTCACCGTCCGCGGAGAACATGGAATCAAACTTGATGAAAGCCAGCAGTGTATGGTGGATCGGTAGTAGCGTGGCCATGTGTCGCGAGAGATGTGACCAGGCTGTTGAGACAGACAACGTGGAAGGATTCGAAGACGGCAATGCAGTCCAGACATCCAAACAAAGAACCCGTCCGGAGAGCACAAATTGGGCCTCGTGGCATCCAAACCGGATGGAACTGCAGAAGGTGAACGGCGCTAACATCATTCGGCAGCCATGCCATTCTGTGTTTGCTACATTAGTTCCCATCATTTTCGTGGGTTCGTTTTTCAACAGCTGAAAGTGTATTTATGATGCGGTCCTGCTCGAATGTCTTCCCATCATATGTTTGTGTTCGGCAGAGTCAAACCGCCGGTCAAACGTGTGTGATCGAGAGTTCGAGGTCTAGAGCCAAATCTGCTCTATATCCAGTGGTTTGTCGGATCTGTTCTTGTTTGCCCAAATATGACTGTTCTTCTAGGGGTCGCACCGGCGCACCACACGGTTCGCTGGCATGTTTTCTGGGAGCTCGACAGCTGCTGGAATCCGATAAACCAGACAAATCTTGATTTGTCACCATGTCGTCGTCGTCTCTCTTACCATTATACGCGCTCAAAGAATCTAGTCAATGTTTCCCACGCCGCGCAAGCTGAGATAGACATCTGTACCCCAGCCGAGTAAGCTCTGTACTCTGATACCGCCACCAAAGTACTCGGCGTATGCTCTACCCAGCTTCAAACCATAGCCCAAGCCCGCCAGGCTGTTTTCGTTACCACCGGCATTTGAGAGAGCGTTCAAGCCATCGCCATCGTTGGTACCTCCACTTGTGATGTCAACAATTTCTTGCTCGTTGAAAGTGGTAAAGCCAAACTCCCACAGCTTTGCATAAGCAGCGGGAGGGATACCGCCTCCGCGGTCTCGAATGCGGATAGTGACGCCTGGCGTGGACTTCTCCAGTGGACGAATGTTTGCTGATGCGGCATTTGCAGGTCGCTGTGCGCCTGAAGCGGCGTCGACACTACCTTGATCGTAGTTGGTGATGCCGTTGGGTCTGCCCTTGATCTCCTCTGGTGCGGGAGCGATTGTGACTTCGATTGGGTGTCGCTCGTTTTCTTTCTCAATGGTTGCTCGGAAAGCGTTCTTCAAGAGCTCGGTGATGATGTACTCTAGATGCATGGGAATGTGTGCCAGAGTAGTTTCTGGCTCGCCACGGATGACAACGCTCGGGCGAACACCATACTTGTACTCGCAAATGTCACCGACAAGACCCTCGCAATGTCTGATGATGTCGACGGGCCTCAGTTTTGTATCTATGACTCCAATGTATGATGAGTCAATGTGGGTCTTTTGCTCGGAGAGTTCGAGATGGGGTTTGGAGGAGAAGTGCAGCGCGATGTGTTGCTCGGCGATGAGTCTTGTGCCTATTCTGGCTCGCAAATGTTCGTCAAGGAACTTTGTGACCTCGTTTGGGCTGATGTACTTTCGCGCTTCGAGGAAGCCCCGGGCGAGAATAGAGATGGTGTTGGAGTGGGTCTGGACCAGGTCGGCCATGACACTTGTGAACTGGATCTCGTCTTCCAGTGTCTTGATTTCCCTTGAGGCATAGGGTAGGAGAGTGGACAAGGAGTGAACATAGTTGTTGTGGATCTTGGAGACATTTGGGTTCGAGACGACGATAAAGGGCAGGTTGCGCAGAGACTGGATGCGGTGGGCGAGGCGCGAGGGTAGAATGGAGAGGGTGAAGTTGGCCGAGTCGAGCAATTGGTTGGCCGTGAGGGGTGGTCGCCCGAATCTGCGACTTGTTAGAACATGTCTACTCTACCAATTGCGTGCCACGTACTTGGCTAGATCTGCCAGAGTCAAGGGATGCAGGGGCCTGCCTGCCAGTCGAGCGACTTCTCCGTCTGTGACCTTTTGCGTCTTGAGGCCATTGTTCGGCAGTCGAAGCGTCGGCGTGGTAGAGAGTCGTCTCGTAGCATCTAGGCTCGTGCAAGGCAGCCTCGACAAGCGCCTACCTATGCGATTCATCACGACAGTCTGTATATGTAGAGCTATCTGACTGACATGCGGGATCGAGGGGATTTTGTTTGAGCACGACAGCTATGACGCAGCAAAGCAGCACACGGCATTCTCACGTGTTATCAACTTGTCGAGCCCAACAGACAAAGGACCGATATATGGTTCTGTTCATCTGGTGATTCCTACATGTCTCAATCCTATCGAGTCAACGGTCCGACTTGTCGTTTGACCTTGTTGGCGTCGTGTAGCAGGCCATATCACACGACTTGGACTAAGCTAAGTGCATAACATCGACTTTGAACTGAGTGCATAACATCGACATTGGACTGAGTGCAACCGAGAATATGTGTCATGTATCATCAATGTACGGTATCTGAAAGGACCCTCCCATATATAATGTCATTCCTGACGTATTTGCTGCTCTACTGGGTTCTGACCTCACCGTCGTTCTCGACGTTGATGTGGTCGTTGGACGAGAGGGTGTGGGCCTTGTCCTCGGGGAACTCGGCNGCTATGGACCGTCAGTCGCTGTATCTTACTGCGGAGGGCGTTTCGGTAGAATGGACGTACGTGAAGCCCTTGATCAGCTTGAACTCGGTGGTAATCTTGCCGCCCTGGTCGGTGACCTGCTTCTTGGCNACTGGAGTGGAGGTCAGTATCGGCATACTGGGTGCATAACGAGGAGTGTCTTACGCGTCAAGTTGGGATGCATCGGCACCATCCTTGAGAGAGACCTAGAGTCTGTCAGCTGTCTGCCTACATGGTCGGCCTTGATTNGCAGCTCGACTGACGTTGATCGAAGGCATGTTGAGTCGAGTTGTGTGAGCGAGAAGAGCGGTGGATGATGTAGAGAAGCTGTGTCTGAGAGAAAAGAGTAGAGATGTGGGTGTTTTCAAGAAGAAGGCGGGCATGAGACGAACAGTTGCCAATCTCATACCCAAACCCGCTTCGACCCCTCGGCTGCGCGTTGACGTAGCGTCTGTTTACCATGTGCACGTGAAGAACGCCTCGAATCTCACCGCCGAGCTATATCCAACGTCTATGGAAGCACTGTAATCACATCTTGACCAAGGCTTGATTGGCCGGCAACTATTTACAACTCACACTGTCATGTGTGACGAGTCTATTTCTGCTCAGCAACTTGTCCAGTATCACGCGTCAAGATGCACCGTGCTTTGCTGATGGACAGAGATGGCTGGGGAAGCCTCGGCGATAAGAAGACGCCAAGGTTTTCGGCAGACTCCCGGGCGAGGGTCTCGTGCTGATTAGGGCTTGTATCGAAAAGTTCAGATGCGCTTCTAACATTTTCTGAGCTTTGCCGCCGTCAACACTCTTGTTACGCCGGACAAGATGTCGGAAAACCAAACCAACCGGCCGCATCGCGCCACCAAGGAGAAGAAGGCCGCACATACTGGCGATCGCAATCCGAAAGCCTTTGCCTTTTCGGGTCCAGGAAAATTGCAGAAGCAGGCCGCTCGTTCTCACGATGTAAGAAAGAAAGACTATATCCATACAACACAGCAAGTCCTGACAAAACACAGGNTCAAAGAGAAGCGCTTGCACGTTCCCCTGGTGGATCGTCTCCCCGAGGAGGCACCTCCTATCGTCGTCGGTGTCGTTGGCCCTCCTGGAGTAGGCAAGACAACTCTCATCAAATCCCTCGTCCGCAGATACACCAAGCAGCCCATTACTCAGCCCGTCGGCCCAATCACTGTCGTCACATCAAAGAGGAGGAGACTCACGTTTATGGAATGTCCGGCCGACTCTCTGGCCGCCATGATGGATGTGGCCAAGGTTGTCGACATTGTGCTGCTCATGATTGACGGAAACTACGGCTTCGAAATGGAGACGATGGAGTTCTTGAACGTCCTGTCGTCCAGTGGTATGCCCGGTAACGTTTTTGGTATCCTGACTCATCTCGACCTGTTCCGCAAGCAGGAGGCCCTCAAAGCGCAGAAGAAGCGTCTGAAGCACCGTTTCTGGAGCGAACTCTACTCTGGTGCAAAACTTTTCTATCTGTCTGGTGTCGTCAATGGCAGATATCCCGATCGCGAAGTCCTCAACCTCTCTCGTTTCCTTTCCGTCATGAAGAACCCTCGTCCCCTCGTCTGGCGCAACAGCCATCCCTATGCCCTGGCCGACCGCTTCCTCGACATCACACCTCCTACCAAAATCGAGGAGGACGCCAAATGCGACCGCACGGTCGCCTTGTACGGCTACCTTCGTGGCACCAACTTCCCCGCCAACGGTGCTCGAGTCCACGTGCCTGGTGTTGGCGATCTCAGTGTCTCCAACATCGAAGCTCTCCCCGACCCGTGTCCCACTCCATACTTGGATCAAGCAATTGCAAAAGCTACAGGCAAATCTGGCAGAAGGAGACTGGGAGAAAAACAAAAGCTCATCTACGCCCCCATGTCCGATGTCGGTGGTGTGCTTGTGGATAAAGACGCCGTCTACGTGGACATCAAGAGTCAGACTTTTGACCCCGAGGATGATGATGAGCAAGAGCGAGGATTGGGCGAACAGATGGTTGTTGGTCTGCAAGGTGGTCGCAAGCTACTTGGCCAAACCGAGGGTGGCCTGCAGCTTTTCGGCGACGGCGAGAAACTGACTGGCGAAGACCTTGGCCGCAAGTCTGCTCGTGTTCTGTCACGAAGAATCGACGACGACGAAGCAAGCCCAGAGGATGAAGGTTTCGAGAGCGGTGACGACGAAGACGAAGAAATCCAGAGCGGAGATTCTGATGTCGACGAAGACGCTGACGAAGATATGCTTGTTCCTGCCCCGAAGCGCAGAGAGGCCAGTCCTGATGCAACCGGCGAGGAGATTGCCTTTGCCGACAGCGATTCTGATCTGGGCTCCATGTCTGAAGCCGAAGATATCAGTGACCCAGAGGACTACGACGAAGACGCCGAGTACAGCGAGGACGAAGACGGCAACCTTCGCTGGAAGAAGAACATGACCGAGCGCGCCGCTGCTCTCCACCAGCGCAAGATGCCCTACCGCACCGTCGAGCTCGCCCGTCTTTTGTACAACGACATGCTATCGACAGCCCAAGTGTTGCGCCAATGGCGTGGCGAAGAAGATGACGAAGAAGATATCGAAGATGAGGAAGAGGAGGATTTGTTCGAGAGAAAGAAGCCTACTGAGGCCGAAGCTGCCCTCGACCGTCATATCCCAGTATACAACAGAGCCGAGCTTGAGGAGAAATGGACAGACGAGGAGAATCTTGAAGCAATCCGCTCGCGATTCGCATCGGGCCACATGCTGAACGGAGGCGATGATGAAGATGGCTCTGAAGCGGAATTCAATGGCATTGAAGACGACGAAGATGAGGGTGATGGTGCTTTCGAGGATCTGGAGACTGGAGAAGTCCACGGATCTGAAGATGAGGCTCAGACCAACGGCGCTAATGGTGAAGAAGAACCAGATCTGGATGCCGAACGTGAGCGCAACGCCCGAAGAAAGGAAGAGCTCAAGCTCCGCTTCGAAGAGGAAGACAAAGAAGGATTCGCAAACGACAAGGGCAATGCCAAACGCGAGAGTGGCGAAGACGAGTTCGGCGAGGACGACTGGTACGATGCACAAAAGGCCCTCATCCAGAAACAACTCGACATCAACCGCGCCGAATTGGACGCACTGGACGAGCAATCACGAGTCAGAGTCGAAGGCCACAAAGCAGGAACATATGCCCGTATCGTGCTGGAAAACGTGCCTTGCGAATTTGTCGAAAAGTTCAACCCCCGATTCCCTGTTCTCATCGGTGGTCTGGCACCTACGGAAGACCGCTTCGGATACGTTCAAATCCGCATCAAGCGTCACAGATGGCACAAGAAGATTCTCAAGACCAACGATCCTCTCATCTTCTCTCTTGGTTGGAGACGTTTCCAGAGTATGCCCATGTACAGCATCTCGGACTCGAGAACCAGGAACCGCATGCTCAAGTACACGCCCGAGCACATGCATTGTTTCGGAACCTTTTATGGCCCTCTGATCGCACCCAACACCGGTTTCTGCTGCGTCCAGTCCTTTTCCAACAAGAACCCCGGTTTCCGCATCGCCGCCACCGGTGTGGTCTTGAACGTCGACGAATCCACCGAGATTGTAAAGAAGCTCAAACTCACCGGTCACCCCTACAAGATCTTCAAGAATACCGCCTTCATCAAAGACATGTTCAGCACCTCGCTCGAAATCGCAAAATTCGAAGGCGCCAGTGTACGCACCGTCTCGGGCATCCGCGGTCAAATCAAAAAGGCACTTTCAAAGCCCGAAGGCAACTTCCGCGCTACCTTTGAAGACAAGATCCTCATGTCAGACATCGTGTTCCTGAGAGCTTGGTACCCGGTAAAGCCACACCGATACTACAATCCAGTCACCAATCTCTTGGATGCAGATGTCAACAGCGAGGGTTGGCAAGGCATGAGACTTACCGGTCAAGTGCGCCACGCCCTCGACATTGCAACCCCCAAAGACAAAAACTCTGCCTACCGCACCATCGAGCGTCAGGAACGTCACTTTAACCCTCTGCGCGTACCCCGCAAGGTCGCCGCCGAACTCCCCTACAAATCCCAAATCGTGACCATGAAGCCACAGAAANAGGAAACCTACCTCCAGAAACGCGCGGTCGTGGCCGGCAAAGATGAAAAGGAGGCTAGGAGACTGTTGCAGCAAGTTCAAACGCTGAGGAATGAAAAGGTCGCAAAGCGCAGAGCCAAGCAGGAAGAGCGCAAGCAACCTTATCGTGCCAAGGTGGCTGAGAATATTGAAAAGAGGGCCGAGAGAGAAAAGAGGGAGAAGGAAGAGTATTGGCGCAGAGAAGGCAAGAAGAGAAAGGGATGGAATGATGGTGAGGGTGGTGGTGGTGGTGGCAAGAGAAGAAAGGGTTGAGCATGAGTATGGCATTTTCTGCACATGTACATTGTGTATTATCTGTTTCGAAAAAGCGAGGACAGTTCGTATAGAAGCATTCTTCAGGCGTCAAATGTTGATTCTTTGTTTTGAACCTACTCGAGCATCCATGAAGATCTATGGTGCTGTTATGGTAGAGCTAGTCATCGTGACAAGCCTGTTTTGCTTACAGTATTTTCAACACTCCTGAGTCACCTCGCACTGCACATTCACTGATGTTCTTTCTTCTCCCAACCCTCCATCGCCTCCCTCGACACAACCGTCATTCTCACATCTAGCCGCAGCGAAAACACCACGAACATCATCCTTGTAAATCTCGTAAGCCTCCAACTTCTTCGCAACAAACAACTCAACATCCTCACACCACAGACGTGAAAGCGGTGCCCCCTCAACATGGAGTCTAAACCCAGCAGAGAAGAATCTTGGCTGCAAGTGTTGCTCAAAGATGCCAGGAAACGCATTGATGGTGCTTAATGCCATGACATACCAGAGCCTGCCCGTGTGCCACTCACTTCGCAAGCGCTTACTGTAAGAAAGATCCAGTGATGATGCTGACTCTTCTTGCTCCAAGACATTCACAAATCGATCATAGCATTGCTTGTAGATCTCGCGTTCAGGGCCGTCGAGTTGATCAACACCGCGGTTGCTCAGCCAATGCGGTACCTGCACCATTTGTACAGGGACCACGGGAGCAAACTCAAGATCAATGAGGCTGATGATATTCCAGTCGTCATCGACAAAGATGTTGCTGGCGTGCAAATCAGGCAGGGAAAGTACAAATGGACCGTTTCGAGACTCTTGGTTCCAAAAATGAGGGAGCAAAGCTCGCAATCCAACGAGTGCTGAGAGTTGATTAATGCCATCGTTAACACTGAGAATTGAGTTCTTTTGGTGGGTCATGCGTTGTTCTTGATAGCTTATGGTGTCGTGAATGAATGATTCTGTGGATGTGTACGTGGTATCCTAGGACTGTAAGTTTTCCAGAATATCAATCAGAGAATGGAGATGTGGACTGACTCGTGATATGCCTGTCGGTATCTTGTGCCGATTCCACAAAAGGGTAAGGTCAAAGAATGGTCGATTGGTTAAAGATAGGACACCCTTGTCATCCATCGTCCACGAGCCGATCCGTGGAAGTGGGACTCTGGCCAGCTCAAGCATCGTTCTTGCGATACCGCGATATAAATTGGCAGTGCGTTGTTTGTCGTGGCGGTGTTGATCCCAGCTGCTGAAAAGCATCTTTCCATTCTCGACCCACTCCAGCAGCAAATAACCCACATCTGTAACCTTGCTTCTTCTGTGGACACAATACGGTGAAGTCTTCTCGTCGCGGAACCAATCCCAGACGCGTCGAAGATACCAACAAAGTCGGTTCAAGAATGTTCCGTTCTCAACAGAGGTGAACTGCAGACCGTAGTTTCGGATTAGCAAGGCATGCGGGATGTGCTAAAACAGATCAAAACGTACACTATGTGGTCCTGGAAATCCCATACCGAGAAGACGAGGCAAGGGGATACAGGGGCAATTCTCACGCATCCAGATATAAGTAGCAGCTTCGCAACGGAGCTTTTCATCAACTGTTCCTGGAGCGAAACTTTCGCCAATGTTGAAGGGCAGAGGGAATCGGATGACTGCTCCGGGTGGTAGATGTGGATGACGGTTGTTGTTGATATCGATGGACAAGCATACATTGAAGCCGCCTTCAATCCAAGTGGAAGGCTCGTAGAGGACAAAATCAGTCTCTGGTATCTGGAGATGCCGCGAGATCAACTCTCGAATGTCGGATATCCTTGAGTGGAGCTTTTGCCTGAACTTGTCTGTTTCTCGTCGAATGTGGAGTTTGGGAATTACGTCGAGATCGATGGCCAGTGCTTCATCCTCGGTGATGAGGCCGCTCGGTGTCAGGATGGATGGTTCTGGTGTCATGGTGAGAATGAGCACCTCCAGAAACCGGGGCTAGGATGCTTGCTGTACGGGCCTTCGTGTGGAAGGACTGATAAGATTCGAGTTGACGGCATGAGTTATGTTGGCAAATGAAAGCCCGTTTGTATCTCGTTGCGATGATCAATTCATCAAGGACGACACGAACAAACAGAAGGTGCGAAGAACACGTGAGCTGCATATAACCGCCGCCAAGGCACGATTGCATGCAGAAACACAAAGTCGGGAGAGAGTGAGGTGAGAGCACAAATACTGTGTGGGCTATAGTGCTAGTCAATACCACAGCCCGCTCGAACGAGCTCCAGTGGTATACTTGATGATGGGAATCGGACATATTGACACAGGGTATTTGCTTCGTAGCTTCTCACTGACTACTTATCAGCTTATGATGGAATCAAAAACTCGAAGGTATCTTATTCCAGACAGATATTTATTGGTGGGCCGCCATCGGATCCTCGTTTCTCGGTCAGAGTCTTGAAAATGAATGTCTCAGAACCAGTACGCTTTTTGAGGACTTCATACACCAGAAGCTGAAATGGAAAAAACACGGCAGTATCCATTCATGACAGGTCTGTCTCCCAGAAGAGTACCTGAGGAATTACATATGCATAGGTATCCTAGAGAAATTCAAATTATCAAACATGCAACAATGAAACAGATGCTTCTCTACAAAAGGGCAAAAGCACCAAGAGCAGCAACACCAGCAATACCCATAGGACTCAAAGTGGGTGCAGCACCAGTAGATTGTGCTTGAGTCGACGAGGTTGCCCCTGAAGCAGCACTTGCGGCCGAGCTGCTTGCCGAGCGAGCAGTCGAGCTAGCAGAAGAGCTTCCGGAGACCGCAGCGCTACTTGCGCTCTTTGATGCCGAGGAAGCAATCTGGCTGGCGGACGAGGCCAGAGAGGAAAGAGATTGAGTAGCTGATGACAGCGAGGATGAAGCAGAACTTCCAGAGGCGGTTGCGACGGCGGCGGCGCTGGTTCCTGACGAAGAGGCAGTTGCGGCGCAAGCGGCGGCGGTGGGCTGGGATGAGTTAGAACATGGGATCCTTGTGTATAGGGTCGTGCAGGAAAAACGTACGAGGTTGGTCACGCCGACGGGGGCGCAAATCTGTTTGGCGTAGGCGAGAGCAGCCTGCTGGCCACTGAGATCACAGGCAGTGGAGACACAGCATGAGATGGTGCTGATGAAGCTGGTATCGGCACAGATACATTTAGGGTCGAGTTTACAGTCGGCAGGAAGAGCCTGGGTGATGCAAGAAGTGGCACCTATCACCATGTCAATAACCAGAACGACATTGCGTTGATAGATGAACGTGCTTACAGCTGGGAATAGAACCAGACTGAGCGGTGGCCAGAGTGGCAGCAGCAATGAGGGTCAAGACGATGGCACGCATTTTGATGATGACAATAAAAAGACAAGGTGAACGAGAGTGAGGATGGGATGCTAAACTAGAAGATACAAACGACTGCTTCTAGGCGAAGGTGGGATCATGTTCTTTTTGAATGCTCCAGGGACATGGACCCCAAGCCACAGGCGGGACTTGCGAAGTCAAGTTTTGGCGGAGGATCCAGCCTTACCAGCCCATGCAGCTGTCCACGTCGTGTCCTGATTGGTGTTGCAGTAAGAATAGGTATCTCGTTGCAAGCTTCAACTGGGTCAGAGCTGCTGTCGAAGCAAAATGGGGGTGGCTACAAATTCGGCAAGAGTCTTCCTCGAGAAGGGATGTTTGAAGTCATGCGTTTACTACTGGATGTTTATTGTGGTGTGTGTTGAGTTCAATACAAGACGACGGTGCAGGGCGAGAGTTATATTGTGCCAAGCAAGTTTAACCGCGAATCGTGGGGTGCCCAACTCTCTGTTTAACGGCGCTTGGGGATCAGTCGGTAAAACTTCAGACCCTTGTCGCTCACGTCTCCATCCCTCATCTCAACACCATCATGGACTGAGTCGGATGCGGACAGAAAGGAGAAGCCGAACGGTACTGGTCAACAGCGAGGCGCTCTGAAAAGGCTGCTTGCGTGTATGATAAAACGCAAACGACGAATTACAGTTGCTTAACGTCTGATGTTCAGCTGAAGCCATGTCCTGTGGCTTGATCTAAAGAGGGGTACGAGCAGTCGGTACCATTGGTGAAGTATCTCATCTGCTGCCACGGGCCACGCCTCTCAGCTCTCAGCTCCTCCTCGCAAACATGACTCCCAAAAGAGACAGTGGTGTCTGAGTTTGTTATCGTCCTTCTGTGCGGTCGCAATCAACTTGCCTTCCTCCTATCCCGTGAAGCGCGTCGACAATTATCTCTGGTGGAAAACATTTCGCCCGGTCGAGCTCGACATGGCTCTGGGAATATTGGAGCCTAGGACGGAAAATGTTCCTGGCACTGTTCAAGTCACCCGCGAAAGCAACAACGAATTGTCCACATCGCGAACGACAATTCTCGTACCACAGCCTACAGATGATCCGAATGATCCATTGGTATCGCAATCCAAAACAACCTTGTCGTGAATGCGTAGGAGCCGATTGGAACCGAGTCTCATGCGATCTACGGAGCGGCTGCCAATGGGCATGGCTTGTCAGGCAATACTCATCGACTCGCAAGCAACTGCTCTGAGCACTGCTACAGTGTTCTAGCCTGATAAGTACCGTGCCTCTTCACAGCTGCGACAACAATTCTAGATACGAGACATCGGGTCCAGTGCAACTTTTGTGCAGCCACGTCAAATTTACTGTGTGGTTACCACTGACTAGCATACAGAACTGGCCTCTCTGGCAACGCGATATCATCCTCGTCATCCTCTGTATCGTTTCAGTCCTTGCGACGACTGCCTCACCTCTTCTGGCCGCAGACTCAGTCGAACTCGCCCTAAAGTTTCAATGCACGTTCGAAGAAGCGGCTCTTCTCACAGCCTACCACTTGGCGGGTGTTGGAGTGGGAAGTTTGCTGTTCGTTCCACTTGCGAGAGTATGGGGAAAGAGACATGTGTTTTTGATTGGATCGATACTCATGATTGCCAGCTCAGCCTGGGGGGGATCTACGCATGTGGGATACAACTACACCAGCATGCTATGGGCGCGAGTGATTCAGGGAGTCGCCTTGGCTCCTTTCGAGTCGCTCATCAACGCATGTGTAGGTGACCTGTATTTCGTCCATGAGCGTGGACTGCGTATGGCCTTTGCAAACGTCTCACTCTTTGGCGGAGCCTTCTTGACTCCGGTGTTTGTTGGCATGATTGCCCATAACATCGGCTGGCAGTGGTCATTCTACTTCATTGCCATTTTCATGGGTGGGGGTTTCTTGCTGCTTCTGTTCTTGTGCCCCGAAGTGGCATATCACCGACCCGATCGACTGAATACCGACATGATGACAGCTAGCTCCGAGTCCTTGGGTGCAAACGCTGTCTCTTACGACGAAAAATCGCCAAATGAGCAAGTGGTCGCCAGAGTCAGAGGCAATGCTTGGAAGCCACTGCGCATCTCGCCCTTTAATGGACGCAAGACCGATGCATCTTTCTGGAAGCTGTTCCTGCGACCGTTTCCTCTCTTCTTGCACCCGGCCGTGATTTGGGCATGTCTTCTTCAAGGTGTTATCATTGGCTGGACAGTGATGGTAGGAGTGATTCTCTCACTAATCTTCCTCGGACCACCGCTGTTCTACAATGAGGAACAGGCTGGAAAGATGTATACCGCCGCCTTCATAGGAAGTATACTCGGGCTCTTGATTGCTGGAGTATATACCGAACTCACTACACGCTTCATGATCCGGCGCAACAATGGAAGATACGAGCCCGAGTTCCGCATCCTTCTCGTCATCCCAACTCTCATCTTCGCCGCCATCGGGCTGTACGGCTTCGGCGTCACGGCAGCCAACGTAGCACGCTACGGCTGGCTCGTCNCCGAAGTCTTCCTCGCCTTCATCGTCGCCAGTATGGTTATGGGTGCCACAGCTTCAGCTCAATATCTTCTCGATGCACACAGAGACATTGCAGTCGAATCCTTCACCTGTCTCATCATCTTCAAGAACATGTTCTCGTTCATCCTGGCCTACTTTGCTTATACATGGGTCTTTGCTGGCGGTATCGAGCACTTGTTTATTGTTTTCGGCAGCATCGAGGTTGCGATTTGCGCTCTGAGTTTGCCAATGTATGTGTTTGGCAAGATGAGTCGCGAGTTCTTTCATCGGCATGACTTGTTGCAGATTTTTGGGTTGAGATAAGTAGGGCTCAACGTTTAGCTTGCTAGCAGAGATGTCAAATATATGACTATCGTTTCTTTTTCCTTCAGAAACGATCTGTGAGTTTGTTTTTTCTTACCACAGATATCAGAAAGCGGGGCAAACATCTCAAGGTATCACTTCCGAAGACATGTCTGGTTGTAGCGAGACGAGATAAAGTTGGGAGAAATGATCTGAAGATCCCAAGGGCCTTTTCCATACATTATGGTCTATCACAACTGCGATCATGCAAACTCACGGTCGTCTCATGGAGATATCTTCAGGGAGAGTCGGATGTTCGATGGCTCTCAGTGGACAGTGTGAATTCCTTCCTGGAGAACATTGTGAATTGTGTTCTCGTATTGCGAGATAATCGTGCGTAAGAGATCTTGTGTGAATGGTTTGTTTGGTAGGTGGTACGGTCCCGGGTGTCGTCGGTCTCTTTCGAATCCTTGTGTTTCTCAGTATTTGTGTTGACATTTTGATATCAGAGAAAGAATATACCAGTGTTTGTTTATGCTACGGTTCTTTGGTAGAGTTCTTTCAGGCCCCTGGACACTGGGACTAATGAGACCATGTGAAAATATCAGGTCAACAGTTTGGATCCTCGATATCTTGGAAAAAGCAGAATTCAAGTCAGGGTGACCACTCCTCCACCTTTTTTCCTACTACTTTTTTATACCCACGACCACCAAGTTCCTTGGGCTGTGCTTGAATTCAAAAACTGCTTCCACCCACGCATCGGCAACCTCATCTTGCTCTCTAAGGAATAGATACCTGTCTACTACGATAGCGGCTTCGATGACGCCGGCGCTGAAAGCCATCAAACTCCACATGACGGATAGCTCTTTGCCTCGTTCCTTAAACTCAGTCTCGTAGTTGCGGATTTCGTCGTCAGTCATGCTGCACATTTTCTCCTTGAACAAGTCACCTCGCGTAGGATCATTGACGAGTTTGTCCAATGCACCACGCACATAGGCAGTGAAGGACTCGTAACAAGACTTTCTCAACGAACCGAGGATGATAGGAGCAGTGCCACCACCCGCACTCCACCCCAAAGGACTCCCATTATTCTTCTCCACATCTTCCGGCTCTGGAGCGGCAACAATGCCTTTGTCCATAAAGATTCTCTGCAGCAAGGCGCGGTAGAAATGGCGTTTGAAGAAATCTTCGCTGTCCTTTTTGCCCCAGTTCTGGGGTGCTTGGACGGCCATCATGCGGGCTGTGATGTTGAGACGTAAGCCTTTGCCGCTGGAGGTGGATTGATTGCAGAGGCGTGAGGACATTGGGAAACCGTGGGGGTCGTGTGCTTCAGAGGTTTCGGTTAGGCGTGGGTGGTTGGAGCGTAGAGAGGGGAGTTTGTAGGTCGGAGGGCCTAGACGTTCGGTCAAGAGGTTATAGCAACAGCCTNNGGATGAGTATTAGTCATGTCCAGTGGTATCAGGTCATATTCACTTACCGACTAGAGCAACGGCAGAGACGGCGGGGTTTAGAAGGAGAGAGCGGATGCCGTGGTGAACGAGGTTGCCACAGCTGTGCAGTGAGATGATGAGAAGGCGAGGGTCTTGAGCTTTGATCGAGTCGTCAACTTGAAGGTTTCCTTCGACAAAGTTGTCGGGGATTTGCTTTGAGGAGGGTGGTTGTGCTGCAGCGGTATCAAGGTCGGAAGTCACTTTCTCGCGAACGACATCTTGGTCCACGATCTGAGGTACTACGCGAGATAGGTCGCCATCCTTGATGTAGTGTTCGACGTATTGAATGCTGCCAACTCCCTGGTTTGAGATCTTGAGGGTCGCTTGTGCGGGTTGTTCTTCGACAGGAGTTTCTGCGTGGAAACCTCTTTCACCCTTGAGATCCTGCTTCAGCGCTTCCTTCTCGGATATTCCTTGTTCGGCCATTGCTTTCCTCCATTCCTTTTTGTTCACCATGGTCTGCTGCTTTGGCGCTAGTTTGGCAAGCACATCCCAATTCCTTGCGCCCTCAATATTGTGTGCTCTGCTCTCCAAGGCGATGATATGTTTGTTGTATGGTTCTGATGCTAGTGCTCTGCCCAAGTAGTTTTGACCAGCTCCAAAGTCGACTAGATGTGTGATCTCCTGATTTGTAGATCCGGCAATCTCGCTGGTCAATCTGTCCAAGTAACGGCAAAAGTTGTCGACTTCGTGAATCTTCTTGACGTTCATTCCGACTGCTACTTGGCGCGCCAGGGTATGTGAAGTTTTTGGCCCGTTGGTTCCTTTTTGGTTCTTCCTTTCGATTGGTGTGTGTTCACGTCGTAGGGATAATCTCCTGATCTGCTTGATAAATTGCAACAGAGATTCCGGCGGTACAGGGCCTTCTCTCCATGAGTTTGTTTCTTGGTTGAAAATGTTCAGATCTTCCCGCATAAGTAGATCCAAGATATCCATTATGTCGTGTGCTCGGAAGAAAGACCGCCATTCTGAGTCTATGACCAGAGTATAGAGATCTGGTTTTCGTGTGAAGAAGTCGAGGACGTGGACCCCGCCACAGAGGGCATGTAGTAGTTCAGAGGATCCGATAAAGTCCAGTAGGGTGTCGACATATTGCTCGGAAGTCTCAAACTCTGGCGAGCACGGTAGAGCGCGTTCAGGACCCATTGCAATGCAAATTTAAGTTGCAAGAATAGTAGGGTGTCTGATTGTCGATAGCAGCTAGTTATCACTTCTTGCTGAGTGGTATACACAGACGTATAGACATAAAATGTGGGAGAAAAAAACACCAAAGTTTTAACTCCGCAGCCAAAGGCCGAGGATGGGTCCAGTTCCTGGGGAAAGCACCTCTACCGAATCAACAACAACTCGAAGCCTCGTCGAGACTGCCACTCCGTCTTTTTTCTCTTTCCAGCGTTCGAACAATGAGCTAGATTGTCATTGCGGCATAGGCGGGCCGCATGCTATCAAAACACCACACACACACACACACACACACACACCACACACCATGGCCTCCGAAGACCCCTTTCTCCAAGTCCAGGCGTACGTTTCGCTGCTCGGCCCCAACCACTATACCAGGACATTGGAGGTGCTAACTACCACGCCAAAAACAGTGNACGTGCTCTCTCTCCTTAACACCACACGCCCCCTCTTTAATTCCTACATCCGCATCCGCAGCTCCGCCTCCTCAGCCACATCCCCCGAACTCGTGGATGCGCGCGACGAACTCGAAGCCACCCTCACAGACCTCAGCGCCGACCTGCGCGATCTCGTCGACAGCGTAAAAGCCGTCGAGCACGATCCCTATCGCTATGGCATCGAACTCGATGAAGTGGAGCGAAGGCGGCGCTTAGTCGCAGATGTCGGGCAAGAGATTGAAGACATGCACACCGAGCTCGCCAAAACAGTGCAAGAAGCGCAAATACATGGCAAAGGCAAAGCAAAAGATACTGGATTACCGCATCCGAGCGCCTTTGATTCCGAAGATGAAGAGGGGGTGGATGGCGATTATGGCCAGTTTGAGCAGCAGCGGCAAGAGGAGATTATGCAGCAGCAGGACGAGGCGCTGGATGATGTCTTCAAGACCGTGGGTACCTTGCGCCAGCAGGCTGACACCATGGGTCGCGAACTCGAGGAACAGGCAGATTTGCTAGACGATGTTGACAATATCGCCGATCGCGTGGGAGGAAAGCTGCAGAATGGCATCAAGAAGATTGGCTGGGTGATCCGGAAGAACGAAGGTTTGTATTTCTCTGATTCCCTTGTCGTTGAATTCCGTTGTTTTGAATCGCAGCACTTCTCTTTGAGACATCTTTGCTAACATCTGCCCCTTCACCCAGACACATATTCCAGCTGTTGCATCGCTGTTCTGATTGTCGTCTTGATCATATTATTGATCTTTTTGCTGGCTGCATGAAGAAGAAGAAGCAGCATTACCATAATAACGACCCCATGATAGAAACATTTTTAAACTCTAACAGCACAACCGCTTGTCTTTGGTACATTGGTACCGGTTTCACAAAAGTCATGACATGCTACTGCTGTTTCTACCAAATCTTTGCACATCGTCAGTCAGGAGAAGATACATGGCGACATCCCTCAACCAGTGTGCAAAAACAGTGGCGAATGACGCAGTCGACATCTGTAAAGCGTCATTTGAATATCTTTGCTGTTGTGTTGGTCGCACAGAGCGCGAAACAAAGTATGCGCTCAGATATCCACTGTAGTGTCAACCTGTCTCTTGTCATTCAAGGTCGAAGAAATGATTCCATCAAGATAGCATGACACATGACTCTTGTCTTCTTGGCGGGCTGTGATTTTGTTTGTTTGTATTCCCGTTTTCTTTTCTTGTTCCCTTTTTCTTTTGTTGTTTGATGGTGCTTGTTGCTTTTTATTTGCTTTTCCCCAGGGTTCATATATCCGGGGGCCTGGGCTCTGGGATTTTCTGACGACAAGCATCATGATGATAAAATGTGCTTGCAAGTTTTTGATCGATGATCTAATACAGCGATTGTTGACCAGCTTCAGTGATGATGATGTTTACTCGAAGACTCTGTATTCTATTCAAAATATGAAGAACAACTCGTAAATGCGTAGTTATTTTGAGCATGGCAGAACTTTTCTTGACAACGACGTCGGATGCTAGGATAACGGCAGCGCAAGAAATGACACACATGCCAGTGACCGTTCTCGAAGTACCATACGTTTCAAGATGATTGTTTGTAGCATGCACGATGACGAACCAGCGGCCAGCAGCATTGAAGCAATAAACCTGACAAGTTCGATGCTGGATCTTCAGATTCCGTGCCGCAAGACCACGGGCGACGGCAGGACGACGACAGAGAGTGAAGGGCCACAGCGACGACGATTTCTGCAATGACAGGTCTCGGGCGCGCGTCCGAGACGGATTGAATCTCGCGTGCTGTCCAATTGGTGCAACGCCGCAAATGTGGACGTACTTTGCACATCGAAGATATGGAGCTTCGATGTGGGAGTTTCGATGTCGATGTGATGACCACGGTCATGCGAGACGACACCTCTCAGGGATTCGAGACAGCCTGATGGTCACGATAGTCCGCAGGCTGCACCATTTGGCATTTGGTGACTTCTTCCTTCGATCGCGCGTCGATGACCTCGAGGATCAAGATTGCGCCCGAGAAGACACATCGTCGATGGGTCCGGCGGAGTTGCAACCGCATGGAGCGGCTTGGATAACACGCAACATTTGATCAATCGAGTGTCATAACCTACGCAGATGATTGATGGCCGTAGAGCAAGAAGATCAAAAGGTTGCGTGGATGGTTCGATGGTTGTGTTCGATTAGAACATCTGATGCCTGAGAAACTGATGACCGATTTTTAGCCGCATACGTATGTCGAGAATGGACGAGCATGACGAGCTTGTTCAACGAACACTTGTCATATAACGTGGTTCCCAAGTGCAAGTATCAAAGGATTAGATTAGATCAGTGACGCAGGTAAGCCAGGAGTGACAGCCCGCAGGAGACAGGGTACGTTGGTCTGCATCCTGCAGTTGAGAATAGTCGGCCTCAGCAACCCGATGTGCCCTGGATGCAGCCTTGCTATGCGAACGGGAAGTCAAACACATATCAAACCCACTCAATATATATACAAATAGATGAAGATACTTTCAAAAGTACAGATGTAGGCCGAATGTGGTGATCGATGTGAACGTCTACCTACGTGCTTGTCAGCGAGTAGACCAATGATGACAGCCGACCACGTACTCCGAGCAGGATGATTAGATCGTTCGCTTTGAGAATGAGAAACAAGCAGTTCGGCTTGGAAAAGCAGGCGATATGACGATGGGTTACGCAGTGCGTGCCTCTGACTTCGTTACCTCAAACCCTTTGCGCCTATAAAGATGGCCAGATGGGGTAATTGATAAGTGATCATCCTGATCTAGCTGATGTCTGATGTCAATCTTCCTCCACACAACAAAAAGTAGAAGGGTGAGGTCGACTGTGGAGTGCAGCACAAAAGTAATACAGAGGCAAACAACATCATAGGGCGCCAGTCTGTGCATCCGTATCATTGCATGTCTTTCAAGGAGTTCCGACCGAGTGGTTCCATCGACGTCAGAAAAGACCCAGCATGAAGACAGGGAGAGGTCGTTGCTGCCGTGACGGAGGAGACAGGGAAACCTGAGCGCTACCATCTACGTCACATGTCGGTGCGGCCCTTCTTGCGAACGGTGGTGGTGGCGGCGGCGGCGGCAGCGGTTCGAATGACCGGCGTTTTTTGGCTGGTGGTCAGTCTTCCCATGGCTACGCGATGCCGGGCACAAGTCACGAAGGACGGTCAGCGGCGTACGTCTCGAGTCGTGATGTTCCCAGAGGCACGTGCCGCGAGGTCTAGAAAGCACATCAACGTCAATTCACATTCCCAAAGGAATGAGGTAGATCTCCAATGCGGAGAGGAGTCGTCGAGCAACTCGTCTCCAAGATAACGAGGGCGATCTGACGAAGTCTCGAACCGAGAAGGAGCGATGCGCGACAACCTCGTCGCTGCCTTCTGCTTACCCTCCCTCACAGCGAAAACGACACCCGACCAGTGAGCATCCCCCCCGCGCGGCGCGAGAATATTGAGAGGCCCGGGCAATTTCGCCAGCTACATCATGATGGACAGGGTCTTCTCTAGACGCAGCCTAGCCTCCTCGGGCCCGCTGCTGTACACAGGGCAATGAGCTAATTGCGGGCTTGTCAGATCCAATGAGAATTTTCCGATACTCGCAGCCTCCCGCCTCCATAACAGGGGCTCTTCTCATCGGACCCTTTGACACGGGAATAGACCTGTTTTGCTGACTTGCAGCAGACTTCGCCGACCGTCGCGCTGCCGATCTTAGCATCAACGCCCGCTCTAGAGGCGCAGGGTCTGACGTTGATCCAAATGGCCCGTCATACGCTCTGCCTCACCCAAAGAACTACTTTGACTGTACGAGTTTTGACATATAAGGAACCTGGTTCTTCTTGTTGTTCACTGTTCTATTCTCATCAACACACTTCCATTCCAACGAATATCTCTCAAGCCTTCAACCTGTTCATCGAAGCATATCTCCAGCCTTCTAGCATCGTCTATCCATCTTCAAAACAATCTTCACAACAACATAATGGCAGCCCCTTCTGAGATCCAGCAAGTCTACATTGCTCAGGATTACAATGAGCCTACTGCCCCTCAATATGAGTTCCCTCAACACTACGATTTGAACGACCCCGACTCTGCTCGTCTCTCATACCAGAGATTGATGCACGAGCACACCAAGCAGCAGTTTGAGCTTGCCACATCATCTGCTCGCCGTCGTGGTTCTCCCGCCGAGCACGAGATGGCCGGTCTCCGTCAAGAGACTTCTGGCATGAGCATCGACTCCACTTCCTCTTCTTAAACACTTCGGTCTGCGACCAAGTTACGACAATTTTCACTTCATCAGCACACTTCCTTGCGAAGTTTTTCGACTGATGATCACGACCTCATGGGATGGCGTTTCAATTTATCAACCGGGGTTGGCAGGAAGCCTATGTGAGGCAGGATTTTTTTCAGATGCGTTCAAGCCGGGTTGGACGTTCTTGGTGTTCATTACATCTGGCATTTTACTACATGTCTCGTCGATATTAGTCGACTGGTTCCCATAGCACTCAGGAGCCACATTTCTTGCAATCAGCGCAAGATCACCTTTCAAGAATTGAATGAATATTCTTCTCTGATCAAACATGGTTCTTGATCATTGTTCATCGTGACTTGCTCTTTCGACTCTACTCTTTGCTTTGCGTATGCTGCTCAATCTTGTAGCACACAAAGTTCTGCCTCACCATTTATTAAACTCTAGCTATTCACGCATCCATTTCCCATCAAAACATCGCCTCGTCACAACCCTTGTCGTCAATAGGCCAACAGCTAATAATATTAGGATTCGCAAACACGTATGAGAACGCTGGTGAAGCGGTAGTCATGCAACCCGCCAAGAACACCCTCGCGACTGGAATCCTCAAAACGGCACGATAAAGAGTCCAGCACATCCTTGCCCATTCCTCCTACTTCATATCCATCTACAGCGCAGCTATCTGCAGATCAGCAGCCAGCAATTCAATAATCCGTTCTCAGCACCAGTCTATTTTGACCACCCCCCTCTCGAGCTGAACAAGGGTCTGGTAGAGTTTCAAGTAAAAGTGCCGACAGCCAAAGATGAAGCCTCTTTCAGAGGATCCCAGAGTCAAAAAAGATTGGGATAGGTTCAGACTCTGATTGACCGTCGCGTGGAGTCAGCGTCAACCAGTCGCACCGTGCTCCGCATAGTGGAAGCCAAGCTGGAACGCCAGGCATTTTCTGCCGTGCTCCTTCACAGCGGTTTGCAGCGCGTGAAGAGATCTGCACCTGTCGAGTTTGTTTGACGAGAGCAGCCTCGACGCCGGTGACATGTAAGATTGCGACAAGGTGCATGGCGTGCAGTTCGGACACGGCACAGAGATTATCTTGGAGCGACTCGATTGCATCATGCAAAGTGGTTTACGGAGTGGTCTCCAGTCAACTAGACTTTTTGGCCAGCGGCTCAGCACATGCACCAGCGTCATGACTGTTTCACAAGGGCATCAAAAGGACCGTCTTTGACTGCTCGCTTGACAAGACTCGGGCGAGTGTCGTGCCGGCTTTATCAGGGACAGTGGGCGGGTGGCTTGAAAAGTCAAGAACCAGGGTTTGGTAGGGTTGGGCTGGGCTGGGCTCATCTGACCAAGCGAGATCTGCCATGCGGGGCCGGCGGGCTATCTCGCATCTCGCATGTGTCCAAACACCCAAGCACCAGAGGCGCGACTCGCACGACAACAAGATTCGACTGCGCATACAACGGCTCGGCAGCAGACCCTTTGAACAGAGTCAGTCGGCACGCACGAGCGAAGCACGCATCTCGAGCCTGTGCTTGTGCCATAGACGTCAACCTCGACGTCCATCTCGTCTCCAGCATCCAAGTCTAGACGTCACGCCCCAGGCCCAGCACCATGCCGGAACGCAAGTCTCCCTTCCGATCCCGACCAGCACGATAGCGCCCTACTGACTCGAATGCGCCAAACAGAGAACCCCCTCTTAGCCCAGGTCCCACTGACCGTCTCCCCCTTCATCACATTGCCCAAAGCCCCGACATTACCACACAACTACGCCAGTCTACCTTCAACCCTCCCACCCTCCATCCTCAACCCAGACACCGATGACCCCTCCGCACCCCCAGCCTACGTGACCTCAGGTACTGGCTTCCGCGCCCATCCCTCGGCCATCATCGCGCAAAACAAAGCCCTCCGCGAACAACTCGACACCGCTGCCTCGGACGCCAGAACCAAGGTCCGCGATTGGCGTGCCGCAATCGATGAGCGCGAGTTGGCCGAGAAGAGAAGGAAAGCTCCAGGCTGGCTGGACAGCGATGCCAAGATCTTGAGACCTGCGACGACGGTTCCGCTGCCGGATACAAAGCCTGGTGCTAGTTTGTTGGATGCCGAGGATAACAATACTGATGCGCTGAGACCGCAAGAATCTGGGAATGATATGGGGTCGCAGATGGATCGTGCTTTTGGTTGAACTTGTCGCGCCTGTTTCGACTAAGCCAATCTATGAAGAGCCCGTTTTCTAGCGCATGCAGTGGTCAAGTGGACAGACATCCACTGCCGCTCCGGAACAGGTCATGAACGTTTGTTTTGAACAGCAACCATCTTCCATGCCCCGAGGGCAGTCACCAGTCACTGCACCGCCAAGCAGAGCCGCTCGACGTGTCTCGGAACAGAACACGAGCTACTGGGCCACCACAAAGATGTGCTGGACAAGCCAATCACCACTCTCAAATTTCGAGGGCTAGGACTAGGCAAAACAGCTCTCACCTAGTTGTAGCTTCGTCTAGGTAAAGTCAAGTTGAGCCTGTATGATCCAATCATCTTCTGCTTGTCTTGCTCTGTACGGCTACCCGCTTCATGCGCTTGCATCTTTGCTCTTTTCGAAATACAGAAGTCCAGCTTCTAGTGAAGAATGCAATAAGAGGTAGGAGGTAGTCATGAGTATTGAAGATGAGCTGTAGATGAAGTATTGTCAAGTGCTGCAAACGAGATGGTGAAACAGTTCGCGTGAAGTCATAAACCCCATTGATTCGACGACAAGTCGGGATGTGAAAAAAGCGTTTCCCGGTAATACAGGAACAGTACTACAACAAGATCATACAAAGAAGTGTAGGTAAAAGAATAATTAAAACAAGAACAAGAACTTTTTTCCAGTCACTGCCATGACTTCACATGCTTCCCATCAATGCCCCATTAGTCACCACCATCAAGACTGTCCACANNACTCATCGCCTCCTCCTCCAAAAGCGCCGCCAGCGCCTCTCCAACCTCATCTTCTCTCACAATAACATTTCCCGTCCTCGCCGTGGACAAATAACTCATATTGAATAGCGCACCTTCCCCATCACCTCCATCCCCCAACCGATCCAGCAATCGTCCAGCAACACCGCAAACAATTCCCGTACTCTCCTCTGGCAATTTGCGCAAATCAAACACAATGGCGAAATAGGTTTGATCGTTTTGAAGTAGGATTCCTTCGCCGCCAGAGGAGAAATGGGAAAGCAGGGTTTGGTCTAGGGTCAGGGAAACAGTGTCTGTTTGGGTGAGTGTGATGGACATGAAGCGCGGATTGCAGAGTAGGCATTTGAAGATGCCGAGTTGGATTGCGTCGTGGATGTCCGTGCTGTCGCTGCGGTAGCCGGCACACGTGCGCAATTCCAAGCTTTCGTTTACTTGAGGAAGAATGTCGTGGCGGTGGAGGGTGGAAAAGGTTTTTGTTTGCCATTCGGCGACGGTGGCTGGTGGGGGTGTACCTGGGGGTTGGAGGTCGAGCGAGGAAGAACTGCTGCTGTTGCGGTTGTGCGAGTGCAGGGGTGAAGATATGTTGGTCATGTTCGCGCCGTGGCCGTTGGAGATGGGTTCAAAGGCGAACCCGCGTTCTTCCAGAGCGGATATCACTGTGGATTTGGCGTTGTAGGGGACGAGTACAAAGTCGTTGTAGTAGCTTGTGATGAAGAAGATTGANGCTGTATTCGCATGTCAATATTTTCCCCCAAGGAGTCTGAGGACGTCAACGTACATTCCGGCGAGAGCTAAAGGTGCAGTAAGGTCCAGCACTCGTTGTCCGGCCTCCATACCTTCACCTCCGACTTGTATCACGATAAAGTCGTCGTTGCTGATGATGACAGCTTGTTTCGCCTTCGCATCCAACCTCTCGACCAACGGTCGGAACAGTTCGTCGACCAAGGGGCGTGGGCAGACCACAGAACACTCGATTGTTGTCACTGAAATGTTGGTAAAGGCGTTTGGGTATGCCCACTTCCTACGAGGCAGGCCGTCCACTTCATCTGTACTGTCTGTGAGCGTCAGGAGACGCAAGATGGGCTGTATGAAGTGACAGTATAAGTGTAATGGTATATGCACGATTGCTAGTCTGGTTTCCTGTGCAACAGAATCCTTGTTAGTATAGTCAAGCATGAATGATTCGATTGAGCAAAAAGTGAACATTTCGGTAAACAAGTATTCGAAACTAATAAGCAGACTCCTAAATCTACTAAACCAGACAGAGGAGCCAAGCTCAGATAGGACCGTGTGCAAGGGTAAGCACTTCCAAGAGACATGAAAGGGAGACGTACCAGGAATTGAACCTGAGCGTTCAACAAGACCATGGAGTGATCCATCATGGTGGAAATCCCAACTGCGGGGTCGAGGGTCGTTTCAGGTGCCGCCGATTTGAGCTGCAATGAGCTGCTGCCACCTCGTGTGGTGTACACAGAAGAAGCAAGCTTCCGAGGTGATTTGTAGTGGTGCGAAACAATGTCTGATGCGAATCGCGAGAGGGTCTCAAAAAGGTCAAGGTCAGGGTCAAAGGCGATAGGTCAGCGATTGATGTGCTCCTGTCCGGCGGGCCAATGAGAATAGTCGTTCTTGAAGTTCATAATCCGAGGCCAGAGGTCAAGTGTGGAAGGGTTGGGTCGTTCCCGAGCTATGCAAGCAATTCAGTGTCGAGGTAGACAAAGGGATGGAACAATCCAAAGGCGGAAGAAAGAGCCCAGTATATATATATCAAGACGCGGTTCAAAGCGGAGTATGAATAGTCTTCACGAGGCCCGTCCTTACTAGCCTGTACTCTGCTAGCCCTGGTGGAGTACTTTATGAGGAGAGACCACCGGTTCGAGGATCCTGCAAGTCCAAAGTCTCGAGTGTCACGACCTGTAATGTCGCAAAGATGTGTCAATGCTTGCAAGGAATCCGATAAAAGCACGGGGGCGTGCTGAGTGTGCGTATGTGCGTGATCGAGCGGATCAATATGCGTGACCAGATGAAGTCGCAATCGATTGGAACGTGGGGGTGTGATGCAGAATTTCTGCCTTCACCGGATTGGCCTGAATTTTGCTGCACGCGCGCAGTGTCGTATAGCGTGGATGGTGATACGCAATAGGAATAGGAAAAAGATTTCGAGTTGGCAAAGACGATCCTTTTCGTGACTTGTTCGGACACCGCCGAAGCGAACAAAGACGTGAGAAAAAAGGCTCGAATACACGACGGACGCGGCTACCTCTTCTAATAGGGCACCACAATGAAACTCACTAATAGGTAGAGGCTGGTGTGAAAAAAGTGTGTTATCTATCCAGCTATTTCCTTTACTTTCGGCGTGACTCATGAGTGTCAAGTCGGAAAAGTGTCGACGACGAAATCTCCCGGAGGCCGCTTCCTGCCGGAGCAGCGAGGCTCCACCAAACCCTCAACTGTCGGGAGTTTCTTTCTTGTGAACCACAGCTCACATTGACATTCGCAAAACGGTCAAGTCTTGTCCATGGTCACTGATACATGCTGTGTGTGCATTGATTCTCAGACAGCATAAAGCCAAGCGAAATGCTTGCTTGCGGCCTGCAGCTTTTGTGTCATCTCACGACAAGACGACAACGTGATTGCACCTCAGCGATGAGCCTCACCACCGCACTCTTGCGTTCCCCACCCTGGAGATTCGTGTTTTTGTTAGCGGCAGCGGCAGTAACAAAGCTTTGGGTCTACAGCTTCCTGCAGGTTCAAGCCACAGATATGGCCGAGTGACTCTGGACCTTGTACCTGCTCAACACCTTTCAACATCATTGCCCTGATTCGCTTAAACACCGAGTCTGTAATCTGGAAGCCAGCCTCCGTACTCGCCTGCTCCAATCGTGTTTTCCTGGATTTCTAAAACGCCTCACACTTGAAGAATGTTGGAATGCACCCTTGTGTTTGTCGTTCATGCGACAAGACAAGACATCTCAATCATGAGTCGCACCCCTGAAGCCTTCCCGCCCTTGATTTGCATGCAAACTGTACCCAGGCTGTTCGGCGCTCTGCTGCACAGGCAACTTTGACGATATGCCTCCGCGTCTGCCTTATCTCTTGCGCCATGTAGAGTACGCAATATCATTGATAAGCGGTAGCTAGCTCAAGGCAAAGCGCTACAGATTGTGTGAGTGGAGAAAAACATTAAGAATCCTATACAGAATATGATCTATCAGTGTTCAGTCACAAGTACAATGACCAAGAACTTGAGGCTGATATCGATTTCAATATCGTGGCGCCTTACCAGATGACCCTGTCCGCTCCTTGGCCTCGTTACATCGCGGGATGTTCAGGTACGCAAACTCTCTTCATCAATTCTGCTGTTGCTTGGGACGCGCCACGCATCACTCGTGGCGCATGTGCACGGCAAGATAGTCGAGCATAAAGAGGGGTGCATACGTGAAGTGGGGTAGGCAATCAAAAGGCATGTCGGTTCAAGCAGCTGGGTCACTGAACAGCCAGGGGCCAATCCAGCGGGTCTTAAGCTCTAACCATCCTCGTTATACCAGAAGAGGACAAACCTGCAGCCTCCAGGTGTCAGATGGACACGGCGAATTATATGAGATAGGCTACCATCGTGTGCCATCCCACGTCCGGCGTACACATGGTACTTTTTTTTTGCTCGTCAAGCATCGAAGACGTCAGAAGTGATTCTGCATTGACTACGCTTCCAGTCGTGATACACCAAAGCCTCTTTACGGCATAAGCACGAAATAAGACGTCGGCACCCGTCTTCGGATCATCAGCTATGCACTGGCATCGCGTCTTGTAGGCAGGTGCCAGTTCTAACATTCTATGCCCTCAGGCTCATCTTGTTGTCTGCACCCGGCGGGCTTAGCTAAGCTGTACAGTCGACTCGGTTGTAATGGCTCATGATGACAAGATCCGTGCCAGCGAGCTCATAGTCACTCCCATCATGACTTTGGTATAGCTGAGGATCACTCGGTGGCTATTCACCACGATCAGACTTCCCTGTTTGACGAGACCATGGTCTTCTTTACTGATTCAATGATGTTGCTGAAAATGCCGGAGTTGTCTGTACCTGTCTGTCAGTCCAGTGTAGGCTCGGTCAGTATAGCAAGTTCTCTGTTGTCAAATCTCAACTGCCCACATTTAGGAAGACGCCCAGGAAGTCTCACCCCAAGTATTGTTAACCTTTGACCTCCTATTCACAGAACTTCAGCACACAGACTAGACAATACTAGGAGCGAAGTGAGTCTTGACGGAACAATTCGTCACTCGCTTTCGGAGAGGTGAACAACCTCTTCTATCCTAGTTTCACACAACATCCTGTTCATATCAACTCTCTTCCCTCGGAACGCATACATCTTTTCAACATCCTCCACTACTTAATCCTCCTCTTTCTCCAAAATTCTTGTCATCTACAACCAGATCATTTCGGTGCACCTTTCCTCCTTGTGGACTTCGTTTGCAATCAAGGTTGTTGCTTGCTACCTTCTCCATGAGATCGGACAGTGTTACTGACTGGTGTCGTAGCCAGACCATGTCAACCTGCACTTCTGACTTCACCGCATCGCGCGAGAAGCCAACCTTCAGTGAACCACCTTGCAAAGATCTGGTCACATCAAGCCACGCAGTCTCCTCTGATATGGATCCGCTCGACAAAGTGAGAGCTCAGGCTTACCGCGATGCTTGCCGCGCAGCATACTTCAATGTAGAAAAGGTCCACAAAGCTGAGGAGTTCATCAAAGAGCTTGACCAGAAACTCACAGGAGGTCAGATCGGCGAGATGACTGCATCCACTGGCGGTGTAAAGGTGGTCTGGAAGAAGAGACTGACAGCCAAGGCTGGACAGGCCAGATGCAAGTCCAGACCTCACCCCTCTGCCACTATCGAGTTGTCCGACAAACTTCTCGACGACCAGGAGCGCCTGATCAACACTGTTGCCCATGAGTTCTGCCATGTCGCTAACATTCTGCTCTGCCGTGACCGTTCACATGGACCTGGTTTCAAGGAATGGGGCAGACAGTGTGAGGCGGCATTCCGTGACCTCGGTATCAAGATCACGACGAAGCACACCTATCGCTCTAAGTTTGAGTTCATCTGGACATGCTGCGACGAGAAATGTGGTAAAGAGGTTGGCCGCCACACTAAAAGCATCAACCCCAAGACCCAATCATGTCGCTACTGTGGTGGTCTCTTGGTGCAGACGAACCCAGTTGCCCGTACGCTCAAGCCTCGTCTGGAGTGCAAGGATAAAGAGTGAGAGTTCTCATGAGATACTTATGACGATCAGTTGCAACTGAAATGCCGAATAACATGCAATCGAGACGAGAACAGGGATCAGAACAATAACATTCAAGGTAGGTTAGTCACGACTTTCTTGTCAAGCTCCCATTGACTTACAGGCCTCGTTCCGACAGGCGTCCTGCATATCATCATTTGTCTTACAGCAAAATCAGCACCGCACAGTATCATAACTCGATCGCAGCAGACACTTCAGGCGTGGATGATCAAGACTCTGGTTTCGACGGCAATCACATGGATGGATTGCTCAGAAGTTTGGAAAGGAAAGAAGAACAAAGAACCAACAACTGGATGTGGCAGGCAGGATCTGAGAATCAAGTGCTTGCATAAACATATTCCTTTTATCATCAGGTTCATCATTGCATAGAGGACAGAGACTGAATTATAAGTCGTTCTCATCACGGGTTCACCTCACTATACACTTGCCAATCGGATACTGATTAATATTGAGCCTGGGAGGGAGTGACCCAAATCATCTCTTTTGAGAAGGGTATAGTAAACAGCGCTCCTTCCCGGATACTAGAATTGGTCAAATGCAGCTGAAAAAATACACCGTACTTTTCGGAAACCAGGTAATATCCCTTGGGAGTCGTCATGCCCTCAGCTCTCCTTTAGAAAACTCTTGTTCCTGCGAAGAGTGTGTATTTGCATAGATACATCCATCACTTCATATTACAATCGAGAGCAGATTTGAGTAGGATGACTTCAACGTGTGGTTTCACAGACGCGTTATGGTGATTCGCTCAGATTTGTTTCACTCGCAATACTTCCGCTGAATCACACGAGACTGAAGGTGCTCACTCATCCCAGTGCGCACATACAAATTTACTTCCTTCTTCCCCTTCCGCCGCTTTTTCCTGTCTCTCACAATACAACATTACTCGCGATCATGTCTCCAAGTTCAAACATAACAACAGCCCAACACAATGAGTCTCCGAAGATCAAAGAAGAATGGAAGCGCGATGCATGGAGACGTAACACAGTCGTGTAAGCATCTTAGCTGTCCATACTCGATTTACTATCCAGCTAACAAACCAGTAAACTCTTGATCCAAGAAAACGACACAATGGTCGTATTAAAGTCAAAGGAAAATAAGATTGCCAATCATCATCACGTTCACAAAGCTTTGCTTTGCTTCTACTCGCCCTAACACGACAGACTCCTCAATGGAAATTTCTCGGAGGGTGTAGCACCTCCTACTGAGCCTCTGGTTGTGCAAGCTAATGGCAGTGTCTTGGAGCTGTTCTACATCTGGCTTTACACCGGCAAACTTGGCATCGCTCTCTTGCCTGATGAATCCAACAATAATATCTGGTACACTACGATTACAAAGCTTTACATCCTTGCCGACGAGCTCAACTGTATCGCGCTGCAGCGTTCTATCGTTTCGACACAGATATTGGTCAGCAAGAATATATCCCTTCCGAGATTCGAAATCGTTGGGACCCTGTCAGACAGCTCTCTCAAGTCTTCCGGCCTGTATCAGTACTACGTGGAAGCTCTCGCTAGACATTGGAACGGTTCCTTGACTGGAGGACCAGCTTTTCAGTGGTGTGCTAAGATGGATGATCCCATGCCGCCCAATCTTGCATATCACTTACTGATGAAGAAACTCAAAAAGCCTGACAACCGCGTCGCCGGCAAACACTGTGTCTGTTGTCATGATCCTTGCGAGTTTCATGGTCAATCGAGTGATCAGGAGCGTGAAGCTAGTATGTTCGAATGAGCACTAAAATCCCAAGACCGCATGCTGACAAGGTTCGACAGCCTGTGGTGCCCCTGATGAAGAAGTGGAGATTGAGGATTGCGACTGCGATTCTCTACCCGACTCAGACACCGATACGGAGCCAGAATCAGAATCAGTATCTGGTTCGAGATCGAAATCGGAGGCTATATTGCTCGATGATTCGGCTACAAAGAAGCGCAACCATGATGACGGCGAGACGATCACTTCAAAGGCAAAGCGTGTAAAGACGACCTGAGTGATTAGAAATGGTTGTTCGAGGGTATGCCAGGGACAAGGAAGGGCAGCACAAAGGAGGCTGGACCAATAGGAGGCTGCTTCTTCCAAACATACAGCTTCCCATACACATCGTCTCTCTTCAGTTCTAACAATATAACAGTTGTTGAACTAAACAATACTTTCCGATAGAGACATTGTCCACTGAAAGCCATAAAACTCTCGACTCTCCCTGGAAAAGTCTCTATAGCAGAAACAACTGTGCATTTCTCCAGGTGTAATTGCGACATATCGTGGTATATGGGGAGGTGCCTTGAGATATACATAACATGATGGATGTGTTGGAGAATCAATACAATCTTGGCAGGCTGGTGCCTGAAGTATAGATGTCAAGTCTCATTTCGTTTGAAAAAATGGAACTTTGCACCCGCACTCAACACTGCTTTCTCGCGAACAATTTTCTCATAACCCTGGAGACACCAAATCCCATACTCCCATCTGCATACTATACCCCTCGAGCCCCAGACAACCTCCGCACCCACGACCATCTTTCCGCTACTTTACACCCTTCCCTCCCACCTCCTCACCACTTTCCTTCTCTCTCCGCAGTAACCGACCCCAAAACTCTCGCCCTCCCTTCCATAAAAACTTCCTTCTCAGCAATCTTAATATCCAACATCTTCCTCTCATTCTTTTTCTTCTCGACCTCCTCCATTCTCTCGTATTCCCTTGCCGTCTTTTCAGCACGGAGTTCTGCAATCTGAGCAGCAGAGAAGGGCGTACGAGGGATAATCTCCGGACGAGGTGCAACCCAATGGTGGATCGGCTTGAAAGGCAGAAAGTCAGTGGCAGGAGGGCGATCGGTGGTTGTAGAAGCTAGTGAGAGACGAGAAATATATGTAGGGCCTGGGGTAGGTTTGGAATTGCTGTTGTTGATGTTCACGGTAGTCATGGCGCTGATTGGCTTTGGCGTAGAGATGATGTTGGCAGTGTCGTTTATGTGGGGTTTATGATTGCTGACGGTGGTGGGCTCGAGAGAGTATTCGGCCGAGTCGGGAGTGCTTGGGTTCATGATGAGGTGGAGATCCATGCTGTTGTCGATGCTGTAGAAGTGATGGCTCATGTATTGTTTGTAGTCAATGTCGATGATGGTAGATGCTCTATGCTGTTTCAGTTGTGTTGGGAGCGAAGTATGTCTTGCTCGGTTTGTTGTTCCCTGCGGTAAGAGGCTCCTGTTCGACCGCTCTTTCTGAATCAGGAGCGGCATGTCACTGTCGTTGATGCCGCCTGAGGATGGCAGGAGCTTTGTCTGGCAATGCCTGAGGAGTGATCGAACCTTGTGTTCCAACTCATTGAGAGCATGTATTTTGTGTATTTCCGAATCTTTTATCTCGTTACTGATCCCAACTTTTATTTGGCAGCGGCAGCCCACGCCTCGTGCAACTTCTTTTGCCTCTCCCAATCCTTTCTCAATTTCTTGCTCCTGCTCTTAGCAACCTCCTTACCTTCCTTGTCTTTTGTCGGCAGACCTTCTTCGTCCCACTCCGAAAATTCTGCTGTGCGAAACATCTCCAGATGAGACAGCTTTCCCTTCTCTAGCCTCTCACGTTCCTCCTTTTCTTTGGCCTCCTTTGCTGCCTTTGCCTTTTCTAGCTTCATGGCAGCCAGAGCTTCACGGTTTGCGCGTTCCTCGCGGAGAGAGGCGTTCAAGGGACGTACGAGAGCGGGTGCGTTGGCGCGATCTTCCAGATAGATGCCTAAGTTCCAGAGAGTGGTGTCACGAAGTTCGTCGCAAAGCGGCATGTATGCTTTAGGAGCTGCATCAGCCTTGATGAGGTCATTGAGTTTGCTCAACCAGCCCACTGTGGCCTCGGCAGCTTCGGCACCCTCCTTTGTTTCTGGCGGTGTCTTGAGTGCCGCAGCATCGAAGTGACTGAGGATGGCAGGTGCGTCGATGGTACCAGCAATGGCCTGCTTTCGCACCTCGTCTCTGATCTTGGCGAGAGGGTACACAAACGGTGCAACGGTAGAGTCAACCTCAACACCGCTCCACGAGATACCATGAGATGGTGGGTTGGCATCTAGACCCAGCATTGTAACAATAGATGTGACGTATTTGGCGATCTCGATGGTCACTTCGTCGCTTACACCAGTCTCGGAGTTGAACGCGGTAACAAGGTCCGAGAGAACCTTCATCACTGTGGGTGTATCAAAAGAGTCCAAGAGCCCGTCCTCAACAGAGATCTTGGCGGATTGGAGAGCTTCCTTGAGAGGACCGTCAGGCGAAAGACCAGTCTCGCTGTCGACTGCTCCCTGGATGGGGTTGATCTTTGTGTCCAAAGCCTTCAGCATGAAGTTGGAAATCTTGTCTTCCCACTGCGAAGCGATCTGTACGATGGAATCAGAAATCTCCAAAGGGGAACGATAGTTTCCGAGAAGGAAGACTATTCTCAAGCCGCGAGGGGTCCATGTTCCTTTCTCCAGAGCTTCACGAATAGTAGTAAAATTCTTCAGACTCTTTGACATCTTGGCGCCGGAAATGCCCAAGTGGCCCATGTGGAGGAAGTAGTTGACCCATGTGCTGTCTTTCTCGGCCGGGCATGAGCAGTGGAAAGCTTCTGACTGGGCAAGCTCATTGTCGTGATGGGGGAAGGCCAAATCTATTCCACCTGAATGGATATCCATGCGAGACCCGAGTACGTCGGATGCCATGGCACTGCACTCAATGTGCCAGCCGGGCCTTCCAGGTCCCCATGAGCTGTTCCAAGCCGGCTCACCTGCCTTGGATGCCTTCCACAGGGAGAAATCTGCTGGAGACTTCTTGAATGAAGTTCCCTTGGCTGCCAAAGAGCCTTCACCTTCAGCAAGGAGAGCAGGATCGGCCTTGTTCCAGGGTTCCAGACGAGCATAAACTCCACCAGCCTTCTCCCAAGCACCGACATCAAAGTATACACTTCCGTTGTGCTCGTAAGCATAGCCGTTGTCCTGAATCTGTTTTACGAAATCCGCAATCTGGGGAACGTAGTCGGTGACGCGAGTGATGGTGGTTGGAGGCAAGACGTTGAGAGCAGCCATATCTTCGAAGAAATAGTTCTCGTACTTCTTGGCAAGGCTGTTGAACAGAGCATGATCGTTGGCATCAATGGTGGAGCCAAACTGAGCATCGAGGTAGGGCAGAAGGACGCCAGAGGCCTTGGCATAGAATTCCGTGGCATTGGCTTGTGCAGCAAGAGACTCGGCAGCAGTGGATGATGTCTTGATGTGCATCTTGACCTTTGCTTCGTTGTCTCCAGGGGCGGCACCGTCATTGGCCAAGTTCTTTCCTTGTAAGACATGTCCGTACGCCTCTTCTACTGTTTGTGTGTAGTCGGAAGGTGGGACATCTTCGGGCAACAAAGGGAGGTTCTTTGAGATGTATGCCTTGAAAGCAGCGTTTGTCGTGTCGAGAACGTCGGTGTCAACGTTGTCGTGTTTGTTGATGAAGTTGGTCAGCAAGTGCTGTTGGCGGGCAGCAAGAATGATCTTGTCATCTACATCGGTGACTNNGAGTGTAGGGTCAGACATGTAGCAGCAAGTGGGTGTCAGGTGTCTCGTACCATTCATGACCATATTCACATGGTAGCCTAAGTGTGTCATGATTCTTCTGAGGATATCCAAGCTGACATAGTTGCGCGCGTGGCCCAAATGGGAGAAGTCATATACAGTCGGACCNGCCTGTCGTTCATCAGTAAGATACTGGTAGCATCAAACTTTCCGAGCAATCATACAGCTATACCACGAAACTTTTCCCAACTCCAGAGGCACAAAATCAACCTTGGACCTAGTCAATGAGTTCCAGAGTTTTAGGTTTGGTATGGATCCTCCAGATGGGGCTGGAGGAGGGTTCCATGGAGGCTGCACCGTCGCCATCTTCCCTCTTGAACGATACAATGACGATGTGGATAGGAATGCGCGAGTCGAACTTCTGGCAGTGGATGGGCGTCTTGTAGATTGGCCAGTCGAGAATGATCGTGTCGCGAGAGCAAAAGTCGCAAACTGGAGTGGTCGCGAGAAGGAAGGATGCTGACAGAGAAGAATTCGAAGCAAAGGCGCAGACGACGGGAAACAGCTGAGCATCGACGGGCTCCTTGTGATGTGGCAGAGGGAAGGAGCGAAGAGTCACACTGCACTTTCCAAAGCTCTCGTGGACCCTGCGCCTGCACTTGGCTGGGCCTGCTGCGCTCGCTGTTGCTGGTCGGCGGCCGGGAGTGCCCCACCACTTCTCCGCAATCCTTGGCACATGCTCTCGGACTTGGTCAGAAAAATAATGTTGCTGCACCTTTCAGATCGCCCAAACACATCAATTATCAATGGCCACCTCGGACTTCAAGCCCTCACCCTTTCTGGAGCCTGGAACTGCCGCTTCCATCGGGTCGCTAGCAATCCTCCACCTGAAACGCGATCAGCTCATACCTCTGATCCTCAAATCGACCGCCGACGATGGCTACGCAGAGGGCGCCGTCACGAATACCCGTTTTGGTTCCTTCCCGCACTCGACACTGAAAGACATTCCATGGGGTACCCAGGTTCGCGCCTCAAAGGTCGACACTGGTTCAAGAGGTCGCGGTGGTGCTAAGCGCAAGATCGACGACACGGAACCCAAGGAGGCCATCCAGGCCGGCACAGGCTTCGTGCATCTGCTACCACCCACTCCCGAGAGCTGGACCATCAGTCTGCCCCACCGCACCCAGGTCGTCTACACCCCCGATGCCAGCTACATTCTGCAAAGACTCCAGGTCCGTCCTGGTCAAACGATCATCGAGGCCGGTGCTGGATCAGGCTCTTTTACACACGCTTCAGCACGCGCCGTCTTCAACGGCTATCCTTCACAGTCCTCGTCAGAGCCTTCGCTCAAGAAGCGTCGTTACGGTCGTGTCTGCAGTTTCGAATACCACGAGCCGCGTGCCATTGGTCTGCAGGACGAAGTTCGTGCTCATGGACTCGATGACCTTGTCCGCGTGACCCACCGCGACGTCTACGCTGACGGCTTTCTTCTCAACGAACAAAACCCCGGGGACAAGTCCCCCAAGGCTGACGCCATCTTTCTCGATCTCCCTGCGCCTTGGATGGCTCTCAAGAACTTGACCCGTCAGCGCCTCCCAGCCCGTACCGCCAAGCTCGTCGCGAACTCTGCCTCTTCCGATTCCGCCGATACATCTTCCCCCTCAGAAACAGAGACACCGACAGAAGAATCTACCGAACCCTTCATCTCTCCTCTAAACCCCAACGTTCCCGTGCACCTCTGCACTTTCAGCCCTTGTATCGAACAGGTTACTGCAACGGTAGCCGCCTTGCGCCGCCTCGGCTGGACAGAAATACAGATGGTTGAAGTCATGCAAAAACGTATCGACGTGCGACGAGAACGTGTGGGCTTGCACGAAGAAGGTCTGCGCGGCGTGAATGCTTCAGCTGCGACCGTGGATGAAGCCGTGAACCGCTTGCGAGAGGTTGAGGGCCGATTCAAGGAATGGCACGAAGCCATCAAGGAGGCAGATGTGGTGGCCGAAGCGAACGGACAACCCAAGCCTCGTCCCAGTAACAAGGACCACCCAGCCAGTCACTTCGAGAGCAAGCAAGCCAGACTCGAGCGTATCAAGAAACAAGCCGAAGAGAGAAAGACGTTCAAGGAGGGAAGACTGGTGCACAGAACTGAGCCCGAGATCAAGACACATACAAGTTATTTGGTCTTTGCAGTCCTACCACGGGAATGGAATGAAGAGCAAGAGGAGAGGCTGAGGAAGAAATGGGGCACAGAAGGCCAGGTCTCGACTGAAGATATCAGCAAGAAGGGAAACAAGAAGAGCAAGAAGACGTAGATTATACCTTACACACATTACACGCTGCGCTTGACAAAGAGCAGTTCACGAAGACAAGTCATCTTTTTCTCGAGTCCGTCCTCGGCATACTCTGGGTGCTGATTTGTTGCATTCAATGAATTTCTGTGAGCTGAACATCTCAGTCAACCATGGACTGACCTTGAGACGGGAGACAACTTCCTTCACGGGTGCTCAGTCAAGCCATTTCTCGCCATGCACAACCAGAGAAGGCATCCCTCGAGATGTCTTGCGGCTGCGCTGGTAGTGCGATTACCAATTTCAAGATTGATCATCATTGCAAGGGTGATGGAAGAAGATTGAGAGCAAAAAGACATACATTTACTATATAATGGTCGAGGTGTCCCATCTTGTAGGTCGTCGCCATGTCCTGGGAGCCACCACGAAGGGGCCCTCGTGAAGACGGTTTTAAAAGTGGGGTAGAATCAATCTCGACACACGCATCGGAGTCGCCAACCAGGTAGAGCATATGACCGGCTGGCGAAGATTTGAGTTGGTGGTCTTGGTTGAGAAGGAAAAGAAGAGGTCGCATGCACGCGAGATCTCTTGTAGTGAAAAAGAAGACGTCAGGGCCCGTGCAGGCTTGGCGCGAGCTGCGACAGTTCTGCGTCTGACGGCGACTGCGAGGGCATCATGCAAATACTCGATCAAGCCATCCTCCCACCAAACAACCCGTCCACGCGCCATTTCTCACCATCCAGAGCTCGATACCCATTCAATTACTATTCAGTCGCCGAATCTTGTCGCATCTACAGCTTCGTCATAAACCACAGCTGACCACATCTCGCAATATACCATACTCCGCAGCGCCAGCTTGTCACAATTTTCCACCTTGCCTTAACTCCACCTGAGAAACACCAGACTACGCCCTTCCGTCCTTGTCCAGCCTGTCTAGCTAGCCCTCTCTTCCATCCGAAACTCTCCCCCATTCCGCTTTTCCCCTCCAGCTAGCAGTCGCCGCAATGGACAAGGACAGAGACAACCTTTGGTCCCGTCGTACAAAGTAAACCTCCCACTATCCCTGTCTTCTGTCGCCGAGCTAACCACAGACCCGCGCANGTGTTGGAAAACTATCCCTGTCAATGGACAAGTCAGAGCGCAACGATGGACACGCGTCTTCGAAACGTTTCGGCAGCACATCCTCGCATGGCCGCAACAACCCCTTCAACTCTGTCACGCCTTTGAGCACTAGTGGAATCTCTTCTCCTACGACTGGCGCTTCTGGTGCCTTCGGACTGGGCTCAGGCGCCTTTGCTTCGTTCGGCTCGGCAACAAAGACACCCAAGACACCGGGCACCGCCTTTGACTTTGCCAAAGCTGTCGTTGGCACACCCTCATCCGCCAACTCGGCTGAGAAGAAGGACGGCGATGACAAGAAGAGCTTTGCTAGGAAGGTTGCGCCCGTCACGACGACGCCTCGTCCCACCGCTTCACAATCAATAGAGTCGGCAGCACGAGGAAACGACAGCCCGTGGCCGCTCAAGTACACTTGGGTCATCTGGTACAGACCCCCTACATCCAAGAACTCGGACTATGAGAAATCTACAAGGCCCATGTGCAAGATATCGACAGCACAGCAGTTCTGGCAGGTCTATTCACACCTCAAACATCCCTCTGGACTCCCTACTGTATCGGACTACCACTTCTTCCGCGATGGCATCAGACCTGTGTGGGAGGACGAGGAGAACAAGAAGGGAGGAAAGTGGATTCTGCGATTGAAGAAGGGAGTGGCAGACCGCTACTGGGAGGATCTCCTCATGGCCATGATTGGAGACCAGTTTGCCGAGGCTGGTGAGGAGGTCTGCGGTGCAGTTGTCAGCGTGCGCAGCGGCGAGGATGTGTTTAGCATCTGGACCAAGAACGACGGTGGCAGGAACGTCAAGATTCGGTAAGTCTCACGAGGCACGACGATGGCAAGACGAAGATCTGACAGTGCCTNNATTAGGGAAACCATCAAGCGCGTCCTGTCTCTGCCAGCAGACACCAACATGGTTTGGAAAAGCCATGATGACAGCATCACTCAGCGCAGCGCCATCGACCAGGCCCGTCAGGAAAAGACGGGCCACCACGGCGAGAGACGCCGCAACCAGAACCAGAGCTCGACGGGGAACGCAAGCGGCGAGGAGAAGGCCGCAGCATGATGAAGTGGTATATGACGACGACATATGGCAGTTTGCGCTGCATGTATTTTAATGCATTGATTACCTGATACCTAAGTGGAGCGTTTGCGGGCGGCGAGGACAAGCTGCTTTCTTTGGTGGTGCGCGCGTGGGGCATATCAAGAGGTCAGGGATAGCAGGTATGCATTGGCACCTCGAACGCGGGGGTGGTCGAGGAGAGGCGGGGCATGCAATCAGTGTAAAAGTACAGCGTCCTCCTTTTAGTCACAGGCATCTGCAGCAGGAAAGCGGAATTGCAGCTGGGGTCGCTGGTTAGGACCGCATTGAATGAACAAAAGCAGTAAAGAAGCGCAGCGCCTGGATAATATGACGAATGTCCGGTGCTCTCCACAGATTGGCGGTATCGGGGACCCTTAAGAAAGATCAACTGCCGAGTCGTACGCATCGCAGCATTGCTCTCCCATTTTTTTCCCTTTTCACATAGTCACACGAGCAACATGCACGCAACAACATCAGACATGGCTTCGGACAGGATAGTCGACAAGATTGCCGCGCTGCCCGCCGACAGCACGTATTTCTCGCTGGAATTCTTCCCGCCAAAGACGCAGCAGGTGAGGGGCGACCATGAGGGGCAGTAAAGTGCTTGAAAGAGTTGTCTGACCAGTCGACAGGGTTTCGCAAACCTCCACGCCCGTCTCTCTCGCATGGCACATTCATTACGGCCACTCTTCGTCAATGTAACATGGGGTGCCGGCGGCAGCACAAGCACAAAGTCTCTGGCTCTGGCAGAGATGACGCAGCGTCAATTGGGACTCACCACTTGTCTGCATTTGACCTGCACCAACATGTCGCGCAAGCTCATCGACGAAACTCTGGAACAAGCAAAAGCACTGGGCATCAGAAATATCCTTGCTCTGAGAGGCGATCCTCCGAGAAGCGACGAGTACAGATCCAACGAGCTGGAGAACCAGGAAGAGGATGACAGCAACAAAGAATTCACGTGGGCTGTCGACTTGGTACGATACATTCGCAAGGAGTACGGACACTACTTTTGCATCGGCGTGGCTGCATACCCAGAGGGCCACTCTGATCAATCCCACCCCGAGCACCAACATGCTACTTACGACCTCCCATACCTGGTCGAAAAAGTCGAGGCTGGCGCCGATTTCCTCATGACCCAACTTTTCTACGACATTCACGCATATCAAGATTACGAGAGACTGCTGAGACAGCACGAGAGCGGCCTTTTCAAGTCCATCCCCATCATTCCTGGTCTCATGCCCATCCAGAGCTACCAGATCCTCAAGAGAACCACCAAATTGAGTCACGCAAATCTTCCTTGCGAGGTTGCAAACAGACTGGAACCAATCAAGAATGACGATGAGGCTGTGAAGCGTGCTGGTGTCGACATTCTTAGCGAAATGGTCGAAACACTAAAGAAGAACCCCTATCCCGGACCCAAAGGATTCCACTTTTACACGCTCAATCTCGAGAAAGCTGTCGCACATATCGTCGAGCGCTGTAAGCTGATAGGCGCAGTCAATGAATCTGCCGTAGAAGAGGACGATACACCAGTTGCAAACGGCAACGGTGACAAGAAAACAAAAGCCCGCCGTAGATCTTCCCTCGCCAACTCGGCACCCCAAAACCGCATCGTCATCGACAAGACTTCGAGATCAGAATCCCACGGTAGTGCGTCTTTCGAGGCCTTTGACGACGAGGCCGGCGTGCCAGGCGAAGACCCACCGTCCCGTGCAAACGCTCTAGCAATCTCCGAAGGGGAAGGCGCTCTAGGACGAGAAGCAACATGGGACGACTTTCCCAACGGCAGATGGGGTGATGCTCGCAGTCCAGCATACGGTGAAATCGATGGTTACGGTGTGAGCCTGCACGTCTCCATCCCGAGTGCCTTGAAGCTGTGGGGCTACCCCGTCGACCCCAAAGACATTACAAGCATTTTCGCGCGCCACGTACGCGGCGAGCTCGATGCCATACCATGGAGCGAAGAAGGTCTCAACCCAGAGACCAAGCTTATCAAAAACGAATTGGCCGGTTTGATAGAAAAGGGCTGGTGGACCGTCGCTTCTCAGCCCGGCGTGAATGGCTTCCGCAGTGACCACGAAATCTTTGGCTGGGGACCACCCGGTGGATTTGTCTTCCAAAAGGTAAAAATTTTGCTGGAGAAAGCATTTGTACAAACCAAATTCACAAATCCGCTAACACTGACACAAAAACAGCCTTTTGTCGAATTCTTCTGCTCGCACAAAGACTGGACACGCCTCCGCGCCAAACTCGACAAGGACGACCAAGTAACCTATTTCGCCTGCAACGCCAAAGGCGACTTTCAAGCCGCCGACGAAGAATCCCTAAACCCAGTAACTTGGGGCTGTTTCACCGGCAAAGAGTGCGTGTTTCTCCTCCCCCACTACTTCTTGAAAGCTATTTCCCACTGACTTTTCTTGTCATCAACAACAGAANTCGTCACGCCTACCATGATCGAAGCAGTCAGTTTCCGCGCTTGGGCCGAAGAGGCCTTTGGCATTTGGACAGAATGGCGCCACGTCTATCCTCCTCGCTCGGCTTCGGCGGAGTTGTTGAGGGGTATCAGGGATGATTATTGGCTTGTCAATATCATCCATCATGATTTTACAGAGACGAATGGATTGTGGAATATGCTGTTGGATGCATGAGATGAGAAGCTGGGAAACAAAGGCGTTTTTGTTTCTGTGTCAAGGTTACAAGAAGATGAGCTGGGATGATTTTGGAGGGTTCTTTGGAGTTTTTTTTGGGGGGAAACATTTGCATATATAACCAGCCTGTTGTGTGATATGACGCATCAATCGCCTTTTTTGGTGAGACCATTACTGTAAATCTTTTTTCTCTGCAACGTTCTGGGTGGGAGGCCTCGTCACTATTGCGATTTGCTCAAAGTGGTGTCTTTGCGCTTTGAAGGTATTGTGTACCAGAAGCTTAACTGTGAAGTGTCTCTGGCACATGATATAGCCAGCTTGACTTGCTGTGCTTCTTCAGGCTATATATATGGTCTTTACACCAATTACCGGTATCAGTGTTTGCGAGAGCAACGCAACGGAAGCAAAAGAACACCCATCCGATCGCAGATATCTCGAGACGAATCTAGCGTATTCGGCTGAGGCCAATTTCGTCGTATCAATGGTGAAATGAAAGCCAGCGAGTGATCTTGAATCTTTGTGGCCTCGTTGTTACAGTAGCATCACAGACTTGGATATTCTTCGTTTTCGATCAAGTTGAGCCAGTACTCCCATGCTTGGGTGTCGTTGTCGAGGTGTGAGGCTTGCCAATAGAGGCTTGATTGTCCTTCGTTAATTGCTGGTTCGAAAGTAGTGGGCAGAGAAATCTGTGCATGGTGTTGTGTTGTTGCAGGTGCAGTGGTGGCTGCTGCGACCTCTTGATCCGCAGATGACTGATGCAGGGCCGTGAGTTGCTCGACCAAAGCCGTGGGAAGATGTATGTTGCTTGCGTCGATTTGCTCATACCGTGTTATTGCTTTCAACGCCAGACTGGCGAGACTGCTGTAGAGACTGTTTGGTTCGGGGCCAGCGGGAGAAAGTAGTTGGGGATTAAACTGATAGGTCAAAGAAACTTGCTTCCAAGCTTCGCTCAAGGTGTTTTGGTCCAATGTGTCAAAAGCTAGAGCACGAAGGACGGGAAACAATGCCTCGTAGTTGTGGAAGAGCTTGGTATGCCATCTGTAACGTTCTAGCGTTACATCTGCAGAGCCCGCGTTCTGAGTCTGCAAGAGCAGTAATGCCGTATCGAGAAATTGCATTTTGTGTTCTCGAGACGGGGTGTCCTCGGTGGTGAGCAGTGAGTAGCAGTGCAAGAGGGTGAGCCTGTAGCCGATTGTTCTGATCAAGAACTTTGTGACGCGTTGCAGAGGTATGGATTCGTCGCAGTGTCTGGAGAACTTGTCATACAGATCTTGTTGTAGCTTCTGTATGGCTTGTAGCTTGTTTTGCGGGCTGTCGTTCTTGAGGCCGAGTTGTTGTAAAAAGTCGCCGACTTCATATCTGACCGAACAGAACATCATCTCTGTGCTTCCCTGCCGTTCAGTCGGACAGGTCGTCATGTCCGGGTGGAGATCGGCATCATTGAGATTCAGAGGCCGTTTTGTATCAGAAGGCGTAACATGGGCCGCATCGGCACTATCGACACCTTCGCAGAGATTGGTGTAATGCCGGTTTAGCAAGTGGATCTGCCACCACAGTCGACGGCACATTTCAGCTTGGAATACAGGCAGAGCCTGTAAGTTCTTCTCACGATGGATTCCGAGCCGCTGAGCACAGCGGACTGCGACCCCAAGGACTAGCCAAAGACTTTGTGGAGAGCTATGTTGACGTGCTNNGCTAGCTGAACCGGATCGTAACCACTCAGTCTCGATCATGATGTCAAACGATGCAAAAGGTGGACGTACCAGATATAGCACAAAGGCTTGTAGCACCACTAGATTTGAATTTTCCATCAGGCCAGCTTTGAGCAAGCCATGTTGAGTCGTAATGAACAACTTTCTCAGCAAAGTGTTACGCGAATCACTCATGAGTTTCATACACTCTGCATCATCAAGAGACTCGACGGCAGCCAAGTATATGGCAGATAGGATGGCTTTCGACTCTTTGGGCAACTCGCCTTGCACCGAATTTGTTGCTTCCAGTATCAATCGCTGCATCGTTGGCGGATGAATCAAGTTGGTAATTGGATTGACGTTGTCAATGTAGACTTGCCATAGATGAAATGCTCTAACGGCGTCCGGCCAGTAAAGGTCTTCTGTTCGGATCACTGCAGACTGACCAAACAGAACAGCCTCCACCTGGACTGAATTACTGGACTGATGAGGATCGTGGATAGTTGCATCAGATCCCGTGTCTAAAGAATGACTTGGTCGGTTCGTAGAATGGGCCAGATCAATTGGAGCCATGTCTTGCAGGCTACTGTCTGTTCTTCTGAGAGCATTTTGTCTTGCAACACGATGCTGTCGTCTTCTATGACCATCGCTGCTGCTATTCCGCTCGCATTCGGTGCCGGCTGCAATACATGATGCGCACGGCTTTTGTCCATCGCATCTGATCTTACGGCGCTGACAGCGCTGGCAACTGTGGCCTCGTGTGAGCGGCGTACGAGATTCTGAAGCTCTTCCGATGTCGTGGTTAGGAGATGGGTCGCTCATTCTTTCGACCAGCGACTTGATCCCGCACGGAAAGAGATGACGGAGACGTGAGCGCGGTCCCGCTTTTGAGGGGCTGACACGGAGTTCCGTGTCACGACAGGAGCGGGGGATGGGCAGGCACAAAACGTAACGCGCGGCTTCTATCCTCCCCATGTGCTAAAGTTTATATCTCCACCGTCTCCTACGAAAGCGTAGAGCAAGGTGTGCACTATAGAAACGCACAAATGTCTTCTAAAGCAAAGAAGCGGCTAGAAAGAGCCACTCAGTTGTTGGCTCCTGCTGGATATTGCCCTGTTTCCTAATACAATCGTGCATTTTCATAGTCAAACGCGTTATAAACTTTACAAGTAGCATACGGGGAGGACGTAAATTATGCAAGCATGTGTGACGTTTCTATGCAGTTCGACAATTCCTTAGACGCACCTTTGATCATCAATCTACATGCCAAAAACGACAGCGACCACTCAACTATACATTTCAATCACAAAGACAATCACTAGATATGGCACAGAGCCTCTGTACTGCTGCTCATTAATGTGCAGGATCGCTCAATATCTGTTGCCATGAAGCTCGCTGCTGCAACCTCTTCCACCAGTCTTGCACTTTGCCTCTGGACTCGATTTCGCCCTCCATAGCCAGTCGTGGAAGAAACTCAAGCCATGGGACATGAAACAAGTCTACCAATGATACTTCCNNTACAAGCAAAACGGCGTTAGTGCTATCCTTGGAAAAGTCGTTAGACCGCTTTGGTCTCCTTACATTGCCCGTAAGATAGTCCTGATTCTGGAGGATTGTTTCGTAGTAATCGAGGGCTTCGTTGAAGTCAGCTTCCAGCGATCTTACCACCGCAGAATCAGGTTCGCCGTGGCCCATCATCCTTTCACGTTTTGGTCAGCAAGAAGTACATGGTGTCAGACTGCGATGAACCACTTACTTTCTGAACATCTTTTCATAAGCAAGCTTTGATATGCTGGGCTCAAAGTACGAGTACTCTACAGATGCAGCTTGCTCGAAGAGTGCCAGATCTTTCGAGTTTGACAGAACGCCCAGCGTCGATCCCGAAGATGCATACTCGGCCACAAGATATCTGGCGATCGCCTTGGACTCAAAGATGTGCAAAGACTCAACTTCGAGCGCTGGAATTCTTCCGAAAGGGTGAATGTTCCGAATGTGTTCTGCTGCCNNTGGACAGTGTCAATATACATTATTAGACAGAACAGCGATGAGTATCACCTTGTGTTCGCCCTTCATCATGTTTACGTCAACCAACTCGTACGACAGGTTCAGCTCGTTCAACACAAGCATCACTCTCTGCGTGCAGGTCGACATCTTGGATCCATAGAGCTTCAAGGCCATTTTTTCGTTGTTTTTTCAATCGGTCAGACAAGTAATAAAGTGAGGTAGAAGGTTACTATCCGTGAAAGATAATTAACGAGGGTATGCTATTTGTACTCTCATTTGTAAGGGTAATAGCGGCCTGCTGGTTTCGCGGACAATTGCTTCCGTTCGAGAGGCTGCGGTCCCGTTTGCTGAGTGGGCGGACAAAGCTGCGGTCCCGTCCAGGGGCGGAACTCCGTGCCTCTGTTCTGCCATATTGTGCTCTGAACACCGAGGTTATGTGCTATACTGTCACAAGACCAGGTTCTTGGGAAACATAAATAACCAGTCTCTGGTGCTCTGATTCACCACTCCAAACACCGTAGTAATATCCTACTATATCATCATGACAGACAGCGCCGAGCAAATCAACGATACCATCCCTCTGAAGGGCTCACAGAGGACTCAGTTTGAGTTCCCCGAGACCTTCGATCATTCGAACATACCTCTTGAGAAAGATGAAGTTCCTGTTGTCATCATTGGCTCCAGTATGGTTGGCATGTTCATGGGACTACTTCTTGGGTTCCACGGGTACGTAGACCAATCTAGCCACAGCAAGCAGTTATCTGATTTAGAAGCAGAGNTTCGCTCAGTCTCCTTTGATCGTCACCCATCGACAGCAATTCATCCCAGAGCAGCGTTGTTCCTCCTTCGTACCGTGGAAGTACTCCGCCAACTCGGCCTCGAAGAGCTCTTTATTAAAGAGAGCCAGTCGAATTTCGATCTCGATGCTGGCATGCTTGTTGTAGAGAAACTCTACAAAGGCAAGACGCTTGCAGCTTTCCAGGAGAGCGATCCTGCGGAAGTTGCCAAAGTTACTCCGAGCGTTCGTTTATGGCTCACACAGAACATGTTCGAACCTCTTCTCCGTCAGCGTGCACTTGACTATGGTGCCGAGCAACGATTCAACCAAACGATCGTGCACTATGAGGAAACCACTGAAGGAGTACTTGTAGTTGTCAAAGACGAGACCGGCACATTGAGAAAGTACAAGACTCAGTATCTCATAAGCTCGGACGGAAACAGAAGTGCGACACGAAAGAAGGAAGGCATTGAATGGCACGGCCCTGGACAACTTAGCAACGCAATTTCGATCAACTTCCGAGCCAACTTAGTACCATATCTCGGCACTAGAGCAGTCCATGGCACAACATACATTGGCAACAAAGACGTCTCTGGTGGATTCCGACTTGATGTGGGTGGTAAAGGAGGCTTCCTCATCGTCACACGTGCAGCAGGGCGTACAGATTTCGAACCGGATTCTGTATCAGACCAGGAGGCTCGGAAGTTCTTTGAGCAATGCTCTGGCATTTCAGCTGACGAGTGCGATCTCAAAGTCCAATCTGTCTCATACTGGTCCGTCGCTGCTTACAACGCGGAGACGTTCAGAGGCAGAAAGGAGAACAGCCGAGTATTCATCACGGGTGATGCAGCTCACGTTATGCCCCCAACAGGAGGTATGGGAGGCAACACTGGAGTTGCTGTAAGTCTATATACATCCTTGTTACACTGATACCTTACTGACTCATTCTAGGATGCCTACAATCTTGCATGGAAACTCGGCTTCGTCATCAATAGCAAAGCGTCTCCTAGTCTCCTGAATACTTACGACCTAGAGCGCCAACCCGGCGCCGAATTTTCCATGCAGCAAGCCTTTGCACGGCTTGTCACAAGAGTCATGCATGGCAAGACCCCTGAGGGCATGAATTCCGTACCGGAGATTCCCGATATCATTTGCGAACTAGGATATCGATACACTACAGGCGCAATCTGCAAAGAAGACAATGCAGACTCTGATAAGAATTACGAGGATCCCTTCAAGCCTTACGTGCTCCCTGGAGGAAGATTGCCGCACGTTGCTCTTACTTCGTCTGGAAAGTCTCTTTCGAGTTTGGATCTCATTAAGCAAAACTTTGTTCTCTTTACTGTTCAGAAGGATTCACCGTGGCTGGAAGCGGCACAGAAGCAGAAAGTTCCAGTGGATTATTATGTCATTGGCTCGACAGAGACACATCAGGATCGTGATGGTGCAGCACAAGTTACGTGGAAACTGGAACAAGGCGAGGCATTGCTGGTGAGACCAGATGGAATCATCGCTTGGAGATCAGGTGGCCAGACGAGCGCGCATGCTGATGCGCTCAAGACAGCGCTAGATGCTATTTTACAGTAGATTCTTAGATCAAGGTAACAAGCACAAGTTCCCATACCTGTTCGTTCACAATTTGATTCATGTGCAAAGTTCTCTCTTGAGGCTAGAAGCCATGGGCTTGGGTTCCGAGCAGATTTACTTCTCTTTACCAAACGAGAGAGTACTTTTCAGATTCAATCCGACAGATGAGGCAAGAGGTCACGGCCTTCTGAGGACTGAATACAGAGAGCCACTGCCAATCTCCCCAGCAATCATACCACCTTCCCCATGTGCTAAAGTTTGTAACGTCACCCCTCTCCTTTAGAAGCGTTACGCGAAGTGTGCACTATAAAAGGCACGGTTCTTCTCTAAAGCAGAGGAGTGGCCAAAGAGAGTTGCTAAGATGTTGGCTTTCAGTGGATACTGCCTTGTTTTTCAATAACATTGTGCATTTCTACAGCTACACGCGTTACATAGTTTCGCACACGGGGAGGCACTGTTAAAGTTCATAGAGATATCAACAACATGGAAATGAAAATGTACCTTTCTTCGTGGAATATGATTATCGACATCACGATGGAAGAAACTTTGGAAAGTAATTAAGATTAAATTTCTAGTTGCAAATTTTTACAAGAAATGGAAAAAGGCAAAGTGCAATGTCCTGTAGCACAACAAAAAAACACGCCTTATAGATAGAAAAAGGACCTCCTAGAAAGGATCGGCATGGTTTCTCTGCTTCTGTCCCTCTTTGTTGTCGGCAACAGGCTCAGCCTTGGGCTTGCGAAGACCCTTCAACTTCTCGGTGAATCCAGAAACACTGAAGGTGCTGACACGGAACAACCAGTACAGGAACACGGCAAGGAAAATATTAAACCCAATGTATGCCCAGAAGATTCCGAAGTTGCGCCAGACCTGGTTGTAGGAAATGTTGCTGCCAGCGAGGAATTGGTCTGCGTTGCTGAGTGCGCAGTAAGCACAGTTGCTGGTAGCGCCAGGGTTTTGGAGGGTGCCGGGTGCGGTGCGGAGGTATTCGGCCAGGTATTGTCCGCAGGTTTGGCCGGCAGGTGGATTGAAGACGCTGGTCTCGACGGCACTACATTCGATGGTCTTGCCGTGGAGTTGGGCTGCGACGATGCCGCCGATCCAGTACGTGAAGGGAGAGACACGATACATGAAGATCCAGAAGCCGGGGAGTGCTGTGGGGGACTGCATGACACCGTTGAAAACCAAGGACATGGCGAATAGCAAGGTTACAATAGCTGCGGCTGTCTGTGCGTCCGGCATGGCCACGATACAAAGATGGGCAAAGGTGCCAGCGTAGATGAAGAACTCGATCAGGAAGAGAAGGACCATGCCCTGTCTCAAGGAGGGCTGAATGCCCTGAACAGCGTAGTAGTATGAACCGAAGACCAGAACGGCCAAAACGATGTTGTAAGGAATTTCGACAATAATGTTGGCCAGGATGAAAGCCTTCCATGAATATGCTTTGCTGGGTCTCTCGCGAACCTCGTAGAGCGAGCGTTGTCCAACGAATAAGGGCATGATCTGCTGTACAAGAGAAGAGAAGATTGTGCAAACCATGAAAGCTGAGAAAATGACGTTCTGAAGTCCTTGGGTTGACGAATCGGCTTGGTAGAAAGAGAAACCAATGAAGAGACCAGCAGCAGTACCAAGCATCCACTTTGCGAGGATGTACGAGGGCATGCGCCAGTACTGTTGGAAGACTCTGTGAGTTACAACGGTGATCTGAGTGGTCAATGGCATCGCAAACTCGCTAAGCTCTTCCTTGGTAGGTTCGTGCTCGCGGGCTCTGCCGCTTGACTCCTCGTGTAGCTTGTCGATTTGAGTCTGAACACCCTTGCATTCATCGCTCTTCTTCCATACCTCGTGCCAGTCAGGTCCTTGTCCAGATGATCCAGCACTGACGATCTCCAGCATGAACTCAGCCGGGTTCTCGTCGTCTTCACAATGTCTAGCTCCGTTGTCCTCGAAATAGTCGAGAAGAGTCCTGGAATTCTTTCCAATGTCACCAAAGTAGACTGTCTTACCACCCTTGGCCAAGAACAAAAGACGGTCGAACTCCTGGAAAAGGACGGCACTAGGCTGATGAATAGTACAGAGAACAGCTTGACCAGCGTCGGCAAGCTTACGAAGGAAGGCGCAGATAGCCCAGGCACTTTGAGAGTCCAAACCACTTGACAATGTTAGCATAGTCGCACATCAACTCAGGAGAGCTACTCACCTGGTAGGCTCGTCCAGGAATAGCAATAGCTTAGGCTTAGCAGCAAGTTCAACACCGATGGTGAGAAGCTTGCGCTGCTCAACGTTCAAGCCTTCGCCAGGAACACCAACAACAGCCTCGGCAAAGTCTTCCATGTCGAGCATCTTGATGACTTCCTCAACGTAGTCATACTTCTCCTTCTTAGATACTGATTTGGGCTGTCTGAGCATGGCACTGAATCGCAAACTCTCGCGAACAGTAGCTGTCTCGAGATGCAAATCTNNGAGAAATGGTTAGTATGAAATTATGCCAACGTCCGATCATACAGGCTTACCTTGCTGTTGTACGTAACCACAGCCTCTCTGGAAACTGGCATCGATAGGCTTTCCGTTGACCAACATGTCGCCAGTAATGACACCCATAGTGGTACGCTGAGCGAGAGAGTCCAATAGAGTCGTTTTACCAGCACCACTGACACCCATGAGTGCAGTCAGAGTTCCTGGCTTGACGTATCCAGATACATGGTCCAGAAGTCTGCGAGGCTCGCCCTTAATTTTGATGTCGTAAACCACGTCTCTCCATGTGAAGATGTCCTTCTGAGCAGGGATAGCATCGACACTCTCGCCTTCTGTGTGTCCGTTTGATGCAGCAGCACCTTGGGCGGGAGCTTCCTCATCGTTGTTGCCTTCTTTAACTTGTCCAGTAAGGTTCGCGGGAGCATGTCCCTTGCGGAAAACCAGAACCTCGGCAGTGCTGCTAGTCGAAGAGTTGATCTCAACAGCGAAAAAGTAGATGGCCATGAAACCGATAAGGAAAGCAATCATGATACCGAAGTTTCTCCAGACGTGAGAGTAAGAGTATTCGTAGGCAGTCTGGATATAAGCGTCTCCACTGACAGTGTATTCGCCTGCGACTGCACCGGTCGTAGAACAGATGAACGTGTCGCCTTGCATGAACAGATAGTTGGGAACGATTTGAGAGCAGGGGAACTGCCTTCCGTGGAATTCGTTGGCGACCAGAATTTCGAATGCATAGTAAATTGGATCTGCAGAATATGATTAGTAGAGCCAGGACAGCGAGGTGAAACTAGCTTACTCAAGNTAGTGAATCCAGTTGAACCAAGGCTTCATGTATGGTTGCGGAAGCACGTAGCCTGTGTAGATCACAAGGGCAAGGACCATCACACCAGCAAGCGTCATTGCTTGAGAGATTGTTTTGGTCACAGCTGCGAGACTGCGGAACACGGCCGACNNTATAATAATAGATTAGCATCTCATGTTGAACCGGAGGTTTGATGAGTTTACCATGATTTGCCCGACGATAAATGTGATCAAGAAGTAGATGAAAAATTGAGATGGTTCGCGTCGAAGACCAGCCAGAAAGTAGAGAATCAAGTTGAAAACAACAGCTTGAACGAATTTGACAGGTACATCAGAAACGATACCGGCGATGGCTTCTGTAGCAGGATGGTAGAGCGCGTAAGATTTGTGTTTCTCGACAATTGGGCGTTGAGCATAGAGACTGTTGATCTCGTTCATGGCTGACAGGGCATTGAGCAAGACGGCGAAGAAAAGAACAGCTCCTTTGGACATGAAGCCGACAGTTGCGTCAGGGGTACCATAGAAAATCGAACCAATGATGAGGGCCATGAAGACGTTGACTCCGATGGCGGAAACTGTCGAGGGGAGATCGTTCCAGATGCGTTGGTAAGATCGCTTCGTGTTCAGCTTGATCTGCATGGGAACACTGATCATGTATGGTGACTTCAGACGGGTGTGTTTTGCTTGTGCTTCACCCTTGTTGTCACGGAGAGTTTGGACCATCTGATCTCCCGAGACTGACTTTTCGTGCTCTTCAATGTCGCGTTGCATGGTCTTGTATGCCGAGGACTCGAGCCAGTAACGTTCGAAGTCCTCAGCGGTGCGAGGTACTTTGTTTTCCATGCCTTTGCGGGCTTTGCGTTCAGTGGGGTTGGTCAGCGAAGTCAGGAAATCTCCAGTGGTTTGGCGCTTGTCGCACGTCCAGCCCTGCTTTTCGAAGTACTCGCGAGCTTTAGGGGCTGAACCATAGTAGATGCAGCGACCCTCGTAGAGCACGATCGCCTTGTTGAAGAGTTCATAGATTTGTTGCGAGGCTTGGTAGATGGCAACAGCGTGGGCTGAACCACCAAGGTTCGCAAGAGTGCGGAGTGAGTTGACAAACTTGAATGCGCTCGCCGAATCCAGCCCACGAGTTGAGTTATCCCAAGCGCCGAGTGGCGATCCAGTAAGAGCCATTTCAGCGATACTCACACGCTTTCTCTCACCACCAGACACACCGCGAACGAAATCAGAGCCAACGACCGTGTTGTAAGTATGAGACAGACCGAAGACTGACATAATGACTTTGGCGGTGTGGGCGGAAAAGTCCTTTCTCGACAGACCGCGAATACGATGACTGGGAGTACGAGTGGAAGCAGCGAACTCCAAGGTTTGACCGACTGTTAAATGGGCTATATTGTGAAATTGATCAGCACTCTTGTTCTTAGTTCGGCGTTCAGGAGAGGACATGACACGTACGAAANNATGTTTGTCAACCTCTTGGTTGTACACGACTTCACCCTTGAACTCCTTCATCATTTGCTTCTGGCTGACACCATTGTAATGAATCTCTGAGCCATCGTCAATGTGGAGACCATGTGTCTCACCACAAAGCGATTTGAGGAAGGTACTGCAGCCCGAGCCTGGACGTCCAAGAACAATAAGTAGTTCGCCGGACTTCAAGTTTCCGTTGAAGTTGTGAAGAATTTGCTTGCGCTCAGTGTTGCGCGAGAACAGAGACTTGAGCATGACCAGAGGCTTCAAGGCGATACCAGCGACTGTGTCCTGGAGCTGCAGAGCTGCACCGGAACCAGAGACCGAGAGATTCTTCCAGACGATACCTGCTCTGGTAGCCTTGAGATCTTCCGAATCAAAGTCCTTGATGAATGCCTTCAGCCATTTGTCCAGACTAAAGTCCTTGGATTCGGGGTCGATGCCGGCATAACTTGTGCTTGTTTGAGTTCGGGTCAATGTTATCATGTCGTTCCTCATAGCCTCCTGGTCCTCTCCAGGGATGTTGATTGGGGCATATGCGACAGTGTCATCGCTGCTGCTCCTGGAACGGGATTTCTCGCTTTCTTCCACTTCCTCCTTGTCGTCTGTTGATTTGCGTGAGAGCTCCGGCGCAATGTAGTTCTGCTGGGGTTCGTAATTTTGGAATTGGTAGGGCTGTCCAGCAACAGCGTCGTCCGCTATCTGTTGTGTAGTCCTGTACTCCATATTGACTATGTTAAGACAGGGAGTCAGGGGATTAGGGAAGTTGAAGGGGTCCTGGAAGAAGAAAACAAACTAGAAAGCGCTGCGCCCGTCTATATATTTGTGGGCGTTTCTGAATATGTGCTTTGTTTTTGTAACGGTCTGTATGACGAACTGGGGCGCTTTAAAGGATAGGGAGGCTAGACTTAACCTCGACGTGGCGTGGACTGTTTGTGTGAAATTGTGTTTCAACGACATCATTCCGGTGGTTCCATCTCAACCCAATGCCTACAGAATGTCAGAAGCCCTCTCGGTGAGCTTCTATCCGTGACCCGAGCCCTCCGGGTAGGAACAAACAGGCTCCGTTAACCTTCTTGAGTGTAAACGTTCAGACATGAAAGGACAAAGTTCCGTGGAGCGTTGTTCGGGAACAGTTCTTACCGAGAGATAGGTACCTACTTGTGGAGAATGCATAGAAATACATGTGGGGGACGCAGCCGAACGGTGTCCAATTCAATGCGACGTTGTTCAGCTCAACAAAAACAAGCACACAAACACAAATACGTGTGGAGGTTCCCTTGCGTGTATACGAAATTTCGTATGTAGGTGGCTGACGAAGACAGAAGAGTCAAGTGTCGGAGCCGCACACATCCGACGCTGCTATACGAGCAAATACGACTCATCGTTCATAATCCTGCACTGCCCCTGTTATTTGTCCAGCACTGTTGAGCAAGGAAGATTCGCATCCGAGTATCGTAATCGCATGCTGTCTCGTACTCGCAGTACGAGTAGAAAACACAACTGGATATCGCTATGCCTACCAGCTTGATGGCGTCAACTTGTCAACAACGTCAAAACTGAGTTCAAGTGGCTTTTACCAAGAACGCCGACGTCACCCATTCCCATCACCAATAGATGCCTTCAAGGTCGACGCTGTTGCATTCCAGTAATGGTCGGTCGTCCTCGCTCAAAAGGTTGTTCTACCTGCCGAACCCGTCATCTGAAATGCGGTATGAATCAGCCAAGTCAATAGTCGACGATGCGGGCGCGCGCTGACAGAGACTCACTCTCCTCTNCAGACGAGAAACGGCCTGTATGTTCGCGCTGCGAAAAAGACAAGTTCGATTGCGGACCTCCCTCCGACGATTTGCGAGTCATTCAATACAGTTCTGCAAAGTCGCTCCCACGCATGCAATTCAGTCCGTTTGCTGCGACAGACGACAATGTGTTCATAACTCATCTAAACCACAAGTTGTTCTCAGAGCATGATACGCGTGTTCGCTGGGTTGGCTTCAACGCCATGGCAAGACCAAACACTTTGCCCTGGAGATGCTTGCTCGCACTTTCCAAATCGTTCTATGGTCGTGTCCAGCACCGGTCAAGTATAACAAAACAGGGTATTGTCTTGTACGGTCAATGTCTAGAAAGTATCAATAACGCGCTGTCTCATGTGAGCAAGCACTCCATGACTGACATGCTTTTATCGATCATGATTATGGGATTCTACGAGGCAAGATGCGACCTTTGTACTTCTATTGAGATGCTATCTGACCATAACAGANTGATGCTTTGCACTAGTACAGATGCTTGGATCCGACATGGCCAGGGTATTTCAGCACTGTATCAATTGCATGGACCAGAAGCTTGCAAGGACAAGCAGGTTTTCGAACTCTTTCGCAGCAGCAGATTCCTCATCATACTCTCCTCGCTAGCCTGCAGACGACCCACTTTTCTCTCAGAACAATCATGGAAAACAATACCGTGGCAACAGCAGAACGTAGCAAAGGACAGCATGGACCGTCTTCTTGACACTATGTCTGATGTACCCGTTCTCAGAGGGACATTGCTCGCATTGCAGAACATCGACGATGCAGATGAGTCTCATGCAGCCGCTTACTATAACCTAGCAGAAAATGCCCTTGCGGTGTTTACTCGACTTCAAGATTGGCGAAAGAGCTGGGCTGCCTCGCCGGAAGGCCATATCATCAGCGTCTCAGCGGATGGAGATCAACCAGAGAAGCAGTCTCTGCATTTCAACAGTCTCTACGCAGCGAATTGTTGTTCGCTGTACGATGCTTCACTCATACTAGTACTCGAGACCATTCTCTTGTCTGCGCAACCTGGACAACTGTATTCCGGAGCTGCAACGACACTATACGAGAAAGCACGTCAAGCAGCCATAGAAATCTGTGCAAGTCTAGACTTCCAGCTCCAAAACTCGCATACCAGACTTGGTCAATTGTTTGTTCTGTGGCCGTTGCGAGAGGCTGGAAAGATCCTAGACAAAGGTAGTCCTGCAGAACAATCTCTCTTGGGACGGCAGAAGCAGAAACTAGCCACTGGCAACGACTCCTGGGAAATCGCGAAGTCCGCTTTCGGGACGTATGGTTGAGAAATGATATTCAGTCGCTTATATACCCACATTGGTCAGACCTGATCACTTTTCCTAAGCTCTCTTTGACGGCAAGCCTCATGTTGAGCTGAGATTAATACAGCTGTAAGCTATTGAGCATTTCATGTTTCGTGGATTCAGACCAATCTATTACGAACGAGTTGCAAACGTGACAAGTCTGATGTTATGGACTGAAGATTCGCTGCAAATGTTCGCCCAGATTGGTAGATGACTTTACACGTCGACATGACCTACCAACCAACTCTATGTACTCACAAAATCTTCTCTAGTTCTCCAAGAGTGCCACGATACAGGTCATACGTGCTTTGTGTAATGTTCAGACTACATGTCGTCAAGCGAAGTCGATGGCCAGGGTTGCATGCTTAGCATTAGCAAATCTCGCCATCCTTGCACACGAGAAAAAATGCTTCGAGGCCTCGTTTGCAAGACACCCGCATATCTTCAAGCGAAACAACAGAAGTTGAAATGAGGGATCGTAAGCGTTGGCAGCAGACATTCCACTGACATCAAATTGGATGACTACTAGCTGACTGTATCTGTACAAAAGTCCTCTAGAAAAGGTCTTCAAAAAGAGGTAAGCCGAAGTCAGCCAATCACAATACTTGCGGCGTGGAATGCTCCCAAAACGGAAGTGATCCGCTATCACAGGGTCCAACCTCCGATGATCAAGGCTTGTTCGTGCTATACTTGATTGGGAGCATTCTCCGTTGACGGACATCCAAGAGGTCGAGTTTGATGGATTTTAGAGGCTATGTTGTAGATGTGGGATCAAATTCTTTGAAGCAGACTGGAGGTGGGAGAGATATAAAACCATGGATATTCCTGGGAGTTCAAGGTGTCTCAAGACAATTCTCCTTCCCTGTGTTACTCTTGTGTCTTTGCAATTGCCATTCAAACAAGGACTCAAGATATGGCTCAGTACTACTCGGTTCCTGGCCAGTATCCTCAAGAAGCACGCTTTGAAGCACCACTTTCTGGTCATTGGCAAGACTATGCTTCACCAATGTCTCCACCACCGTATCCTTCAAACCATGAGGATTATGCTGGTGCGACACTGGAACCCAAGATGCCTTGTCCCATGCAAACATCAATGCAATATCCCCGCATGCATCTTGAACCTCCACATCAACAATCCTTTGCAACCCATCAATCAACATCACACAGCCCGCACCACGAACCCCTCAGCATCCCCGTCGTGATCCCCCAAATCCAGCCTGGCGCCAACAACCCCTTCATCCGCGCCTACAGCGCTTCCCTGGCCGCGCACGGCATCGACCTCACTGCCTTTCTCACCTTCTTGGACACATTAAACGTGTGTCTGGCCAACACACCTCCCCTCCAAGTCCTCGATCTTGCAGGTGGGATCGTAGGTATGGTACCGCACCACATACCCGCCTTGATCGGCGGCTCTTTACAAGCCCTCGCCAAAGTCGGCTCAGCGGTGACTTCCAAAACGCGCGTTGCAGCTCTACTCCGAGACGTCAATTCAAACCTCTTCAACCCCAGAGGACTGAAATGCGAAATTTGCGATACAGCAACTCTGAAGCAAAAGTTGGGATTAAACGCCACAGCACCTCTACTAGCAGAGCTGGGTGAAGCAGAAATGCACATGAGTATTCAAGAACGAAGACTCCATGCGTTAGCACCCTACACCACACCCCTATCCTTCAACATCCCAGAGGCGCACAGACAAACAAATACAATAGACAGACTGGCCGCCAAACAACTCCATCGCCAAATGGCAAAAGCCGAGCAAAAAGCCCTCGAAGCGAGACAAAAGGGAACCGAGAAAAAGGACAAAAGAGCGAGCAAGGAGGACAAAAAGGCAGAGAAAAGAAAAGACAGAGGTAAAGAAGAAGAGAAGAAGAAGAAGGGAAAGGACAAGGATGACAAGGAGAGCAAGGCTGCTGAGAAGCTGTTGTGGTTGTTTGTTGGGCGGGCGTGAAGATGGTTGTTCCTTTCTCGAGAATGGCATGTTGGAACCTGATTTCAAAGATTTTGTTGTAGAGTAGAATACAAGTAACACATATGTGATTGTGAAGCAGCCAAAGGCAAGAACGACCGACAATGCATAATATCTTTTGCTTTGCGCCGTGAAGAGAAATCATGATTTATAAAGGACCTAACTTTTGTAATGATAAAAGACGCGCTCATAAGCTCATCAAGGGGGTATCTACAAATACCATATGCAAGAAGCTGGTAGTAAAAAAAGGCGAGAAATCTATGTATACACGACCATCCGGTCAATCTAACCGGACAGGAACTTGTATGGATTCATGATACCCTTCNNTGCAATAGTTGTTAGTGTACTTGTAAATTGTGCATGTGCAGTTCGAAGACTTACAGGGTCATAAAGATCCTTGATCTGGCGCATGAGCTTGATCATGGTCTCGTCACGGCTGTAGCCAATGAAAGGTGCCTTGGCAATACCCAGACCGTGCTCAGCACTGATACTGCCATTGCGCTTGGCCACCCACTCGTAGACAAAAGGTTCGAGCTCTTTCTCGACAGCTTTGTCGTAGCGGCGTACAGGCACGTTAAGGTGGAGGTTGGCATCGCCCATGTGGCCATATCCAACAACGTCGACAATGGGGAAGTCGTCAGTGTCACCAATCAGACCAGCCTTTTCCATTTTCGCACGAGTTTCCTCGACCAGAGCGTACATCTCGTTGATAGGAATCGACAAGTCGTACTTGTAGACACCACCCCAGTGGCCGAGATGCTCGGGAACACCTTCTCTACAGCCCCAGAGCTCACGGCTTTGCGTCTGATCTTGGGCGACGACACCATCGCTGACAATCTCCTCACCCATGACATGCTCGAGGAAGGCCTCAAGCTTTTCTTGGTCGTGGTCGGTGTTGCTGCCAGAAGTCTCGACAAGGCAGTAGAAAGGGTGCTCGTTCTCGAGAGGCAAGCTATTACCACTAGCGCCCTTGTAGAGGTTTTGACTGCGGCCGTCCATGAGCTCAAAGGCAGAAAGAATTTCGCCGAGCATGCCCTTAGCTTCTGTGAAGGCTTGCTGAACCTTTTCAAAAGACTCGAGACCGAAATATGCGACGTTTGTTGCTTGGCTACGTTGAGGACAGAGGATAGATATGGCAGTAATCATACCAATAGTGCCTTCAGCGCCGATGAAGAGCTGCTTGATGTCGTAGCCGGTGTTGTCCTTGCGGAGCTTTGACAAGTTGTTGATGATGGTACCGTCAGGTAGAACAGCCTCGATACCAAGGACGTTACCGTGCAAGCTTCCGTAACGCAGTAGACGAAGACCACCGGCGTTGGTTGCGACGTTACCACCAATCTGGCACGAGCCCTTTGCACCGAGATCCAGGGGGAAGATGTGCTTTCTCTCGGCGAGATAGTTGTCGGCGACCTCGAGAATAACGCCAGCGTCTGCTACCAGGATGCCCGAGACTTCGTCAAAGCTGCGGATCTCATTCAAGCGCGCCAGGTTTACAACAATCTCGTCAAAGACAGGAACACTTCCACCGACGAGACCGGTGTTACCACCCTGAGGGACAACGGCCAGCATATTGTCGTTGCAGTACTTTAGGATCTTGCTAACTCCCTCGGTGTTTCCAGGCTTGACCACCAGCTTGGTGTGGCCCTTGTACTTGCGCATCCAGTCGGCATTGTAGGGCTCGATGTCTTCGGAGGCATCCTTGGAGACACCATCGAGGACGGCAGACTCATTGCCTAGTAGATCCTTGAACCACTGGACATGTTCGGTGGTGAGCTCGGCAAACTTGGGGTCTCTCTTGAGGTCTGGGTACGATTCAGAGGTGTACTTTATTCTGCGAGCAGGAGCCTCGGGGCCCTTTGTGCCAGAGTCTGGGTGTGGTTGGTGAGGTTCCGATGAGGCGGAAGTGGTGGGTTCGTTCTTTGAGCTTTCGAAGCGTCTCTGACCAGCAAAGACGGCGCGGGGAGCAGTGCGGGCGATGGCGGCGCGGTTGAAGGCGAAGTTGGCCGCCCTGATCTGGCGCAGTGCCGGCACGCAGCGGTGGAGAGGAGCCATGATTGGTATTAGAGGCGGAGATGCTAAAGATGGAAAGGAAATCCAGCAAGAGGCTCAGAGAAACAAAAATGAGTATTCGAGAGTCATGGCGGCATGATGGTTTCGCCGCAATCGCTGTCTGCGGCATCATGAGGCCCCGGCTTGTGCCGCCGCTGTGAAGCTCTCCCGCAAGCTGCAGTGCACTCTACTCTACATACACCCAGTCCGTCACTGCCAGTCTATACACCTGTGTGAACAAAGCCCATCTCATCCGACGCCTCCTTCTCTCCATCGCCGTCCCCTCCGACTTGACCCTCCGCCACTCCACATACAACATCCACCATGGCCAGCGGTTACGATCGAGCTCTGTCCGGTATGCGATGACGCCAGTCCGTCCGCCATCTAAACACTCCAGTACTCACCATCTATCCAGTCTTCAGTCCCGACGGACACGTCTTCCAGGTCGAATATGCTCTCGAAGCCGTCAAGCGCGGTATGCCATCTCCCACCTCCTCTCAACTCCACTCCGGTCGACTGATTGCCTCCCAGNGAACTTGCGCCGTCGGCGTCAAGGGTGAGAAGATCGTCGTTCTGGGCTGCGAAAAGCGCAGTGCCATGAAGCTCCAAGACACTCGCATCACTCCCTCAAAGATTGGTCTCATCGACAACCACGTCTGCCTCGCCTTTGCCGGTCTGAACGCCGACGCCCGTATCCTGGTCGACAAGGCCCGTTTGGAAGCCCAGAGTCACCGCCTGACTGTCGAAGACCCCGTTTCCATCGAGTACATCACAAAGCACGTCGCCCAGGTCCAACAACGCTACACCCAGTCTGGTGGTGTCCGTCCCTTCGGTATCAGCACTCTCATCGTCGGCTTCGACCCCAATAGCACAGAGGCTAGACTGTTCTACACCGAGCCCAGTGGTATCTACTCTGCATGGTTCGTCTATTTGCCGTATCAATACCCCAAGCATTCTTGCTAATCATCCCGTAACAGGAAGGCAAACGCCATCGGCCGCTCATCCAAGACTGTGCGCGAGTTCCTCGAGAGAAACCACAAGGACGGCATGGACCGCGAGGAGACCATCAAGCTTACTGTCAAGTCATTGCTCGAAGTCGTGCAGACAGGCGCAAAGAATATCGAAATTGCCGTCATGGAGCCCGGCAAGCCCCTGGAAATGCTCAAGGTCGAAGATATCGAGAAGTATGTCGAGAGCATCAACAGCGAAAAGCAGGAGGAGACAAACACAAGAAGAGGTCCCCGCGCAGGAGGTGCCGGAGCACAGGGCAGCACAACGGGTCCTGCAGCAGGCACTGAAGCCGTGCTGGCTAGCAGACCGGCTGGTGACGGTGGTAACGCAGAGTAGACACGACTTGCATTCGGGGACATAAGCATTGGCGTTTAGGGCAAATCAAGATATCATGGCTGCATGATGAAGGCAAAGGCAATGAGAAGATTTAATGCATTGGCTGATGTTGTATGATTCGTGAATTCGTTCTTCTATTCTGACTCGACGGTCAAGCCGAGTGGTATATGTAGTGTGCCATTTTCTGAGAGCGTCCAGACTGGTGCCAAAAGACGACGCAGATGCAATGCAATATGCGCAAAAATCAACCCAATCTCTCACTAGCCTCTTTCAAGTTCCAAATAGTCTGCTGCTCTTCCTCGCGCTCACGCTCGTCCTTGACAAAGCCAGAAACCACCCTGACATCCTCACTCTCGACCTGCAATCTAGCCTGTGGCGTCTTTGCCTCGAGCACAAAGTGATTGTCGCAGTGTGGGCAGTACTCATCGCTCTCCTCAAACTCTTGGACGTCCTTGCGGAAAGCCTTTTTGCACTTCTTGCAGGCAAAGACCATTTCGAGGGTGGGTTTGAGGTCGTGGGATTCGCTCTCGGCGTGGCATTCGGCGCAGTCGAACCATTTGCGACCTGTTGGTGGGTAGAGTGTTAGTGGTGGAGGTGGAGGAGAGGCGCGGAGGGACTTGCAGCAGGGAGAGCGGATTGAGACTTGGGCGTTGAGGATGTGTTTGCTGGGATTTGTTAGATGGAGGTGGAAGTGTATGCACGACTGAACTTACCACATGGTGAAGAGGTCGAGGAGGAGTAGAGTGGGAGAAAGGCGGTGATTGTTGCTGCCGGCAGCACAAATGTTGGACGAGACAGTTTGATTGCGGACAGGGTCGGTGTCAGTCTCGGGGTGTCACAAATATAAGCTTTCGGCAACTGCAGCGGCGATCTTAGGGCACGGCGTGTCGGAAGGCGTTCCTGGGGTACCTGTAGCAGCAAGAACACGCGTGGCTTTGAATAGACGGTAATTACGAGCGACCAAGCCAGCTTGCGACATTTGAAGCCTGCCAACTCGACAACTCGCCCTCGACTTATCCATACACGACCCCTCGCTCGCTCGCTCCCCGCTCCTATCACCCCATCTTCTTGCGACGCGCGCCTACCGTCCCCGGTCCATCCATCTCTCGGCGCGCATTACCTCCTGCATCCGCCCTCCTCCCAAGCCAGCAACCGCCGGATCAGAGAGACCACGGCGCACTCAACCCGGCAACACCCAATCACCACGTCAAAGCTACACAGTGACAGACGACATTGCTCCATCATCAGCCCGGCCGCCATGGCCAACGGCGACCAGGCCACGGACGAATCGTCCATCAAGCCTGTGTCGTCGCTGCGCTCACGCTTTGAAAACATGACCACCGCTCGTCCGCAGCCAGAGTCCACCCCATCTCTCAACCTACGCAGATCTCTCGATCTCCCGCGACCGCTCCTGTGCCCGGATGCTGCGCCTGACGACACAACCCAAGGACTGAAGAAAGCGAAGCCTCCTCCACCTAGACCGCGTCCCGTGTCGACAGCATACCCTCTGACTCCTCGTCACTCTCCTCCTTCTGTCAGTGTCCAGTCGCCAGCGTCTCCACCTAGAAGGCTTGATGTTCGCGTGACCAATGCGACGCCTTCAAAATCTCCTCCTGCGTCGACCTTGTCTACTCCGGGTTCTGCAAATGCTTCTCCAGCAGGCTCTATCCGTCATTTCCGCTCTCCAAGTCGAGTAACCACACCTGCGTTAGAGGCTCGCATGTCGGCTTTCCTGCAAGCCTCGCAGTCTGCTGAGACACAACCCGAGAGTCGACCTCAATCAAATGGCGAACAGAGACCAAAGAGCCCCAACTTCGGAGGCCCTCCTCCTGTGAATCGCGCCGGTAAACCAAGAATCGGCGGACTGTCGTCTGCGAGTACGGACAGTCTAGCGCCTGTGAGACCAAACAAGACCGGGAACAGTCAAGTTTCTCCTTTTGGCACTCCTCCAAGCAGTTCAGAAAGTACTCCCTATGCTGAACAAGTCGCTCCTTCCATACCTCTCGACTCGAAACCTAGAAACTCCTCTGCCTCTCACGGCTACTTCGCTGGTGTAGCGGCCNCCCGGGCTCCATTACAGTCTCGAAATCCTTCTCCCAAGCCCCTGAGCCGCTCATACGACTTTCCCTCTTCACACCCTCCTCGCCTTCAGATAATCCCTCAAAGAGCCACAATTCCGATACACGATGGAACCAGCGAGGAAGATACGCCAGTACTACCTCCTCGTCCTGAGCGTGAACTTCATTCTGGACGCACAAGTCCTACACGCTTCAACGGCAGAATTCCTGCTCGCCAATCTCTTGATCTTCCCCGTCGGACGAGTGCCGTTGCTGCTAACACCGACAGTGCTATGATGCCACCTCCACGTCGTACTCAACCACCTCCATTACAAACGTCTGCCTCTGCTCTGTCTCAGGGTTTTGACAGAAGGCATTCGGCCACTCCTGCTGCCACTCCTTCGAGCAGTAAGCCACCACCTCCTGCCATTCCTGCACCCCGTCGCTCAGTCGATACTCGTCGTGAAGATTTCAGGAGCATTCCAGCAACACCTCTATTGACACATCATGCCGACGATGTTGAGGACCCTCCTGTCAACTACCCTGGCGGTAATCCACAGGACTTTCCGGACGCGTCACAAGCAAATAGGCGCCCTCCACGCTTCAGGACCCGTCCTTGGGAGATTCACACAGGCTATGACACTCGTACTTTTGCAGTTTGTGGAGATTTGGTGTGTACAACTGGTTACATTACGCGTGTGTGGAGTCTGCGCACTGGCGAGTCGTGTTTAACCTTGTCCCATGGTGATAACGTCAAGGTGACTGCACTAGCCTTTGCGCCAACAGCAAACGCAGATAATGAAGGCCGACGACTCTGGCTTGGTACGAACATTGGTGAAATTCACGAGGTCGACATCCCTAGTCAGTCCATCGTTCATACCAAGTCCAACGCGCACCCTCGGCGGGAAGTCATAAAAATCTTCCGCCATGCTTCCGAACTATGGTCTTTGGATGATGAAGGCAAGCTCAATGTTTGGTCCCCTGGTTCTGCTGGTATGCCTAGTCTGGATACTATGCCGACGACCTTCAGAGCTGTCCGTGGCCACTCGTGTTCAGTCATTGTTGGTGGTCACCTCTGGATCGCTGCAGGCAAAGAAATCAGGGTCTTCAAACCCAGTGCACCTACGGAAGCCGCTTTCAATGTTTTACAAAAGCCCTTGATGGCAGAAGGCGCAGGCGATATTACTGCGGGAGCCATAATACCGAGTAAACCAGACTTGGTCTACTTCGGACACGCCGATGGCAAGGTTTCGGTCTATCAACATCGTGACTTCAGATGCATTGGTGTTTTTAGCATCAGTCCATACAAGATCAGCTCCTTGGCAGGAGCCGGAGATTATCTCTGGGCTGGCTACACTGCGGGCACCATCTTCGTCTACGATACTTCCACGACACCTTGGCGGGTCATGAAAGACTGGGTAGCCCACGATAATCCGANNATCTGTAGCATCCTCACGGATGCGCAGAGTATATGGAAAATGGACAATCGCCTACAGGTTGTAAGTCTCGGCCTTGACAATGCCATTAGATTGTGGGATGGTATGCTTCGTGAGGACTGGCTTGAGACAAAGATGCAACAGAACGACAACGAGTTCTGCTCGTTTGAGGAGATCACTGCAGGAGTTCTCACATGGAATGCGGGTGCCGTCAAGCCCAATCATCTCAAAGGAAGTGAGAAAGACGCCGCCTTTTTCAGAGACTACTTTTCTTCAAACACTCCTCCAGATATTCTTGTATTTGGTTTTCAAGAACTGGTGGACTTGGAGAACAAGAAAGTAACAGCTAGTAAGTATACCTTGTGCTTGACTCACTCTGCTCTTGTAGCAAATACTGACAGTCTGATCAGAGNNAGCTTTTTCAAGAGTCGAAAAAAGGATCCTACGGAACAAGAGCACATGTCGCATCAGTACAGAGCCTGGCGGGATCATCTTACTAGATGTATTGAAGACTACATGCCGGCCAATCAAGGGTATGCTCTCTTACATACTTCAAGCATGGTCGGTCTTTTCAGCTGTGTGTTTGTCAAGACGGCGCTTCGAAGCCGTGTCAAGCAAGTGCACACTGCAGAGGTCAAGCGAGGAATGGGCGGTCTGCATGGAAACAAGGTAAGTCACACACGTAGTCATGATTTCCCGTATTCTGATGGTCATCACAGGNGTGCTTTGATTATCCGCATGATTCTGGACGACAGTTCAGTGTGTCTGGTGAACTGCCACCTTGCTGCAGGCCAAACTCAGACGCTCCATCGCAACAACGATATTGCTGCCATCCTCGAGGCCGAGTGTCTTCCGGTAGCAGCGGTTAGTAACATGGCTGGCACTTTTGTAGGAGGCGGTGATGGCAGCATGATCTTGGACCACGAGATTTGCGTTCTCAACGGAGACCTTAACTATCGCATTGATGCGATGCCGCGAGACACTGTCGTTCGTGCTGTCAACGACAGAAACTTGGCAAAGCTGCTTGAGCGTGATCAACTATTGCTGTCACGCAGAAAGAACCCAGCGTTTAGACTACGCGTGTTCCAGGAAATGCCCATCACATTCGCACCGACGTACAAGTACAATGTGGGTACTGACGACTACGATACCAGCGAGAAGAAGCGAGCTCCAGCATGGTGCGACAGAGTATTGTACAGAGGCATGGGCAGAATCAAATGCGAGGACTACAGACGATGGGAAGTCCGGGTCAGCGATCACAGACCAGTCAGCGCACGACTGAAGATCCGCATCAAAAAGGTCGATGAACAACGGCGAGCAGCGGCATGGAGCCGGCGCGAAAAGGAGTTTGAAAAGTACAGTGACCGCATCGCTGGCGAGGCCAAGTAAGTTGTTCTCATGTCGCGTGCTGCATTTCTACAGGAACTGATGTGTTGTCAAAAAAAAACAGGCTGGACTACCTAACAAACATCCTGGGACTACCCCGAAAAGAAGCTTTGAACTTGCTAAAGAGATAATTGGATCGCAAGGGGAGGAGTGGAGGCTGAAGGGCCAGTGAAGGCACAAACGTAGATTTCAAGCCTCATCATCAGACACTAGTAATATCATGCTCCGATCGGTGGCCCTCCGATATCTCCACATCTCGTTCTGCAGAGGATTCGATAGCAAACGCATGCGATTGCCTTATCCGGCGCATTGACAGACGCAATACGACAGTGGTCGATAGAGGCGGGTTTTATTAGCATGTCTTGATCAGGGAGTCTCTATCATCAGCTGGACTGACTGGAGTGCTCGACAGAGATTTGCTTGGAACGGTCACTTTTGGTCAACTCTACAACCATCTGAGAACGGTGCAAGCATCCAGGAACAAAGATTAATTGCTGTATAAGAGAACCCCACAAGTCTGTTAGCGAAACCCGTTCTGTCGTTAGTAGCTGTCATGCATCTGAGATGGGAGCTTAAGCACGGGACAATATGACATCACGGACCTCGCGTGTCATTGGAAACAAAAAGAACGACAAGCATTTGATGATGAGCAGCTGTCTTTTGTCCTCCCTGCATCCCTTTATCTAGTTTCTATTCTTCTTTCAATGTCCGCAAGACCCTTTACTTCATTTTCTCTCAAGACACTGTCACGAGTCGGCTTCCAAACAGCGTCTCATCACACCAGAACAACCACCCCACTCTTTACACGTCTCTCAGCCCCGCGTGTCATTGTCGCAAGACAGTCTATCCGTTTCTCAAGCAGTTTCCAGGACGAAAAGCAAATCATGGATGCCAAGGAAGCCAGAGGCGAGAAGCCCGAGAAGCCTGTCGAGGATTGGCAGAAGCGTGCTCCCTACAAGATCCACGAGTCCAATGAGAACTTCAAGGCCAGATACGAGGCCAGCTGCCACTGCGGCAAGGTCAAGTACCAATTGAGCAGAGAGGAACCTCTTGACTCCAAGCTGTGTCACTGCACCACTTGCCAGACCCAGCACGGTATGTTTCTTGTCATGTTTCTGATTATCCAAAAAGACCATCGCTGACGTTATTTGTGTCCAGCTGCACCTTTCCAATGGGCCGCCATCTTCCACAAGGAGGACATCAACTTCTCCAACGGACACCATGACCTCGAGTGGTACGACCCCAGCGAAAAGTCGATTGAGCACAAGCTTCCCTGCAAGGTCCGCTGCTCCTTCTGCCACAGCCCCATCATGGACGAGGGCAGAAACATGATCCTGCTCTTCCCCAGCTTGGTCCACCTCAAGAACGACGAGGACAAGGCCAACTTCAAGCCCAGGTATGCGGGCTTTCCCGTCACTCATAGGTTTCACTCGTCATCCTAACGTCATTACAGATGCCACATGTTCTACGGCCAGCGCGTCATGGATATCCCCGACGGCCTGCCCAAGTGGTCTGGTCTCAACGACAGCAGCGACTTGATCGAAGACAGCNCCCCAGACCTTGTCCGCGAGCACGAGAGAAAGCGTGAAGCCGAGAGAAAGGAAAAGTTTGAAAAGGGCGAGAACAAATAAACAGCGAGTGGCGTCATTGCGATGATACACTTGCTGCTGCACAGCTCTATGAATGTTACGAAAAAACCCAAACGGTACGATGGCTACTACTACCCCTCAAGAGGAAATTGGCACACATGAGAAGAAATATATTGCTCTTCTCTCAATTGTTGGAAGAGAGATCAACACTTTGTTTCATCTAGATGTGGAAGAAAGTTTTGGTATGAATGCAAAGTTGATCAGATGAATTTCTTTCAGAGACTGGTGTATTCTTTTTTTCCCTCCCTGTAATTCACTGTTTTTTTTTTGGCTTCAGAGGTTTGCCTTTGTGCTTCTCTCATGCTTCGCATGTTGGTATGTTTTTCTTTTATGTATCCTTGCATGGGTGTGTGTTGTCTGTTCACACACTTCTCTCATGCTCATCTTGAACACCCTTGCTCTTTGTCTATCTTTCTGTGCACGCAGAATGATGAGCAGACAGATTACAATGGTCGTCTGCCCGTTGGCTCAGCATCTTGGTAGACAGCCATGACTTGCTTTCGCTATGATAACATTGTGTTCGTCCTCCTTGGGCACATCCAGAAGGTGTAGGGTTGTCGACTGGCTGTTCTAGCCGTGTGCTGCATTGACTTGCATCCTAGGCACCCTTGCGCTGTATGCGTTTTTCTCAGGTGCTTAGATCCTGCTCACGCTTGGCTATGCGTGTTGTTTTGTGCGTGATTATTAATTGTTTTCTTGTGCTTCTCATGCTCACATGCTGAAGTTGGCCCCCTTCATGTTTTCTTACATGAATGCATGTTGGATTTCCTTCTCATGTGCTTGTATCCCAGCTGCTCTTGCTCCCCACATGTTTTCCTGTGTATGCGAATTGATGGGCATACAACTTACAATACCATCTCTACCTATCTTGTAGTTAGTAGAGACCAGAAGTACACAGCACGCTAAGGCATGGCTCCTCTAGAAGTATGCCTTTGGCTCAGCAGTGCGATAGGCACATCTGACTTCCTTTGTTTACAGTACTACTGTGTCCATCCTCGTAGAGCACAACTAGAAGATATAGAGTTAGCGTATAGCTATTCTGGCTATGAGATAACTTGTGGTTGCATGCTGGCTAGCACTGCTCTTTACTTGTTGTCTCGTGCACATATACTGATGTCCTTTTGCTGTATATACCTTGTTGCCTTGCCTGCTTTTTGCTCTTGAATACCGTTAAGCACTCCATATACTTTTCTGCTCAGTAGCATCGAGTTCTGTTTCTTAGTAGCATCTGCGTTTGCTTGTCTCGTTGACTTGTGCTTCACATTCGCTGCGCCGACGTTCGTGGCTGGACCGCCAACTGTTTTTGCAGAGGAGATTTGGGCGGCGTTCACCCACCTGGCTGACTTGTTCAACTTCCTTTCTTCCACCTCTCTCGACGGTATACTTCCACACAACGAGAAACTTGTACACCGGTCAGTTCATCTACTCGACTAGAGCGTATCTCACTCGCGTAGTTCTTGTTGCCTTTGCCTCGACGGTAGAGAGGGCTTCTCTTGCTTCGCGATTATCCCAGGCGTCAGGGCGACGCATTCGTTCTGCGATCACAAAGGCCTAGTCGTTCGATGACAACAAGTCTTGCTCTCACAGCTGTTTGAGGTTAGTTGTTCTCCTCTTTTGTTCACCCTCACCCTCACTCTCATCTTCATCACGCTCCTGCACAGCTTGTTCGCTGCCGTACACCTTGACCACCTCTACCTCTAGACGCACCAGACTTACCTTTACTTAGATCTTCAGGTCTCTCGACGAAGCGAGACTATCATCAGGGTTCTGTCGTAGAGCCTTTGTTCGACGAGAACAACTCCATCTCACACCTATTCGAGGTTAGTCATTCCTCCCCTTCCTACTCCAACCCTTACCTACCTTATACACTGCAACCATCATAGCTCTGCGATGCTAGTGGTGTCACCCCTACCGCTCGAAGCAATAGACTTACCTTGCCCAGATCTTCAGTCATCTCAACGAGATCAAGTCTTGATTAGTTCTGTGTCACAGATTCTGAGTCTCAAAGGAGAACGACTTTACTTCTCAGAACTGTCCAAGGTCAGTCATCCTTCTCTTCCCTTTGCACTTACGTCCTCACCTGGGTCGGTCGCTCTACACTATGACCACTGCACTGAAGATAGCTCTTTTCGAAGTGGTGTACTGACCTCTGCTTAGATCTTCGGTCTTCCTGACAAGTTCAGCTCTTCGGCGCACAGTTTTGAGGTTGGTTGTTCTTCTCTTTCTTACATCTGCTCCTTCTTTGAGCAGTACGCTTACCTTTACCCAGACCTTGACTCATTCCAAGTGACCCTCCACCATATCTTCTCGAGGTTAGTCGTCCTTGTCTTTTACGTTTCCACTTGCAACATCACCAGGCTTCGTGACTGCCTCATGCTGTGTCCGCTGCACTTGTGATAGCAGTATCCTCAGTACATTCCCGAAGCAGTACGCTTACCTTTACTCAGATTTCCAGTCCTGTTTCGCAACTCATCAAGTCACTTTGACTTAACGATCTCTTCTCCAAAGAGCAGATCTCGCGATCTATACCAGGTAAGTCCGTCAATACCCCAAGCGGAAAGCGCCGACGCCAATCAGCCGCCTCCTGCCAATTTCACGCGTTCCCCAATTTAAGCTTCCCCACACCCTGTCGCGTCTCCTCTGTACACCGTCGCGCAAGCCGGTGACACCAAAAAAAAGTATGCCTTGAAAGAAAGCTGACAGTTGCCGGTCGATAGACCACTCCGCAGCGAAGGGAAATGAGACAACACCATCATGGGATCTTCTAAGCGCAAGACCCAGGAGCCCGACGAAGATTTCTATTCGGTCCGCGGCATCTTGAACGAGAACAAGACCAAATACCTGGTCGACTGGGNNGAGGACATTGGCTCCCAGACCTTTGAGCCTACCTGGGAGCCCAAGGCCAACGTCACCGAGGCCGCGATCCAAGAGTGGGAAGAAGAGAAGAGGCAGAAGAAACAGAACGAGGAAAAGAAGAGACAGAGAAAGAGTGCCGACCTTCCTGCTTCATCCAGCGATGTCGTCCAGATCGATGATAATGATGATGATGATAATGATGAGGAGCCCGAAGATGAGCGTCCTCTCAAGGCCACAAAGACTTCTGGATCCAAGCCTTCTGGATCGAGGCCTCGCATCATGCTGAAGTATGGAAAGAGGCAGACACATGCAGCCGTCGAAGTTACTCCGACCAAGCCGACCGAGTCTGCAAAGAGAAAGCCTGGCAGACCGCGCAGATCTCTACCTGGTGCTCCCGACGCACAATCAAGCAGACCACACAAACCAGTCATCGAAGACATTCCTGACGCCGAGGCAAGAGAAGACGACGAAGACGAAGTTGCTCCGAAACCCCTCAAACGTGGTCGCGGACGACCTAGAAAGTCGCTCCCCACGAGAGTCGTTCAAGAGGAGAAAGAGCAGGGTAATAATGGTGAGGACCCATCGAGACTGGCCAAGTCAAGTCCTCTGGCCCGACCACGTTTGCGTCTTGTCAACAACAGGAAGAGGTTGGTCAATATTTCTTCAGATGAAGATGAAGACGTACCTCTCGAAGGTCTGAAGCGCAAGAGACCTGTCATCTCCGCTTCTTCAGATGTCGAAGTACAACATGCCAGGGAGGGTGCCCAACCCACTGCTGCTCTCCCTGCTGCCCGTACCGCTGCCCCCAAGAGGAGAAGAGGAAGACCTAGAAAGTACCCTCGTCCAGACAGCGTCGCACCGAGCCCCATGACTCCAGCTGTCATTTCTCGCCCTGATCCTGAAGAGGTTGGTACGACTGAAATCGAAGACAGTGAGATGTATGACGCTGCGGCTGCGCAGTTGCAGCGCGAGACACGATCTGCCCGTAAGCAACCGCCGGGTCAACAACCATCAGCTGACCAACAATCTTCGCCTGGCCAACAATCTGTGCGCGATCAACAACCCTCGCCGGAGTTCGACGAAGGTGTTAGCGACTTCCGGTCGTCGCAGATCATTCGAGGCACGCAACCGGAGCCGCACCGTACTGAAGAACAGACCTCCAGTCTTGAGGAGCTCACAGATTCTCAATTCATGGTTGACGCTGCTGCTGCATCGAGCCTGTCCGCAAAGAACTCTCCTTACGAACCAGGAGCTACTTCCGAATCTACTTTCGTCAACAGTACAGTCAACAGCTCGACAAGTGTCCACACATTACCGATTCCAGTGGCACATCGTTTCGGAGTTGATGCTGTGATCCCCGACTCTCAAAGTTTCCTCGACGCGAGTAGCGTGCACATATCAGAGCATCGTGTCGAAGCAGAACAACCTGATCAAGTCGAAAGTTCTGAGGACGCCACAACAGAAAGCCAGATTGTCGTGGAGCCTGAAGACATTCGCCAGGTGGTTGCACAAGATCTCCCTGTTTCTGAGAGCAGTATGGCACAGGTAAGAAACATTCTCCCATTCATCCATCCATCCATCCATCTATCACTATGTTATGCATCTTCTTTATCTAATCGATCTTATCGCGAGACACGATCTGACGCGTCTTGATTGGCTCGGCTAACTTTCCTTTTTAGANAACCTGAGAATGCCCCACAGTCGGATGTCGCTGGTACTGCAACTCAAAGCGAACCATCACTCGGTCTATCAACAAGAAACATTATCGCTACAGCAGTGGCATCCAGTGTCATTGCTCAAGTTGTTGCTGCGAACGTCTCTACACGTTCTCCATCACCAGTATCTCTAGGCGCCGTGCGCTCAAGTTCTACCTCGTCTGCACCACCGACGGAGGCTGCCGATAAATCAACTCAATCCCAATCGCAGTCGCACTCCCAACCTCATCAGCATTCTTCATCAAAATCCCATTCGAAAAGCGAGGCATCAGTTGAGGCGTCCTCATCCTCTGCTATACCCAATCAGGAAACCAGCCAGAACACAGCATCTGGTCAGGCTCAGGCGGCCACCACCCAGCAAAGTCACGTGGAACAAGCCGCCCAGCAGATCTCGTTCCAACTCCAACAACCTCCCGTCCAGCAGATTGTGCCATTCGAATTTGCTCAGAGTCCTGCTGAGGAAGCTACAACATCTTCTCTCGAGTTTGCTACCCAGATTGCGTCCGTCCAGCAAGCACCCGCTCCCGAATCACCTTCTCAGCCTGCTTCGGTGCAAGACATACCCGTCTCCTCAAGTCCTATTGCTTCTCCACCATCGAAGCTGCCGAACACCATTGGTGAATCTGCTCCTTCGCTTATCAAGAGCGTGTCCGATCCTGAGCTCAATCGTGAGCAGTCCAGTCGTGAGCAGACCCCAGCCTCCGATATGACCTCCAACACCAACCCCGATGGCACCCCGGTCAGAGTATCGATGGTTTCGAGACTCAGAGCAATGAAAGCTGCGAGCGCTGCCAAACTCGAGGCTGACTTGGCAGGCGACCGTGCCGCTCTCGCTGCCTTCCGTGCTGGTGCAAGTACTCCTGTCCCTTCCCGCGTTGCTGCACCTCTCCTAGACACGCATTCGCCCAAGCCCGCATCTGCAATTCCGGCGAGACTCATGTCACCTGCTGCTGGTGATCGTGAGGCCCGCTCGCCCTCGACTGTCCCTCCAGTCGAGATACTTCCGGACGAAACCCCTGAAGAGTACTCTCGCTCTGAACGCTACGAGACTCTGCTGCCTGGACAAGGTCCGCAGATCAACGCCGACACTTCGCGTCCATATATTTTGCACGATGTCATGATGCCTGATGTCTCTGTCGATGCCAACCTTGACGACAACCAGCATCTAATCTCGCTGGACTTCGGCGTGTTGCAGAGGGATCACTACAAATGTGCCTTCGATACCGACAAAGCTTTGATCGAGGGCTTCACCATGCACAAGGTCTGGCCAGCTGATTCCGAGATCGCTGAGAAGGCTCGTGAATTCATTGCTCAACTCCACTGCATTGTTAATCACCTCGACCTCAACAACCCTGGCGCATCCCAATCATCTCAAACCACTCAGTCTCTCCAAGCTGATTGGGACATGACAATGAGCTCCAAGTTCAGATTCCTGAAGAGTCTTCTGGACGCAGCCAAGCGCAACAACCTCCATGTTGCTTTGCTTGTCGACCAGGGTAGACTTGCTGGTATCCTCCAAAGCTTCTTGCAGGGTATCCACATCATGTACAATGTGATTAACGGTCAAGATAATGTCATCAACCAGGAATCAACAGCAACCATTCTGTTGACCAGTGTCGAGTCTGTCGACAAATCATCACTGGACATGGATATGGTTGTTGTCATTGACGGATGCATGCCCAAGGACACCATCACGCGCACACAAAAGATGCTCTCTCGTGACACGCTCATTCCTACCGTCTCACTTATCATCCCTTGCTCTATCGAGCATGCCGAGCGTTGCCTTGTCTCCACCATGTCTGAAGCAGAGCGTCTTCACGTTCTAATCAGCACTGTCACTGGTGAGAGATCTAATGCCGGCTGGCAAAGCGGTGGCACCGACACCGACTTCGAACACAAGGCATCTGAAATCGTCTCTTGGATTCTCAATCCTGATGCGGCAGATTGGCTCTTCTACGGCCTGCCCGAGTTGCAGTTGATCGAAGCAATCTCAAGCCAATCTACCTCAGAAGATGAATTTCTGCTCGGCGGTGATGGCAGCTCCAACAAACGTCAGCTGAACCACGATGAAGTCCCCTCAGCAAAGAGAGTCCGTGTTGATGAGTCTCTTCCCATGACCATCAACCCTGCTGACATTCACATCACACCTGGCACATTGCCTGTATCGAACTCGCACGTCAGCGATTCTGTGACGGCTTCACAACATGCCGCACATGTCGCCACTCTTCAACAACTCAACCGTGCCCAGGCAGAAGTCCGTGAGCATGTCCAGGCCATGGAGAGATTGCAGTACAACTCTGAAGAGCAGCGCGCACAGATGGTACAAGCTCAGAAGGAACGTAACGAGGCTCTGCAGAGAGAGGAGAGACTGAGTAAGTCAAACATCGATCTCAGAGCTAAGAACACCTCGCTTCGTGACGAGGTCCTGGACTTGAAGAAACAGCTGGAGACTGCTAGAGCTGCATTGGCCGATCACACAGTCCCCGAACGCGCTGAGCTGGAGAAGAGCAAGGCAGAAACTCTTGCCGCCACGGCCGAGTACGAGAAGGAAGCCAAACGCGCCAAACAGCTCGAGGAGGCATACGACTACCTACGTGAACAGTACCAGAACAGCTCGAACTCGAACACCGAGCTCACCGACACCAACATTGCGCTTGAGCAACGCATCGCTCATCTCGAAGTCAGGGCTTCCGGCGAGCAAGCCAGACTCAAGCTCATCAACAACGATACCCTCAACAAGAACTACGAAGACACGATCAAAAAGCTCACAGTCACAGCCACTGAAAGAGAAGGCACCATGCAACGCATGAGCGACGAAGTTGCTCGCTTGCGCGAACCCCGCGGTCGCGTAGGCACCCGCGCCAGCAGTATCCCTCGCAGCCCTCGTGGCGGCACCCGCGAGCCACTGAGCCGTCAGGGCAGTCCTTCGGTGCAGCGCCCCCATCCTTTGAGACAGACGGACTAGGAAGCTGCGACAGATTGGAAAGCTGGGTCGATGAGGAGGACTGCGCAGAGTGAGCGCTTTGCCAACAGAAGGGGTATTGCTAGGACGGTGAAGAAGCATAGACGTCGATGAGCAACCCCCATTCCAGTTATTGTAGAATTAATGAATACCAATGCTTCTTTCTTGTACCATGACAAACTGTTATACGTATATGTAGCTTTGATGGTGCACAGTGCAGATGAGATATGTATCCATAGTCCTCCTCAATGAGTAGAAACGTCCTTGGAGAACGTTTGCCCAACACACTTGTGTACCTCTGAAAGGCACATCGCAATGATAGAGGATAGCTGCCAAAGACCTGAGTGCAGCATGATTGTTAACATACAGCAACTTTTCGATCCTGTTTCCGTAGACATTGTGTGCTGTGACAACCATGTCAATGCTCGTTTGACAGGAAAACAACCATGCAGAATAAAAGAACAAGGGAGATGAGACAGGCAGTTTGGAAGGAAGGGACGACTAGAAACGCTTTGACCAGTATTGCGTCAGCAAAGCACCAAGCGGGGAGGAGAAGAAAAATTGCGCAAAGAAAACAAAGAATGGGTATCTTTTTTTTTTGCTCCTCTTTTGGATTTTTTGTTTTTCCCTTCTTCCAACCACGAGTGAATTTATCAAACACCTTTTTTCTTGTTCAATCAGTTTCGCAAACAAGCTGTTCGCCGTGTGTGGAGTTTTTGACATTTATATCAATCTCTCAGTCTCTTGTTGGTGCAATTTCCACACTCACCCACAATTTACCATGAGCGATCGCGACGAAAAGATGGCGCCGAGCTCGTCTTCTCCAATGAGCATGCCTGAGCAGAGCCCCGTCACTGAACCCGCCAACCACAACAACAACACCACAGCAGCAGCAGCATCACCCACACAATCCGTGTCAGCCAGCAAACGCAGCAGAGGCCGCCCACGCAAATACCACACGGATGCCGAGCGCGAAGAAGCCAAACGCCGGTACCGCGAAAACCACAAGAGCAAAGCCGTGTCTTCGTCTGGGGTTGCTAGCAGTGGGGCAGGTGGTGCCGCCAATGCTGCTGCCGCCGCCGCCATGATCACTGCTGCGGCGAATTCGTTTACGCCCATCCAAACTGCGGCTAAACAGCAGGATGTGGATGAATTGTGGGAAGTGGTTCGCGGGTTGCAGGAGCAAGTCGCCGAGTTGAAGACGCAGTTGGTGCAGAGGGACGCCGCCGCTGCTGTCGCTGCCGCTTTGCCTGGACAGAAGCGCAGGAAGGTGTGAGGAAGTTGCGATTGCATGTCCTTTTCTGTGAGACGTTTCACGAATTTTACTATCATGTTGACAGCCAAGAAGGTAAGTTTTGGACATGACTTTCAAGTGTGTGTGGTACAGGGCTTTTTGAGCTGACGGGTTCCAGGTTTGCGGAAGCGCAGATTATTGGTTTTTCTATTCACCAAAGGTTTTTGCTGCCGTGTTTCTACTTCTGCTACATCTGGGTGTCTTGCATTGGTATCCTCGACACTTGTTACCGCAATGGCTTGCTCAAGACTGCTTTGTTGCCTTTGCTGCTGCCAGGCTTTTCACCGTTCCACCACGCCGTGTCACCATGAACCCGGCTTTTTTTTCTGTTTATGCTTCTACACGCCTGTTAATTACAAAGCAAACCAATGATATTCGTGGGTTTGAGGGGTTATTGGAGTTGCTAATGGAAGGGATGGCATGGAACAATATTCTGCTGAAATGCTCAGCCATGCACTTCGAAGTTTTTTTTTTTTTAGCTGCTTGACCAAACATGAATCTTCATGTCTTCTCTCTTTAATCTGATCATGTCTTTTTTCTCCCATCGAGAAACTCGGCTGTCGACGAGAAATGTAATAGAACTCTGACTAAGTCTTTCTCATCTTGTGTATCTCTTTACTCTACGCAAAGTTTTTGCAATTCATGAAACACAAGCATCACAGCAAAAAGAGTCAGGGTTTGGTTCACATGTCCAAAGTAGCTTAGCTATTTGATCATAATCGCCACAGCCGTCTAGTTATCTGTTTCACTTGCGACGTACACGGCATCGATGTGAGTCAGTTCTCTATCACCAGGCGGAGTGTGTTTGGCTTTAACGACACTTGATCGATCGTAGCGACAGAGGCAACTCGAGTGGGATATATCGAGTAATATGGAGAGACCTGAACTCGATTCTGGGGGGTCAGAAGAAAATTATCTTGGACGTGAAGTTGTTGACGAGAATGCTCTTGCCAGAACGAGTCAATTCGAAGCGTTTAGATGATATTCTGCTTTCTTAATTTTGCTCTACGAATCTAGAGGTCTCTATACTTATATCTCTCAAACCCAAACCAAAGCAGATGCCAGCAAAACGCCACCTGAGATCTAAACCTTGACCCAAGACGCCAAAAGAAACAACCCAATTGTCTAGCAGCTTCCACTAGCAAGCTTCTTGAGAACAGACTGGTAATGCAGACCAGTAGCAGTAAGCTGCGGAGGCCAAGAACTAGTCATCAAATTCCAAACACCAGGCACACCCTCACCATTGTTGGCACCATAAGCAAGCACCATATCATTGCCCTCAAAGTACTGCACCATGCCATCAATAAACGCATTGACGGTAGCTTGATCACCACAAGAACTCCAGTTTTGGTCATTGACGCAAGTAAACTCGCTGACCCACACGGGCTTGCCGAATTTGCTGACGTAGTATTCGACCACTTTGATGCCTTCGGCGACGGTGGGCTTGTTGACGTGGATGCTGGTGATGTCCCAGGTGACGCCTTGGGCAGCGAAGTTGGTGAGCCAGGATTGGTCGAGTTGGGTGCACATGGGNGGTGAGCCGAGTGCGATGCCGCGGTTGCGGAGGGGCTTGATCAATTCATTCCACTTTTGGACGCCGACGTTGACGTCTGTGATGTGGCTGGAAGAGGGACAGTCGCAGTCTGGCTCGTAAAAGCCAAAGAAGACTTCTGGGTTTGTTTCGCCGCTGGTAACGTATTCGGTGAAGTTGCCGAGACGCCATTTGTCGACTGGGCCGTCGGGATTGTTGGTCAGGCATTGATCGCCTTTGCCCCACAGCATGGGGGCGCCAACAACAGTGTGAGTTGAAGCGTCAACATTGGGAGCAACGGGCTCGTAGTTGCTGTACCATGAAATGTAGGGTACCCATTGCTGGTGGAACATATCAAGGGTCTCGATACCGGGGTAACCTGAGAGGCCAGCTTTGAAGTCGAGGCTCAGAGTCGATGCAGTTGAAGCCGCTGCCTTGGTGGATACCGTCTGAGTTGCTCTCTTGGCTAGTGAAGAGCTCTTGCAGGCTGATTTGGTAGAGCTGCTTGCGGCTTTGCTGGAGGAAGAGGCCTTGGAGGAGGTCTTTGAAGCAGAAGAGGTCTTTGAGGAAGAAGAAGCCTTTGAGGAAGCCTTTGAGGAAGAAGAGGCTTTCGAGGAAGACTTTGAGCTGACCTTGGCCGAGCTGCTGGAGGCTTTCGAAGAGGTCTTGAACGAGGAGGTCGTGGCTTTGATCGAAGTCTTGATACTGCTGGATGGTGCCTTTACAGTAGTGGTGCTGACCTTGCTACTGCTGCTGCTAAGACCTCGCTCTCCGTGCACTGCAGCAGAGCCAAGAGAGGCCAGAGAGAATGCGGAAAGAAGAATAGCGCTCTTCATTTTGGATGTAGTAGAGTAAAGAATGGAAAGTGCGAGACTTGCTCGGACAGTGAAATGATTGAGGGTATAAGAACAATCTGCGAAAAGAAAAGGCACGAGGAAGATGATGAATTGAGGAAAAGGACAATGACAAAGATATAGATCATCTTGACTGATAGACACAGATATAAGAAACGCCTTTCTCTCCTTACAGACATGATAATGCGTTCTGGTCAGATCCAACGTTGAGGTTCCTCAGCTACCGCCAAACGGCGCGTCGCCACTACAACCCGCATTGTTTCAGGGAACGTGGAGCATGAAGAGGGTGAAGGGTACGTACCAGCATAGCATAGCATGTACAATGGCGCAAGAAGTCTTAGTTCCCATGCCTCCGCAACGATGATATCTGGGATGTTGAGACATTCATGGCAACCAGACTGTCGTTCGGACCGCGAATCGAGGTGAACACTTAACAGAGGATTTGAATGATCTGGCCATGGTTTCAACAGGATTCTGGACCTGTGTGAGATCTTGAGACATCAATAAAGGTACATGTTATCCGTGATCGACGGTGGTAGATGGTATGCCATGTGGTTTTCTAGTTGGAAGCGCACCAGCGGATGCAGTGTCGTTTTGTGGAAAGCGGGTGGGCAGATTTTCTCTAGCGAAAGAGATAAGATAAACGGCTGAGGCGTCTTTGGGCTCTTCAACCAGAAGGTTCAGCTCTCAGCGTTTTGGGGAATTTCATGACTGCCAGGATACTTTTGATTGTTTGAAACAAGCGATGTTTTTATCATGAGATGGTCCATGAGATTGGAGTCGATGGAGTCGAAGGAGTCGGAAAGTCGTGTCCGAAGCAACTTGGAAGCGAGGGCGAACCTTTGAGAGCCGACGTGGTCTGTGCTCGGGCTATGTCATAATCACAAGCTGTGGAAATCAAGAGCTCGCAAGACCTGAACATTTCATCACTTCATCACTGCAGTGCAACCTGACAGAGAGACTCATCAGATTACCTCCCTACTTCATCTCATCTTGCTCCCTTCAACATTGATCACTTGTTGTCTTAACTGGAGACTTCCTCAACTCGGCCCATAACCTACACGCGACCGCAAGAATGGCCGCGTCGATCCCCTCCACAATGAGAGCTTCCCAATGGACTTCGATCCAGGGCACCATTGAGAAGAGTCTCAAGGTCAACAACAACGCCGCCTTGCCCAAATCTGCAAACTCGCTCGCCAAAGATCAAACTCTTGTCAAGGTTCACTATGCCGCTCTGAATCCAGTCGATTATAAACTACCCGAAGCACCTGTTGTTGGCAGCATGGCTATTTCCAAGCCAGCATCGCCCTGTATGGACTTTGCCGGTGTGGTTGTGAAGACCTCGAGAAGCGACTTGCAGCCCGGCCAAGCTGTCTTCGGCAAGACGGAGCCTCCCCTCTTTGGTGCCATGGCCGAATACCTGGTCGCTGGCCGTGACGGTACCATCGCTCTCCCCGATGGTGTCAAGCCTGAGGATGCTGCATGCGTTGGTGTTGCTGGTCTGACTGCCTACCAATGCATTGTCCCCAACGTCAAGACCGGAGACAAGATCTTCATCAACGGTGGATCAGGAGGCACTGGCTCTTTCGGTATTCAGTTTGCCAAGGCCATGGGCTGTGAGGTCACGACAACATGCTCTGGACCGAACGTGGATCTCTGCAAAAGCCTGGGCGCCGACGAGGTCATCGACTACCGTACTGAAGACGTTCTAGAAACTTTCACGCGTAGCGGTAAGCGTTTCGACCTCATCGTCGACTTTGTCGGTTCCCCTGAGTTGTACTGGCAGTCCCACTACTTCACCAAGGAAAGCGCAAAGGTTGTGAATGTTGGAGCCACCATGAGCCTAGACTTCTTCCGTCGTCTGTTGCCCATCTTCCTCCTGCCAAGATTCCTGGGAGGCGGTTCACTCAAGTACGAGTTCCTGACATGTCACGCCAAAGAAGACGACTTCAAGCAGATCGGAAAGTGGATGGCCGAAGGAAAAGTCAAGCCCGTCATTGCGGAAGTTTTCAGTCTTGAAGACGTACCTAAGGCATTTGAAACACTCAAGACTGGTCGTGTTCGTGGCAAGTTGGTCGTCAAGGTCTCGAATGAGTAAGATGTGCTCAAGAGTCGATGAGTGATGATTATCAGCACGTTGTCGTTCATATTAGCCTAAAGGGTTGTTCCAGTCTTAATTGTATAATATCTTGTCCTACACCAGTCGCTGGATCATAAGCTATCAATTCATGAGCTTACGGGAAATCGACGTTCAACACTGCCGATTTTATGAAATTGTGATGGTACTTCTTGGAAAAAATGACCTGCTACTGTGATTGGGCGGTGACACAAGTGGGGGGAGGCACACGATCGACCCGCGTCGGGGGTTCCTTTTTGATTCGCGCAACATCCTCAGGCGGTCGCAAAAAGGCCGTCTAGCCTTGCGAAGAGTGTTCGCTAGCCAAGGAACACGGATATGAATCTGCTCTGAGACTATGTTCTCGAGTGTCTGCTTGGTCCGTCCGGCCGCTGCTTTGCACACCAGGTCACGCTGCGTTGGCATTTGGACCGGTCATGCACCTCGCTGTTTCTGATGCTTCTGCCATGTCACAACGGACCTCTCAGATGCGTTACCAGAAATCTTGCAACAGGAATGCTTGATCTCGGAGTGCCTTGATAGGCTACACAACTCCTGCATGCCACGCCACTTGTCCGGGGCATGAGAGCTCGTGATGCAGGCTCTCGCCCTAGCACCCACACTTCATCATCCCAAAGCTGACGGTTCAAGCTTCTTGCTGGTGCTCCACCCTCCATTCTCTGTATCGCCATGGTCAGCAATTGACAGCGCTGTGATCGGTGTTACGAGCTCTGTCCTCACAGCTGGATTACCTTGTGGTTTTATGGCAACCTGTTGATCAAGAAGGCATTCGATCCTTCCAAGTTCTCTGCCTACTTCCTTCGTACGTATTGAACATGTCCGGACATTTTCTTCTGCTCCACACCCAATCGGTAGCTTGCATCATTTTTGTACTAATCACAAGCTGCTGTTGAATGAGCTGGCATCTGTCCAGTGTCTACGATACGACAGCGGCTAACCATTCTAAATCGTAGCAGTGTCGTGGCATCTTAACGACTGCAGCATCCTTCAATCTCCGGATTCTCTGTCGTGCGGGATAGGGACATGTTACAATGTTTGAATAGAACCTCACTGCCACAGCTTCAATCGCCCGTCATCAGATCGGTATTCTAATAGAAAAGCATTCATCATGGCGCAAAGAGAACCCTTACCAGAGGCCACCTTGACCGAGTTGGCCTACCTCAGGCGTCTGCAGAAGTATCAAAAACGCAAAAGCGACTACATTGGTCATCGACTACATTGGCTGGAAACATCATGCGAGGCCAGAAACCGGATCGTCCAAGGTGCGAAGGATTTACGGCATGAACTGACAGATTCAATCCAATCTGGAGACCGGAATAAGTTCTCAGTGCTCTTCAACGCATTTGAGACGCTCAAACAGGCATGCGACGAGTGGGACCAGAAGTCACCTGTACCAGAGAGCTCAAACAACTCTTCATCAGATTACCGAACTGGTTCATTCATGGACGGCGTGTCGTCCGACGCTCGAGAAACTTTGCTGACCTTTCTGTCTCGTGTCTCCTTTGACCCCTTCTTCCTACTTGATCGGCTTCGAGGACTTCCAGATCTTGTCTTCGCGACTCTATCCAGACCACATTCCCAGGTTCTAACAAGAAACTCGAACTCTGGAACCCAGTTCAAGAGATCATTTGACAGGACCGAGTATGAAAGCACTCAAAGGTTTCTTGACTTTTCCCGGTCCGATGTTCTTGGTCTCCTCCTCGCTTTAATCTCTACAAATGAGCATACCCAAGATGGATCATCCTCGAGTGCCTGGGGAGTCATCTGTGCTGGCCTGTTATCCCATCAGAAGTCAGGCAGTGATAGGTTTGTTATCACTGTGATGAATGCCCACCTTGGACAGCTGGACAAGACAGCCCATCACTGTCTGGAGAACTGGCTGTTGGAGACATTGAGAGATGGAGACTTCATATTGTATCAGGCAGATAGGCGTCCCTTCCGGAACAAAGGCCAGCCTCCCTTGGGGCATCCTAATGACGATACGAAGGCCGTGGATGACTTCTTCTCTACGGCCATCGAGAAGCTGCTCTCAGTTTTCATTGACAACGAGCTAACAAGGATTGTTCCGTCCAGTGTCTTGAATCTAGGAAAATCCATTGTAGCAAGACTGGAACCCTCTTCCCAGCAGCAACAAGCAGCTCCATATTTCCTATGCACACGTTGGCTCTTTGCATCCTATCTCTCGTCACTAATCACGAGTCCAGAGGTGAGTGAGATGAGCTGGGTATATTGAATCCAAAACTGATACAGACGATAGAGCTATGGTCTACTACTCTCACACCATATCTCTTCGATGGTCCGACAGCGAATATTACACGAACTGGCACAACGTACACGACAAATCATGGAAGGTGTTGCCTACTCATGGTACGTGCTATCTCCCCTTACTGCACGTCGATCTTATGTGATACAGGNNAAACAAATATCTCCGATTATGCCAACCCTCGTCGAGAAAATCGAGAGTATTGTAGACCTCTTCCGAGTTAGTCCACAAGACTCCAGATCTGTTCCGGGTTCCAATGAGTCAGGCAATAATATTCCGGAAAGCGGCGGTGGCCGCAACAGACAAATTACGCTTTGTGCTTCGGAAATCCTGACTGCAATTCGTGTTCTCTATCCAGAGAACGGTGACGGTTATTACGCTGGTGCCCACATCTCCCATGGTTCTACGCTGAAGTCATCCGCATCCTCCGTTTCCGGATTGTCACTTTTTCATACTGTGTGTCCCTCGGAGCCAACTTCGCCAAGGAATGGTCATTGTGATTCTGTCCCAGAGGTAAGTGCACCTACTGGATTTCCGCTTCCTGATTCTACATCACCAGGATCTATTCCAGAGAGTGTATATCTACCTCCCGGAAATGTGTTTGGTCATAGACTCAGAGAGGCTTGCATTGAGTTGACTGTATACACTGGCTACGGCTCAGATGCCCAAAGCTGTGATCTCTTTTCCGAGCAATGGACAAGCCTCGAAACGTGTTTCGATGACCATGGTACGATATCTTGGATCGATTGTGCAGGTCCCAACATCAACTGTGCCGGCTCCAGCAGGAATGTTTGCCCGGAGCAACTGGTTGATCCCGATCCCCGTACCTTCGATCTCATCAGTACTGGAATACACACTCTATTGGACGGTTTCTACTCTTCTACCGCCTTGAGTACCGAATCCGTCCCCCAGGATGCTGAGTCTCTGCATTCCTCACTGCTGGACCAATTCGTAAGCGCGAGAGCGAGTTGTTACCACCAAGGCGATTTTCCCAAGGCTCATCTATTCTTTCGGTTGGCCAAAGCGACTACCTCGCTCTCTCCTGAACTTACATCGCAGATCATGCAAGCCGTTGCGAAGGACTTTCGCCACGTTATCAATGGCTGTCGCCTTAAGGTGCAAAAAGGAGAAGCTCGGATCGAAAAACTCAACGATAAGATCGATTCGCAGCAGGCCGAGATCCAATCTATCTCGTATATCAACAATCGACTACGGGAGAAGATGTGGTATACTGCTGATGTGCAGCGAGCAGGTCATTATGAAGAGCTCCGTAAGGTCGTAACGGCCTTGCGCGTTATGGCGTCGTCGACTCGACCGAAGACAGACAAGAAGAAACCTCTTCTTAGGCATCGAAGTGCATCAAAGTCCTTGAACCAAAGCATGCAACTCAAGTCAGAAGCAGCAACACTTGAACTCTTGTCCGCTCCGGTAGAAAGAGGTGGCACGAACAAGCTTAGTGACGTTCAGATCGATATGACGTTACGTTGGATGGAGGATCGCGGTGTGGAGCGAGTTTGCAGAGCCGAAGAAAGAATTCATCGATTCTGCTCTGAGCTCACCAGATGTCTGGAACATTTCGTGGGTCAAAGCCTTGTTGAGAATCCGATGTTGTGGTCCAGCCAGCTCTTCCAGAACCAGAAGGTATCATCCGGTCATCTCAAAGGTAGAGTCAGTACACCAAACTCCGAGAATAGCGCATTGGCACGACTTCGTGCAATGTACGACAACAAGCTGTCTGGGCCGTATGAGACTCAGATGTCGCCTCAGGGGAGTCGATTCCCCACTCCATCTCGAACCACGATGCACTCGAACTTTGCTGCCAGGAGCATAAGTCCCAAGTCCAACTCGCATGACTACTTTGGTTGTCGAAGCCCTACGCTTACCCACAAATCGTCAGGTACATTATGGTCGACCTTCAGTGCAGGGCCACAATCTCCTTCCAGCGCTACGAGCTATCCGTCAAGAGCTTTGTCTCCCATGTCAACTGGACGACCGTTATCTCGTCACTCTTGCTCGCTACAGACTCAAGCTTACTTTCTGGACGAGCTGAAGCAGAATTTGACCAGCTTATTATTGAGTGATTTCCACGACCTTTTCCGGTCTGGTAGCGAAACAGACAAAGCTATGCGTAAGATGGTCAAGCTCGGATTACCCGTTAGAGACACTCTGGTAGAGGCTATGGAATACACACATGATGCGTCCCGGTCATCATTTAACTTTGGTCAGGTGTTTAGTATGCTCTTGAGGCGTTTCGAGCTACAAGCGAGTCCCTATGCCAAACTCGACATTCTTCTTGAGCTCCAATCTATGCTCAAAGCTCATCATGCGGACCGCAGGCAAGAAGATATTCCTGGCGCCTCACTACCCAACACCAATCTGTTCACTCAACGCAGACTCAGTCTCAGAATCGATACTTCAAGCACTCCACGAACGTCGCTAGGTCATGACAGCACCATACTAAGCTTTCGTCAACTATTTCAAAACCCGAGTCTACGGCCAAAGACACTGTTCCGCGACTTGCAGTACATAGCCTCACTTGTACCTCTCCATATTCTCGACAACACGCCTCGCGGCCGCGCTCNNTTTTGGAACGCCACCATTGCTGCCCTCGATCTCAAAGAAGAGCTCTGCCACAATATGATCGAGACCGCCGATCAGATAATCCATCACCACACTTTGATGCGCGGTCACTCACGCGTAACCTCTGCCGCACAAGCTCAACGCGATGCAGCCGCCTTTTCGCCACCTACGCCCACACCATCCTACCCCGGTGTCGCAGACCTGAGTATGAGTGATGCAGCAATATTGCTGCAGCTCACAGCCAAGGAAGGCATTCCCGCCGCTCAACGCGAACTTGCTACACTGTATCTTACGCACCCAGAGTTACTCGGCATCTGTGTGAGCCCATTTTCAAAGACAAAGGATGTATTCAAAGATGTGGAAAAGAATCGGGAGGGGGTTAGTGAGAGGTACAATCCAACAGCTATGGCCGTTGCGCAGCATTGGATGGAGTTGAGTGCGAAGGGTGGCGATGGTCCTGCAGCGAGGTACTTGAGGGCGAAGGATGAGTGGAACAGCTTACCTTGAGGCGATTGCTGGAGGCTTTGCGGTTGTTAGTGATGGTGGTGGCAGGTTTCTTCTTCCATACGAGCGTTGTGTTGCCGGTTCAACCTTCGCTGCCAGTATCACCTTTTGGTTGTTATAGTGAGTTGGATGACCTGAAGGTCTTTGCATACGAGTTACAGATGACTAACTTGGGTCGCAGGTTTCTACACATGGCTTGCCAAATCGAGCCCTTGAATATCAGACTTTTCCCAAGATTTCACGGTTCCCTCTCATACGTTTGTCCTCATCTGCTCCTGCCGGTATCCTGATAGCATCACTATGGTAATGTTTCGTCTTTACGTGTCACCGTCATCCTTCGTTCCTTCCTTCTCTTGCGCCTTCCATGTTAATAAACAACTGTGCATTCCTATAGCATACTATAGCACCATTTGCTTATCAGGGAGAGTGGCTACTTGTCGAAGGTGACCACACGTTATCTATAATCTACTACGTGTTCCCAAAGGGGCCCATGGTTCAATGCCAAAAGAGAACAAATCAAATATCGAGAAAATAGTGGGTATCTAAAAGTAAAGTGGCTGTAAAAGAAAATCTAAAAGTCTATAACTCTGGTTTTGCAAAAAGTGTCATCTCATGTTCAGAGGCCAGACACCGAGTTCTTGGTGTTGACACGGTCGATATCATAAGGACTGGCCTCGTACACCGAAACGGTCCTGACTGTATCAACCGTTCGTGCTCGTGTAAGCTCCATAGGGTCCTTGGCTTCGGCCGCCTTCTCAACGTCAACGTCGTCTTCGCTGGTCACACTGCTTCCTCTTGTCGTCACAGTGGTTGCCGCGGCCTTTTGCTGGAACATCAAAACTGCTTTTTCGGCGGCGGCGGCATACGTGCACTTGGCTCTGATTCTTGCGCCAAACTTGTAGAAGAAGAAGGGCAGGGGTACGCAGAGCAGGGCGAGGAAGGCAGGAATGGACGAAGCCCAGTGAAGACCAAGACGTTCGTACATGATCCTTGTAAATAGAGGGAACGCGGCACCGAACAGGGAGCGCAGGACGGTGTTCGCGGCGAGGACTGATGCGGCGTAGATGACATAGGCGTCGATGAGGTAGGACGTGACGGACAGGAAGACCAGAGTAAGTCCGAAACCAAAGGGGGCACCGGCCATGATGGGTGAAATCCAGTGGACGGAAGGGCCATTTGTGAAAGCGAACCAGAACATTCCAACGGGCAGGCAGACGGAACCGACCATGCCAATGACGAGACGTGCCTCAGGAGGAGCGAAACCGTTGTTCTTGGCTGCTGCGGCCATGTACCATTTGTGTGAGTAGAGGGAGAAACAGATGGCAGCAAACATGCCAAAAGCTACACCCAAGAAGGCCAAACCACCAACACCTTCACTCCAGCCGCGGTGGACCTGAAAGGTTATTGGGAAGGCTCCAAATAACAGGTAGAGGGTTCCATAGACGATAGCAATGTATATGGAGAGGAGCAGAACGATTGGCTCAGTAAAGAGTAAGATCCATGGGCGGATGAGAACGGTCGATACCATCTGTTTAGCCGAGACAGGGCCTCTCTCAGCATCGAACTTGGACATATAGACCATGCCGGTTCTCTTGGAAAGTTCCTCGGCACGGCGTCTGAGTAACACGGGGGCGTATGTCTCAGGGACGATCAGAGAACCAGCAATCCACAGTACACCAGCAAAGATGGCTAGCAGACCCTGAACCCAACGCCAGCCCTCGTTCTCGCCCAAGAAGCCACCAACAAGAGGTCCGATGGCTGGACCGAGACAAGGCGCAAGAGAGAAGATTGTTATGGCACGGCCACGCTCCTGGGCTGAGAAGACGTCCGAAATGACACCGCCGGCATTGGTAAAGGGCGAAGAACCGAAGGAGCCAGCGAAGAATCTCAGGACAAGAAGACTGCCGATGTTGTTGACTCCAGCGCAACCAGCGAGAAAGGCAGTGAACAACGCAAAGGTCGAGAAGAAGACGAATTGGCGGCCGACGGTTTCGCTGAGCGGTGCCCAAATGAGAGGCCCCAGAGCGAAACCAAGAACGAAGAGAGAGACACCGGCTGTGATGAGCTCTGTCGAAGCATGGAGTCCGTAAACGAGCTCACGGATTGTTCCTNNGTGACTGGTCAGTATTGTGTCCGGCACAGCACAGGATAGAAAGATCCAACCGCTGAAAGCACTGGAAGCAAAGGCGGTAGCAAAACACGTCATGGCAACAGTCATAGTCAGAAGCCACTTGAACGAATTTGACCAGTTCATGGGGTTGCCAGCATCTTCGGGTACCCAGACGACCAGGTATGGATCGTCTGTTGTACCTGAGCCCTCATAGCGATGAGCCAGAACATCTGGACTGATACGTGCTTGGTCGCGGACAAGACGAAAGAGGGAGAACTTGTGCGGAGTACTGAATTGCACCTTCTTGGAGTCAGGAGAGTCCATTCTGGGGAGGACGGAAGGAAGTAGTAGTGTAGCAGGAAAGTGCCTACATAGTGTGGGTCTACTGAAAACTATATACAAAGTGGCTAGGGCCGACCACCGGGTTAAATTGAAGATTTCTCATGGGCATACCGAGGTGTGCAGGGTATACGGTAGATCGGGGGTTAGTTGTGGCCGTTCATCAACAAAAGAGTCGACTTGATACGTAAATTGGTAGAAGGGCCGTGGGACTTGAAGAAGATTAGGAAGTGTCTAGCGAGTCGCGAGATGATTAACCTCGGCTACAACGTTTGCACCAAGCTGTCAGGCCGGATTGGGAAGATTTTGCGAAATCACGGAACTTCCAGAAGGAAAGCCTGGCGGGTAGGGAGATTCATGAACCGAATGGAGTGTTTGCCTCAAGATTGAAGCATGTGATGATCGAGGAGACGTGGACCAACATGGCGACATGGTCGTGTTGGTGGAGAGATGTTAGATGAGTGGTAAACATGATTGAGGGTGAGAGCTGGAGGTAGCTCCGGCATGTGTCTCGTTCCGCGAAACAAACAAGTCAAACAAGCATTTCACATGCAAGCGCAAGCTCGCCGCTCGAGGGCGAAAGCCTGATATTCTGTCGCATCCAACAAGCACATTCCAGATCGCAAATATGAGCGGCGCATTAAGAGTTGTCGAACAGACACCGCGCGAGGACGAATTCACCAGCCTCGAGGCACACCAGCAAGAAACACCCGGCAGCTTCTACGACGCCAAAGCCGTTTTGCACCACCGCGTCCAAAATGCTACTCTAAAGGTGTCGGAACGTGACTTGGCCACCAACGCTGCCCTGCAAGCACTGCGCACTTCTGCCGGTCCTGGCGCTGCCCCTCACGCGTCTCCTCACTCGCACACCAATGGCGACGGCGAGGAACCCAGAGTCGAGGTCACCATCACACGCATTTCCATCTGGGTGACATCAGAGTACGTGCTGTCAGAACATCCCTCGACCATATACTGACCAACATCAGATNTCTTTACCCTCTGGAGCTCGACTGCCGGACAGGGTGTCCAGATCCCATACCGAACCATTTCTCTGCATGCCCGTCAACAGAATGCCCTATACCTACAATTATGTCTGAGCGACATTTCGCAAACCGCCGATGACGACCTCGAGACTGTTGAGCTTCTGTTGACACCTGAGCCTCGGGGAGACAGCCGCCCGATTGATGCAGCCGAGAAACTCTTCACTGCCGTGTCTGACTGCGCCGACCTACACCCTGATCCCGATGAGGATGACCAAGAGCAAGAGCAGGAACCCGAGCCGGGAACCGGTGGCTGGATTACTTCTGAGAACTTGCAAGACTTCATGGACGAAAATGGCGAGTTCCGTATGCCTGAAGGTGGAATTCTTGGTGCTGGTGCTGGTTCGGTCAGAACTGCCGATCAATTCGAGGATGCCGATGATGGTGACGACGTCAACGGCGAAGATGCTTCCGATGAAACCAAATGGCGCAGAACGAGCTGAGCGAGTTCTGAAAACCACGGCCAAAAAGAAAGAAGAACCACACGAGCGTCGCCGCTGACCACCCTGTGATCGGCCTTTATTACTCGGTGCCAGGCTACAGCAGCTTTGCTTACCATACGCCTCTCCGGAGCTCGTCCGGCTACCAGCTTGGTCGAGCACAGTCCTTGCCAGCAGATCAAGAGTCTTGAACGACGAAAGAGAGCGACCAGGATGGTCGATACATACCAATACAAACCAACCGCTTCAAATCTTGTCTCGCTTGACTCGGATGTCCAGCGAAACTGTCTTTCGCTAGGTACGCACAGTCATGCGCGCTTCTGTAGTCAGCAAATACAATTGGGAAAGCGCTCATGTCCTATCGCGCACTCGCATGGTTCACATAAGCATACGAAGCTTTAGATATTCATGTGCTTTCCTCTCTTAGCTCTTTCTATGCTACTGTGCATTGCCACGGAACAAGTGATGTCCTCGACCAGGCAGAGAACCGATCGGCTACAGCTCTAGCCCCTGAATGACAGGGTGACACTTCCAACCATGATTTTCGTGACCCAAATGCCTATAACACTACTATATCATGTTAAATGGACCAAACAACCATGCTGGCTGACATTCGACCATCTTCTCTAGTCTGTGATAGCTTCGGTCTAGATTGCGACCAAGCGTTGTAGCGCTGCATCACAATTTGCTCTGACATTTATATCCATTCGGAAACTTTGCTGTACCATGGTCATGTTCAAGCGACTGTGTACCATACTCACCGCAAATTCCAAATAAACAATGATCAATGTAGGTGAGGAAGTTCCCACTCAATCGCGAAATGACCCCTCTGGCACAACAAGCAAAGACCAGAAGCATGAGAAACTTAAGAGATGATGGGCATGCGTTGACTACATCGAAGGCAACAAGATCTGATCTGACGGTATGCAACAAGCTTCGCATTCTTAATCAACGCCCTAGCGTTGGCTTCCAACACAGAATCTTCGAGGGATTCTAGAAGGATGTTAGACCAAAAGATCAATAAAGTAAAGATAACTTCTATGTTACACATGCATTGTTGTCATCGCTATAGGCATGCAACGGTCCAAGTCCTTTATGCTATAGAAATTACACAACAACGACCACTCTAGATATCTAATCAGCAGAGGGAAGACAGCAGAAGCTCGATCAGCGGATAATTTCAAGTTTGGTTCTGCCGGCATGACGTTATGCAGTAGCAGTTTGGACAGAGGCAAGAGGATGGCTAGGGAAAAAAATGAGCTTTGCAAGTATGGAATCCATGCTGTGTATACCTATAGGTAGAAGACTGGCAGAAGAGAGGGCAAGGGTGACTTACGACAACAGCTCACAGCAGCCAGACTCGATGGGTTGAAGCTCGAACAAGCAATCCTGAACCCTTGTCAAACCTACAAGTAGGGACTAAGAAGGCCAAGCAAGAAAGAAGCAACATCTGGACAACATGAATGCAGGTGAACCCTGAGCACGGTAAAACTTCGGACATCTCTAATCCAAGAAGAAATATCAAGGCCTTTGACCTGTCCACTAAAGGTTCCTGAACTTCCTCTTAGATTGCGGAAAATCAGTCGGTCGAACATACAACGCATGCTAATGCTTGACGAGAGAAGCCACTGTGGAGCTCGACTGCTTGGTATGCTTCTACTAGACGAGCCCCTGATGTGAAGACATTCGTGTGTATACTTTCCGGGGAACCACGATCTACCAGCGGTGGATTGTGACAGGTGATCGGCATGAGTTTTACCGATCTCTCTAAACAGGGGCCTCGAGCTATCTGGTCAACAATGACACAGCGGCTGTTTTGTTGTCACTGCAAATACACACAATCGAGTGTAGTGATGGCCGGTGGTGATAGCGTGCTGTTCTGTCGGCTACTGACTTTGAAGCATTAGTGATGACTCGGACCCAAGTCCACAGGATATTCACGTTAACATGCATAACTTTCGTGAATAGAGAGGAGCGAGGAACCAGATGGCACGAAAGTAGCCGAAACGACTGACTTTCTGAGAATGAAAAAACAATTCTTTGCATCAAAAGACAAGTAGTGCTGGTAAAGAGAGGCTGAAGAACAAGGTGAACAGCCAGGTCCAGGCTTTTTCGGTCTGTCTGATTTGAGAAATCGCATGCCACCAAAGGGGGATGACATTGACCGTGCACATGTATTGTCATGCACACCCACATTTGCATGGACAAAGGCACTCGTACACGGTCGTTTGTTCGTGTCGTTCAGGAGCAGTGTTCGCACAGCTGAGAACGAGTTGTGCGCACGAAGCCTCCAAGACGAAATCTCCGATCATGGTTGTCCAGCGGTCGAACAGCACAATGAGCAACAACACAGCGAGGAAACTCAGAGATATGGACAAGAATCAGGGGACTTTATGGCCAGAGCCAAAGGTCGGTTGCGAGCAGCGAGCGGACATGCATACATGTTGTGTCTGGAAGCGCCACAAAAACATGGCGAGAACGTTCCGACACGGTCTGGACAAAGCACATCGACGATTGCAAACCATCGACGGCTTTTCAAGCTGAGACAATGCGACCACACGTGGAGATAAAACGAGTCAAGATATAGAAAATCAAGGCGCGACAAACAAGAGACGTGCAGGATACGGGAGATTGTGAGGCAGCGAGTGGGAGAGTGGTGGTTGGAAAGTGTAAATAATGCACAAACGTTGTGTGAAGATCAAGGGCAGCGAAAGCCGAGTACAGCGGCCCAAGACAGATGCAAAGCAGAAGCAGATTTCAGTCCGATCGAAACATGGCGGCAACAAGACGAAGAGGACGAAGGTGGACTGGAGTTGGCAATGGAGTCTTGTATCTTCAGGTGATGTGCTGAAAGGAAGGGCACACAGAAGGACACGCACTTTGAGTTCGACTTATTTGCGATGACGCGAGCCAAGCAGGCACTTGAGGGCTGGCGTTTCAAGCCTGCGGCGGCTGCCACACGCTTTCAAGGAAGGTCCCATAGCACGAACCGAAGAGCCCAGAGTCGCAACTCTCGATCCACTCGGATATCCGCCCACGCTCTCGACGACGAGCCCAAGTCGAGCCGTGTCGTCTCCATCCCCGTGCCCGGCCCCCGCCTGTCGCTCCTGTCGTTGTTCCTGCCGAAGCTGCTGATGCGTCCTTTGTCAACGGGCCCATCTGCGCGCTGCTTTGCTGAACAAGACCACGAGCCCGAAGGGGGATGACTGGCCTGCCTAACACAACCGCCGGCCACGACATGCCTTCGAGTATGCCGCCGCCGCCGTACAACGACGATGCCGACGACGACGATGACGCCACGCCGAGCGCGACCCCTGCAAACACCTCCCACGCCGCTGCCGCTGCCGCTGCCGCCTCTCCTGTCACTGCCGCCGCCAAAGTCCAGTCGCGCCCAATGCTGCGTCCCTCGCCGCCGCTCAGCTCAAATACTCCGACCATAAATGAGCCACCGCAGTCACCAGACGCCAGCGCTCCTTCGGTCAGTCCTGACGAGGCAGAAATTGCACGCCTGCGTGCTGCTGTCACTGCCAGGATGACCTCTAATTTGCAGCGGGCAAAGGCCAATTTAGCCGCTCAACAGCAGCAGCAGCAACAATTCTTTCAACCTCAGCCCGACTCACTGGCGCCTTCCGTGAGCCGTTCCAACACTTCTAGCCAGGTGCCTCGTAGACCCTCGCCCATCAAGGAGGAACATCCCACTGTATCTCCCCTCACCGCCGCCTTCAGCAGCCCGTTAGCCACCACTCAGACTGCCTCTACCGAGTCAACATCTTCGTCGTCTCGTACCATCCGCGGAAGCGCTGCTGCTACTCCGGCTGCTATGCCCCTGCGCACTCCTTCGTATCCCTTTCCATACGTCCCTGGTACTCCGCGCACGTGGTCGTCGTCGTTCCATCAACCCTTTACTGCCCTGTCGCCGACAGTCTCGGCCGCCCAATCTGGTGACAGCAGCACTCCTGGTGGTGCCCCAATGTCTGGTGCAACCACTCCTGCTGCTACTGGTGCAGCCTTTGCTCCCCACGACTTCGAGTTTGCGCCAAGTCAGGACCCTCGCTTCCCTACCCCAAATGTATACGATCTTGTCTTGCAGCTCAACTCGGAGCCTGGCTTGGAAGCCTGGTGGTCGTCAGTGGCAAACATCATGAACGATGTATACAAGGCGGACCGTGCAAGTCTGGCTCTACCTGCCGACTCGAATGATATTGAGAATGTGCCGTGGGGTCAAAAGACTACATTTAATGTCGCTGGCCGCGAAGATGATTCTAGTGAAAGTCAGGCTTCAATCCAGCCGGCGCCTTCCATCACATCCCTGCCTCCACGCTCAACTCCAGATCCGTCTCCTTTGAATCGCATCCGCCCAAGCCTTGAATCTCGCCATTCGTACGCCGGATTCACTTCTGCTGATACACCGCAGCGTCCTGGGTCTGCATTGCGTCCAAACATGCCGTCACGCACCCTCAGTCATGCGCCCAGCTTGACANACCCCCCCATGCCGTCCCCAGGTCTTGATTACCGCCTTCACAACTACCGTAGTACATCCGTCAGCGAACCTGAATTTAGTAGTGTCGGCGGCTACAGCCAGCCAACTCAGCTGGCTGTTTATCCTATATTGAAGGGTCTAGATTCTGAGGTCGACGGTCTAATTGATACGAGCGGTATCAATAGAGTGTTGGAAAGGGGCAAGCTGATAACGCTAACCCGTGATTATTCAAACAATGGTCAGGATAGTCAGAGTCCATCCAATAGCTCACAGGATGAGCACATTGTTTCTGGACAACGTTCGACAAGAACAAAAGCCCAACAACCTCCACCACCTCCGCCGCTAGCTCATACCACTAGCAAGCCATCTCAACCCTTTGACAACTTCCGAACAATTTTCTCACAGATGGACAACAACAAGCGACGTGGTTCAGCCTATGAAGAATATGAGCAATACCCACCTTCGCCTTGGGCACAGTCACCTGCACCTTCACCCGCCATGCAAGCCGATCCCGAGAACAATCCATTCTTCATTGCAGAGGAAAGTGTTGAAGACTCTTTCAACCCATCTGATGCCACTCATGATTACTCACATCTAGAACCTGTTGAGGCCATTGGCGTTGACCGCGCTCATACCGTCGTGCATATTCCGCTTATTCATCCGACTCTCTCGCCGATTATGCACAACTACCAGTCACCAAATCCAGAGTCCCGTCCGGACAGTCGGGCTCAGTCAATGTCACAAGCATCTTCCGGCGACCGAAGAGCTCCGATTGCTATTCTTTCGATACTAAGTCCCGCAGTGCCGTACCCTCAGAACCTCGTACAATCACTCAAACTACTTGGGCCGCATCTGGCAACTTCCTACTACATGGCCCATCAGTACACTAATGCACACAACCAAGCTATGGGAATTCGTCATCGCAAATCTATCTCGGGTCATAACATCGGCTTTGCACCATTGAATATTGCACCTGGAAATCTGGACGATCTCATCCGCGCCGATCTAGATGAAGTGGCTGGATCTATATCTGGCAGTATGACTAGTCCCTCTGACTACTCTGGTCGATCCCGCCATAGTCCTTCTGGATCCATAGTCGGCACTCCTGGATGGGACCCTTCAGCCTTCGGTCTCAATACCAATAGCAAGTCAGTAGCGGGTACGCCAGCTGGAATACGAGGGTCGGAGATTGTCGACAGCTACTTCGATGCCAAGAAGATGCACCGCTCAGCAGGCACAGCTGGCAATCAGACCTCATTGATCACACCTGCGAATGACAGAAGCAAGAGAGTATCTGTATCCGCAGCCGACGACGAGCAGACTACACCAAAGAGCGAGAGACGTCCTAGACAGTCTCGTTCCGCGAAAGAGGAGAAGTCTCCATTCAGACCTGTTGGCCGTGAGCAGAGTCCCTCACGAACTGTTGAGAATAGCGTGTCGAGAAAGCCCAGCTTCCGCAGCAACTTACCTCCCCCAACAATTGTCGCGGAAGGTGGAGACAAGCGCCATTCTGTGCTACACTCTTACGGTGCCGATTTCAGCTCATCTTTCCAGGGCCTCCCAGCTGCAACCACGCCAGGTCCCAGGACACCTGGACTCGCAACTCATGTCAGAGCAAGCTCTGTCTCCGAAGACATGCCCCCACCTTCAGAGCGTTTGTTGCGTACAATCATCGACTCGCTGCCTGTGCAGATCTTTACCGCTGCTCCCGGCTCTGGTGCGCTGACTTGGGTCAATTCCAAGTTCCTGGTGTATCGTGGGCATGATTCTAGGCAGGTGCTGAAGGAACCTTGGCAAGCAATCCATGCCGAAGACAGAAGCAAGTACATGGACAGTTGGAACCGATCGCTACGGACAGGTCAGCAATTGCAACAGAAGATTCGTTTGCAGCGCTTCGATGGTAACTACCGATGGTTCTATGTTCGAGCTGCACCTTTGAAGGATAAGAAGCAAAACATCGTTCACTGGATTGGCACCAACATGGACTTCCACGAACAACATCTGGCCGAATTGAACCTTGCACGTCAGCAAGAGACTGCTGCTTCTGAAGCAAAGTATCGAGCATTGGCCAACTCGAGTCCTCAGGTTGTTTTTACTGTCAACAAGTCGAGGGGTATTACTTTCTGCAACTCGCAATGGCTTAGTTATTCCGGTCAAGACGAATCTCAGGCCTTAGGTATTGGCTTCATGGAGCACGTCCATCCAGACGACATTGTCAAGTGCAGACTGCCAGCGTTCGACAATGGCTCGGCAAATGCTACCAACGTACCCACTACTATGCCCNCCGAGCCACAACGAACCCAGTCTTCTTCTGCTCAATCGTCGAGTGCTTCGTCAGATACAGAACGCGCACCCACGAGTCCTCTGAACACATCACCAACCACTCAGATGCCTCAAGCAAGACTCTCTCAGCTGGCTTCTACCGGTATCCTCAAAGTTTCAAGAGACGCAGACGGAAAACCTTCGTATTCTACAGAGGTCAGGTTGCGCTCAAAGGACGGCGAGTACAGGTGGCATCTCGTTAGAGTTTTGCTTGCAGAAAGCAATCTCCAGGTGGACGAAGAGGAGACTTGGTACGGCACTTGCACCGATATCAACGATCACAAGGCACTGGAACGTGATCTGAAGGAAACGATGGACGAGAAATCTCGCTTCTTGAGCAACATGTCTCATGAAATTCGTACACCTCTTAACGGTATCACTGGTATGGTCAACTTCTTGATTGATAGCAGTTTGACTTCGGAACAGATGGAGCATGTCAACATCATCAGAGCTTCCACTGAAGGCTTGCGTGGCCTAATCAACGATATCCTTGATCTTTCCAAGGCTGAGGCTGGCATGATTCAACTTAATATGGATTGGATGCATGTGCGCTCCCTGATAGAAGAAGTCAACGACCTGACTTCTGCAATGGCAATTGACAAAGGACTCGAGCTCAACTACCTGGTCGAGCCCAATGTGCCCTCTCAAATTAAGGGCGACCGATTCCGCATTCGCCAGATCTTGCTCAACATTATCGGCAATGCGATCAAGTTCACACAGGTTGGCGAAGTATTTGTTCGCTGCAGTGTGCCACAGGAAGAAGAAAACTTGCCTACCGAGGACTCGATGTTTATCCAGTTCGAGATCATGGACACTGGTCAAGGCTTTACCGAGAAGGAGGCACAGTACTTGTTCAAACGCTTCAGCCAGATCGACGGAAGTAGTACTCGTCAACACGGTGGTACAGGACTCGGACTTGTCATCTCGCGTCAACTCGCCCAACTGCATGGAGGTGACATGTATGCAAGAGGTGTTCCTGGCAAGGGTGCTACCTTCACTTTTGTCATCAAAACGACTTTGCCAGCCGGGGATGACAAGCCACCACCACCCCCTGTCACTCCAGGTCCTGCCCTGCTACCTGTCACACCTTTGATTTCTTCGCCTGTGCCAACGATCACGCAAGACCCCAGGCAGTCAAATACACTCAACCTTCCTTACAGAGGTTCGCCCAGGTTACTGTCGGACGGGACGGATGTATCGTCGCCAGACTTTGATCGATCGTCTCCGGTCGCATCATCCTCTGGCAGTTCGGACCCGTCGATCAGAGCCGGTACCGTAGGTAGTGCCCAGTCAGCCAGGTCTTCTGCATCTTCCTTTGTACCCGATCCATCGCTCCTGTCGCTGTCGCCGCCAATCGAGCTCGCGATCCCTTCCGAAGGCAAGCCGGGTCGCATTGATCCGCATACTTCGGCCGTCGGGGTTGCAAGTACTCCAGATGCGACCATTCGGATGGTCACACCTGGTGGCAGTCACTTGCCGCCTATGTACTCGATCCTGGTCGTGTGTCCACTCAAGCATGCTCGTGAAGCCACTGTCCAGCACATGGACATGACGCTGCCCAAGAACATCCCTCACAAGATCACAGCGAGGGGGAATGTAATGGAATGTCAGAAGATGATCGGCGGAGATGATCCGATGATATTCTCGCACATTGTGCTCGTCTTGCAGTCGGTACCAGAGATCATTGCATTCGTGCAGCAAGTCTTTACTTCGCCTTCTCATTCGTTAACACAACTGGTGCTCATCACCGATTTGCAACAACGACGAAAGCTTATGGAGCAAGCACCACAGTTCGACTATGATGCTCTAGCCAAACAGAGGAGGATGCAGTCCATCTTCAAGCCGCTGAAGCCGAGCAAATTCGCTGCCATCTTCGATCCACGCAAAGAACGTGAGATGAGTACCGACCGTAACCAAGATTCGGCACAACAGGTGGCTGTCAGCCAGAAGCAAGTGTACGAAGAAATGATACGGAGATTGGGCAACAAGAACAAGCGAGTCTTACTCGTGGAGGATAACCGAGTCAATCAGATGGTGAGTACAATAGTTACAACTTTGCTTTGGACATGGCTAACAATTTTACAGGTCCTTCTCAAATTTCTCAGCAAGGTTAATGTCAAGGTCGATACAGTATTGGATGGTGTACAATGCACTGAGAAGGTGTTTGCTAATCCGCATGGCTACTACTCCATCATTCTGGTAAGCATACTTCTGTGGGTCAATCATCAACACGGCTAACATGAGCTTCAGTGCGATCTTCACATGCCCAACAAGGACGGCTACCAGACTTGCCGAGAGATTCGTAAGTGGGAGAAGAAGAACAAAGAGCCATACTTGCCAATCGTCGCATTGTCGGCCAACGTCATGGGCGATGTCTATTCCAAGTGCGTGGATGCAGGGTTCAACAGCTACGTGACCAAGCCCGTCGACTTCAAGGAGCTCAGTACAGTCATGTTAACGTTCCTGGATCCGTCGGACCCCAGCCAGCCAATTGAGTTCATGAAGCAGAAGAAATGAGGGTCATGGTATGAATAGGAAGAGCAGGACCATATTCGGTGGAATCATCATCAGATGATTCGGAAAGGACGAGAGTCATCAGGCGCAAAGGTGTTGATTCGGATGTGTTTTTGATGGAATGCTTTTTGTTGGGTTCGGCAGTCATGTTCTTTTGATTCGACCATTGCAATTATGAGTTCTTTTTGCGAGGAGCAGAGGGCAAAGAAAGGGAGTTTTGATTTGCTTGGATTGGCGAAGCTGCATGGAACAGGGCTCGTTGTGCCTTTTCTTGTTTTCAAAATCTTTGTTTTGTTTTTATTCTCACATCGTTTGGCCTATTTTGTATGCTCTGCATAGCGGATACATTGTACTCGTTCTCTTTTTCCTTGATCCATGTCCTTCGGTCTCGATTAAAATCTTTTATGTCTCGGGTGGTTTGCTCTTGCACTTTGCCTTGTCGAATTGAGCCACTGGCTTCGTTCTCATAGTTCGCTCCAACTCTGTACTTGATCGACGCAATTTTAGACCAGGCATGTTGGGTACATAAGGATATGGTAAAGCATCAGAACGCGACACAAAGTTTATAGTTTTGCCTTGTTCCTGATGGCCGAAAGAGGAAGGCGTGCAACGTGGGGATGGTTCGTGCGGGAAGAGAGATGGTTGGCGGAAGCGACGGGACCGGTGACGTGTGGTCGGACTTGCCGGCAGGTGCAGCGGTTCCAATGGGTTCGTGCCTGCAACTGCCTCCCTCAAGGACCCAAACACCACACTCGCTCCTTCACGCCATTCATACCTGCCTGTATTGGTCCCTTTTCGGAGCGCAAAGCAGTCGCAATGGATAGGCAAGAATATCCAACCATGGTGGTACGTCTCACAACGCTGCGCCGACGCCGGAGGTCCGCGACACGACGAAACAACGACGAGCCAAGAGCGAATGCGCAAGGGCTAACACTCGCAATTGCAGGCCACTCTCGAGCCCGGCCAGGCCATCAATGTTCTCAACGACCGCGTCCGACAAGTTGGCCGTCTCAATTCCGACATCGCCGACTGGCTCCAAGTAAGACCACCGAGACGGACCACGCAGACACGGCAGGGCCAAGAGCTTATACCACGCNAGGAACGAAGGAGACTCGAGGAACAATACTCGGCTGGTCTGCGCAAGCTCGCAAGGCGATCACCACCCGGCGACTCGATCCAAGACCTCGGGTACCACGACCCGTCCCGACAATCAGCGAACAGCTACTGACGTGCTATCCCAGCANTCTTCTCGGTACCATGGACTACTCTCACCTCTGCGCTCGAGACGCTGGCCGAATCGCACCAAGCACTGGCCCAGAGGATCGAGGTCGACGTTGAGCGACCACTGCGCGACTTTGGCTCGACCAACCGCGAGATGCAGGCCATGTCGACCATCCAGGGCAATCTCGCCTCTATGGCTCGCGACGTCGAGAATGCTCAGAAAAAGTCGGAACGATTGAACAACAAGGGATCCAACAACGCCTCTCGCGCCGACTCTGAACTCGAGGGCGCACAGTCGCAGTGGACTTCTCAGTCGCCATACGTCTTTGAGTCGCTGCAATCTCTCGACGAGACCAGACTGAACCATCTGAGGGACGTGCTCACCCAGTTCCAGACGCACGAGATCGATGCGATTGAGAAGACGAGAGTGTCGGCCGAGTCGGTGCTGAACATTTTGCTGAACATCGAGACGGCGGATGAGATCAAGACATACGCTCTGCGTGTCTCTAGTGGAGACATGGTGCCGAGAGAGACAAAGGCCAGCCGCCGCCAGTCCATGTTTGTTGCTCCTGCTCCTTCGCTGCATCCTACCCCTCACCACGACGATGGCGCGAGTATGCGCTCGGGCACTGGTAAGCTTTCGATGGCGATCAAATCCTGGTAAAGGTGAACTAACAGAGTTTCAGCACCAACAGAGCGAGCTTCAGAGCCCGAAAAGCAGAAATCCGGCAAGGGGTTGAAGAGACTGGGCACGTTGCTCGGGCGGAACAAGAACCGTCAGAGCACCATTCTTCCCGACAGAGTATCCGAGTCGCCAGAGCGCAAGCCGTCGAGACCCTCGGCCTTCAACTCGCTGTCCAGTAGATTTGGACGCAACCACGACTTGCCCACGCCGCTTGAAGAGAGCGAAGAGCCCACCCGCCCTCGCTCGCCTCTTCGTACCATGACGAGCAACACCAACTCATCGTACCGTGGCACTGCGAACGGCGACAAGGAGCTACCGCCCATCGACGGCTCAGCCCAGTCTTTGGCTGCCGCCGGTCTTGCTCCCGAGTCATACCACCACCCTTACCAGCAAAACAGCAGTTCCCAGCTGCAGGAGCCTCTGCAGCCTTCGCAGGCCTCGTTGCCCCTCCAGTCTAATNTCTGCACCATCTGCTTCAGACTTCTCTCAACCTATGCAACCTATGCAGCCCATGCAACCCACCCAGCCTGTCCAGGTAAGTCTGTTTCTATCTCGTGTAATCTCCAATGCTAATCCTCGCAGCCCGTTCGTGACCACCAAGGCTTCTCGGAGCCGCCGCCTGCTGTTGATCTCATTTCGCAAGCCGAGAGAGAGGCTGCAGAAGCCAACGACGCCAACCAGCCCCAGTTCAAGCTGGATATCCGGAACGCTCCCATCGCCGAAGAGGGCGGAGATGCTGCTCTTACCACCATGGCAAACACGCTCAAGATGCAAGCTCCTCCTCCGACCTCACGTAGAGCAGGTACTGTCCGTGGCCGTCGCGATATGCGCGCTAGTGTATACGGTCAATCTCCAGTAACCACCCCGGATGTCACCACCGAAGATGGCCCTGTCACTACGGCCTTGCCTGTACTCCAGACATCCCAAGAAGCAACACGCGCACCTCTGGAGATCTCGACCACGTCTTTGTCGCCTACCCAGGGCCCCTCGTCTCCCATGTTCACGTCAGCATCGTCTACTTTCTCGCCCTTCCATGGTTCTGCCCAAGCCACTGCAGCCAGCGTCTTTGCACGCCCAGCCTCGCGAGTTGGCGAGAGCGACTATGATGCAGGCTCCATCCGCTCCGGTCGTTCGCTCAGCAGTTCGCAGAGCCAGACCAACAAGCATCCCGAACTGCACGAGCCTGGTCTTAACAGCTCCATCATCGAGACCGTTAGTGCTTGGTTCGAGCAAGGTCAACTCACACGCAGCGTCACCATTGGTGAAATTGCCCTCGCCTACAACCCTACCAACTTCACATCTCCCTTTGGCCACGAGAGCATCCGCGTAGACGGATTTTCAAGCTTGGAGAAGGTGGCCCCTAACCCAGCTTTCTTGACTGCTGCTGAGCAACCCGGCGAATACAGCGTCAATCTCGGTGGCATCTCGAAAACGGCCGTCGCATTCAAGTACCAAGTTTCCGCTCCTAGCGCAAGTGCTGCACCTCTGCTCCTCACTCCTGCCTGGAAGATTGAACCCACACAAACCTCAGCTATTCTCAGCTATAGCTTGAATCCTGCATTCACCTTGCCTCCTGGACAAAGCAGCGTCACTCTGCAGAACGTAGTCTTGATGCTCTACCTCGACCCCACCTCGCGCTGCAGCACCTGCCTCTCCAAACCAGTGGGAAACTTTGACAAGACCAAAAACTTGATCTACTGGCAACTAGGCAACATCACTCTTTCCTCGACGCCCGGTAAACTGCTTGCTCGCTTCCAGACTCCAGAGCAAGAAGCCAAGCCAGGACACATTGAAGCAAAATGGGAGGTCTCTGGTGCGGAGCTGGGATCTGGCTTGGGCGTCTGTGTCAAGGAAGATTCCAAGGAGACTGAAGCCGATCCTTTTGCTGATGAATCACTGGGAGGCGCAGAAGCTGGGCAGTGGAAGAGGATTTCGGAGGTCAGGAGGATTGTGGCTGGAACCTATCAGGCCAAGTAACCCGGGCTAATATTTTGTTCTCGTTTGTTGTTTCGCCTACAGTATCGTTCGTGTGTTTGGTTTCTTCATCTTCGTTTGCAAGAGACGGGAAGAAAGTAAGGAGATGGTTGTCTCATCGTCATCTTTTGATTTGTCTATGATTCGTCTGTTTGTCTTTTTCCTTTTTTGGTTTGTCTTGTATCTATCTGTACATTCACCATCAAAGATCCAATCGACTTGTTCTTTTGCATATACACCTTGTCCTTGTCTTGTACTGCTGTCTTTGTTGTCACGTTTGCGAGAATATAAGCACACACCACACTTTCCCAGATGATCTCAGGAGCCGCTTTTTTGTGAGTGCGGCTTTGCATGTGCAATTTTGATGATACACGTTCAAAAATCTGGTATGCCGATGAACATCTAGGTAGGTGGGTATGGAATCTATGGCAATGGTACGATGGACGGGCGAGACATGACAAGAATGCTGATTGAACCTTGCAGTCCATATCACATCACGCATGTGTTTCGAAAGCCCGTGGGGGAAAGATGAGATCTAAGGTCACAATCACATCTCAACAGATTTATCCCGATAATTTGGTGATGCACTCGTAGTATATCGTAGGATTGCACAATCGCTTGCCAAACCAGACACGCGACCACAGAAATAGCCATGGAATTGTTGCGAAGTATAGTAAGAATGCATGGAAGATAGACAAGAATGTGACTGGGATATCTCAAAAGGAATGTATCTATCAAGCCCTTCGACGACAAACAACATCAGTAAAAGACAGAATAAGACACTTCCAAAGTCTCATCAGACCATAGAAACAGACCGACCTCACACACAGAAGAAACACACCCACTCTTGCCCAAGCCTTAGGAGAGGAAACCGAGGACCTTACTGGCGACACGTTCACTTCTTCATGATCTTCCCAAAAGCTTGGACGTCTTGCTTCGAATTGGTCGGAGGGTCGTTCTCGGGCCACGGATTCTCTGATCGCCGGTGTTGGCTGTTTGCGTGTTGTCATCTGCTGCACCGTCTGAGTTCTGCACTCTTGAAGTGCCGGTATTCAACAGCCTGTTGCCAGCTTGCATTAGGCCAGCGTTGGCACCATGTGAAGGGCTCGACTGTAATGTGTACCAATCGTGGGGCTCTTTGGACCCTGTATCGGCAGGGGAATCATCCTGTTTGGGGGCTCGTTTGAACCTCCAGAATGATTTTGCCGTGACAGGCGGTCCATATCTTTGCTGGAATTCTTGCGATGAGGATTGGTTGATTGATGTGTTCCAGATTCTCCAGGCTGCGAACGACGAGACTCCATCATCTCCTTGAACCAACTGCGTCTGCCTGCCTTTTTCCCTTCGGATGGCGGAGAGTCATCAAATTGATCGGCTCTGCCCTTACCCTTCTCTTGGGTGACATTGCTTTTCTCCTGCTCGGTATCACTCTGAGGAGGCAGCTGTCGAATTGCAGAATGTGGTCCTTGAGTGGTGTTGTCCGGAGGAAGCGCGTCCGAACGGACCTGGTCAGGATTACGTGTGTCCTTGTCTCTCTCCTGCTTGGTATCGCTCTGGGCAAGCAGCTGCTGAGTTGCAGAGTGTGATTCTGGAGTAAAGTTGTCCCGAGGAAGCGTTTCAGAACGAGACTGATCAGAGTTGCGTGCATCGTTGTCTCCCTCCTGTTCGGTATCACTCTGAAGAGGTGGCTGCTGACCTGCAGAATGTGATCCTTGAGTAGCGTTGTCCCGAGGAAGCGCGTCCGAATGGGCCCGGTCAGAATTGCGGCGTAGATTCCTGAGAGCGATTTCGGCTTGTTCTTCGTTGGTTTTGGCGAGATCGAAAGCGGCATGGTCTTCCGGAGTGGCACCAGGCCGCTGAGCTTCCTGTTCACTCGCGATCCGAGTGTTCTGGGCGCGCTTAAAATTGGCTTCTGCAACATCAAGAGCTTCCTCGGCGTGACGAATTCTCTCTTCTTTCCTGCGCTTTTGAGCAGCAGCATGTGCTTCGTGGAGAGGTTGTTGCGTATGGGGCGAGACATCATCATCAGTCAATGGGCCGCCAGGTTGTGTCGAAGAAGTATCGAGAGGAGGTGGCTGTCGAGAAGGAGCAGGGCCGCCAGCTTGGAACGGAGAAGTATCGAGAGGTGGCGGTTGGCGAGGTCGATCACGGCCTTCAGCATTTTGTTCTGATGCCCGACGTTGCTCATGAGGGGGCACTGGGGGTACAGCATGGCCTTCACCACCTGATGATTGCTGACGTTGAGCCTCTGATGAAGGGCTAGGCTGTTCTGGGAACCCACCCTGGTTGAGATTGGGAGTCGGTATGGAAGCTCGACGTTCACTAAGGACAGTCAGCATACAAGGATCACATACAAATGGAAAGAATCACTCACGCGGCTGGGTTCTTGTTGCCAGAGAGGCCTGAACCATGCTCGATTGTAGAGTCCTTTTTCGGAAAGGATGATCTGTCTGCCATCATGATTGCTGTCGATACTTGCAAGTAGAAAAAGCCGTCGTCGATGAAGAATAACTGTGGATGGTTCTGCGATGGGTTGCGGTGGAAGAAGAAATGACGGAGGAAAGCTCAAGGCCGCCAGTAAGAGCCAAACAAAGCAAAGCTAGAATGGCAATTGGGAAGGAGCAGTGCTGAATGCTCTTGCCTCTTGAATGTGGAAAGAGCGAGTGGTAGCTGATGACGAAGTTCCCTCCCAAACGAACACCGTGGTCAGTCAGCCTCTGCTAAGGCGGGAGAGACCATCATCTCTTCCTTTTACAATGTCTGCTAAGATTGGCTCTAGCGAGACACGCTACATCTTCAAGGATCAGAGCAGTATCTGATGAGGAATTTTGCCTTGACTTGCTTTTCTCGAGAAAGTCTGATCCTGGAAATGGCTTTGTATGACCATGGTGTATCGTGCACCTTTATAGTATTAGTTCACCCTCTGTATACAATCGCAGCGTAATGAAACGAATCTTTCTAAGCTAAGAAGAGTCCCCCCAGAAGCGAGATGACAAAACGCGCACACAAATAATGCTATATAGTATAAACATGTCTGTACATATTTAAAAAGGAAGCCAGGATAAGAGAAATCCCCAACCAAATGACATGATATATCATGCCATCAAATCTTTCGTCGTCAACACATGCTGTATGCTTTTCCCCTTTCATGGCTCTAGCCAATATCAAAAACGCCACCCGTGAAAAGTTCCTCATGCATGTAACCCCCAATATATGCTAATCGATCAATCACTCAAAAAATTAAGCCTTGCCCGCTGCTTTTGTCCCATTGACTACTTGCGAAGCAGTCTTTGTTTCATGCGCAACAGCCGGGAAGTACTCCTTGATGCCCTTATCCAACGTCTTCAGCCCCAAAGGCTTGACGTAAAACTCATCGGCTCCAGCTTGGAAGCTGCTTTGCTTGTCAGCCACAGTGTCCTGGCCCGTAACGATGAATAATGCAGATCTAGGTAGAGCTTTCTCTGTTTCGATTTCACGAATCCGCCGCGTTGCTTCTATGCCATCGCATACTGGCATTTGGAGATCCATGAGGATGAGATTGATGGGCCGTGTCTCGAGCGATGACTCAAAGACATTGACTGCTTCTGCGCCATCCATGGCGGTGAGGTATTGGATCTTGCGCTTTTCGCAGTACATGCGCATGATGCGTAGGTTAACGACATTGTCATCGACCAACAGTGCCATTGGTTGTGCATCTGCTGGGTCAAGTCCGCTTTCAGTTCCAGACGTACGGTGAGCGTCATTGCGATTTGCCAATCCCGAGGCGGTTTCGCCAGCCTCCGGGTCAAAGTGAAGTCGTTTGTACACGGTGTTGAGTTCTGTTGTGATCTCCTCCAGACGAGATGTAAGGAAGGGTCCTGAGAAGAATCGCACTTCATGGACGCCATGAAGCTTTTCTGTGGTAGCCCCAGCAGGTACAAGACAAACAGCGACTTGTCTCGTATCAATTTCAGAAACGAAGCGACGAAATTCATCCGCATCTGGCGTGTAAGTCAGTATTACAAAGGAGTCGTCAGACGTTTCCGAGTCCGCGAATCCGTGATGATTCAGATAAGATGCAAAGTGTAAGACGAGTTCTGGTCGCTGTGACTTGGCCGGTACAACATGAAAGCTCCTGGGAAGATCCTTGAAGTCTGCGTCAAAAGGAACAGGACGAATGAGCGGACAAGCAAAGCCTGGATTCAGGAACTCTGCGCGGAACAGCGATCCTCGATCTTCTGTGTCTTGTCTGGAGGAAATCAGCGTCACGCTGCCATTCATAGCATTGGCAATCTTCGCTGAAAGAGTAAGACCGAGACCTGCTCCTCTAGTATGCGTGTCCACCTTCTCGTAGGCGTCGAATATCCGCGCTTGATTTTCAGGCGCAATGCCGTATCCAGTATCCTTGATATCGAAAATCAGTCTTGTGTAGTCAGAAGATGCCATTATGACAACAATGACAGCTCCAGTGTCAGTATACGATAATGCGTTCTGGACAAGCGCCTGAATACACTCCTTCAGCAACGAGAGATCCATTACGATCATACTCTCATCAGTCCCGAGCCTGTTCTCAAACATGACAGAGATCTGAGATAGCTCTTGCTCAGGTATCGATTGCTGTACTTCGTAGATAATCTCCGCTTCGATCAGATTCAAACTCAGAAGCGAAGCAGGTTGCAAAGAGCCACCAGTCTCTTCGGCCCAGCGATTGAGTTTGAGCATGTTGTTGACGGTAGACATCAACTCTCGGCCAGAGTCCCTGATGGCACTAAGAACGGAAGAAGGATTCAGCCCGGAAGCACCTGCTGATAACATGTCCCGGCTGGCCAGCTCCTCGAAAAGCAGTTCGCATGAGCCTAAGACGCCGTGGATAGCTNNATTGAATGTCGTTAGATGCGAAACACACGAGGTTAGAGCAAGTGACATACGTGTTCTCAATTGATGTGTTATGCCTCGGAGGAAAGCCTCCTTGGCTGTCAGCGCCTCCTTAAGACGGCTCTCCTGAGTAGAGTTCGCCATCAAGCTTGCACACTTCTCGATGAACCATGAATCCACATCGTCAAATACGAACTGGACGTTTGTTGAAGCAAGGACAAGATATTTAGTGGTAGGGATTCTCTGACATGGGTGCACAATTGCACGAACCGTTGATTCAGAGACAAGTTGAGACTGATTCTGTGTGACAATCAAGTTTTCTATGATCTCCGAGTCTTCCCATAGACCGTCGTGGAAATCGTCGCATTTGACTGGGGCGTGGTTTGGTAGGAAGATGGTGTTGTTGGCAGGAGCGTCTTGAATGGCGACTACGGCGTCAGGGTAGACCCGAGCAATGATATCCAATACATGGTTCTTGACGGTTTCGGGNGTGTTGTATTTATATGTTTCGGCGACGAGATCGGCCATGACTAGGCGCTGACGCCTGCGGGCTTCCCTCGCGCGGGCTACAATTTCACTCGCAATCATGTCGGAGAAACGGACCAGAGCGTCTTGCTGGCTGGGGGTGAGTGGGGGCTGCTCGGAATTGGAAGCGATGCAAAGACTGCCGAGAGCAACGTCTTCACCAGTGTCGGCCTTGCAGCGGAGCATAGTACCAGCGTAACTACGCAGACCGCCCTCCTCGACGTGAGGCGAGTGTTTGAAGCGCCAATCACTGGCCATGTTGGGAAGCATGAAGACGGTGCCGGGTGGCTGGTTGATGGTATGTGAACAGGTGCTCTCGCGACGCGGTAGTATGGCCAAGGGTAAGCCGGCGGTCACAACACGAGTGAAGACATCCTCGCTGAGCAAGCCCATGATGGCAAAGTCCCAGCCCATGAAGGTCTGAACCAGGTCCAGCTTTTGCTGTAGAGCAAGTAGAAAGTCCTTGTCTTCCAGCATCTTGTTGGCGTGCGTGTAGTACCAGAACAGCGTCAGGCGGAGACGCTCATTCTCGGTCAGCGAAGGCATCAGGTAGGCGTCTTGGAAGTCATCGGGCTGTTCGGGTGGTCTGGCAGGATCGGGCACAGGGTCGGAACTGGAGTAGTTGGTGGTGTGAAGTTGCTTGTCGAACTCGGCGATGGGTTGGCTTATGCGCACGGCGTCAAAAACGGGGCCGACATTGCGCGGTCGCATGGGCAGGGTGCGGACATCTTTGGGAGCAGAGCGTCCTTCGGCGCTGGGAAAGTGAGGCTGGTAGAACGAGTGCGATTGGTTCGAGGTTGACGTCTCAGAAGACGATGGCGACGCCATGGTGAGCGTTATGCAATGCCAGGCGGCATGGGGTATTCGTGTGAGATGGTGCCTGTCGTCGCAGTGCAATGTGTTGCGGCCTGCAGTGTCAATGGAAGGAATTGGGCGAGTTGAGAATCTTCTTCCTGCTCTCGCAGGGCAAGTGCGACTGTTCAACTTCTGCTACGCCCGCGCCTTGACTGTCCGAGTCCCCGGCGCGAGCGGCGGCCTGCAGCCCCGGTCGAGGCCCTCTCAGGCCCTCTCGGACCTCTCGGAGCCAGCCAACTCCTTCCCCATTAGCACATCTTTTCCTCTTATGGGCCAATCACAGTCCTCCCGCATCTGTCCTCCGAAAACTCTCTTGCAACCTGCGGCGCACCTGCGCGAACCAACACTTCAAGCTGCTGCTGCACCTTGCAGGGCTTCGTCGTGCACGACCACACATGTCTTGATTGTTGAGCGTCCTGCTACCGGTACCCATAGCTCACAGTATCTTTGCTGTCATCATCATTATTATCTCTATTAACACTAAGCCTTTCGAACCATGCCTTCGCTGGTATACTGGCACTGCTATTAGGGTACACCCTCTGGATGCCCTGACTACCTGGCTTCGTCACCCATTACTCCTGCGCCCCACCTCCTTCTTCCACGACCCTGACGTCTTCCGATTGAGACAATCTCTCAATCTCCGTCTCGATACCCAGCACCCAGTGGTCTCTCTCTGTTCGACTCCGAGCCTTGAACACAATCGCCCTACCTGTAGTGCCTAGTTGCGATACTCTCTTCAACTTGTTGCGTGCTCCTCCACTCTTTTGCTGTCCTTCGCTACCATCCTCCTCTCGAGCTCTGAACCAACCCTTGTGCTGCCCTGTCCACAGCACGAAAGTGGTCATGGCATCGTCGTCTGCACTCGCCCATCCGTCCTCGAGGTACATGCGAGGGAGCGCCGAGTTGCCAGGTCGGTTGTTGTCGAACGTGCGGTTTTGATATAGTAGGTCGTTTGCTGTAATCAGTCCAGAGTAGAGGTAGCAATCGCGAAGATCGATCGATGCGATGCGCTCGTGGTGGATGTGCGACACTTTNTTGCCTGTCGTACTCCGCACTGTATCCTTGAAGACGAGAAGATGGCCATGGCAGAGGATCACATGGCAGCGTGAGAAAGTACCATGAACTCGAGGTTTGCGGAACAAGATTCCAGAACGATGAATGGCGCGGCAGTTTGATATACCACAAACGTTGTACAGCTCAGGTGAGGCGAACGATTTTGTGACTTCCCACTTGTGCGCGAACATTCCAACGTATGCTTCTGCTTGCATGTCGAGGTTCAAAGTGTCCAGGTTTTGCTGACGGACGAACTTGAACAGAGCCAGATCTTGGGAAGCTCGCCGCGTCCAGTATTTGGCCAGAGCACGGAGCCGTCTCATCCACTCTTTCTTTGTGGCCTTACTGAACGCTTGTAATCGCACGACCAGGCCATTGCGCATGAGCAGTTCGAACGTTCGGTCATCATCAAAGTCTTTGGTTGTTCCATCGTCGTGATGAGTATCATCAACCTCCTCATCAAAATCCACGTTTGGGCCCTCGTCCACCGCCTCATCGGCTGGCGTTGCTCCTCTCACCACATTCCGAACCTCTGCAATGTCGGAAAGGTTGATAAAGCCATCACAGTCTAACAAGGATTGCGCGTTTCTTTCTGCTTCATCGTAGGCGTCTCTATCGTGCCTCTTTCTGTCTTCGGTATCGTTAGCAGTCCCTGACAACCAAGCAACCGTCTTGTCGTGCAATGGGAATGGATTAACTGCATAGATCAGAGGAATCTTCTCTGCAATCTGCTTCGCACTAGGAATGTTACGATTGTCCTTCATCGGCATCTTAGGTGGTGGTGGTGGCTTTGCCTTGGCTGGTCGAAGAAAGAGAAGGTAGTTGTTCTGTGTGCTGAAGTACAGTCGCTTGTAAAACAGCTTTCCGAATTTTTGATCATGTCCTTTTTGAGAGGTCAGGCGGATCAGGAACCCTTCGACTGGCGCCGGCTCCTGCATGGTTTCACCGTTGGCCATCTTCACAGAAACCGGATAGTGTCGTTTGGGGCGCAGCTCTAGCTCATGGGTCCTTTGCAGTGCCATGGTGCCATACATCTTNTGCTCGTTGACTCCATGAACCCATTCTAATCGGTCGTAGCGTTTCCAGGCCAGGCCAATCTTTGATTTGTGCCCCCAGGTCTTGAGTACGTTGTCCCACTCTGCACTCTGAGCTAGCATCTCCAGGCAACGGTCGATGATTCTCGAAGCGATGGCTCGCTCAGCTTGCATGGTTTTTATGATCGCAGCTTCATCACCTTCTGCAGCTTTTTGCAAAGCTTCCGATGACTCGAGTTCTCCGAATGGATTATCAACTCTGAGGCTAACGCTCAGATCAGGTATGTTGATCATAAGCGTACGTGGCCGGGGCAAGCCAAGCACACCCCTCAGGAACGTGTACCACTCGACCGCGCTCGGAGTGGAGCGAGGTCGAAGAAAACATATGATGGTCTGCGGTCCCTTGGCTTGCCAAAGCACAAGCGTCTTGTCGAGACTACTGTACAGATTGATCCTAAGCTTTGCAGGGTCTAGTGAGATCTGATGTTTGAAGCGCTTCTTGGTTTTGCTCTGGTTCGTTGCCGGTATAACNCTAGAGGTCCGGTTAACGTCTGTACTTTGTATCAGGGCTTTCTCACTCACTCGAGTCTTGTACATCTGAAGGCACAGGACAGCATCATCATCATGGCTCTCTCGACAGACAACCATGAACTCCCTCCACTTGTCGGTGGTTCGTGTCTCGACTCGTTGGCTATCCTTTTCGTCGTAGTCTTCGTTTGGTTGCTCCGAGCCTGTAGTAATGTCCAGACGAACAAGCATCTTCTCCACCTTGACGATTTCTCCGTCCTTCAGCTTCCCACGAGTAAACGCTCTTGAAAGACGAGATTTTCGGGTGCCTTGCGCCATTCTCGCCCGCACTTGAATCTCTTGCTTCAAGATCGGATGTTCTGGAATGTTGAATCTGACAAGACCAGGAGATCTCAGCTCAGGATTGTCTTGATACCCTTGTTCGGCGGTCTGTCGTGATTCTTGTGGCAATTCTGAGTTTTGCGCTGTGCCTGCTGTGTATTTGCCACTCACACCCTGGTCGAGTTGCTGACTATGTTGAGAGGCGAGGAGGAAAGTATCGGATGTATTAGGTCCTGGCGTAGCCGGGTTCGTGGTCGCGAAAGAAGCACTGCTTCGCACTCCAGCAGGAGGACTGTTTCTTGGTGTCGAATCGTCATCGCTAGGAGGCTCGGACTGGATTGCAGAAGCAGCGCCTGGTTCGTCTACGATGATCGAGCCACCATCGGAGGCCGTTACGAAAGAAGTGTCGGATGTTTGACGTCTACGGAACGTATCTGTCGGACGCGAATCCATACAGTCTACTTGTGCATCGCCAGGCCTTGGTGTAGCTAGTGGAGTTGGGATTGGAGGAGAAGTTACTGTATGCGCAGTGGTATACGAGGATAGTGCCTCCTCGGCATGTTCTTGTCCTTCTCTCAGGAGAGCAGAGTCGCTTGGTCCTCCTCTTGGGATGTCGAGAGCGACCGGCGCTCTAATAGTGGCCTCGCCATCCGAGTCGGCACCATCTTGGACTTCTTCGATAGTNGGATGCAGTACGTGAACCTTGACCCCTGCTGTTCTTGCGACTCTTGCCAGTATCTTCATCGTCGTCTTCTGTGTCCTCAATAGTCTCCTCTTCTTGGCTTCCCTTGTCCACAGGCGNTTATCAGGTTGGGGAAAGCTTGCTCGATAGATGGATGAGGCGTTCGGAAGGTCAAGACCGGTCAGACGGCGGCGACGGCCAACATCAGAGGAGGCAGAGAAGGAGGGGGCTTTGGAGGAATGGTGGATGCCCAGATAGTGCTTGTACCATTCTTTGCGATGCGTCTTGAGCCAGCCTTCCGGGATGGGACCGATGAAGCAGCGGCGGGTGGTTAAGTACAGATGCTCAGGGGAAGCATGTCGCAGGCGGTGGACGGTGTAGGAAGAGTCGTCGCCCAACGATTTGATGGCTGTTGTAAGAGTCGCGTCAGGGTCGTCGGCGGAGGCCATGTATCCAGCCGTAGCTCGGGTCAGGGAGATCAAAAGGCGGGTTGTACAAGCGCAGAAAGAAGAGAGAAAAGAATATACATTAAGACAGACCAACTACAGCAGCGTTACAGTCATGATGGGGCCAAGAAGCTTGTTGACCAGGATCAAGGCGCGACGGTTGAGAAGGAGACAAAAAGGCGCCATGCGCTGCCCGCGGACCGTCGTTTCCCCAGCTGATCGACAGAGCGTTCGTCACAAGATTTGAGAAGCCGCGCCGATTCATATTCTTACATGAAACATATCTTCTTCTTCTTCTTCTTCTTCTTCTTCTTCTTCTTCTTGTCTTGCTGCTTCGAAGCTGGTGACAGACCTTCTTTCGTTATTTCATGACTGCATGAGATATCATTACCCCTTTTCCTGTTCCGAGACCGTCATTTCAGAGTACATGTTGCCTCTGAGAACCCCTAGTTGTGGTCTGTCTTGAGTTTCTTAGCCTCAGGCAGATCGTGTTCACCTGGCTCCGTGGTGGGAACGTCTGGGAGCTGGGACAGCTCTGGACCACTCTCCTCGTTCTTGCTTTCCTCCGACTTGTCCGCAGCCTTGGTCTGGTCTGTACCTTGAACCTCAACCTCGAGCTCGCCCTTGATCTGGTCAACCATCTTGTCCTCGCTCTTTATCTGGTCACCTTCCATCATCCTGTCCTTACTCTCGATCTGATTCGTGTCGTTCTCCATGTCGTCGGTCGTGTGCTCTTCCTGCTCTCCGTCCTTAGTCTCGTCGCTCTTGCTCTGGTCTTGGCTGCCTTCGATAGATGGGAAGTATTTNACTGTAAAACGAGTTAGTCGTTGGTCAACGGCCTTTCCACATGAGACTCACGGAAGCCATTCGTAGTATGCGTCCTCGTCCTTCTCCATGAAGTTGCAAAAGATGATGCGGTCGAGCTTGTCAGCCTTGTCGTCCGTGTCGAGCCACTTCTTGACCTCGCCGATAGCAGTCACTGCCGCCTCATGACTAGGGTAGCCGTAGACACCAGTGCTCAGTGCGCTGAAGGCTATGCTCTTACAACCGTTCTCGGCAGCCAGGTTGAGCGAGCGACGGTAACATGACTGCAGCAGGCTGGTGTGCTTGCCCTCTTTCTTGGTTCGCCAGTAGACAGGGCCCACGGTATGGATGACCTTCTTGCATGGAAGTTCGTAGCCATCGGTGATCTTCGCGTCGCCAGTGTCGCAACCGTCCAGTGTTTCGCACTCGCGCAAGAGTCCTCTACCGGCCGCACGGTGGATGGCGCCGTCAACACCGCCTCCGCCCAGCAACGACTCGTTGGCGGCGTTGACAATGGCATCAACCTCTAGCTTTGTGATGTCGGTGCGGATGACGCAGATCTTGTCGTTGTAAGCGCTGCTGGCTCCAGACACTGTTGAAGCGGCCGGTGTCAGGTGTTTGAGCTTGTACAGGCTTGTGAGAGTCGGAATCTCCTTGAGAGTCTTGATCGGAGCCATATTGATGTGTGATGAATGGGTGCAATATGGTTGTTGGGGTGGTGCTGAGAGAGTGTTGGAAGTTGACTTAAGTTGTCGCAAACGGAGTCCGCTCTTTCACATGCAAGTGACGCACGAAGCTTGGACCACGCGTTGCTCTCAATTGCGCCACACTTACGCCACAGTCTCTATCAGAATTACTGAGTTACACCTTTGGCGACAAGATCACCAAGTTACACGTTGGAGATGAGATCTTACACTGTCCCGGGCTATAAGCAATTGAGATCTGGTAGTGGCATGGGCTGAGTGACATTTCCCGTCTTGTGGTCCAGGTCAGATCGTGAAATGCTGTATATGCTCGAGTGCATTCGGTGATACGTTGTACTAGATGATCTATGGACTCCTTTCTCACTATTGTGTAAGACTCCATCTGTGTGATCATCTTGGCTGTTGCCATTCGCCGATCATCCATGTAGCATGTGACTTTCTGGCTCAGCCATCCGAGCTGGACTACCTGATGATCACTTGATGGGAGAAGCGCATGTTTTATGCGAAAAACGAGCAGAATCAACAGACATCGCGACGAGCAGACCACTCATATAAGCTCCTTGTAATGTGGGTATTCTCCAGGTGCGATAGGATGCTCGAGAGCGCTTGCATCCGTCAAACTTATATATTCGAGTAACTTCGTTACCCCTTCAGCAGCAATCTTTCCATACTGTGGGCACTTCAGGGACGCCTTTAGTGTAGTGGTTAGGAAGCTCACCAAAAAGTAGCGTCGCCACAGCCACGCGTTTAGCCGTGATACTTGGGCCACACCCAGTCGTATGAAGCGCTCTGGGATGGGTTTTTTCTGTGCACCAGTTTTTTTGCATGTTTTCAAGTCCTGTTACTTCTCTGCCATCTTGTTTTGATTATCCTCCTATGCAGTATTACTGTTGGAGTGTTGTGATAGGGATCGTCTGGTGTCGGGTGGGTTCGATAAGATACCAGAGTTCTCGGCTGAAGAGTTTCTTTACGGCACTGGTAGCAAGGTCTCAGATTCGAGCCCTGGCGACGCTGAATTCTTTTGTAGAGTTGGATGTTTGTGGTACCGAGTCGCGTATTGCAACACGACACACCACGTCCCTCTGTCGCTAGTGCCATCCGATTATTGTCTCCAGCCTGCCTTAAGTGCGGCGTTTGCCCAACTGATTGGCGATAGTCCAGGATATTATCCTTCCAGCCATCTCCTTACCGAAGAGACCTAAGAAACGAACAAGGAAGTTCATTTTGCACAAGAGTTAGTCGCGGGACGGCAACGGATGTATCACCCTTCCGAGAAATCATTAACAAGAAGCAGCGATTCGCCATACAGTATGTCCAGCGCTAAGATGGTCCATTAAGCGAAGGCATTCCAAAGTGTTCATGTCAGACCAGTCTAGCTCAATTGACACAGATACGCCATAATCTGTGATCCTCGAGCATGAAGCGTAGTTGGGATTCAGAGGTCTTATAAATGAGACATGTCAACAGGCATATTACTATCCGGGCTCTTGCATTCAGAAATGGTACAACATGCTCTCCTGGCTCTAATGAGATCAATTCGTATGACACCGAAACAGATTGCGTTGGAAGTGATATGTCTGGCGGACGAGAGCGATGTAGATATTTGGCTGTTCTTTCCCGGAGTGAGGTTATCTCTCAGTATTATCACATGCGAATATCGTGAGAAGATCTTATTCGGTACTTGACTGTAACATTCATCATGGTCTCGAGCAGCTTAGCATTCACAACCCACTCTCTGTTTACCTTCACTCGGTGCGGGTATGCGCTCCCCTCTTTTGATTGTTGTGTCATATTCTTTCTATGGCTGGTAATCTCTTGTTGTGTAAGCCATGGATAATGAGAGGCCGTGAAGGTGATTGATAGCCGTTTAGCCGAAAGGTGGAGGCACTGGAGTGCCTGGAAGCTGCCTTTCTGAGCTCGACGTTTAGCCGTCTGTGCGATATGAACAACAACAACAACAACAACAACAACAACAACAACAACAACAACAACAACAACAACAACAACAACAACAACAACAACAACAACAACAACAACAACAACAACAACAACAACAACAACAACAACAACAACATAACTGGAACACAAATGGAACCCTTCCACTCTGCTAGAGCCCCTTTGATGCCTTTTACGCGTCACAACTTGGTTTCTTCTGTAGGAACTCTTGTAGTCCTTGTGCCCTTCGAGCCATTGCGTTCGATAGGTATGTGGTGATCCAAACGAAGTACTGGAACATACATGTAGGAGCCTGGATTCCGCCTATCTCAGGAGTCAATAACAATCCGGTCCCTTCAGATGCATGTATGTCACTTGAGCCATCCAATGGATATGGTTATATACTGCACGTTATCTTGCTGCCGAATGAGCAATTACCGACCAATGTAGGGTGAGACTCGGCATATCAAACAAGTTCGAACGGAGAACAGATGGTGCCGAGTATTTCTCTATGAGCAACTTACGGGGCTTGTAGGTGCATATGGCAGATTTTCTCCTAGTAGACACCTCCAGCTCGCACATAACTCTACTATTGCCTGCCGAAACTCTCGTCGGCTGTTTATACCGTCGGTGAGCCAGCCGGCGTCCCCCGGTGGCTCCTTTGTTCGTCTGAACTTTCTCATGTCGATTATCACGATAGAATTAAGCAAGACAATTAGTCTCGGCACTGCTGTTATGTTTTTCAACCTAATCGAAATCCGGCAGTACTACGCAGTGCCGGTCCATTGGCTTTCCATGCCATATTACAAACAAGGGTGATATGTAGCCGCAAAGCGTCCATCACTGGCCTGGGTACGGACTTCCTCTGACGCCAACGCTTTCTTCGCCAGCCGCGTCAATGATGTGCAGATTGAAGATGCGTCTTGCGGTGGCGGAGTTTCGGAGTGACCGAGTCGTTGCATCCTCAGAAGATGTACTTTTAGGTTGTTGCAATGTCATGCCACACTCAGGTCGAAACCGGCGTCCTGAGTCCTGACGAGTGTTGACTGGTTGATCTTTTTGGTCGAATGGCGGTCCATTCGATAACCGCCACATCGTTTTGGCTGCATCCTAGAGTACGCTTCTTGAAACGATAACTTGCTCACGGTCGACTTCGGCTGACAATGTTTTGAGCTGCCGTTCGTCACACGGCTACATGGTAAAGGGTCCTCAGCCTGACTTTCAACTCTAAACTATGCTGGTTGCCAGTGGTTGGCAAGAGGCAGTGTATGTATCGACCTGAGGCTAGCCATATTGTTTATCTTGAACATCCCATCCTTCATCGACCATTTCCTGGATCTGATATATCTGCGAGGCGAGCTAAAGTCTAATCAGAATTGACTTTTCACGCTTCAGGCATATGGAGCCAAGCTCGTGGAGTCGCAACGGCACTCCCTCGAGCCAAAACTGGGCCACAACGGAGGTACAATACGTTGCGGTACCTGTGTATCCTGGCCGAACCCTTTGACCGTTCACCAAACACACGAAGGATCCCCAGCAGAAAAGACCTGAATTTGTTCGCTGCCGTCAGAGGGACGATTCCAAATAGTGTTCAGGGCGCCGTGAGTTAGAAGGCAATGACCTCACCTTAAGTTGAGCCTCTCCACCGAGTTCCCCCGTAGAACTGCTGTCACCTAGAGTTACCACGTTGCTCGAAGTCTTTACTGCTTGACAGCTCTGTTGTACAACGCGGTTTGACGTGCTTTGCGTGGAAGGATCTCCAGCACAACCAAACAACACGACTTGCAATCTCAATCTATGTTTGACCACTGATTACGTAGCAGGATGACATGGTGGTTGGAGCGACTGCAGACTGCTAGTCAGCGACTGGGAAAGATATGGCGAGGAGCTAGCTACTTCGGAGCGTACCAGCGATGGAAAATCAGGACAGGCCTACCCAGGTCGTCGGAAACGCGCATTGGTGAGTCGTGACACATGAACGATGTACTGCAGGACTTATGAGGATGCAGCTTCCAGGAGCCGTCTCTGGCTTAGCACTTGATTCGTCAGTCCAAGCTGAACACGAGGCCTCATTGCAATCGTTATTCGCAACCCCCGATGAATTGCGTGGACGACGATAGGATCGAGAGACTCGTGCGTCGCCCGCCGGCCACGACTTCAGAGCCCGTCGGCCACTGTCTCTGTCAAGTGCTACTCGATACAAACGGCGTGAGGCTTGGTGCGGATCCGTCACAGACTCGCATGTGCATCTAACTCCGCTAGTCAACTCTAATAGATGCGGCACACTACGCACGTACAGGATGTTGTCTTGCGACAACAACTGGTCAGCTTGGCAGATCACGCATGTCGATCGGTAATTCGCGCGTTTAAGAAAATATCCTGTAATGGTAGATACAATACCGAATGCCATCGAGGGTTTCGACGAGACATCGGCAGCGTGGACCTCCGGAGCATGTGTTACTGCAACCAAAAGGAGGAGAGCATCTCCGCTGACCATGCAGGACGATTGTAGTAACCCACCACCTTTTAGTACTGCAATCTGGGACTGTCGCATTGTTAAAGCGGCTCATTGTCCATCTTCGCGCTACACCACTTCTGTTTTCTTGGCCACTGTGCAAAGATGCACATCTTGATGGAAAAAGAGCTGTCGACACTCTTGAGTAATTAGATGCATCGTGAAGCTTGTCCCGCGTCTGTGATACGCCAAGACCGACAAAAGATGTACTGTACCAACTCGATCGCGATGTGATGAGTTGGTTGTACTGTACTGGGCTTGTCAACTGTTCAATGAGCTCGTTTGCGCGCAGTTATTCGGTTGACGAGAGGGTGATACAATAGACTGTCTGACCTAGGGCAAATGTCTGCGTATGCTACTCCTCTCGCTTGACTGAAATGCATGTGTGGACCGACTAACACGACTTGGTTGGTAGATGGACCATGGTCTAGAACAAAAGTCCTCGCGGAACCACATCAGCAGTGACGAGGTTTGGCGGTCTACAGGGAGAGCCACATGCAAGCCATCCGGATCCGTTGCTACTTCGCTTTCTATCTTGTCTCTGTTCAGCCAAGTGGAGAGAGGATTTTGGACAGTGTGGAGGCGCGACACGGAAAGGGCGTTTTACCTATTCGGATGCTGGCCGGCGGCGCTGGTGTTAGAAACTGACTCGTCCGACGACTTCTCTTGCCCTGTTTGTAGGAAATGTGCTGCCGCAGATTTGGTCCATCCAAGTCGTGGCTTTAGCAGACCACCTGCCGATTTGCGGACGTGGTCGCTTTGAAATGCCTACCCAGATCTTGTGTTCGAAAAACGGAACCGATCGAGATCATTGGTTTTCTAGACCCGCGTAAGGCGTTTGTTCGATCGGTCTCGAGAGTATCAATTAACTGCCTGGACAGTCTCATCAGGATCCGTTGTTGTGAGCCGGAAAAGAGAACCGCTCGCTGTACCTGCCCCAAAGTCTGTTGCCGGCGTCGTCGAAATTTTGATTAACCCTGGTCCGGTACAAAAGACGACACCCGGCCCGTCGCTCCTTGCAAGCATTGGTCGGGAATAATCGCACATCTAGAGTTCGCATGCTCGTCGTCTCTACAATCATTTCTCGGAGGCAATTGTTGCTCTCAGACAGCGAGGAGCGACACAGATCGAGCACGCCGTGTGCCCTGGTCTCGCCATCTGCGGATCGGTCGGTACGGTCTTGGTTTTCTGATCCTGCATCTGAAGGATCTAAACCCTCTCCACACCAGGCGAGAGATCAGCATCACTCCCGTCTAGCGAACTTGTCCCTATCGGTTGTTTGGTCCCGCAAACTTTAATTTCCCAGGTGGCGCATGTCCTCTTAACGTCAGCTCCGGCTATTTCAGACCGGCTTCTCGCGCACGGTATTATTTCATTGTCACCGTTGCTCCCTATCTTCGTTCTTAGCCCCAAGCTCGGCCGCGATCCTAAGCTTCGCACGTATTCCGCCCTCACATACATACACCTTGCTCTATTTCCCATGACCATCTGTCCTTCCATCCAACATGCCATCAATGCAGGACCGCCCCTCGGTCTTCACGCCTTCACGACATTTGCAACCATGGACGCATGATGACACTCCGCGCCGGCCTTCCATGGTACAGACAGAGTCTTTGAGGCCAATGGAGCCTGCCAGCATGGGAAGTGCATCGGGCCCGTACTTGCCCGCCAGGATCAATGATTCAAATCAGCCACGCCAACAACTTCCTGGTCTTCAAGAGCTCTTGAGTCCACCATTAAGGACTGGTCCGCCATCGTACACGCCCAATTGGCCATCGGTCAACAACTCACAGTCCAGCTGGTCGGACGCTCATGGCTCTTCCTCTAGCCGTTCACACGGGCCACTACAAGTTTTGTCACTTCCAATGAATCCTACTCCACCGCCGTTCCATCGCCTTTCTCTGGACGTCTCTACAGCTGATCGCTTCTCTCAGCCTGCATCGAATGTTCCCCTTGGTGCCAGGCCTTCTTTACCCGCCCCTCCTCCCCCTCCTTCTCTCCGCAGATTCTCGGACTTTCCAAGCCCGCACGGACCGGAGCCACCGTCTCAACCTACGCAAGGCGTGGATGCTATGGGGCCACCTCAGTCACAGGCAACTTCTCCCTACCATGGAGACACCGAGGGCGATATAGCTAGACGTCTGAACGCAACTCAAGGGATGCTAAATGCACCCCCAGCCAGTAACTACAGCCTACAGTGCGTAGGTCAGCGGCATATCCCTGGAGAGGGCATATGCTACGTATTCAAGGATGGCAGTACTTGTCCAACCATCATCGACGGAGAACCAGTCAATCCACTTTGGGGAACGACCAAGGCAGGCAAGGCTCGANAAAGACTTGCCCAAGCATGCCTGTAGGTTGAATAGAACGACCTTCCAAACAATCAGCGACTAACCAAAAGCCAGANNAATTGCCGCGAAANNAAAAAGATTAAATGTGAGCCTGGCGAGAAGAGCTGCCTCCAATGCGAAAAGGCCAAGCGAGAATGCCACAGGTTTGCGTCTCCAAAACCAGTCGCCGACTGTCTACTAAGAAATGAAAGCAGGCCACCAGCTCCTCAATCACAAGTCGAACATGTCAACAATACGACGTTGGCTATTCCTAATCTCCCCCTGGGACGAGCTGAGTGGTCTAGTCAATCTTCCGGCAGCATCGTCATGGCCGAAGTGCCAAATCAGAAGCGTAGACGTTCAGCACAGGCAGCGCAACAAGACGTGTTGAATCTACCACCGACATGGAATCGCGAGAAGTCACCGCAAAGTCTCAAAAGACGCAAGTCTGATGGCTCTGCATCCTCGCTTGATGGACCTGAAAGACAGCGCAAGGACAGCAAAAGAGTTGACCTCGAGGACATGATCCATCCTACCCCTCGACCCGAGAAGCTGGAGCCTTCTTCCTGGGACCAAGATCCGTATCTCTACGACCCTGAAGCAACTATGCGCTTTCTTGAACTATTCTTTGCGCAATCCGCCCGCGAGGTAAGCATAATGTTCNCCCGCGGTGCCTTCACGCGCTGGGTACGACAATGTCGCGAGAAGTGTCAACGAGAGTGCATGGTACTATATGCCGTCCTTGCTTTGGGCTCCATCTTTGCCGAGAACGAGTTTTCCTCCTTCGCCAAAACCTGTGCGGATAGGGCTGGTCAGGCAGTATCCCGTATTGATGGAAAGTTCAGCTTGGCTATAGTCCAGGCTCGACTGCTTGTAGCGGGATACAACCACCTTATCGGCAGAGACAGTACGGGCTGGGATTTGAGCGGCTCCGCTCTCAGAGTCATCAGCGCAATGCGTTTGAACAGCGAGGAGGGATGTGGAGAAGACCTGGATGAGTTCACGCGACGGTACTTCAATTTTTCGCGTGAGCAACTCAAAGAGTGTCGCAGGCGGACTTTCTGGACTGCTTTCCTTGTGGATGTGAGTTTTCATGAAACCTCGAAACAAGCACATACACTGATACATTCTAGCNGATACCACGGATTCTGTGGAGGATTGCTTTGCGCCATACAGCTTGAGGACATTCAGCTTCGACTACCCTGCAACGAGCAGATCTATGAGGAAGGGCTAGCTTCGGATGCACCACTATTTGATTGTTACCAACCAGGCATGGGCCTGCAATCATTGGACCCAAAGTTGAGCACACCAAGTCCGGCGGCATATACCATGATCATAGCTTCTCTCTGGACCGATGTGACCAGACTCATCTTCCGCCGACCTCGACAGACTGCAGATTCGGGATCTTACGTTAAAAGCCACGAATCGTTACTGGGAGATGTCCAGGCCAAGCTCTTCGAGTGGAGAACGTCACTACCGCCTTATCTGCAATACAGCCGACAAAGACTCGTTGAGGCTACCCAGCATGGATATGCTGGCAGTCTCATTGCCATGCATGTTTTGTATCACATCTCAGAGTTGAAGGCAGCACGGAATGCGCACCATGAGCTCTTGTCACCTCATACGACCTTGCGGCAAATTCGGCTCGCGCATACAAATGCCATTCAGTTGCTCGAAATGGTATGTGACGTACGAAGCACGAAACCTCATGGATCAGGCAAAGGTCAAGATCCGATTAATTTGCTGTCTCCTTTCTTTGCCTATGGCATAACTGCAGCTATCGACACGCTCAGTGCTGGAGGCCTGAGGGAAGACTTTGGACACACCATGAGGCTCGTCAACGACAGTATAGCCACTCTACACGATCTTGCACAATTTTGTGCCAGCGCAAGAATACAAGCCAAACAGACCAGCAGAAGGATGGCACTTATGGAGGTCCAGGCCGCCGAGAGCTTCGAGGCAACGGCCGTGATAACAGCGCCCCGGGCAACCAATGCTGGAGGAAACGAGAATTGCTGGAGGATCAGCGAACCAATGGAGCAGGTTTTTACGTTGCAGCAAGATGTGTGCTATGGAACATCTCCTGCCGTCTACTTCCGGGCGCTGAGAGAGGGTTTGTGATGGATATACGAGTTATTACACTTCTTAGATGAGCGACGCTTAGGAATGACCATTAATTGACACGCATATTCAAGAGTGTGTTCCACGTCTTGGGTGTCTTTTTGCCACGGGCTGCTATCGCGCGTCAATTCCGCAGTTGCTTGTATGGATACGACCACTATCGTCGCACCTGTGGTTGAGTCGGCAAGCTGGGGCGACAAGCAATCAATCAACTAGTGATGGTCGGCCTGGCTAGCCTGTCGCGAGTCGTGGCCCTACTTCTGCCCCAGCAGAAAAGGGCGGCAAGCAAGGTCAGGTATTCTTTTCTGGTTCAGACACACGAGTAGGTACCCAAGTATATTCAGAAGCCGGGGCACTGAAACCCGAACTACCGAGGCTGCATTGCATGAACCTTGGTTCAGAGTGTGCAACCGACCCTGTTTACGTGATAGATGTGCAGCAAGATCACATGTTAATGTCGGCACGACTTCCAATTTATGCAGTACAAGGGTATATGTGAGACACACGCGGAGTTGGCTCCTTATTCATGGAGCCAGCTCCTCACTGTCAGCATTGTGGCCCACCCAGAAAGGGAAATGCAGCCATGACTGCTTTTTGTTCGGTAAGGGGAAGGTGCAGCCTCCTTGGACATGGGGGGAAAGTACCTGGCTCGGCATGCGGATCAGTGAGCATGTACCGTTTGACTAGCATCTACACGAGAGTTCATAGAGGCTGGGCGTTATGGAATCTGTCAGACATACTATATTTTTAATGGCGCCGAGCTGGGAGGCAGGTAGCCAGGTTGCATTACCGATTGCGATACAATAAAACCCCGACACTGGACAGTGCGCATGGCCGGACATGTGTGGACACCGAACAGGCGAGCAACCTAAAAAGCAGCATAACACCACAACGCGAATGATGCGCATGTTCGACTTGTAGCACGCTTTGTTTCTTCGAAAAGGAGCATGCACACTCGCGTGTCGACATGCATCTGGAAAGAGATTGACAAGCAAGTCTCTAGCCCATCCACCATTCCCACCAGATACGAATCGTTTTTGGATGATCTCGGGGATAACGGCATTGCCAATCCCTATAAGCCCGGCAAAGACATCGATCGGCGACTCGAGTCAACAGTCGCGGAGATGCTCGCCATTTCCGTTATACGCGCTTGGAAGTTGCAGGCTGCTCGCCTCTCTGCGTTTTCCTTCAGCTTTTCCGTTGGCAGCGTGCGTGCAGCGGGCAACCACAAAAAGCGTTGAACCCTGTCCGGCAGTAGGCGACCCAAAAAAGGAAAGGCACCGCCGGGGAGGGTGCCAAAAGAGACAAAGCACACAACGGCAAAAGCAAGCGGCTGTACCACAGTTTTGTTTCCCCGCCCCCGGTTTGAGTTTTTGTTTGACAAGATATGCTCGCCGACCGCGAACGGGCCGTGCCTCCGCCGCACCTTTTGCTGGCGGCGGCCTTTCTCCGAATAATGTTTTCCAAGCAACATGAATAAAGGACAAGAATATTGTCGGACATCCCCCATTTCGAGAAGGGCACCGCGGCGGGGCGTAGTCCAAGCGAAGCAGTCCCAAGCGTTTTGCAACCCTCGTGGCAACCACATGATACGTGCACATAAACATCTCTCCAGTGTCTTTCTTTTTGCAACGAACCGTCGATGCAGGTCGGCTTCACCGATGACACAAGGAGTCTACTCCGCGGATTTGATTCCGCCCGTCCATTTCCAAAAGTGCTCTGCGAATATCCATCAGATACGCCTCCGTCTGGATCGACATTGTTTCACCAATGTACTGTCTCTCTCATATTCTTGCGAAGGATCACGGTAAATCCCAGAAACGTGTTCGCCCGGTAATGGTTGGGGTGTATCCAAAGGATGAAGCGACACAGCTATGTCGGCTAGCCGCGCCTACCGAGCTGACTAGATGGACATCTCGATGCAGCAAACTAGTCGTTCAAAGATACTGCAAGTACGGTATGCACCACGCACGTACAAGCAAGAAAAGGGGTCTATCGTCTCGGGCTTTCCTTAGGAATGTGCCTAAGACAACTGAGCCCTAGAAATCACCACATGAGAGCTTGCCTCCTCCACTCCAGCAAAATCGATTCTCGAGAAACATCTTGTAATATAATGCTCTCAAAATTACTCACAGAGATGCACGACCCCGTATTGCCGACTACATGGGACTAGCCGTCGAATGAAGCAAGCAAATCAAGCACTACGCAACCACACTGATTGGCCTGCCTGCGTATCGGGTATGTATAAGGACAGTAGGGCTTGTCAATCATGCAATTGCTCCACAGCTGGCTTGGTAGCGAGAACAGCTTTGGTTCAGCTGTCCTCTTAAATTGCGCACGGCACAAGCAAAGTAGGACAGCTGATTTGCCGGGTTGAATGCCCTACTAGGGTAATCACGCCGAGGCAGGATCGAGGGATCCATGTATAACAGGTTATATTGCTGCGTAAAGGCCAAGATTGGATAGGCAGTCGCGCAATTATGACTGATTTAGAGTTTGCGACTTGTGGGAGGGGAATGACTCGGGGAACACAGCAGGTCTTGAGTAGTGTGGAACTAGCGATCAGGGAGCAAGAAGGCTCAATGAGGTAGGTAGATGAGATGTATGCAAGTTTTTCCGTGCACGGAGGATAATGTGGGTTGTACTCTATAGTCTTATCAAGTCCCCCAAACGACAACACTGCCATCTCCTCCAGCACTGGCCCATTCCTTCCTCAACTGATTCCAGACTACCGAATTTACCACATCTCTCTTTGAAGACATGGAAACAAAACTCTTGGTGCCGTCCGTGAGGGCTGGAGCAGAGTGCTTGAGCTTGTGAACCAGATTGCCAGTCAACAGATCCCAGACGTAAATGTGTCCGTCCTCTGAGCCAGAAATGGCAAGACTGTCTGCTGCAGTCAGCGTAGAGCGTAGTCTGTAGTTTTCGTTCTTGAAGTCTGCGTGTCGGAAAGCTTGGAGTAGCTTGCCGTCTCTCTTGTCCATGAGCCGCAATGTCGAGTCCAAAGTGCTGGCGAGATAGGAGTCATTGTTGACAGTAGGCGTGACAGACGTAACAGGATGACCAAGGACATCCTGATCGATCACTCCCATCCTCACATCATAGCACCTAACCCTACCATCCACACTGCCCGCCAAAATCTCCGCTCCAGACACACAAATAGACGACACGGCATCCCTGGCCTCTGAAAGCGACATGATGGGCTTCTCCCCNCTCTGCCTACAATCCCAAATCTTGACCGTGGAATCAAAACTCCCAGTCACGACCAACGCATCCCCTTCCCCGGCAAACGCACAAGCATTGATGCGGCCAGCATGTCCACTCCACCGTCTCAGTGTTTGATGCGTAGAAACATCCCACAGAAATACAGTCTTGTCGCCGCCGACACTGATGAAGCGATCGTTGTCTTGCGCAACACTCAAATCGTGTACTTCGTAGCCGTGGGCGCTGTATTTCTGGACTTCGAGGCCGGTGGCCGGGTTGAAGAGGCGGATTTGGCGGTCGGTGCTGCCGGTCAAGAGCTATGGGCGGTGTGTCAGGCGTGTGTATTGGTGTGAGCGGGTGGGCATGTCGAGACGTACGTATTGGCCTGATCCGGCGCTGTAGCAGAGGGCGAGCACTTGGCCTNNGGATGCGCGCGTTAGCTAGAGTTGTGGTCAAGTATGCAAAGAGGGGTTACCATTGTGCCCTGTGAGTCTTGATATCGGTCGTGTAGGGAATTGCGCGCTCATCACATTGTTGGTCTTGCTGCTCAGNAGGACAAGATGCGTGCCGGACTTNTTGGCTTCGTCATCGCGACCATCACCGCATGCTTCCTATACGACCCTGTCCTTATAGCAACCATGCCACTTTTTCTCCTTCCCGGGCTACGGCGTGACGGTAGTACATTAATAACACCATCTTTGAAGAGGGTACTCGGTATTGATCATCTCTTCAAGTCTTCTAGCAGCCTGTCGCTGGAGTTGATGTTGTTACATCTTCTGTTGAAATGCTTTGATTTCCTGGCTTCATGAAAGACTACGATTCAAGTGTAATGCTATACAGTCAAAGAGTTCTTAGATTCACGTCGTACGCGCCGAGCAGACCACTCTCAAGACTAGCTAGCAAGATCAAGAAGAAAGCAATCATCGTAATCATCAGTCCAAAAAGAAACCCTCCTTTACCAAAATTTCCAACCTCCGCCAGATGCTTTTGTTGAAGCGCGGCTTTTCCTTGACGACTGTGCACTTCCTGATGATACTTCCCTACTGCTACGGCTACGATCGGCTTCTTTTGACGAGTGAGGTGCTCGTTGCTCCAACATTCTTGGTCTCGAGCTTCGTCGGCTAAGCCGGCTACTATCATGTGCACCCGAAGAAGCACTTGAGCTTGACTTGCTCTCTACGTACGGCTTTTGATACTCGAGTCGGTGCGGTTCAATGGTCGGTGGCTTTCGTGCTGTTGCTGCTGAAGAAACAGAGCTCAAGGGATGAGGTGATATTGCGCCTGGTCTTGCGAAGTGTGTGGTTTCCTGTGTAAACATGCTTGGCGAATGGTTCGACGGCGTAGGTTCTGATACTTCGTAGATGGTAGTAAGCATCGGCATTGGTGGTGGTAGTCGTTTATTATCAGAAAGTGGAGGAAGATAATGGAGTAAGTCTTCCTCGATGTTGATTGCGGATATTGACCTGACCGATTTCCTGGAGCCTTCTTCATATCCGGCCCAGGATCCTTGCTCGTTGTCTGCTTCTTCGGTGTTCTGATTGGCGGTGTTCTGATTGGCGCTTTGGTGAGCGGATATAGACTTGCGTGATTGACTTTGATGTGATTTTGATGTTCGTGATGTCTTCGAGCGATTTGCAGAGGAAAGCGGTTCTTCCCATGCTGCAGCTTCCTCCCATGCGCCAGCTTCTTGGCCCATTCGGTCAGTGTAAGAGCGTCTAGAGTGCTTGCTGGTCGTCTGCCCGGAAGCTACTGTGGCCGAAAGAGGCTTGTTCCAGTCTTGATCGTCCTGTGCTGAGTCTTGCGACGCCACGCGAGTAGACTGTCGATTAGAGGTTGATGATGATGGTCTTGTGTTTGACTTGGACGAAGCCGAGCGTGATGAAGGCAGTGGGATACAGTGAGCGGTTTCCTGAACCCAGCCATCAGTGATGTCTCTGGCGCTGGATGACTGTGTTGATAGCGAGCGTGGAGGTGGTTGGTATCCTTGAGGCAATGTTTGTCGACTCTCAGGGCGGGCCAGGGATGGGACACAACTTGCTGCATCTGCATTGTGTTGTGTTGCGCCATCAGATTGGCTGATATGTCTGGATGATCTAGACACAGTCTTTTCTCGAGCAACTGACTCATGACGGTGAAGTGACGACTTCGAGTCTTTCGTTGAGATCGAGTACAGGGAGTCTTTTGGAACCTTCCAGTTGTAATACGCCTCTTGCTTCGTCTCTTTGTGCTTGCTGAGTGACACGGTAGCAGGTCGCGAGTCGTCCAGAGCGTCCTGTGCCTGCACTGAGGACTCAGTCAAAGTAACGACACGTTTGGAAGACATGCGAGAAGATGTTGATGGAGGAGTGGATGATGCGCTGGACGATGCCTTGTCGGTGATCTTGACGGAAGAACCCTGGGACGTGATGAGATCGGAGATACTAGCTGCATCGTTTCCTTCAGTGAGCTCGGCAACCGAAGTTGGAGATGCGGGCCGGGATGATACAATGCACCGAGTCGAGAGGGATGTGAACGGAGAGTCCACTGAACCATCCAAGGATTCATCTGGAACTACAATAACTTCATTGTGTGGAGAATTGAGGGCTGAGCGCTTTGATGATGAGACCTTGGAATTGTCAGAGATAGAGCGAGACGGGCTCTTGCTTGGATAGCTGCTGACAGAAATGACCGAATCATGCATGGAGCTGACGGGCTTCTCTGGAGGCAACAGACGCGATCTTAACGTATCTGTGGAAGGGGCAGGAGAAGAATTTGGGAGGGCTCCAGACATTCTGACGGGGCTACCAGCCGTCGATGAGGCCACTGTGGTCGAGTCCACAACGAAGTCGGTAAAAGTTGCGAGTCCTGCTATAGTTGGCTTATCAGTGCTGTACTCATGGGGTCGTGTTGGATAGTGCATACATTTGGAGTTGTGCTCCCGGTCACGTTTGTGACTAGAGGACGATTGATTGGCAGACCAGTATTTCAAATCTTCGCGACCCGACTCGCCTCCAACAAGCGTCGTTCCTTGTGACTGGGAGGCGAAGTGCAACGGTCTCTTGATCTCATGTACAGCTTCCTCGCCATTCTTGCCTCTGATGCGGATCTGGAAGGCGCGAGAGCGAGCAGTTGTCGTCGAAGAGTATTGACTTTGATCGTCTGTTTGGGACGACTGCTCTGACTCTGGGCGAGGCCGAGGACGAGATGGTTTGCGCAACACGAAAGGATTGCTCACAACAAGACTGTCACCGTCTTTGCTACGGATGCGAAACGAAGGCGACGGGCGGCGCTTTCCACGAGACGCCGGATTGGTTGATGTCTGGCGAGATCGGTGGCGCTTCTGTTCAAGTTTTGCTGGCTTGGTCGTCTTGTTGTCATAATGGGCATTCTCAACCGCTCCGTACTCGGTGAAGCATCTGTCGTCAACAGCACTGCGCGTATCTCCAGGCTCGACATAATGTTGATAGTCGACTGGAGGCGGTACCGCGTAGCGACCAGTGACCCATGCGTCCGGTGCGTTGGTGAGAGTCTTGAAGCCATCGTCAATTGCAGATCCTTGGATGCTGCCAGTCATGGTGATGGTGTTCGGCCACGGATACTAAAGTCGGGTTGATGGAAAGATTGGAAGGTACAAATCAAAAGGAAGGTGCAATCGATTACGCGATCTGGAAAGTTAGGTTGTGTTGATGACAGAAGCGGAAAGTGCCCAACATATAAAGTGAAGCGCGTCAACAAAGCAAATGCAAACTTCCGAAACTTATTAGGATAGCAGGGCGTGTAGGGTATCTGTGACGACGGATGAAAAAGGAATCACAGCTTTGCCTTTTCTCTCAGCTTCTCGTTCTCCCAGCTTCTCTTCACCCACATGCCGTTAAGATAGCTCCAGGTTCCAGAGGCAACAGCCAGCGGCGGACAGAGCAAGAGCAACCAAGACCACCAAGCCGGAGAACCTGTCCTGACGACTTCCATGACTCTATCAATCTCACGCTTGAGCTCTTCCTGATCGCCGTCGTTCCAGACAACGACTCCGGCCTTCTCTCCTCTGCGCAGACATCTAGCAGCCTTGTCCCTGACATCCCATTGACTTGCAACCCTGTTCCGTGCGTCCTCTTCGGTCAGATGTGCGTCTCGGGCGAGCAGTCTCTGCATCTGGATTTGAGCGTCTTTGACTGCGACCACCATGATGGTTCCACAGAGCGGCTCCCAACCACTCTCAAAGAGCAAGGGTATGTCCAACACACAAGCCCAGTGGCCCTTGAGGTATGCTTGGAGCATCTGCTTGTACAATTCGCGACGCACAGCCGGGTGCACGATGCTGTTGAGAACCTTCCTATCCGACTCTTTGCCCTCACCAAACACCCGTCGTCCTAGCGCGGGCCGGTTGAGCGGTCTGCCTTTGCCGTTGGGTCCACTCTCACCACCTGTAGAGGGGTCTGCCGGAAGCAAGAGATCAGGCGTCGATGGCCCGAAGTGCGAGACAATTTTGCTATAACCGGCTGTTCCTGGTTCGACGACCTGACGTGCAATCTGATCGGCGTCGACGATGGGGAGCGAGTGTGGATGCGCTGACAGTATTCTCGAAACGGTCGACTTGCCGGTGGCAATACTGCCCGTCAGACCGAGGAGGAGCATTTTGGTGTCTGTAAGTTAAGATATGCTCTCGTACTTGTAACAAAGACGAACAATGAAGGTACCAAGGCAGGAGGACGTGCCTCGGCCTTGGCGCACGCAGCTGTCTCGGCCTTCCTTCCTTTCTGAGAAGCCAATTCTATACACAATCAACATCTCCTTCACACGTGGCATCACTCGAAAAACCTCTCAAGTACGATACGACTATCAGACAAATTGTAAGAATGCCGGGATCTATTGCTGTAATTGGTTCTCTGAACATTGACTTCATCACCCGTACTCCTCGCGTGCCAGCTGGAGGTGAGACGCTTGAAGCCAGCTCTTCAGATACTGGCTTTGGCGGCAAGGGTGCAAACCAAGCAGTGGCATGTGCTAGACTATCACGCAACAGTGATGGCTCAACACCTGCAGACAGCACACCTATCAAGGTCAGCATGGTTGGCTTTGTTGGCGAAGATTCCTTTGGTTCAGACTTCATCTCTGCCATGAAGGAAACCTTTATCGACACTACTCATATTCAAAAGGTTGCTGGCCAAAAGACCGGTATTGCCAACATTATCGTTGAAGAGAAGACTGGAGAAAATCGTATCCTCTTCTGCCCGAACGCAAACTTTTCCGGAGCTGGAGAAGTCAAGGATCTGGTACCTGAGGATGCGGACGTTGTAGTCTTCCAATTGGAGATGCCCCTTGCTCAAGTTGTGCACAACATCAAGCTCGCACACTCTAAGGGCAAATATGTATGACTTTTCGATGTCAATCTACTAACACATGCTGACGTCCAATCAGNNGTTATCATGAACCCAGCACCCGCACAAAGATTGCCCGAGGATCTATATCAATACATTGACTGTCTGATTATGAACGAGAGTGAAGCAGACATTCTCCGCGAAGCCAAAGAAGAGCTGAAGGACGAAGACCTGCCGGAAATTTGCGAAGCCTTCTTCAAACGTGGTGTCCCCGACATGGTCGTTATTACTCTGGGAGCTAAGGTAGAGTAATCATAAGTCTTCTGCTGATATCTACTGACACCGAATCAGGGCGTGTATCATTCTGCCAGGTCAAGAGGTTCAGGACACACACCTGGTCGCAAGGCGAAGGTTGTCGACACCACTGCTGCTGGCGACACATTTGTTGGAGGGCTCGCCGTCGAGATCGCAAAGAACGGAGGCAAGACTCCTGAAGTGCCTGAGAAGATGATCGAGTTCGCAAACTCGGCTGCAGCACGTACAGTGGAGAAAGCTGGAGCCATGGCTGCTATTCCCTGGTTCAACGAACTATAAACAAGCATCCAACACGCTCCAAGGACGACCCGAGCTCACGCTTTCATCATATAGTCGATAATGGCAATCACGATCCGACCTGGATACTTCGAATCACATCAGGGATCCGGTATCCAATTTGGAGCATGGCAGAGATCCCCATACCAGTGTGCATGTTCCATGTCCACAAGACACCAGCTTACACTGCCTTTGAGAAAAAGCACGGAGGATCTCGTCTGGGCGAGATATTTCGACGCAGCAATCCTTCTGTCTGAAGCTGCGACGCATAAGCAAAGCAGAGTGAGACATCGACCAACACGGTCTCATATGATCAGGTAGACACCCATGATCTCGTGAAATCAGCATATAGCATGTGATCTTTCTCGCGTCGTAAACTCTTTGGCTTCCATACCGTCGTCTCGGTCACACAAAACTGCATTGCGACGCCCCTGAAATCACCCTGCTCGGACCAGCAATCGACACTCAATCGTCAACCCCCAGCAGCATGAAACAACAAGAAAAATGGGCACGAAACATCTGGTCTAAACAGATCCTGGAGTAAGCCTTTTTCCGATGTGTCGTTTGTGGATGCCTTGCTAACACGATCAAGCGATNNATCAAGAACAAATCATCCGCCACGATACAAATTCGATCGACCTACGGCGCAGTCCAATCAGTCAACAAAGAACTTCTATGCTACTTCTCTCCCTACTATGCTGCAGCCTTGAATGGTCGCTTCGCCGAAGCCAATCAACAGATCTTCCACGTTGACCTCTCGGGCAAGCAACTCCACGTCTTTACAAACTGGATCCACACCGGGCGACTCGACCTTCACAGCTGGGAACGAGAGGATCGTGTGATGCTTTACATCTTCGCAGACTTGGTGGACATATTGGCTCTCCGTCGTCAAATCATGACTGAGAAAGGGACGATGGAGAGATATCGTGAAGTGGGCTTGGTGTTCTTGCATCTTCCTAGCAGCTCGCCATTGCGCAGACGAATCGTAGATTACTATGCGAATCACTGGAAACCTGAGGATGATAGATACGACTCTATCGGTGCTCTGGATATCGCTGTCCAACGCGAATTTTTCCAAGAGGTTGTGGAAAGCGAAAATCGAGCAAAGGCCAACAGACAGTGGGGTTGTTCTTGCTGCACCAATGTGTGTCACTTCCATGAGCATGAATCTGAGCAAGAGTGGTTTGCGAGTGCGTATCATCACTTCCTTGCGTCTTCGCTACCGGCTAATTAGTGAGATATAGCTTGCGGCCAGCTTCCCAAGTCACGAAAACCTGAAAAACAGTACTTCACCAAGGGTGGTGATTGAACGAGGACAAAGATCAACAATCGATTGATGAGAGTGGAGGGTCTTCATGGTTGGTTACATACTTCATGGCTCTTCTCCTAGTGAGAATATGAAGCAAGAAGAAAAGGACATGACCGGGGTTATTCGTAGGCTCTTAAATCTTTGGAACGATGTCCATCTTTCCAGGTCTTTTTGACACCAATCGAGCACTCCAAAGTTCCAAACCAAATGATACCACCTAGCTTGTGATGTGCAGGTAGAGACTGATGCTGCTCGGTAGACTGGCAGTTGAATCTCGTTCAGTACCAGCTCGCCCTAACAGCGATCTTTGCCTTATTCCAATTCTTTTTCTTGGGTCTTCGCCTGATTCTTCGTCGAGGACCGAGTATCGTCTCGACCAGGGCGGACCACAAAGTTATCCAAGACGTCGACGAGGTCATCAGAATCGATGTCGTAGAGATGATCAATGTCGTCAGGGATCTTGTCCCAGTGCGGAGGATAAGCTTCGGTGTCTTTGTCTTGGTCCCAGTGGTGAACGTATTCGTCGATCATCCAGCGGCACAAATGAGACTTTTCGTATAGATTTGCTTCTATAGCTATCGAAACGCACAACATCCAATCTAGGAAGAGTAACATCCACTGAGAGAACGCCCTCAAATGGTATCTCCATAATCGTGCGTCTATCCATGAAAGCAAGTCTGCAGTGAGGCAGCCTGTTAGAGCACTACCCATCGTCTTGGTAAAAAAACAACATTCGACCCAACTAAACCTCACAAGCGCTCAGCATCCATCAACCCATTATCCGCCCATGTGCCTCAATCTCTTCACACATTAGCTATACCCCTTGCACATTTCCTCCAGTAAAATACTGCAGACTTCCACGAGAGTGGCAACTTTATGGACTTTGTGTGGATACAATTCGCTCTACTTGGAGAAACTATGCATTGTTATAGTTTACGATCTTGCCTGCCGTACGTCACTGTGAGAAAGGTCAAAGAGATGAGTAGACGCGGTCATTTACGGGTCACTATTCCTGTGGTTTGACGTCTGAATTTGCTAATGCTGGGACCGATATTGACAAGTCTGTACGTGAGTGCTATGCTCGATGCTTTTGGTCACTTGGATCTCTTGGAAGGGAAGCGATGAGAAAGGAATGAGCGAGGGGTATGTCAACAACACGAAGCTGGCTGACAAAACTACCTGACCATCCAAAGGCGACATGAAGACAAATTTGACAGCAGCACGATATTGTCATAATTGAGTATGTGATCCAGCTAGTGCCAGTATCGCCACCCGAATGTCTAATAGACCAATCTTTCTTTTGTATGATCCCGGAACGCCACGCTGCAATTCAAAAATCTTCTCTTACAACATCAAGTCACCCAGAATTAGACTTTGCACCACAAACTCGTCTCCTACGATCCTGACCTTTCCATCACGACCGACTGCGACCATCTTCTCGCTACCATCATCCTCTCTCTTTCTCTTGCGTCCTTTCTTCGCTGTGCCTGCATCTCCAAAACTCCCATTGCGGAAGAGTACGCTCTCTGCTTCTTCAATCGTGCCTTCCACGTATACCCAACCCCATCCTTCTTCAGCATCCAGAATGCGTTTGGCAGAGTCAAGGCCAGAGACTCTACGCACGACACTAGCACCCAAAGCAACAGTAAGGAAAGCGTAAGCACGTTTGGCTTCCCATTTCCTACCGCCTGCTCCGCTGACCAGAAGAACCCTCCCACCTTGAAGTAGTCTTTCTCGATCTTGTATCGTTTGTGCGAGCTTAGTCGTGGTCGGAAGATAAGGTGTGAGAGTACGGCTGCGAACGGCACCAGAGAGAAATGCGGATTCTCCGGCAGGGAGCAGGTACTTGGCCCAAGGCAGAGGCTTGGCTGAGGCGATTGAGTCGAGAATCCAGCGGCCCGAGAGACACGGCAGAGAGAGCGCAAGCGCTTGAACGTATTTAGCTCTGCGAGAGTGCTTGTCTGCGATCAGGGCCACGAAGCCTAGAGTTTGTGCGCGGGCGGACAGGATCAAGGCATCGGCATCGTTAGTTGCAGAAGACGATGGCGAACGTGCTTCTTCAGGAGCATCTCCAAGATCTTTGACCGAGAAGAGTTCATCGAAGCCCTTTTCTAGAGTTAGACCACCGTGAGCTTTGATAAGCTCGAGAACACGGTTCTTCTCGGTTGAGTCTGCGCTGTAAGATACCGCGAAAGCCATACCAGACAGTATCCCGCGACCAGCTGGAAGCGGCGAGGCAAACTCCGGACGTGCCAATGATCGCACTGAAGTGATCGTTGAGGTATGTATCGAAGTCACTGTGCCTCTTCTAGTTCGGGAGACCGGTGTTGCGAGAGTGGTGTTCTGAGGTATAGGTGTTTGCGGGCGAGAAGAGTGTCCGGTAGCGATAGTTGTCATGCTTGCTGTTGAAGAGAGGTAGTTTCTGCCCTCGAATCGAACCCACATGGTTTGCGTGAGGTAGACGCTTGTGACAGGCACTTTGAGCGACGTTGTGGTCTCTGCCCGAGGCAATGCTGACACACTGTCACGATCTTTGACCATTAGTTGCAAAGTCTCGAATCCATGAATATCAGTCTTAGGATAAGATTCGGGCTCAACGTTCTCGATTTTATCCTGGAAACCCACAACAACGTAGACTTTGCTACGCATGCCTTGTAGATCAACCTTGACCTGATCACCACGCTGAAGGTCGAGTCGTCGTACTAGGTAGGAGTCTAGCTGGGTGATGGTGCCGTCATCAAATCGAATGCGGAGCTTGAGACCATCGAGAGTTGCTGCCCCAAGGCATGTAGCTGGATAGTATGCTTGTCCAGTACCCTTGAAGAGAGCTAAGACTCTCTGGGGTTGAGTGACTTCAGCACTTGATGCGGTATTCTCGTCATGGCCGTCGTTGTGCTCTGAAGCGGCATCAGTCATAGATACGTCAGCAGCATCTGCTTGCTCAGTTGTGGTGGTTGTGCTTCCTTGAGCAGCTCCTGATTGGAGAACTGAATCTGCCGGCGGAATTACTCTCTCCTGCTGGGGACATTCGCTTGGTGAGAGGCGCTGCGCATGCGAAAGCTTTGACCTTGGTGCCTTTCCAGTTTCCTGCCTTCTAGCGAGAGGTGTACGCAATGGACTCTGGTCGGAAGTTCTGCGTTTGGGCCGGACAAGTCTTCCAGGACTGCCCTTGGAAACGGGAGATTTGACTTCGACTGGTCTTCGAGCTAACATTGCGTCGCGTGCTTTTGTTGCTGCAGACGCACCAGCTTGCTCGCGTTTCCTAGCAGAAGGCGGAGTCGATCGTTCTTGATCTTTAGTAGGGGAAAGGTCTCGCGCATGCGTGCCATCTTCCCGCTTTTCTCTGTCTACGACCGCTTCAATTTGCGCGATGTCGGCAGATCTGTCAGATTGTTCTGCCATAACCTGTCCCGTTGCAGATTGGTAATTTTCCTCAGCCGTCTCCTCGAGTGGCGTTTCGACGTGTTCATGTGATTGAGAGTTGGGGTCGATAGTGCTTGCTGTCTCTGCATGCTTCAGCTCTACCTGCTTGGCTTGGTCAGAAACATCTACAGCGCTGGTATTAACTTCAGTAACATCTTCCTGCTCCGGGGGAACGTTGGTGTGGAAGGCGACAGTCCTGGCAGCCAGTATGATGGGACTCTTGGTCACGCCTTGCGGCTTCGCTGGGCTCTTGTCATCCACCTTTGATCTTGCCCTTTCCAATCCTCTTGCCTTCTTTCCGTATAGGCGCATCTTCTTCGCAGGTGGAGATGTCATGATGTCCATAAAATCATGATCATCGTTCGACAGTATATCGATGTTCAGGTCTAGAGCTTTACCACCGGTCGCATTAGGAGGTGTAGGATCTGTGGCGATGTCTGCAAAGTTGAGGATACCAGCGGCTTTGCGCGGGCTCTCGGTACTCGACACTGAGCTCTGAACTTGATTTTGAGTCTGCAGTTGGCTCGCACGGTGCTTCTCAAACCGCGAAACGGAAGCAACAGCAGGAGATGCATCGTTGTCAGTGCTCGAAACCTGGTTCTGTGCAGGTACCGCATCGACAGGCAGGTGATTGGAAGAACGAAGTTCATCTACAGAATCGGTATCGGGGACAGTAGAACTCCCTTCGTGGCCGCCTTCTCTCAACTCCTTAGTTCTTTGAGATGGAGCAGGTCGTGTCCCTGGTAAAGGTGAAGAGACTCCTGTATGATCATCGTTCGGTCTTGATTGATTGCCGATGTCCAAAGTCTCCTCTTCTCCGAAATCTTCAGACACAGCAGGAAGTTGAGGAGGACTACTCGGTAGACGGTTCTGAGTTTGAGGGGCAACTTGGCTAGTTGTTGGTGGAGGCTTCGGGATTGATGATGAGTCCGCGGCATCACGCTTCAAGACGTTCAAACGCTGCGTTGTCTGACTTAGGGGATAAGAGCCCGGAACAAAGGATGACATAGATGAAGGCTCGATCAGAGGTGGCGGAAGCTGAGTCTCTTCTTGTCGAGTGGGCTGTGAATCGGCAACAGCATAGTCGGAAGTCTCAGCATCTCGGCCTAGCATTTGCGTGGTGGGCAATTGGTGTGAGCTCTGTTGGCGACCCGAAGGAACAGAGGCGTTCGGCGGTCCGAGGTCTGGGTTGTGCTGACTAGAGTGCGTCGAGGTACGGCTCGAAGACTCGGCATGGTCGTTCTCTTCCTCGGATTGGACGGGCTGAGGTGAGGATGAAGCTTGTCGCTGACTGAATCTTATTGACTGAGCAAACTCATCGTATTCGTCCATCGACTCGCCTCCCGGGCTTTGGTGAGCATGGTCATCCAGGCTAACTCCTTCACGGTCATGATATTCCCATTCGTTCTCGCCTCTGTTCTCCAGTCCATTCACAAGGGCATTGTTGTTTTGAAAAAGGCCATCTCTTGTACCCGGCCTGCTCAATCTGCCTGCCGTGTGGGCCGATCGACTCGGACTGTGTGGCAAAGCCTTCAAGGGCGAAGAGAAGGCTAGATTCTGTCCAGGCGAACTCTGCCTGATATTGGGGCTTGGTCGGCTCAGTACCGGGTCGCTTCGCGGGCCATCGGCTACGGGACTCGAAGGCGATTGTGTAGCATGAAACAGTTGAGTGCTGGTCAAGGGCGGGGCATTGCCAAAAGCGAAAGCTGACAGACCACCTGAGCCCGGGGTCTTTGTGCTTGTAGTAGAGGGTATAACATCTCCGCGATGATTGCGCTTGCGACCAGCAGTTGCAGGAGTCTTGGGGAAGGTAGGCCTTGCGACGGAGCTCAAAAAGTATTGGCCATCATCTTTTTCTTCATCTTCGTCGCTGGAAAGCTCGTGGTAGGTGGGCGGTTGCCAGTGTTGCATCAAATCGATCTGTGGCGTCTCTTGCTCGGTGTCGGGGGCAGTTTCGTCGTCGAGTTGAGTGTCGTCCTCTCCAAGACCGCTGGTGAAATTCCTGTAGAACTGCGAGGGCATTGGCTGGGTGTCACCGTCAAGGTCGAGAGGAAGAGGGAAGCCATGGAATGTTGTGTGCTTGGCTAGCGAGGGCGTAGCATCTTGATGGTCGGTCGAGTCCATGTCCGGAAGGGTTGAGGCGGCAGGAGCGGTGGACGAAGGCTTCAGCCGTTGGATCTTTGTGTTTGAGGTATGGCGAGGGCGTGTGTGAGCATGTCTGGTGGATGTGGACGGCGATGGCTGGGTTAATGGGAAGTGCTTGTTCTCCTGCNNACGTCGCTGTTAGCCGCCTCGCTGCACATCCTGGTCGCCGATCGCATAGATTGTCCTGTAGCTGCGACGAGCACTCACCTGCAGTAGTTTCTCATGCAATAAGGATATGCCATGCTCGCTCTCGAGGCTATTTGAATCCTGGCTCGCCATTTCCTTCTCCGCAATCAATTGGAACGACAGCTGCAGGTGCTCGTATAGTGGTGGCGCCTGCCGGACGCGATCCACGCGATGGATTCGTGTTGGCTGCTTTGTGCAAACACGTCACCGAGTTTATCCACCTTCACATGCTTTGTGCAGATGAACAAAACACCTCACTCTTGCCTGACTCGCCACATGAATCACTCACATGCTTCTTCGTAAAACGGTCACGTTCTGATATAAAATTGACTTCCTGTATACACGGCCTCTGACTCCTGTAGCTTTTGTCTATATCCTGTCTATATACAATCCAGCCCCCCACCGGTTCGACCAAATCAAATCTCCAGCAATGCAAATGGTAACAGAATCGAAAAGAGCATCGGCAAAGACTTCTTACCAGACCCAGCCCTTGGGTCCTCCCCAAGTACCCTTGACCATGTTGTTGTAGTATACCCACGGGAAGAAGTCCTTCTTCAGGTGGTAGAAGGCCCGGCGAGGAACAGCCTGATCAACGCCAAACTTGGCGAATGTCTCCTTGGGCTGTCCGCCGTACTTGAACTCGGCCAGCAGAACCTTGCCGTACTCGGTCAATAGAGGGCAAGATGTGTATCCATCGTAGGCGGCATTGAGCTCCTTGCCCTCGATAGACTGGACCATGTTCTGCACCAATACGGGAGCCTGAGAGGTGACGGCCGCAGCGGTCTTGGCTGTTGGAAGCGAAGATGCATCGCCTGCCGACCAGACGTTTGCAAACTTCTTGTGACGCAGGGTGGCGTCTTCAACATCGACGAAACCTGCTGCGTTTGCCAAAGGACTGTCCTTGATGAAAGAGTGGGGTCCCATCTTGGGTACAACGTGAAGCAGGTCGAAACGCTTGGAAACCTTCTCCTCGCTGCCGTCTAGACGAGCGAAGATGGCCTTGTCACCGTTGATCTCAACCAGATCGTGCTGGAACATGGCCTCGACACCACGCTCCTTGCGCAACTCCTCCAAAGTCGCGCTGTACTTGGGAACACCAAACATGACTGGCAGAGCTGTTGCAAAGCTGATCTTGATGGGCGAGTTGGCGACGTTGCTGGGGTCATAGAGACCGGCCTTCTTCCAGTGGTCCAGAGCAAGCCACATTGCCTTTTGAGGTGCACCAGCGCACTTCACGACGCCAGTAGGAAGGGTGAACAACGCTTCACCACCACGGAATTCCTTGATGTTGCGGAAGACCTTGTCACAAGTTTCGTAGCCGTAGATGGTCGACACAGGCGTTGACTGATCTGCCAGTGCTTCAGGCAGTCCCTTGATATTGTCGTACTTGATGCCGATGCCAGGTGCCACGACCAGGTGCTCGTATCCCACTTTGTCGCCATTACCAAGAGTGACCAGATTCTCCTCGGGAGCGAATGTGTTGACTCCTTGGTTGTACAGCTTGAGCTTTGAGTCCACAAGACTGCTCATGGGCTTTCTCAGTTCCTCTTTCGTCTTGAGGCCACCACCTACTAATGTCCATCCAGGCTGATAATCATGGTACGATGAAGGGTCCACGATGGCAATGTCGTCCTGTGTGAACTTTCCAGTACGAAGCAACTGGTGACTGATTGCTAGACCAGCAGATCCACCACCGACGACAACAACTTTGTGGTTTCTGGTAGCAGAGCTCACTGATGCAAAAGTCCTCAAACTCGAGACCTTGCTGGCTGCGTTGACCGAACGGCCAGCGGAAAACGCTAATCTGTGCATAGCTCCAGAAACTCCTTGGTATAGACAAAGTAGAAACGAAAGAAATGAAGCACACAGATGCAAGATGTTCAACAAGAAAGGGAGGATTAGAAATCGCCGAAGTCGCGCGTGCTCACCTGCCCCAGTGCGGACAGGGTGCCATCGCGGGATGGTGGCGTCCGAGCTTTTTCTCAACCCCAGGTTTTCGCGATCACGCCTTCGCCCAACGACTCGTGTGCAACATTAGACCTCACCTGATCCTTTCCCATGACATGATAACGGAGTATGAGTTGGGCTGTCAATTGTTGTACACAAATACGGCCGGCAATATTTGACTGCTTCCTGTAATTTATCGCCGACGTTGCAGTACATGTTTAAAGATCTCGCTAACACAAGCTCTGAAGCATCCAGGCGACACGGAACGTGCAGACGAAATGTTGACCTGAGGCAGTACATCACTGAGTCACAGTATTAACTTGCTTAAACACGGAAGTTCTTCCAAAGACGACAAATCATTGAAGATTGTAAGACGAAGGCACTTTTCATTTCTTTTCGACTGGTATGAACATCATAGACTGTGTCTTCAGGATATCGAAGTATCGAGTACAATTCTTCTTGCTGTCGCGACACGATGACATCTAGGAGTCTTTGAAAATGTAATGCCTGGGCCCTGATGGTAGATTTCAACACCCTCGGAGATGCGTGACTCTTGATGGAATGAGATCGTAGACATCTGTTCGAACTCATCAAGCGGTGCTATACTCTATATTCCATCTTACTGGACCTGAACCTGTCTTTTACGGGTCCAAAAGCGAGCATTCTAGGGTCACGGAGGATGTCCGATACGAAACAGCAAAGACTCTAATAAAACAGAAACAAAGTATTCTACCTTTCGTCGTTATTGTTGTCGAGCAAGGATTGCACCCCTGGCGTCGCGAAAATCCAAACCAGTGGGCTCTAGTCAACTTGGTGGGAGACATGAGCTACTACCGCTGCGCTATCCCACCGGTTCGATGGTTACTATACGATTTTGCTTCTGTTTGATCCCATGGGGGTTTCGTGTTGTCATTCTCGTTCACTGCTAGCGTTTCGCTCACTAATTTGATTGTCCTATTTTCTCTTTTTTGCATCATTACAGCATCCCCCTTTCGAGCAGACGCTTGATCAGTACTCTTGTCGGTATCAGATAGCTGCCTCTAGTCCGCACGATTGTTGCGTTCTGGTGCGGCTCTCGTCAATAGCTGTGACCATGAACAGGCAGGTGTGTGTTCGATGAATGACACAAAGAAGAAAACAGACGACTCGGACAATCGGACGGCAACGGGGACATGGATCGTGACTGACACAAAGCATACAAAGGATGTGGAAATGAACCTCGAAGGGAAACATTCAAACAAAGGGCAAATAATGCAACATGTGTCAAACACGCCATACACACCACAAGCGCATTGTCCTTTGGGTTCTCTTTGTCAACCAAAGAAGCAACCGTTAAGTACAAATGCACTGTCAAGGCCCTCGCGAGCCTGATCATATACTTTCCACTCTCCCGCTTTTTCCCTTGTTTTCACAACGGCTGTGCCGCTTCCCTACCCTGTCATGTCTTCTTCATTCCTCCAGCTGGTTCTGGATTTTGTTTCCTTCGCCGTTTTCCACTACTATGTCATCTTTCCGCTAATCACGCGTCTTCTAGGTTACATCAAGGGAGAGCCAGTAATCGTGTACGAAGTATCAGAAATCTCAAAGGCACTGAAGATCCTTATTGGCCAGCAGTCAGAACCAGAGCTATCGATTGCTATCACCATATCTGCACCATTGACTACCGACTCAACCACATTCGAGGAAGTCGATTGCGAAAGTTGCCGCTCGTCATTGGAAGGTGAACCACGTTTCACGCGACAGAGCTGTGGCTGCACCTGGTGTGCGAGATGCGTGGAAAGATGCTTCAAGATTGTCATGTTCGACCCAGACATGCCTTTGAAGTGCCTGAGCAAGAGTTGCGAGTCTGCACAGAAACTCACTATTCGCAAGATGGGTCCTTATGTCAAGCACTTGTTGTCAGAAGAGTCCTACAAAAACATGAAGAGCGCGATTTTGCTGCGAGACGCTATGAGCGGAATCGATCTGAGCAAGTATGATTGGATACTTGAAGATGATGAAGACGAGTTCGAGGAGGAAAAGTCGTTCCCTGACATGTCTAGCATCAAGCGCGAGTCCTGGTAGAAACCAGATGTATGAAAAATATCAATTCGGTAACCAGTGTGCGAACCAATGTGGAAGCTGTTCTGTGATATTGTTATTCTTCGTCCGATGAAGTGTCCTCAGAACCACGATCCAATGATACGTCCAAATCATCGAGTGGGCCGCGCTTTCCTGTCTTGAACAACTGAAGACAGTCCCCAACCTCCACAAGCAATTTTCCAGCGGCCATTCAATTCAGTAGTGAGCCATCTCTGAGCAGATCGTGGAAAGTTTGATTTTGCAGCAAATCTTCAACGTGTTCCATACAAAATTGGAAAGCGATGTCTTGCAGCGATGAGTCTGCGAGACGAGGGGCATTGGGACCCAGTAGACGTCGAATGCCGCGGGCAACGGTATCAAAGCAAATCAGGTTCTCTGCATCTTTGTGGAAGTGGTTAATTGCCCGACTGCGCAAGCATTTGATATCGTATTGGTGGGCCAGAAGAAACATGCCGATGTCAAAATCCAGAATCTGAGCGATCGAAACGTTCAGTTTGAGGTCTTTGTAAGAGGATCCGTTAAGATATCGTAACATGGAAAGGACTAGGAGCAGGGGGTCCTCGTCACCTAGGTCGATGAAGGGACTTGTTGCAACCTGTCTATGTCAGCTTCGACAGAGACCTTGCATATTTTCGCGTCCTTACGGAGAATTGTCCTTGGAATCCGGCTGAAGTAGACCGAATCCAGGGCGAGCACAGCTTTCGTGGCCACGAATTGCTCATCGCCGAACTTGACGACAATATCACCAAAACCAGTCGAACAATTTTCCATCGTCTAGAGCTGTGTGATCTGCCAACGATGACCTCGACGACACGTTCGGGGAGGTGAAGTCGTCTCATCTTGAAAATCTGGTGTCATATGATGAGAGTCTTTGCGAAATAGGACAAGACAATCATTGGCATGTCCTGAGCCATGGGGATTGTTGTGGATGCTTCCAACATGAATGTTCTTGCTTCGAAACATGTATCCAGGTTGAGATACTCTGGAGAATGCGATCTTAGAATACCAGAGAGCTTGTACACAATAGCCGAATATCTGTGGGTGAAACATCGCGGCAAAATGGTTGCTCTGGCGAATCCTTAGACCAAAACATGATGCGAGGTTACACAATCAAGTTGCGATGGTTGTCCGAAAGAAGCAACATCTTTGCGAGGGATACGAAAAAGCTTTGCTCCATCCAGATGCTGTTGAGGGAGGAAGACGAGCAGCATATACTTCAGGATAGTACATGCAAATAAGCTGATGTTGAGGCACAAGGCAAGCCGAGCGGTACGAGGATCTTGGAAAGGAGATCGACCGTGTCATTGCCCAATCGGGACTAGTATATCAGAACAAAGAGACGTCTTTTGCTCCTTCCTCCAATCCTTTGCCCTTTCTTTATCATCCAGTCGCAGTATCCAGCTCTGTATCTGAGTTTCAGACGGGCCTGCAATGGTATCTAGTGCTGACCTTGGTCCTGCCGGTAACCAGGATGGCCGGTATGCATTGTAATGCTTGAAGGTATGGTCGCATTCGCGATTAGGCGAGGTTACGCGTTCTTGCCTGTGATGCTGCTGTTGCTGTACGCAAGCGGGGTAGCAGTCAATGAATTATGCCAACTTCACATATAAGAGAGAGTATCAAGTTCATTCGAAGGGTGTGTTTTGCGCAAAGGCAGCTTTAACACGAGACGTTCGACTACTAACGAATATCCTTCCAAAATGACTTGTCCTCTGCGAGCTCACACGTCCGATGTCGACGATCTAAGCACGACGTCACCAGAACATCTGACCATACCTCAACCCCCGGAGCACCTCTTTGGCCTGCTCGGCAATCTACCCGACTTGGATCCTTCATTCCCTTCCAAGAACATATGGACCCTGCAACAGCTATACGGTCCTATCATGAAGTTGAAACTCGGCAGTGAGCAAGTAATGCTCGGAGACCAACAACACATCAACGAAATCTGCGACGAGAAAAGATTCCACAAGGTCCCTGCTGGCGCTCTGACGGCCATTCGAGCACTGACAGGAGACGGCCTGTTCACAGCTTATGATTCTGAGATGAACTGGTGGATCGCCCATCGCATGCTTGTTCCTGCTTTTGGTCCAATTGCTCTCCGCTCAATGTTCGACGATATGTTGGATATCTCGTCTCAGATGGTATTGAAGTGGGATCGACTGGGACCGGAACATGAGATTGATTGCGCTGATGATTTGACACGTCTTGCCTTTGACACTATTGGGCTTTGTGCTTTCTCGTACAGGTTCAATGAGTTTTATACGGATCACGCTCATCCTTTTGCCCAACAGATGGCCGACGTCTTGACCGAGAGTGGTAGGCGTGTCAGCCGGCCTGGGTTCATCAACGACTATGTTTATCGCAACAGCGAACAGAAACGACAAGACAATGTCAAGAGGATGCATGACCTCTGTGATCAGATTGTAACAGATCGGAAAAAGAATCCGCAACCTCAGAATAAGGACCTATTGAACACCATGCTGAACAGTATCGACAGAGAGACTGGAGAGGGGCTGTCAGATGAGAACATCAGATACCAAATGGCCACCTTCCTGGTTGCTGGACATGAAACCACTAGCTCAACCCTGTCATTCACATATTACAACTTGCTGAAGAATCCTGACACACTCCTCAAAGCACAGCGACAAGTCGACGAGGTGGTGGGAGACAACGTACTGGGATTGCAGCATCTTTCGAAGCTCACGTACATCGACGCCTGTATCAAGGAGAGTCTTCGTCTCAGCTCGCCCATCACTCGCTGGAGTGTATGTCCACGCAAAGACACAACCTTACAGGGTAAATACGAAGTGAAGAAAGATGTCCAGCTTGTGAGCAATCTGAGAGCTCTTCATCACGATCCTGCCGTCTGGGGTGATGACCATGATGACTTCAAACCAGAGAGGATGCTCAGATCGAATTTTGAGAAACTACCTCCCAACAGCTGGAAGCCTTTCGGGAATGGAACGAGATCGTGTATCGGCAGAGGCTTTGCCGAGCAAGAAATGATCATCAACATTGCGCTTGTGCTTCAGCGCTTCCAGCTGCAATTGGCAGATCCGACATACGAGCTCGAACTGAAGTCAACGCTGACGATCAAGCCTTGGAACTTCAAGATGGAAGTTCGTCGTCGACCAGGAAAAGCACTCATGGTTGGCATTCCAGGAGGGGTACCTACCACTATGGCAATGAAACATGAACAGCAACATGAGCATGTACAAGCTCAGGGCGAGTCTTCCAAAGCGCCTGTGTCAATCTTTTTTGGAGGCAACACCGGAACATGCGAAGCTCTCGCCGAAAATCTGAGAACAAAGTTGACTGATCATGGCTTGAGTGCTTCAATTGCAAGCCTTGACACCATGACCGAGCACATTCCGAATCAGCCTGTTGTCATCATTGCGTCTTCATACGAAGGACAACCGGCTGATAACGCGAAACAATTTATGGCGTGGCTGGAAGGTGTTGGTGACAAAAACGCCTCCATCTTGAAAGGTGCCGTATATGCAGTATATGGAGTGGGAAGTTCAGTAAGCATTACTTGACACCCGCTTATGGTTCTGATACTGACGATCTCCTAGGACTGTGCGAGCACTTTCCATCGAATCCCAAAACTCGTCAACGAGCTCATGGAGAAAGCTGGAGCTGCCAAGATTGTCGACCTTGGACTCTCCGACGTCAAGACTGATCTATTTGGTCCATGGGAAGATTGGGTAGACCAGCTTGTGAATGCGCTGGTAAAGTCGACTGGTGCTCGATCTGTTGCTAAGCCCGTTACCGAGGTCATCATTCGCGAGTCTAAACTTACCTCATTGCTCGGCGGCAAAGACATGAATGTCGGAACTGTTGTGGCGAACAACCAGCTTGCAGGCACTGAAGTGGGACCTGCAAAGCGTCACATGGATATTCGTCTGCCGGATGGTATGAGCTACACTGCAGGCGATTACCTTGTAGTACAACCACGAAACCCGGATGAAACAGTCCATCGAGTCCTGTCATACTTCGGCCTTCGGGAAAACGACGTCCTGGAAGTCAAAGGATCCTCCAAGGCCTTCTTACCTGCTGAGCCCACCCCTATGGAAGAGTTCCTTGCCGGTGCTGTCGAACTCAGCCAGCCCATCACGAAGCGTCAGCTCGAAAACATCTTAGCACACGCGACTCCTGAACAGCAAGAAGAATACAAAGGCTTCCTCGAAGAGTCTTCCTACCAACACTTCCTTGAGAAGCGCTACAGTATTCTCGATATCCTTGAAGAGACCTCAATCGCCCTCCCATTCAGTCTCTACGTCGACATGCTTCCAGCTCTAACGCCTCGTCAATATTCCATCGCCTCATCCTCTCTGGACCCAGCGAATAACCCACAACATAAGCCACATGCAGATATCGTGTCTTTGTGCTTTGATGTCCATACTTCGCCAGCCCTATCAGGTCATGGTTCTTTCTTCGGCGTTACATCCACCTATCTTGCTTCTCGCCGCATCGGTGACCGTATCTCATGCTTTGTGCGTCCTACCAATGTCGGGTTTCGTCTTCCTGGCAATACTGAGACACCTATCATTATGTTTGCAGCCGGCACTGGCATCGCGCCCATGCGAGCTTTCCTGCAAGAAAGAGCTGCTATAGCAGCAGCTGGTTCGCGAAAACTCGGCCCAGCAATCTTATTCTTCGGTTGCCGTCACCCGGAGAAAGACTTTATCTACCGCGAACAATTAATAGCGTGGGAAAGACAGGGTGTTGTCAAAGTCGTGTCAGCGTTTAGTAGAGGCAACACCGATCCCAAATATGTTCAAGACGCGATTTGGGAGCATCGCGAGGAGGTAGCGAAGATGTTTATGGATGGTGGAAAAATCTACTTGTGCGGTAGTGCGGCGAGACTGGGCAAGAGTGCCGCAGAGGTTTGCAAGAAGGTTTGGTGCGAGAAGAATGGGAAGTCGATGGAAGAGGCGGAGGCATGGCTCCAGAGTGTCAAGACTGATCGGTATATCAGCGATGTATACTGAACAGACCAGCGAGTCACATAAGGTCGATGCCTCATTCGAAAGTACTCCTTGATAATCGCACGCGCGAAGCGTGGATCAAGCCAAAGTAAACCACGAGCCAGCCCGAAGATCAAGGGAAGAATCCGCTTTACTAAGGTCTATGGAAGGTGCGGTCGGTGGATTGTGCCCGCGAGATTTCGAGGTTCGATCGAAGGTAGCAGCTCTCAGGCATCTAGGTACACGAAACACCCCTTACACTTGCCATTCTTCATCATCAGCATCCGATATCGTTATAGTAATTCAGTTGTGCAGCCATGTTTCGATCTCTGCTGGTATCATTGTCTTCCTCCAACCATGCTAACACATGTCGACTGTAGTTTCAGAGTTACAATTAAATTCCTATCATTCGTCACCTGAGAAGAAAAAGATCGTGATGTCTCGAGACACAACGCAATGGAGTTTTGACTGATAGGTTTCACACAACATCTGCCTGTCTCGACCTCGGGGCTACAATTTTGATGCAGAAGTCGTTTCCAAAAGTATATTTCGTCTATCAGACCTCTAGCCTAACACTACACAATAAAAGTGATGCCTACTTCTGCGCTTGTTGTACATTTCCTCTCTCCACCCGATTCGATATCTGAGGCAGCTCATCTGTCCCATTCAGATCAGCAATTTCGCATGTCCTTACCTACCTTCATACCAACCGTTAAAGCTCTTCATCCTCTCTCGCGGATTCGGCAAGAGCTCTAAAAGCTTGACTCTTCGTAAGATAGATCGGAAGAGTCTCCACCGAGAGGATCGAACTGAACTTCAAGTCCTGGCAAGATTTCTCAACTGCAGCAGAAGGGAACGTAAATTCGAAATCAAACAACTCGAGACCTCCATCTTTCTCAGTTCCTGAAGACAAAAGCTTTGCGCGAGGACGACGAAGAACTTCGATTGCCTGGTCGATGGTAATGCTGCTGAAGCTGTTGTTGGTGCTCGACTTCTCTGGCTCACGTACCATCGATGCGACAGGAGCTGGTAGCAGGACCGCTTGATATTTCTGAGTAGGTGCGAAGTCTCCATCACGGGTAACTCGCTGCTGAGGATCGGATCTGCCCATGGCAATCATTTCCAGCTCCTGTATGATGCGGTGACGGGGAGGTAGGGTTGGTACCATCTTTAATGACGCGATAGGGGAGAAGCCAAAAGCAGATGATTGAAAGAGGCTAGCAGGAAGACTAGCCTTGAGTCGGAGCCGAGTTTCGCTAGAAGCAGTGTCGACAAAACTTGTGGTTTGAACGTTCCGTAGAAGATAGCTGAAGAAACTACCGGCAAAATCTTGGTCCTGAGACTGTTGAGTAGGCTTTAACGTCTTCGTGATGATAGGTGCATGTATTAACGATCCAGCGGCTTCATTGGCAGTAGGCATATCAGAGCATCCTGTGATTGATGTATCGAGAGTGCTAGCGTGTCCGCTGCTTTCGGTCGTCTTGTGCTGTGTCTCAGGCTCCTCAATTAAATTAGCCAAAGGTTTCGCGGGAGCGTCGTTCTGCCTGCGTTGGTCATCTGTAACAGGTCGCTCAATCCTGGTGAACAGAGAATCGTTGGACACATCATCATCTCCGGCATCCCCAGCCATGTTAGATGGGTGTTGACGTACAGAAGTAAGAGAGTTCGCTCTTTCGCTACCTGTTTCGTCAGTCCAGCGTGCACCGCCTCCACGACCGCCGAGAACCAGTCTCCTTCGTTTTGAGGGAGGCTTGGACGAAGAAGACTGTCTAACTTGGTGTGACTTTAGCTTGTCATCAGAGCTAGAAGGCGGTAAGAATGGTAGGTCTGGATCTTCTGAGCGAGTGGCCAATTGGATACCTATTCCAGAACCAGGTGCCCGTTGTCTACGCAGTGCAGGATATTCCAGCAGGATCAGATATGTACCAATGATGAAGCCACACTGCTGTCTACCATTGATATCTTTGAGATTCTCCATGTTGAATAGGTCATTGAAAGAAGGCCAGAAGTACTCGACTTCGACTAGTTCAAGTGACGGTGAGCACGGTCGTCTGCCTGCATCAATAGTGAAGCTGTCTTGATACAAACCGTCACAGCAGCTTATCTTGTACCAGATTCGCTCGTAGTGTTGTGCACCCTGAGCTTTGCGAGAGCCAACGAAGACAAAATCATTCTCCCAAACAAAGTCGAAGTGTTGGACGAACGCGAGAAGCGCAAGTGCTGCATCTTCCATACCTATAGCTTGAAGGCCGACCGATTGGAGCAAGTCGCGTATTTCTCGAAGTATAGGCTTAGATGGTGTCCACTGGAATTTCTGACACAGACTTTGTAATCTGTCTGGAGTAGATTGTCTTGCGGTATTGATAGAGGAGCTCTCAGATTCGGTATTCGAGTTGTGTACGCGCTTTCGAGATGGTGAACCTCCAGAGTTGCTAGCAGTCATGGCCTTCTCGCCACGGGCCTCTTCGATTTCGGTGAGGGATGAGGTGCTTGTAGTCGTTGTACGAGTACGGCTTATGTCGTTGACGCCTGTTGATGAGCGCGTTTGGCGTTGATAGGTATCTTCGGTCACGACGCCAGATGCTGTGGTAGCGACATCCTGATAAGCTTTGTCATTGTCGACATGAGTATCAGCATTTAGTTCATCTGGTGATGGTGACGTGAGTCTTCTGCGGGACCTGTACTGGCTCTTGGGAGAATCATCAACCCATATGACTCCTTGTTGCCTTAACCAGACAGAACCAGGTTTGAAGGGAAGCGGCGGAAGCTGTGGATGGCCATGTCTGACAACGGCATCCTCAGGACCGTTCGGGTCTAGAATGCATCGCATGTATGTGAACTTCTTGAGAATCTCATATACGCCTGTGAGATATAGATTCTGGCTGTCTCTGCTGAGATTGGTCAAGTCGAAGAGCTTAGTGAACGGTAGCCAGACTTTGTCTTTGTCAACTCTGTCTTTGAGCTCCACAGGCTTGAAGACTGTCTTGCTAGACCCGTAGCTGAATTCAATCAAACGTCTCCTGGGGCCATAGATCGGGCGGTACCAGACGTAAAGGACTCCTTCGTCGAACTTCTTCCTGCCGAGCAAGACCCAGCCGCTGTTCCAGACGAAATCGAGGTGCTGGACAAAGGCAAACAAAGCTGCTTCACAGTCGCGTAGTTTGCGCTCATTGTCGAGTTTGGTGAGTTTGATCAATTCATCTCGAACAGCGTTCGTGGGTGTCCAGCCAGCTTCTTCGCACAGATTGTCGAATCTCGTACGTAGTGACTCCTTGATTTTGATGGGCTGTCGCTCGCTGGCGTCGAGTATCGGAGGCTGAACGACGTACTTAAGACGTGGTCGGGCGGTGCGAGCTTGCTGTCGAGTAGTCATTGGAGGAGGCGAGGGTGAGGTAGTGGAGTCCATGGTTGCTCACACTTTGTGGTGTTCCTGAGACACGGTGAACGAGACGCACGTTTTGCCAGAATGTGTTGGTGGAAACATGTGACGTGTTTGTGTAACTCGGACAAACGACAGATTGGTCGACGTGACGACTCATTGGACTGCAGATATAAAATGCAGGTACGAGTCACTTGCATGAAAATGTTGTGGGGCAAGATGTAGGAAGCCACATGATAACACCGTTAATTTTGGAGATGTTTTAACACAACTCGGAGAAGCTACGTGACTACTCTGAGCGCAACCAAATTTGATATGCCAACTCTTCCGATACTTGAGGCTAGATACTTTGGCACCTGCCATCAGTTCATCTCAATCCAAAAGGCCGAGTTCAATGTTCTTTGCAGATCACAATGAGTTTATCTCCAGATAGTCGCGTGCACAAAAGCAGAGAGACAATTATCACTGGAACGTCTTGGACTGGATATGGGCCTTGTTGTTATCGACAAGACCTCTCTCGTAGTATCCGTACGTCCGGTGAACGACTTGTCTTCCTCGATCATCTTTACGAGGCTGCCATGATGACTGATCTTGGACATGTTGTTGATGAAGAAATCTACGACCGCGGTCTGCAAGGACGGGTCGGCTAGATGGATTGCGTCAGGACCACAGAGCCTTTTACACACTCCACAAACTTTTCGGTTTCCCAGTGACCCTGGAGAAGAAGGAGGAAGTCAGGGACGATCTTTTGGCGGAGGCCAATGACATCGTACTTGTCGGCGACGATGAAGACATTCAGGCAGAACATCAGAGTTTCCTCGCAGCCAGAGTTAGGTTTCGTGATTTCTAGGGCGATGTACGGCAGGCCATAGATGTGGCGAAGCATTGCGTGAACAGCTTCGGAATCGTCATCGTCCCCAAGGTCAACTTCTGCGCCGGTCGCAGCCTATGTGAGGTTTTAGCTCGTAGTAATCGGATTCGATTTGTAGAACATACTTGAAACTTGCTAGTGAAGGCCGTCATGACGTATTCAGACTTTTGCGCGAGGATAGCCTTGTGTGCGCAGATTTGTTGACCATTGAATTTGATGGTAATGTCGGACAGGGTGTTGTTGTTGTTGTATAGACTGTTTTGCGAATCAGCAACACCTCTGAGACTGCGGAGATGCATGATCTACCTGCGGTTGCCGCTTTCTATGGTGTTCTCTGTTTTCATGTTGAGTGGCGGCTGCGAGACTCGTCGGAGATGGCGATCGGTTGTTGTTCGAAAGTTGTCGTGTGGTCGAGTCTCGTGGAAAGAACGACGCGTCGATGTTGGGCTTGAACTCGCTCAGAGCGCGCAGTGTGGATCGCGGACGGGCAACAGCGCGGCAGGCTCTTGCCTTTATTGTCAGGCTACCTTTTTCACTCAACCTTAGCACTAAATTGGGAGAGAACTTATCATGTGGGGAAGGAGCCATCCAGCGGTTGGAAAGAGCGACGAGCTGTGAATAAGTAGCCTTGGACTACTACGCTCACTACCGGGAGTGAAGACACATGGTGAGGCTGTTTAGAGCAGTCCTACGCTCATTCAGGCGTCACATTTACTTCATCTATCGTGAGGACAGAAAGATCCAATACTCTGATATGTAACTGGGAATGGAGGATTGCTGTGGCTTTACAGAGTTTTGACACATTCACACAAAGCAAAGAATGCGTTTATCTCTAATTCTGCAACTCCATTAGAAGCACGGCCGCGCATGTGAACAGACTAACTTACATGTGAGCAACTATGTAGTCGCTCCCTGACTATAGATCACATGCATACTACAGACGGGTTCCCTGGTGGCCTCATAGCGGCATGAAGTCCTTGTATGATCCATGTTGCTGATCGGACGGATGGGCCGGAGAGCTACCACAAACGATACAATCCCGAGCAAGATTAAGTCTTGATAGCATCATCGGTGTTCCAGGCGCACTTGTTACATCTGTGCGCGAAGATACGTTGGCCATCTCTCAACTTGATTTGTACGTCGGACAGAGTCTGTTTGTTGTATAGGTTGAGCGGATGATGGACTGGCTTGACGCTCATCCAAGGACTTATTCTGACGGGTTGTGGCATTTGCAGGACGACCGAGAAGATGTAAGCAGCGAAGACAATAGCAGTCAGATGGTACGAAAGAACAAGAAGGTCGAGAGGGACTACGCCGAATTCTCACGAATGCCAGGTGGTACCGAATGACTCAGACAATCAATGTGAATCCTCATATGACCTTCTATAACTGGACACCGCCGACGGCCAATCTGTCACAAGGATACACAAACAGGTGGTCGAGAAAGGCAGAGTGCAGGAAGATGCAGGAGCTGAGGTCTGGAGCGCTTCCCGACGCGAGTCATGAGAGCTCGAGGTCGCAACGCACGGACCAGAAAGATTTCTGAAAATCCAAAAAGTGCAGTGAAGCTTTTGAGCAAGAGCAGCGCTGGTGTAGCTTTTGATTCGACCTTTCTTCCATACCTATACAACCCATCGACACCGACTGTCACTACATATTCGTGTCGAGTCACCCTTTGCGAAGCTCCATCCGTCAATTACGCAACAATCCCAGATCGCGATCCGCATATCACAATGTCCGACATCAAGGTCACTCCCACCGCCGAGGCCGACCCTGCCGCCACCTCTATCCAGAACGACAAGACCGTCGAGCAAACCTCCAACCCCGATCAGACAACCGAGCTCTCTGCCGCCCCTACCACCTCGGAAGATGCTGTGATGGCCGAGGCCAAGACCGAGGAGCAGAACGAGAAGAAGGAAGAGACGGCTGAGGCCAAGTCTGAGACCAAGACCGAGGAGGGTACGACTGTCCATCGCGCGCAAAATACTTGCGCAACTGCTGACAAGAAATTAGCTCCCAAGTCTACTGAGAACCAAAGCGAGAAGAGAGGTGGACGTCCTCAGGGCGCAGGCCGCAACACCAAGCGCGTCAGACCCAACTACGATGAATTACCAGAAAGCAGCGACCCCGAGGAGATTCGTCGCCAGGTCGAATTTTACTTCTCCGACTCGAACCTCCCCACCGACAACTATCTCCTTAAGCAGACTGGCGGTCACAAGAACCTCCCCGTCGACCTCAAGGTTATCCACAACTTCAAGCGCATGCGCCACTTCCAGCCTTACTCCGCCGTCCTCGAGGCTTGCAAGGCCAGCACTGTGATCGACGTTACCGATGATGGTCAGATCACCCGCAAGGAGCCCATCAGCGACAAGTTCAGCGACAACGTCGACGAGAACCGCAAGATGCTCGAGAACCAGACCATGGCCCGCAGCATCTACGCCAAGGGTTTCGGCGAGGAGAAGCCCACCAGCCAGACCGATATTGAGGAGTTCTTCAGCGTTTACGGTACCTTCAACGCTGTGCGCCTACGCAGAGCCAACAACGGCGAGTTCAAGGGCAGCGTTTTCGTCGAGTTCTCGGATGAGAAGACCGCCGAAGACTTCCTCAAGCTTGACCCCAAGCCCGCATTCCAGGGCTCGGAGCTGAACATCAAGAGCAAGAAGGCTTACGTGGACGAGAAGCTCGAGGGCATCAAGAACGGCACCATCACCCCCAACGACAACTGGAAGGAGAGAAGAGACAACGACCAGCGCGGTGGTCGTGGCGGCCGTGGCGGAAACGGCAGAGGCCGTGGCGGTCGTGGTCGCGGTGGAAATGGAAGAGGAGGACGCGGTGGTCGCGGAGGCCGTGGTGGTGACCGTGGCGATCGCGAGGACCGTCCCAACACTCGCAACGCAGAGCGTGAAGACCGCAAGCGTGGCCGTGAGGACGAGGGCCAGCAGGGCGAGGCCAAGAAGACCAAGACCGAAGAGTAAATGCGAAGAAAGAAAAGGAGGACGGGATATGATCTTGCTTGACGACTAAAGTGATATTGCATGGGTCATGGCGTTCTTGGTCCTACAAAAGGGACTTGGAGGTGGTTGTACAATTTCCGGGCTTGATACCTGCGAGTAGTCAGAGGAAAGACTACTCTGGAAAAGCAATTTACTATTTTTGATTTGACTCAAGCCAGACTTGACATGCGTCCTTGGTTCGATGTGTGACTGTCTTGCAAACAAAGTACATCCATGAATGCTATCAGTCAGCCTGTATGTGTGAAGCACATGTAGGAATTGATTGCTTCTCTTCGTCTATTTCCCCAGCAAGGAGACCTTCATCGATGGATATCGAGAACACTCTTTCTCATTTCCTAGTATTTGCTTCGATTTACCTGACTGTCATAGGTCTACTGAGGTCAGGGTGCTCTCTAGACTGCAACCGAAGTCCGCAAAGTCCGAAGGAGGTCCAGAAAGTTTACCCGACGATCCAAAAGTGACGCGACATTGTCTCTTGCCAACACTTACACATCAGACCGCCGAGTCTCTCTCTGATCTTCCAAGTTGTACCGACACTGGTTCTCTCAGCTATCGACTTCAGCCATACGCGACAGGAATTCAGGGCTTTCACCACCGTTCAACCTCGGATCAGCAACACACCCACCACCAAACACCTCTCTCACACGCCATGCCACGCCTACCCTGGTTAGTGACGTCCATTTTCAAAGGCACCTTCATCGGCTTCGGCAGCGCCATCACGATAAACGACCACTTTCTCGAATACGTGACCATCGAAGGCGTTTCCATGTCCNCCACCCTCTCCCCCACCTACCACGAAACCGGCCAAAAAGACTCGCTTCTCATGCAAAAGTGGAAACCTGCTGCAAATCTTGAAAGAGGAGATGTAGTCATGTTCAACTTGCCGCATAAGCCAGAAANNAAACTGGGTGTCAAGAGGGTGGTTGCTTTGGAGNGGGATTGGGTGACGTTGGATTGGAAGAGGAGGACAGAGGCTACGGATAAAGAGGGCATGGTTTGGGAGGCTGTTGGTGAGGCTAAGGTGTTTGGGGTGGGCAAGAGGAAGTGGAGGGTTCCATTGGGGCATGTGTGGGTTGAGGGTGATAATGTGGGTATGAGCAAGGACAGTAATGACTATGGGCCGGTGAGTTTGCGCGACTGGTATGGTATGAAATTTAATATGCTGACATGGTGTGGCATAGATCNNTCGAAGTCATTAATTGCAGGAAAAGCGATATGCTGTCTCTGGCCCTGGGAACGATTTGGCGAAAAACACTGGGCTGGCTACAAGATCAAGACCAAGGTCGAGAAAGCCCAGCAGGTCGATGTCGGCCAGTGGGAAAACTTGTACTGAGCATGGTTTGTGCACATTAACAAAGGTAAGCTTCCCCTCTCTCTGCTCTTGTTCTGTTCAAATTCTACTTCTTGAAGACTGTCTCAATCTGCCTGCACACTGCTTCGGTCACTTCTCTGGTGTTGCTGTTTCCTGCCAAGTCCCTCGTTTTGACACCAGCCTTAGTCACATTCTCAATCGCTTGCATGAGCTTGTCAGCAATGCCGTCCAACTTGCCCTGACCAAGCCACCTGATCATCTCGGCGGCACTCCAGAAAGCACCCACAGGGTTGGCGACACCCTTGCCCGCAATATCTGGAGCACTGCCATGGATAGGCTCAAACATGCTAGGATGCTTTCTGGTAGGATCCAGGTTACTGCTAGGAGCAATACCAATACTGCCACTCAGCGCAGCCGCCAAGTCACTGAGGATATCGGCATGCAGATTCGTCGCGACAATGGTATCCAAACTTGCAGGATTGTTGACCATACGCACCGTCATGGCATCTACCAGCATCTTATCATGCTGAACATCTGGATACTCCTCGGCAACCTCATAAAACACTTTGTCCCACAGGACCATGCCATGTCTCTGGGCATTACTCTTGGTCACCATTGTCAACTTTTTCCTGTCTCTTGATCTTGCCGTTTCAAAGGCGTATCTCATGATTCTTTCTATGCCGACACGGCTGAAGATGGCGAGTTCGGTGGCAATGGTGTGGGGACTGTTTTCGTGGGTTGTGCCGCCTTGACCTGCGTATTCCCCCTCGCTGTTTTCGCGGATGATGATCCAGTCGAGCGTGGAAGGGTCGGTCTCGCAGGACGAAAGTGGAGATTTTGTGCCTGGGAGGATGCGCGTGGGTCGCACGTTGACGTATTGATTCATGTTCTTGCGGATTGGAAGGATTAAGTTCCAGAGAGAGATGTGGTCGGGTACATCTGGANNATTCGCCATTAGTATGTTTTCATGCTGATGACAGGCAAGGTCGGATATACCTGGCCAACCCACGGCCCCGAAATAGATGGCATCATGCTTTTGCAGCTGCTCCATGCCATCTGGCGGCATATACCATCCTCTCTCATTATATGCTTTACTGCTCCAATCAAAGTGTGTGTAGTCCAGCTTGAAGCTTCCATCCACTTGAGCCAATTTATCCAAGACTTGGATGGCAGCTTCTGTAATTTCTGTGCCGATGCCGTCGCCGGGTATAGAGGCGATCTTGAAGGTTTGCGTGCCTGACATTTTTAATGAATTATGGCTTTGGAAATGGTTGAAAGAAGGAAGAACACGTTATTGCCGGCTGTGGAGGGGTAGAGTGGGGCTTTATGGGTGGTGATGCGGAGTAACGAATGTGCGGACGAGCCGACCTCGGACGTGTCACGGTCCGGCCATGTTCATGTCTTTGTTCTATCTGTTCAGTGACTAAGATCTGCCTTTAGTTGTATCCGAGATGCACCTTCTTTCTGATATGCTCACTCCAAGACCATGGCAGAGGTGGAGCATGAGAGCAAGCTCGGGGGACACAGACGGAGGTGCTCGGAGCTAAGAAGCTGTAAACGCCGAGGAGGGTGACGATGTTTACTCGCAGCTCTCGAATTGTTTTCGCTTTTATCATTCAACATACATCACCAATTGCGATACAGATACTATAGTGCATTTTAACAACTCAGCTCTTATACTCAAAGCATCTGATCCGCATAGCATCAATATAATCCAGACATGGAAAAGTTCCTGCGCGATTGGCGGCAGGATGCTCTCAACAAACACCAGTACGAGTCTGCCATTTTCGTCGGCGACAAGCTGCTCGCCTTGACCAACAATGACAAAGACGCCTTCTGGCTGGCTCAAGTCCATTTCTCGACGGCGAATTACACGCGCGCACTTGGCTTTCTCTCGCGACAAGATCTGATTGCTCGCAATCCGTCATGCAAATACCTCGCTGCCCATTGCTACGTCAAGCAGAGCCGATACGACGAAGCATTGCACATCCTCGGCGACAAGAATCCCGTCCATCTCATCACCTCCTCCGATCGATCGCGCCGGAAATTGCAACACCTGGACCCACGCAATGCGCTTGGGAAGATGGCCAAACTGCCTCAGTTGCGGTCAGATCGAGCAGATCGCAGTGAAGAAAGAGACAAGGAAGATATGAGCAACATCCGCTTCGAGGCTGCCATGTGCTACTTGCGCGGTCTCTGCTATGCAAAACAAAACGCTTTTGATCGCGCCAAAGATTGCTACAAAGATGCCGTGCGGATTGATGTACTGTGCTTCGAGGCTTTTGATCAGCTCATGAAGAACTCGCTCATGTCGCCAGCCGAGGAGTGGGAGTTCCTGGACTCGTTAGACTTTGACAATATCAGTGCTTCGGACACGCCTGCCTCGAGCATGCAAGAAGCTGGAGAGTTTACAAAAATGCTGTACATGACGAGGTTGTCAAAGTACAGCAGACCCGACGACTTCAACGCTGCAGTCGAGACTCTGTCAACGCATTACAACCTCTCCAGCAACTCTTCCATCTTGTTATCCAAGGCCGAGCTCCTCTTCACCAATTGTCGCTTCCGAGATGCGCTCGCCCTAACCACTCAAATCCTCGAAACAGACCCTTACAATTTTTCCGCTCTTCCTGTCCATTTAGCCGCCCTCTTCGAACTCAAAGAAACAAATGCCCTCTTCCTTCTCTCCCACGATCTAGCAGACACACATCCAGAAGAAGCATGCACCTGGCTCGCAGTAGGCACCTACTACCTTAGCATCTCGCGCATCCCCGAGGCCCGTGGCTACTTCTCCAAAGCCTCGCTCATGGACCCGCACTTTGGCCCCGCTTGGATTGGTTTCGCACATACTTTTGCCGCAGAGGGTGAACACGATCAAGCCATCTCTGCATATTCGACTGCCGCCCGCCTCTTCCAAGGCACACATCTCCCCCAACTATTCCTCGGCATGCAAAACCTGTGTCTGGGAAACTTGAGCCTGGCCAGAGAGTACCTGGAGACTGCATACACAATGTGCGAAAACGACCCTCTGGTACTCCNNAACGAAATGGGAGTCGCATACTACCAAGACCAACGATTCGACTCTGCAATCCGCACCTTTGAACTCGCCATCTCCATTGCCGAAGAAGTTTCCGCATCGTCGTCTTCATCCGCAAGTCTAGATATAAAAACCAATCTCGCACATGCCTATCGACGCAATTCCCAATACTCAGCTTCCCTAGAAACATTTTCTGAAGTCTTGAGATTGGGAGGTAAACACGCGGCTATTTTCTGTGCTAAAGGGTTGGTACTTCTGGAGCTCGAAGAATGGTTCGAGGCTACGGTTGTTTTGCACGAGGCCCTTGCGTTGAGTCCTCAAGATCCTATTGCTACTGAATTGCTTTCTCGCGCTTTGGAAGGGCTTGAGGCAGAGACGAGGGTCCCGGATGCAGAAGACGAGGAAATGGACAGGATATTAGAATCCAAACTCGCTATTGTGGAGGAGAGGNAATAGGAATAGAAGGCGAGGGAGAGGCAGGGTATTGGGGGTATGGACAGCGAGATGGAAAATTCAGAGTTGCAGGATGGGACGGAGATAAGTGGTGTACAAGAGGATTGGACACAAGCAGATGAGTCTGAAGTTTAGGAGGCTGAGGTTACCTGGAGAGGAGGCAGGGGGCTTGGGTAGGGTTTGACGACCCTTGACATTATGATAACCATTTTTTCTCTTTCTCTGACGACTGTGCTGATCAGTCTTTGCGGATTGTGTCTTGGCCTCCTTTTCGTCTATCATCTCTATCTCTTTGTCTCCCACTCAAAAGTGCAGAAAGAAGTCTTCCGCACAATTTTGAGTCAATCAACATCAAAAGAGCAAAAACAGCCAGACCAAGCAAACACAAAGAAGACATACTCTAGTCAAGAGGACCACAAGAACGACGCCCACAGAATTCACGTTTTCCGCTTCTCAAGACCCAAGCAAAAGCACCCCAATTTCACATATACCCATCAGCTGGATTCGGACACTTATCCCAGCAACAAACTAAGCAAAGACTATCATGCGATATTACCTGAAAAGGTTACCACGCTGTGTAAAAGTACTTTGGCTATTCCACTCATTGCATCGTTCAAACAAGTAAGATATCTCAGATCCCCAGTCAAAAATGAAAAAAAAAACCCCCCAAAGCAAAAAAAGTCTCTGAAAAGGGACTGTGTGGTTTTTGATGCAGGAGGACGTCCTTGACACTCACTATTATGTAGTGGCTTGTATCCTCGGTTTTTTTCCTTACTATTGGTTTTTGCTGATAATTTTCCTTGACTCTGCCCCTGTTTTCAGATTCGCCTTTTTGGCGCTCTTCTTTGCCATACGATTCTATCCACTCCTCAGAGCTTAGGACACTTTGATTTTCGTTGTTTCGCGGAGAGCTTTTTGCAATGGTTCCTCGAGGGAGAGAAAAAGATGAGGGAAAAGAAAGAGGAGGGAAAAAAAAAGTCCATTGCTTGCTGTGTTCGACTCTTCCTTTGCTCTGTGTCGATTCGCCAATGTGAGAATTTCAAGGCATGATGAACAGTGCCCAAGTAATCTGGGGGAGGTTGTCGAGACTGTTCGCTGATGATAGTGTGTATGCAAAGTGAGAGTAACGACTGGTGATACAGGACGGCACGAAAGAACATTCAAAGGACCCAAAAAGAAGAAAACAAAACAGCCAAGGGGAGAAGAGTTCGATCAAAATATCAATGGTGTTGCTCCAGTGAGAATTGAGAGAAGAAAACAAAAACTAGAAACCAGAAAGCAGAAAGCAGACAGCAAACTTTTGGAACACAAGGGGCAAATGAGTCGACTTAGGCCTTCCAATGTGTCGCCCCTGTCTTTGGTACGGCCATAGGAAGGCAAGGTTGGTTGCGGGAAGGAAATTGTACCAGAGAGAGTCGATAGAGTGACAATTCCTGGTGGAGAGCTCGATATTCGGCGTGTACCGTGAGTTCCGATAAGAGCAGGATATGATAGTACCCCAGAAGGGAGCAATGGAAACAACATTGTCTGGGTTGACACTGGAGACTGGGTCGTCTTTGGGGTAGGATACTGGTGGAACGGCGCACGAGAATCATGTGCAGTAAATCAAGAAGATGTTTGGGTTGATTGGTTGGAGGGTGGTTCGAGGTTGGAAGGGTATTCGCGGACTCCGCCGATGGTGAAGCATGCTTTGATTTGAAAACCGTCAGTTCCAAGTTCAGGTCGGGGTAACGGTATACAGGATTAGACTCACTGGAGTGCCACTCGTCGTAACTTTCGTGGTCATGAAAGACACAAGGATTGCCGCAACATGCGCAACCTGATCTGTCTGTGCTGTTCGTGGTTCTTGCTCGAAGGGCAAGCGAGCACATTACCTTGTGCAACACATCTTTGGACAGTTCCTCGTAGCATGGAGCCTCTCGACTGATTTCGGTCCTGATGGGTCTCCAGTGTTCAATGTACCACCACACTACAAATTGATGCAGAGCGTCAGATAATGATAAAGAGTTTGTCACCCTAGCCAACAGACGGTAGGAAATCCGAGCCTTCTTTTCCTTGACGAGCTTGGTCATTACACGACGTCTCAGAGCCAAGATGTCTGTCTTGTCTGCGAAGATGTATAGGCAAAAGAGCTGTTCCGTGTCGGGATGAGATAGATGATCTTCCAGAGACCCACTGTAGAGCCAGCTTACGAGCCATTTGGCTTGCTCCTCATTGAGCTCGAGTTCGAAGGAGGTTTTACTCGCTTCCTGGAAACTTCCGTCGATGGCAACATTGTAGTAGGTCGAGTAATGGCAGAGTAGCGATTTGTGGACCAAAGTCTTGAAACCGCAAGAGGTACGAAGCTCGATCATGGAGTCAGGGGCAGTCGAAGAACTAAGGAGGCGACTGGTTGGCGTTAGCTGAGGCTGGCTCGAATGACAAGCTGGCATAGCCCTCCTCATAGAACGATATGCAGCGATCTCAGCCATAAGAATGCACGATGGTCTCGAGAAACGGATTGTTGTTCACTGGAAGGTAACACTCTATCGGCTCTCTTGGATTGCAACTCTTATCCGAGACCAATCGTGCCTTTCTACAGCGAATCGCTCCATACGTTCGATGGGATTGGATTGCTTGGCACGCGTATAGAACAAGACATACCTTAGGATATAGGGGTCCCAGTGACCTTTGCTTCCGCTGGGCTGCATCATGGCGTATCTATGCAGTGTAATTCAGATGCCTTTGGTGGTCGAACGTCGAGACAAAAGCGTAGAGGCGCGGTTCCTTCCTGGGGTTTCTGTCAGGCGTTCAGAAGGGGCGTCGATGGTAGGGTCGATAGAAAGGTAACAATGCTTTTCAGACGTAGGTGGTGTCAAGAGATTGTTTGTTGAGGATGTGAGAGGCGCATATATCGTGGGATAAGATGGATAGCTGGTGATCTTATGGCGAAGTGCCTTCTTGTCTTCTCCAAGCAGATAACAACCACAATCTGTCTTGTTCCTACCGTCTAAAAGTTGATGTAGGCAGCGACTTTCAACACAGTGTGGGTTGTCCACGGCAACGAGGCAAACGACCAAATGGGGACTAATGTTCGTCTCTGCACCCCGTATCTATGCTCAAACACATGACCACTGCGCATTGGTGTTTATCAACACGAAACTCGCTACCTCTTTTTTGTTAAACCAGTACCGAAGTCACACTCAGAATATCTCGATACTTCTCTGCCCTCCTTCCTTCGGTCTGTCTTCCCGTTTCTTGCTCACTCCCAATCAAATCTCTTCTGATAGCACCAGCACTACGTCACATCGCTCTTTGCTTCCATACTGACACCGTGACACAGCTCAACTACCAGTCATGATGAAGCGCGAGGCCAGCAGCGACGACGAAAGTCGCCCAGCCGCCAAACAGGCTCGCCTGTCTTCCAATGCTCTCTACAGTGATAACAACCCGCCTCTGAAGATCAAACCTTCCATGAAGAGCCATTTCGAGTGGCTCTGCAGAGAGTTTGGTTGGGCACCTAATGAGCTCACACGTGAAAAGATCATGGATCTGCTCGGCATGGAGCCAGGAAGAAACAGCAATGTCGAGGCAGCACTCTTCGCATTCGTACAACATCTCAGCTTTGTCTGGAACGACGATGCTCTCTTGATTGGCAGCAAGCAAATCAACAACATCATGAGAACGATTTGGTACAGACCCCTGGGACCGGGTGCAAGCGTCGGAGATAGCCTATGGCTCAACGAACGTGACAAATTCGATGGAGGGAAGATTCACAAGTACTCACCTCGATTGAATTGCAACTTGGTCGATCGTATCTGGCCTTCCTTCACCACTGCTTTTGACCTTTCGAGTTATAAGGGTGATTACAGATACATCTCAGGAGTTCACACCATCTTGCTCACCTTCCCCAAACTACGCAAATCTTGCGGTGATCGCGAGCTCCGAGCTTGGGTAGAGGGACGCATGTCGACCGCGACTGAGCACACCCCACTGAGGAAGTATGAACTTCCTTTCCTGCCTGAGTCGGTGTGGATGTCCAAGCCTTTTGGATCGCTACGCCCACAACCTATTACCCCCTCGGAAGGCTCGTCTTCTCGCCCCAGCCCTCAATCGAGCCCTGCCACTACCCGTCGCTCGTCCGTCAGAGAGCTTGATCGCATCCAGAACATCCTCCAAGGTCAGCGCAAACAACTCGGTAGTGCTAGCGGACAACAAGACAAACGCAGTTCGGAGTCCGGAAGACTCAGCATCTCAGAGTCCGTGGAGAAGTCCCCTGAGCCATCCGAGACTACCGAAGCTACCTCCCAAGCATCCACGGAAGTCATCAAGAACGACGCTCCAGGATCAGATCTTCAGTCACCTCCCATGGGATATATCGACCTGACTACAAACGATCACGTCAACCAATTGCTTCAACAGAATGGCATCGAGGTCGCACTCGGAACACCAGATCGTCTTGCACAAGCAAACGTCCAACTCACCGTCACCTTCCCCGCTCGTATCGCGCAAAATCAGCCACAGCCTGTGCTGGAGTTCAGCTCTGTCACATCAGCTGATTTGGCTCCTATCTTGCCTTCTGCTCTGGAATTCAGTTTGGTCACATCGGTCGACTCGCCTCCTGTTATGCCTTCTCGTCGTGCTGTACTCGAGGCTCTGTGCGCTTTGGCAATGAACACTATGAATGGCGACACTCAGTGACTATTTGAAGGCTTTACCTTGTCGAATCCAGACCGAAGGAAGACCTCTGATGGTTCATGTCTTGAAGAGTTCTCCTGGATTTGAACAGGCTGGGTGACACGAAAGAAGAACGAAGAGAGTTCTATGGAGAGAAAGGTAGAGAATGAACATTTCGCAAAAGAGAGCAGAGAAGCAATGTAGGATATGCGGAGTTGCTTGGTCAGCAGATATGACGATCCGTAGGGGTGGTTCCAGACAAGAGGCATTTGCAAATTGAGCACCAGCTTCTCCCATCCTTTCCCCCGGACCTTTATTCAGGACGAATAGAGTATCAGACAAAGAATGTTCACAAAGGTGCAGTAACTCGAGTCCTCATGTGGCGGTCAAAGGCAAGAGCGACTTTTGGACCCCGAGCAAGGCTTGAATGACGCCGAAAGCGCCTTCTCTCTTTGTACCAGCTCCTTTCCGTGTGGAGCTCCTCAAAAGTCTTCCTTCACGATTGACGTTGTCCCTGATGTCGAAGCAGCCAAAGAAACATAAGCACGACACGACGTCTGAAATCGCCGTCGCTGTCCCGTTCAGCCGAGGTTCTCACGAAGGGCCAATCTACGCATACAATTCGTGACCACATTGGTAGGCCACCTGATCATCATAGTAATGATCTCTGCAGCTCAAGTTCTCATGCTGGCGAAGTAGCGTCGACTATTGATAAGTATGAACATCTTGTAGCCCAATATGGCTCCCGCAGACGAGCCTCGGTCCTTCCACACGATCGCTGGTCTGCGGGGTCGACCAGGTCGATACAAACCTACCCCAGCCAACCAGTATTCAATTGAAGTATACAACATATCTCTACTCATCGTTCACAATGGCCACAAAACTCGTATCGTCATCAACCGATGGATTCTTTCAAGAACTGCCCATCTTGCTGCCACTGTTCACCACTTCAGACACACTGGGGGTTGACACATCAGACGACAAAGCATTGGCCAGAGTCCTTCCTCTGTATCTTCCCTCAACAGCAAAACAACCTCTCCAAGCAGTCCACGACATCAGTCGCTTGTCCCTAGACCCAAAGATCCTAGCCCACGCAGTAGATGCAGAAACCAACCATCCCAAACTCCGACCCTTCAACACTTTTGGTCAAGAGAATAAAAACGATCCGCTATGGACTACAGCAGGTTGGAAAGCACTGAAAACTATGTATCAGGAAACTGGCTTGATCGGGGTTGCTTACGATCAAGGGAAGAATGACTGGAACAGACGTGTGCATCAATTTGCCATGAATCATGCTTTCATCTGTACGGCGACCATGACAGGGTGTCCAATGAGCATGACCGACGGAGCTGCAAAACTGCTTCAAGGACATTTAGACACTGAAGATGGAGACCAACCTGGTCTGAAGGATGTTATCCAGGAAGCATATCGCCGACTTACCTCCAACGATCCACAAGAAGCATGGACAGCAGGACAATGGATGACAGAGCGATCTGGCGGCAGCGATGTCAGCGGTACCGAGACCTTCGCAACAAGACTCTCAGCTTCTGAATTATCTGCAGAAGCGCGAAAAGGGGGAAGCCAAGATGCCCACGGCATGCCTTNNTTAGGTCCCTGGTCAATCTCAGGTTTCAAATGGTTCAGCAGCGCCACAGACTCTGACATGGCGATGTTACTCGCTCAAACCTCCAACGGTCTCTCCCTCTTCTTCGCACCTTTGCGCCGGCGTAAACCCTCTCCAACCACCCACTCTTCCCCCTCCGAACTCAACGGCATACGCATCCAACGCCTCAAAGAAAAACTCGGCACAAAGTCCCTCCCAACCGCAGAACTCGAACTCAAAAACATGCGCGCCTATCTCATCGGCACCGAAGGCCGCGGCATCAAAGAGATCTCCGCGATACTAAACCTCACACGTTTATACACTGCACACGGCGGCGCCGGCTACTGGGCACGTGGCCTCCAAATCTGCCGCGCACACTCTCGCGTCCGTAAAGTGCGAGGAGGGCTTCTGGCACACAATCCCGCGCACCTGCGCTGGATGGCAGCAGAGACTGTAAAGTATACCGCAGCAACACATTTTGCGTTTTTCGGTATCGCCATGTATGGCGCCATGGAACAAGATGCAGACAAGGTGGTTCGCGATACCAAAGCTTTTGCTCTGATCCCTTCTGACAAAGATCACCTGGCAATCCTCCTGCGCCTTCTGACGCCAGTAATGAAAAGCCAAATCACCATTGCCAGTGTAGCAGGACTCAGAGAAGCAATGGAATGTCTAGGCGGCGTCGGCTACTGCGAAAACAACGAAGACGGCGGCCTCCTAAACGTCTCTAAAATCTTTAGAGATGCACTGAGTGGACCCATCTGGGAAGGCACTGTAAGCGTCATGGCTGAGGATGTGGTGAGGGTGTTGACGGATCCTCGAATTGGGGAAGGCAAATGTATTCAAGCCGTTTATGCGCCTTGGGTGCGAAGTGTCTTGACTGCATGTCAAGCGACATTTTCTGAAGAGTCCGAGCTTGTGGTGGTCAGACTCACGGCTTTGGAGCAAATGATCGAGGTTGTCGACAAGGGGCAATTGCTGTTCCAAGGACGTGAGTTGCTGCAGCATTTGGAATGGGTGACTTGTGCGGTGCTGCTTATGTTTGATGCCTGCACTGATGGGGATGAGGTCGCTGTCGAGATAGCCCGCAGATGGGCAAGGGGTCATCCCATGAGCCCGACAGCGTGCAATCTCCCTAGCGGAACCGACTGGACGAAGACTTCGGAAATGGACAGAAAGATATTTCTAGGACGCGACGAAGGAGCATTGGGCAGTGCAACCGCAAAATTGTAGAAAAGATATTCACCAAATCAGCAGTATTTGGTCCTCCACCTCAACGTGAACCTCTTTTTGCGCCACTCATTGGTTCCTTTGCATTCCCTCAACACGATCCGTTCGGTTCCCATCAAGTCGGCCGCGTATACATCGTAAGCCAAAGGTTGTAGTTTCCCGATCGTCTGCTCAAGTTCTGCTTCAGTATACCCTCCGGTATCATGGCCTAGTCTTTGCTGGAACGCCGATGCTAGATCGAGTACCGCTCGCCAAGTCCCCATCGCGCCGCGCTTCTGCAAGGATTGACTCTTGAGTTCTACGTAGAGCCAGAGGCTGACCGTTATCACAAGCCAGAGGCTGTTGATGGAGGTGAGGAGTATGGTATACTGAATCGAGAAGCCCNNTATTGCAAGGCCATATCAGCTGCTTGTACTCCTGGTGGGCTGTTGCCGCTTTGTTCGCATGCTTACCCAAGCATAGTCCGTCGAAGGCAGACATCGAAAATTGGTCGCATCTTGCCACCACTTCCCAACCATATACATGTTATAGGTCCATTCCCCAACCACGAAAAGGTTCATACACGATTTGGCAGGATAACTGGTGAGCAGTCTGACCTCGGGAGACACGGTGAAGTCTGTGTACCCAGGCACCCAACTATCGTATGGTGGTCCCCATCGATCAATGGCATCAACGTAGAACAATCCCATATCACTGACGTTCAGGCATTGTTGAAAAAACATTGTGCCGTTGAGACTTCCTGGCGATGATGGCACTATTGCTTGTGACACATTTGCAGGCTGGGTCCAATTCAGCCGAACTGTGGTCTTGCCCGGCAGTGTGGCATTTTCGGGCGGCGGGTCTGTGTATAGACTGTTCGATATAGTCCCTAATCCATCCCAGTCAACAGGGTCCATTTCCATCATAGTTCCATTGGGTAGCTTGACCNNTGGAAGCAGCAAACCGAATCAGTCCATCGAAGGATTCTCGAAGAAGCCAGTTGCACTCACCCATGTTACCTCGCCCGTGATGTATCCAGTCATCAGGTCGGCCATTGTTACAATCAACAGCAAGTACATGATTGAGATTGCGATCCAGATGGCGGCTAGTCTGTTGAACAGAGCCAGCTTTCCTACAACCATCGTCCTAAAGACGGGACCGAGACTCAACAAGCTTGTGGGATTGAAGACAAGTGCCGAGAAGGTTTCTGCAGATACGCTCTGCTGTTCCGCAAGGAGGTACAATATCCCTGTAAACAGACGATAGCACATAAATGCCGCGGTGGCCTGAAAATCACGACCTACAAGCACATTCCACGCCAAGTCTATAGCCTTTGCGGCCGTGAAAGATATCTTGCGGAAGACTATGAGGTCGATGGCTGTATCGTTCAGCTCGGTTTTCCGACTGGAGCAGCCATCGTGATCTTACCTAGATCTCCCAAGAATGTACCCTTCGAAGCCTTTTTGCCAAGTCTGCGAGACCGTCAGTCAGATATAAGTACTTCCATCTCCTTTTGAACCGGCACTTAAGAGCAGTTATAACTTTCAGTCTCGCTCGCATACGCAATCTTGGCCATCTTCTCCCATGTAGCAGTGTGCACGAGATAAGGTATGGCGGAGAAGAGTCCGACCAGGACCGCTATGGGGAGGATGTATCGCAAATCGACATCGATGCTTTCCTGTCTAATTGTGCCAAATCTCCTAGAGAATACACCGCCCAGCCAGAGAGTGTGACTCGCACTCGGGCTCTTGAACTCGCGAGGGTAAAGACGTGGATCCTCCGTCGTGTCGGTCTCCTTGTGCCGGTCAACTGCGTGTTCTGAGTCATGGTCGCGCTGGAGCTGCTCATAGTGGTGACTGGCAGACATGGCCGTCTAACTTTGTGCCGTTCAGGGAAAGCGAATACTGACGTGGAATATCAATGTTGGAAGGGGAGTGGCACAGGCTCCCAGCAATCTGATCTGAGTTATATGGCATGGATGTTCGGGGCTCAAAGGGTGGCTGCGCCCTTCGGAAGGCTGCATCTGGCTTGCATTGGCACGAGGCTGACATGCTGGCAGGCCGCAGGATTGCTGTATTGCAATACTCCGTGTAAGCCTTTGGCTCGGAGACAGACATCTGACGATATGATGAGCCAAGTTCTCGTTCTTGTACACCAGAGTTGAAGAAGCGCAGAGTCTTGAGCAGTTTGCAAATGGTATAGTCAAGGGTAAGCGCGAGTCTCGATCCTTGGGAAGGTCTACCCGTTCGTGGCGCCTGCAGACACTAATTCCAAGACTGCACGTCGAATGAAGCAGGGTCGGGTAGCACTTTCCTCTATTTTTAGAATCAGGTAAACAGATCGACATGGTCAAGACAATCATCGATTTTACACCTACATATCCGGTCTACATCATCTTCCATTTTTTCATTTCCATCATGCATCAAGAATAATCATCTATTTTCCGCCCTTACCAGTAGGAATCTGGAAGAAGACGGCAGGCTCGCCATTCTTGAAAGCCTTGTCGACTCTGTAGAAGCCCTTGCGATCGAACTGCATGATGTCGTCCTCCTTCAGATCGGCGACGTTGCAGTCGGCCAAGCACTCGGTGAGAGTCGAGGTATTGGGGTTGAGGAACTTCTCAAAGTCATCCTCCTCCTCGAGCTTGTCCTTTGTGAGCAGGTAGTCGAACTCGTAGAGCTTGACGGGAATGAGCTCCTGGTCGGCCGAGAGCCAGGTGACCTTCTTGGAGGTCTTCTTGACGTCACCCTGGAGGTGGAGTTCGAGCTCCATGGATGAGATGGGTGCGTTGCCGCTGAGGGTTGCGAGAGGAGATTTGAGTGCGTCGACAACGGTAGTAGACTTGGACTTGACGATGGCGTTGCCCCAGTTCATAAGAGTGATCTCCTCACCCTCGGCGAAAGAGGCAGCGTCAACCTGGTCGAGGAGGATGTTCTTGCTGAAGACAACCTTCTTTTGGCCAACAGCGGGGTTCTTGGCGTGCAAGTCCTTCATGTCGGTGTGGGTTGCAGGAGCACCAGTGACGGTAACGGTGACCTTGTCCTTTGTGTCGATGGCAGTGTAACGACCGGCAATGGGGTCAATGTACTTCTTGTTGGTGGCCCAGATCTTGGTCCAGTCCATCAAGGTGATGGACTTGGAGGGTCCCTGGGAAAGGATGAACTCCTGGAGAGCAGGAACGGTCATACCACGACGACGGATACCTCTGACGGTGGGCATACGAGGGTCGTCCCAGCCCCAGACATCGCCCTTGTCGACAATCTTTGTCAGCTTGCGCTTGGACAAAAAGGTACGGACAAAGGCCATGCGGGCAAAGTTCCAGTTGTAGACGTGGCGCAAGTCCATGGCCTTGAGCATCCACTGGAATTGAGCATCGCGGTCATTGTACTCGGTGGTACGGAGTGCGTGAGTGACACCCTCGACAGCATCAACAACGGGGCAGGCAAAGTCGTAGGTGGGGTAGATCTTCCAGGCGTCGCCGGTGCGGTGGTGGGCCTGGGGGTTGCAGCGGTAGATGACGGGGTCACGCATGGCACCGTTGGGGTCCTGCATGTTGATCTTTGCGCGGATGAACCAGGTGGTGCCCTCGGGNGAGCCCTTCTTCATCTCCTCGAAGTGGGCAAGGTTGTCCTCGATCGAGTCGTTGCGGTGCTTTGAGTCGATGAGCTTCATGCGCTCGTCGCGGAGCTGTTCCTGAGGGGTGTTGTCGGCATAGGCGTGGCCGCTCTTGATCATCTTGACAGCAGCATCGTACAGCTCCTGGAAGTAGTCGGACGTGTGGGTGACCTGGTCAGGCTTGATGCCCATGAGCTCGAGGTCCTTGACGATCGAGTCCTCGAACTCCTGCTTCTCGTTGGAGGGGTTGGTGTCGTCGAATCTCAGGATCAGCTTGCCCTGGTACTTCTTGTGGGCAAAGTAGTCGTTGAGCAGGGCGGCCTTTGCGTGACCGATGTGGAGGTAGCCTGAAGGCTCGGGAGGGAAACGAGTGACGACGCCCTTGTCGGTGCCCTCGAGGCCAATGTCGTAGTTGCCCTGGTCCGACTTGCCCTCGGCCTTCTTGGCCATCTCCTTGCCACGGCTGGCCAGCTCGACGACCGGGCGCTCCGACTCTTCGATGAAGTTGAACCAGCGGCTGACATTGACGTAGAGGCCTTGCTTGATGACGGACGAGTGGGCAATGCGGTTGCCGCGGATGGCCTTCCACACATCGAGGTCGGCGTCGGTGACCGAGTAGCCAACAATGTATGTGCGGAGGCTGAGGTGTGCGTCGAGCTCGGCGATGGGTCCCTCGATCTGCTTGAGGTTGAGAGGCTTGAAGGCCTCTGCGCGCTTCTGCCATTCGGCGATGTGTGTTGCTGCCATAATGTTTGGTGTGTGACGAAACAAGTTCAATTGTGAATCAAATTCACTAGAGCTCAACCCCGCCGCCCGTCCTGAGTCATGCGCCAAGATTTCTTCAGGTTTTATTTACCCTGTCCATCTACCAAACCATCGAGAGGACACTTGTGATCATATCAGGAGCCAGGAGAACTCAACACTGAATTTGAATGGAAGATAATGTGGTATTACATGAGCATGAACTGCAGGGACCAAAACGATATAATTACATGATTAAGAAGCGAATAATAGCAACGCAACTAAGTCGCTAGGCACCTTTCCCCCATCCCTTTCGCCTAGCGCTATGCATAGAAAGACTTCTCAATGAATCAAGCACTCCAAAAATCGTCACTAATGTCTTCGTCCTCTACAGCCAAGCCTGCCAGAGCGCATCAGTTGTGCAGAGGTTCTTGGGCTCAGTAGCCTTGGCCACCAGGTCCAGCACGCTCTGACTGGCAGGCAAGTTCTTTGCATCCGGCTCCTTCGCCATAGCGACCGCTTTCTTGACAATGTGCGTGGCATTGCGGTACACGTGCTCACGCAGTTCACCATCCTTGATGCTTTGCTTGTGCTGCTGCAACGACCAGAAGTTCATCTCGTCGCGGATGAACACGCTCAATTGGCCTTCAAGGTCTGATGTGTTGCTCTCCGTCTCGTCTTGATTGTTACCACCGCTGCCTGAGTTGGTAGGTGTGGGAACGGCGGGTGGTGTCGAGGTTGTGGGCGAAGAAGACGAGTCGGTCAAACAGCGAGCGATGGCCATCAGAGCAGCAACGAAGATGCCCTCAGTGTGGATCGGGCCCATCAAAGTCTGCAAGTTGGGGGTAAGACGGAAAGGCACTGCTTCAGGATTGTGGAAGTATGGCTTGGCGGCAGCCATTGCAGGAACCAACTCTAATCCCCAAATGTTACCAGTACCACGCGAAATGGACATCTTGTGAGGGTAGCGCATCGTCATGTGCATGGTGAATGTGATGAACGTCAGAGCAGCCAACTGTGCAGAGAACTGGCGACGGAACAACCAGAGCGAGTCGTACGAAGGGTACGTCTGTTGGAAGTAGTCCTGAACAACATCGCTTGGAACATACTTTTCTTGGATTGCATTGAACGTCTCCAAACGGATACTTGCAGCCTGCTCAGGTTTTTGCTGGAACCATAAGTCAGTGTCGTGCTTTTTTGCTACGCCTTTGGGATTACTTACCGGTGTCAAGGCGCGGAGCTTGTCGATTTGGAACAGGACCGGGTCGTCCTTGTTGATGCCGTTGCGGCGACAGTAGTCTTCGTAGATTCCTTGCAAGCTGATGTACGAAGCATCATCCTGAACCATGCGGATACTAGGAGACAACGGAATCATCAGAGGTAGATGGAACTGCAAGTTCCGGCGTCTACTCTCCTTCTTCTTCGCCAATGTACTGTTGAAGATTCTGAACAACTGCGTAACTCTCTCTTCGCGTCTGCTGTGTCTGGCGGTCGGGTGCTGAACGGCAAATGGATGCACACTTCCATCGTGACCACGGATGGTTAGTCTTCTATGACAGCCAGTGACGCCTCTGACGAGCTCAACATCGGGTAAGAATCGCTCAATCCTAACAAAGTCTTGGTTCTTATCACGGTGCTGCAAATACTGCCCAGGCACCTCGACTTCGTCAAACTTCAAGAAGCGGAATTCAGCCAAATGAGTAGTCTGTTCGAGATGCCATTTAGATGTTCTGCGATCGAGCTTTTCCTCGAACCTGTCTCTCCACCTGCGTAGCTTGGCGATGTATTCGAACATCGACGGCTTTTTGGTCACAAAGTCGGCTTCGAAAGACTTGCGGATATGAGCTGGCAAGATTGACTCAGCAAATCTAGTGATGTTGGCCTCGGTCGATGGCGGCAAGTTCACGCCTTGGGCGTAAGAAGTTGGGTATCTGCCGACATATGCCAAGCCATCGTTCAGCAAAGCGACGATGAGACGGTATGCATCCTCGTCCAGAGTACACTTGAAATACTTTTGGACCTGATCAACCATAGTTTCCATCGACAAGGCCAATAGAGGGAATGCCGTCTTGAGCGTCTGGGTGAGTTCTTCAGTGTGATCCCATGGCTTCTTAGGCTTCGCTGGCTCAGCAGCTTCAGGCTTCGGCACCTGACTTGTATCTTGACCCTCAACCTTTGGCTGAGGAGTGGCACTGGCAGAATCTCCATTAGGCTTCGTCTCTGACTTGGCACCTTCAGCTGGTGTAGCACCTCCAGATTGCTTGGCCCGTGCTTGCTTCTCTTTGGCTTCCTTTGCCTCTTGACTTCGCTTGATGACCGACATATCTTCACGACTGGTGCGCAGCTGGAAGTAAAGTGCCTGAGGGTACGTCTTTGCGAGCTTGCTCAAGATGCCATGAGCGATGTTGGCCTCGCTAGGGGTTCGAGACAAGTTGTTGAGCAGCTGAGGAATAAAGGTGATCCAGTACCACACAGGAGTCTCTCCCTTGAAGTTTTCAAATGCCTTTGCGAGTGTGTTCTCTGCATCGTCCAAACTGAGAAGCCAGAGAATTCTGCTAAGGAGCTTCCTTGACTTGGCACTCTTGTATTGACCAGCGGCTTCGAGATAGCAACTGATGGCAGCACTAGCTTTGTCGATGCTCTCGTCAGGCTTTTCCTTGAAGAGCATATCGTTGTATCTACCCCATTCACTCCACGCCTTGGGAAGCTTGATGTCGAAGTAGAGAGCAGTGCCGAATGCGTCGTTGGCTTCTTCCTTGTGGTTGAGCTTGGCCAGGAACATACCCTTGAGTGTGTAGAACTCGGCCTTCTGCTGAGCACCAAAGTAGTTGAGATTGGTGTTGTTAATGACATCCAAGCCACTAGTGAGCTCATTGCGGTTCTGATAACAGCACTTGGCCTGCTCTCTCAGCTTGAGGAAGGCTTCTTGAATCTCAATGTTGGGCAGGGTGTAGATTCTACTCAGTTGGGTGATACAGACGTCAGGCATCTGGTGCTTGCGAGCGACATGTGCAAAGCGATTGATAATCCAAGCCGTCTCATGGTAGCCACGGTAAGCATACGACTGACCAGTGGCGTTGCCCTGGTTCGTCGATGGTAGCAGTGTCAAGTACGTTCTGTTGATAAGCTGGAAGATATGTTGACGCCAGGTGACCAAGTCCTGCCACGAATTGATGTCGTCCCAGAAGTTGGGCAGTCTGTCCCGCCACGTACCGAGAAGGAGCTTGAGCTCTTGACTCTTGACATCAAGGTTGGCAGATGTGGTCTGGGCCAGGCTGCTACAAATCACACTTGCATCGTGCAGTTCCACCAAATTCTGGAAGTTCTGTAGCAACCCAATATGAGCTTGTGTTATTTGCTTGGGAAGCTTGTGCCAGTTCTTGATTGAGAGCTGGATGTTCTCGTCGCAGATGCGGTTGAAGTCTTGTTGAGTTTCAGTCTTGTTGTGAAGCTTCAGCAGTGACATGAAGGCTTGGAAGAACATGCGGCGCGGTGTTGGAGCATCAGAAACGGCCTTGATGATAGTGTCTAGCTGAGCTCGGTTGTCAGGCTCCTCCCAAGCATCGAAGTTGCGCCAGGTTGCCTCGAGGAAAAGATCATTCAGGTTTTCGTGCTTAGCAAAGTCACCGAGGATTTCCCATTGTTGAAGCTTCTCTGCGCAATAGACCCAGTGATCTTCCCAGAGCATGTACTCGCCAGGCGAAAAGGCAATCGAGCCAGTACGAGCCTTAATCTGTGCCTGCTCATACATTGCTTGAGCCTTGTCCCAAACGCCGTTCTGCTCGTATGAGAGAGCGGCGTTGGTCTCGACGAACTGGCATCTTCTGCGCCAGGTACCATAGAAAAGGTCGTCTTCCTGAAGAGTGGCATACAACTCAACCAGAGCATCCAAATTGCTCTCGCGAGTAGCAGGAGTATCGACGATGGGCTTCATTGCTAGCTCTTCAATGTAAGTGGCCGCGCTGTACCAAGCATTATAGTTCTTAGCCTGGAACTTCAGGACGTGTGGTGGGAACTTGACACGGGGTCTAGCACGAACGATGCCATCAATTAGAGTGGCCACGCAGTTTGGACGTTTGTCCGTCTGACGTTGGTGGAAGTCCTTGGTCAAGAGGTTGATGAGACCTGTTTCCATATCCTCGCGGTCATCTCTTGATAGACTTGACCAGATCAGCGGGAAGTAAGCCGTCCAAATATCATGAGCGAGGGTTGAATCAGTGTGCTGAAGATGGGCCAATGGTTCCAGGACATCTTTCGTCTTGACTTCACCCAGTTCTTGCACAAAACGCTTGTGGCTTGCAATGAAGTTCTCAAATTCAGAATCGATCATGAGATCAGCAAGTCGTGGATCTGCAGAGTGGGTGTTGAAGAGTTTCGAGGCAGGCAGGCACTTGAAATCATCGTTGTGAAGCTTCAATGAAGTGTTCATGTCGATGGAGCCAAACATGAGGTGGATGACCTGACTAAGCCAGAAGCTATCAGCAAGGACATCCCACTGTTGCTCGGCTAGCAATTTGAAGAAACGATTGGCAGCCGTACGGCTGAGGTTGCGATCGTAGATGGTCATAAAACGCGTGCGCATAGGAATATCGGGACTTCTAAGACCGATAAGGAAAGCATGCTCCATGCGCACAGCCAACTCGGACCTGAAGATCTTGGGATCCTCGTAGATCCTGATGACAAGATCAAGGAACTTGTGGTAGAGGGTCAAGTCTGACCGGTTCTCGAACATAAGCATCTTTTGCAGCACAGCGGTCTTCTCCTTGAGGGTAGGAACCGGCTCTGTCGAATTGAACACCCACTCTTCGACCATGTTGAGGATTTTCTCGCAAAGTGTGTTGTTCTGAGATCTTTCGACGAGCGAGGCCAGCACACTCAGATAAGGTCTACGCTGTTCTCCAAGAGCAGCAATACGGGCTGAAAGCATCTCGATCACTCTGATAATCAGCACGGTGTTGAGATCGACTTCTTGAGGGTTGGCGGGAGGCTGAGCGGTGACTCCATTGGCAGTGGCAACTTGCTGAGGCATCTGAGCTGCGAGATGGTTCTTCGCCAGATTGCCTTGTAAAGCCTTGAGGAGAGCGGGGATATGAGTGTCTACGCTATCGGCCTTACGTTGCGAAAGAGTCCAGAGGATGTTTATACCAGCGGTCTGGGCTTGAGTGTCCTTGCCAGTAGCTGACATACAATCACCCGCAAGAGTGGAGAGGAAGTTGACAAACTCATCGGTTGGACTTTCAGCATCAGGCAAGTCCTCTTCTGACTGCCGCAAGGGAACTGCATCCAGAATTGCCTTCATCAGTGGCTTCAGATCGGGGAAACCTTCGACTGGCTTGTCGCAATGCAGGCAATCTTGAATCTCAGCGCTCTCGCTCTTCAACGGCTTCGCGAGCAACTTTTGCAGTTGAGGCAAGCGAGCAACGATCCACTCGTCAGATTTGGCATTGACAAGCGAGCGAAGCATCTGCAAGGTGTTGATGACGCGGCTAGTCCAGGCTTCCATCTTCTCATCCTGCTTGGGCTCCGAAAGAAGGATTTGCTCTGTGACCTTGGGGAACATAGCATCGACATCAATATCATCCCAGTAGCCTGGCGACAAAAATCGCCAAAGTAGCTCCAATGACTTTCTTATCGTCTCATTGGAGGATGGACTGGGACGCTCCTTGCCTTCCTTGGCATCTTTGCCCTCATCAGTAGAGCTCGGTACAGGGAACCTTTCTGGCAGGATGGCGATGAAGTTCACCATGTACTTGATCATCATTGTGCGGAGAGCGTATGAAGCTGAAGCGGCCTTCTTGTTTGTGGCAGGTGCTTCGCCGTCGGGAGATTGAGAACCAGAAAGTGATCCGTTCTCCTTCACGGTACGTTCTTCCCAGTGCCATATCATGCTGAAAAGGTTGATGGCCAGCCTCTTGTTCTCGGTGGAAGGGTTAGGCAATTGAGCAACCTTGTTGAGCGAAGGAATGATAATGGACGCAAATGACTCTCTAGCCTCATAGAAGAGGTCAGGGTGTCTGACCAGGAATTGGAAGATGCTGGTAAGTTGTGGAGTGTTAGATGTCTCTTCGCTAAGAATGCGGCGAGGTATACGAGTCCAAGCAGGCGCTCTTGCTTGTTCACCGCCGGTTCTCTTGATAAGGACGGGCTCAAGGATCTCAAGAGCTTGCATAACTAACGGTCGACCTTCGGCTTGATGTGCTCCCAATAGCTTGCCATAGATCTGTACAACGATCTTGGCGGGAGTATCGTAATGGGCAATGAAATACGAAATCAAAGCATATGAAGCATACTTGTTGATGGTATCCTCAAGTCGGATGTACGTCCACCCAAACATGATGACGTCCTTGCGTGCATCAGATAGCATGTTATGGTGGTATTTGAGGAGCATAGAAGTAAGCTGGATCAGCTCCATCCTTGACTGATCGACGCCAGGCTGTGTGGGGTCTTCAGAGATGTCGCTGTTGGCTTGCGGTTTCCACAATTTCGAGTGCACAATGTCGGTCATGGACTTGTCAAATAAGTCGGTGCCCTTGGTATTGCCAAAGAGACTCTCCCAGCTGCGCTGTATGTCCATGGCAAATATGGGATTCAGGATGTAGTGGAACACGAATGACTTCATGCGTGGGGTCTTCTGGCGATTGGTATAGATATCGATGCAGCGCACAGCGACCGAGCGCTGGTACTCAACTGATGTACTGGTGATGATGAACTCGTAGATAAAATGGAACAAGCGGTGTGACTCTGCAAGCTCGTCGTTGGCGCAGGCTTGGACGAGATCAAAGAAGAAGTCCAGATCGTCCGGCTTTTCAGACAGATATCTTGTGAGAATTATCATGAGGTGGTCTCCAACTTGCTCGACTGGCAGGCGAAGCGACGAAGCCAATGTCTTGTTTTGCAGCTTCTGCTGTAGTGATTGGGCCGCTACGAACAGAGCCAATCTCGTCTTGTCATGGTTTGTGAGCCAAGTACGACACTCAGGAAATTCCGATAATGACAGAGCGACATGGACGGCATTGACAGCCGCTTGATCTTTCTCGACGTCAGACAAGCCTTCTCCAGTTAGCGGTGCCCAGAAAGAGTCTGATTCCATCACGGCTGTTCGCAGAGGTGCAGCCGCCTTGTCCGAGAGGATCTGGGCAAAGAATCTGCCCTTCGCTTCGTCCTTCAAGTTCGTACTGAAGTGCTCCAATGCTTCCTTCGAGTAGTGATTGAGGTATTTGATCAAGGGCTCGCGGAAAGGGCTGAAGTGGGTCCTGCGCAGACTACGTTCAAGCTCAAGTACCTTTTCGACCAGCGTAGGGAGGAATTGCACAGCCGCGGCGGGAAGAAGATGGAAGACACCAAAGATAGCGGTAACGACACGCATCTTAGAATTCTGCTCAACAAGCGAGAACGAAACCTTTTGCAAACTTTGGGCGTCTGCAATATGCTTCATGTGATCTAAGAGACGAGAACCAATCTCGACCTTGAAGTAGTTGGTAAGAAGCTGGAGAAGCGTGCGCAGACCTTCAAGTCCCTCGACACTCAATTTTCGTGGGTCCTGAACGTTCATGAGGATCGGCCTTAGACCGCTCTGAAGCAGGTCTTTGGGAAGCTTCTGAGTAGCTTGCAGTACTATCTGCAGACCGGCATTGGCTGTTGTCTTGACTTCGATATTCCTAGAATACAGAGATTTGAAGAACACCGTGATGATCCGGCTACGGTGTTGAGCGTGGGGNGAGTTGTTGAACGCAGGCAGGCGAATCGCAGTAGTCAGAAGACGAAGGCAAGAAACTCTGAGATTGACAATTGACTCGGCACTTCTATGCTCCATCGGTTTTGGCGCGAGGGTTTCGTCTTCAGCATCGGCGAGAGCTAATGTCTCCATGAGTGACCGGTTGAGGCGGTCTTCAAATTGCAAGACTTCGTTCTCCATGTCCAAGCAGAAATTCAAGGCATCGATGTATCCTATCTGCACAGCGAAGGGCAGCGCTCTCAGCGGTTTGTTAAAGATAGGCTGGAGGACTAGCTCCTTGACTGGCTTGACAATCTCGTAGAGCTTGACACCAACGACCTCCGCAAGCAATCGAAGACCATCCTGAGCGGCCTCGCGAACATGTCGATTCATGTGTGACACTTCTCCAACAAGCTTGTTGGACACGTTGTGTAGGAGAGTGTTTGCTGTGCCAATATCAGACGTTGGCGTGCCTTCGTTACATTTTCTGATGATATCCTGCAGCACGTCTTTGGCTTGTACGCGGACATTAGCAGGAAGGTCTTGAGGCATGTCCTTCATCACAAAGAAGAGTGCTCGAATGAGTTCAAGCTGGCGGTCCTTCAACCACGCAGCGCTGAAGTTGAGCTTGTTGACGATGTAATCAATACCAGCGGTACCTCCAGATTTTGAGAACCATTCTTCTTCGAAACAGTGATGAATGAGAGACTTCGTAAGGTCACGGAAGAATGGCAAACGTTCGACACGGTCTTCGGCTCCGAAGATCATGGCTGCCGACTTCCACATGGTGTCCAAGGCGTTGAAAGCAACATCGCGAACATCTGCAGAGTCTGAAGACAAGCTGTCAGCGATTGCGTCGGCGATTACTCTGCTATCGACAAAGACTGGACCTTCGCCAGACAGAGGCTCGAAGGGTCGCTTGATGTGCTTCTCCTGACCGAGCGATCGGCCAAGTTCAACTATTGTCAAATGCTTGTAGAGACCATCCAGGAAGGGCGTAACCTCCTGCTTGAGTTCGGGGACTGCAGCTGCTATCATGGCAGCCTTGATCAATTTGAGCAGGGTCGCTTGCTGAGCATCTCTCTTAGCGACTGACTTCTCGCGCTCGGATTTCGAAAACAGGTCATGTCCAACATCGTAGTTCTTGTCGAATAAGTCATTTGCCTGCAAGCGAACGAGTCTTGCAAAATCCTCTGGAAGAGAGTCATATCCAACCAATA